CAATATATTAAATCTAAAAATGTTGCATACCCACTGAGCATTTTGGTCTAAAAATGGTCTAATATACGTCTAAATGTAGCCTAGATGACTGGTCTAGAATCAGGCTACCACAGGTCTAAATATGACAGTTTTTCAGACGTCTAAATTTAGACCAAGTTTAAACCAAGTCTAAATCTGGGCTATATCTATGCTACACTGTATATTGCTCAATGGCTATCATAGTTGTTTTGGTTAAATACTTGCAGATCAGTTATGCAACTCACGGTTGCTTTTTGAAATAAATAGTTATCAAATAATGGGTTAAAGTGCAACATCTAAATTCAGACTTAATATACAGAATCTAGACGATTGAAATTAGGTCTAAAAAACTAGACATCTAATAGCCGTCCATTGCTCAGTGGGTAGTTAGGCATAAAAACAGCCTATGGTTAAAGTTAAAATAAGCTGGAGATTACAATTTTATGTCCAAATGGAAAATACCATTTGCACCAGCCGATTAAAATGGCAGAAATATCCGCAGTATGTCAAGTGTTGTTTACCAGCAGTCAACATTAAGTCTTGATTTCAGCATCACAAATTATCCATATTGGTTTTCACACTTAGAGATAAGTGTGGCTGGGAAAGCATGAGGGATTGACAAACATTAAGCTATCAAAGCTTAACTGTGCGAGGCTGAAGGAGCCTGCACACCCAAAACTTGATGGACCGAAGCACAACCATAAAAAACAGAGATAAAGTCAACATACCAAAGTTTTACCTCATAAAAAGTGCGACCCCATGTGAGGTTTCAGCTGTTGCCCTTCATTAGACAATAACTCCTAACAAGCTGACATTTTTAATTGTTGTAGGGCTTTTTCACATCAGGCACGAATGTTTGGTACCACGCTTCACGATCCCCCCCAGGTCTCCTTCACTTTTAATATCATTCACTTTTGCAGGTACATGGTTCAATCTAGTGCATGGCAGTAAGTTGGAAGAAGAAAGAAGAAGCAGCAACATGGCATCCACTCGTGATCAGCTGGGTGATTTACACATTCAGTGTGGACAATGTAGCTGTGGATATTTTATGATTTGGACACACAAACAACGGCCCTCTCACAGAATATCTACCACGTTACTCAGAGTATGAAATGAGCCCATGCTACAAATTTAAAACCCCAAGAGTCGAATAGATATGAGGCTGTATAGAAGCCCACTTCATTGTTTTCCATCTGCCGTGAACTGTGTCTGAGTTTTCATGACCCAGCTCGTGAGCCATGATGAAAATTGGGAGACAAAACAGTTTAAATTGAAAAAAAAATGAAGGATTTGTACTGTGTTGTAAACTCACCAAAGCCAAACCCAACCTAAGACCGGTTTTAAATACTTAAATACTAAGACTGGCCAGGTGCTCCCAGTTTCATTAATTGACTCCACCCACCAGGACCTGCAAAACAACAAGAACAACACACCAACAGCAGGCCCTACTCAGACTGGAGCACCGCCACAGAGTACACAGGAACCACGCCTCGAACGACCTCTTCAATAAAGTGGGGCACTGTGCCAGTGTCTGGTATGATTGTGTTCATACCAAGTCTGGATCCCTAATGTGAAACCACCATTGATCTGGGTAATATTAATGACTGGTGGTTGCAAACCAGTTTAGAGTATTTACTGGGCTGAAGTAGCTATAGGGGACTTGCGGTTCTCTCGCCCAGATTTCTGGTAAGAGAGTGATAGATTTAACAACGTTGACTGCTCCTCTTATCAGTTTCACCCACCTGTGTACTTCAACATCGGCTTTAATTCTAGACCTAAGAGATCTATTTCATACCATCTTTCCATTTGTCAAAGCTTCTACTGGGCAAACTCATCTAAAAATAATCTGGATGTACCCTAAGTCTGCAGCTGACTGGCACATCTGCTCGGTAGATGCACAGTTCTCTCAGTAATCTCAACACTTGCACATCAATGTGTGATCCATCACGAGGGACACTCAGTGCAGAGACAGAGAGCAAATCACTGCTATAAGCGATAGCAGCTATCAGGCAAATGGGCAGAAAATGGTTCCTAATGGTGCCTGGTATGTCTGGTGTAAACTGCAGTCGGCCTCTTTGTCGTCCATCACCCTGGAGCATGTGTAACCAAAGGAAGGGGGAGGCGGCAGGAGAGGAAGAGCGGGAAGCATCTGTTCGTTCAGCGTGGGAACCCCTCAGGGGGGCAAGGCGATAATCTGGGTTCACGTCAAACAAAATCTGGTGCCTGAGCTGCCGGATGACGTCGCGTCACTCAGTCGCTCCTGGATGTCACGCAGAGGGAGTCATTCAGTCAGAAACCCCCTCCTGCTGTGTGACCTTCAATCAGCCGCCTCCATCACTTTCTAATGGGATTTCAGAAATGCTCAGTCATTTTCTCTCCTGGCTTTGTCAGAAATCCTGTTGGTAATTGAAGCACAGTTGACTCGAACGCTGAGATCATAAAAAATGAATGGCTCTAGCCCCTCTCCAAACTCCTTGAACCGGCAGAGTCAGAGAGCGCCGGTCAAGAGGGGAGCTGAGTGGTTTTCAGCGTGAGCTTTTGACATCATAACAGGACACTTGGCAGCGTTAGTTACCAGTTTTAATCATGATGGTAACAGTTGGTGCTGAGTAAACAAGGAAGTCTTTCCTGTCGTTTTGACCAGTTCGGTTATAGTCCCCCTTCGCCCAGACTGCTGTTTTCCCAGAACCGGTAATCACATTCACTATTAATGAGCCATGATGTTCATCCTGCACCCATTTACTCCTCTCAATAATGCATATCCTTTGGAATTGCTTGTGCATATTTTACACGGTGCCACCTCCCCTCATTTAAGAGGGGTATCCGGGGTGTTTTGGGCGGATTCGCTCTCTGGCCTCAGGCTCTCTCTTTACGTGTTCCTCCAGGGATAAACCTCGCTGGGGGAGCAATGTCTCCTGTGACTCCAACTGAGACCGCCTGCCGAGGAGAGATAATGAAACTTTGAGCCGCAAAAAGTGCGAACACACTTGTTGAAGGACCTCGGCCTTCTTTAAGCATTCGTATAACTCGTCTTTAATTCTAATTGGCCCCTCATTTTGTTGACTGATCACTTTAAATAAGACAATTGACCACAAATTGGACACATCAGTGCCCCAGTGTGATTCTCCTTACATCATGATTGTCATTAGGAGCAAGCAATTGTGGCATCGCAGGCCGTGTTAGCTTAAGTGCTTGGTAAAGAGACTCGTCCTGTCAGAAGCAACTGAAACTCGCACAAAGGAATGAAAAGCCCATTAGCAGTGACAGCAGAAAATGAATTTAATCAGCGGAACATTGATGCTACTATTGAGAAGAGGAAGAGGAGGGGGGACGAGAGTTAATCAAAATGCTTCTGACGATGACTCTGACCCTGGTGGCATTTGAGCAGCATATCAAATCAGGCCAGACTGAGGCGAGATTGGCCAGTCTGTTTGTAGCAGGCAGGTCAGGCTCGGAGAAGATTGGCAGGTTCGGCTCTCAAGTGGGCCCGCGGGTGGGTGGTGGAGGTGTTGAGGGGTTGGATGTGTTTGGCAGTGTGGCAGGACTCTTGCAGTGGAGAGGAGTGAGTCAGCATGCTACAAGACAGTAGACTACTGAGGAGGAGGAGGAGGAGGAGGGGAAGGATGAGGAGGAGGAGGGGTCAGGTGGTGGTGAAGGGAGGAGGAAGGCCAGACGAGGGTGAGGAGACACATTACGGGAGAAGGGGAGGGGGGTGAAAAGCGGGTCAGGCTCATGCAGGGATGCCAAGGGGGGGAGCGTGCGGTTCGGATGTGGCCGCAGGGTTCACTCCTCTCTGCTCGCTGCCAGACCTCCAGCCGAGGTCTCTCACCCGCTATCACCCTGCTGCTGCCCTCTCCTCCTCTCCCTCCCCTCTTTTGTGAAGGTGCAGTGAATACCGAAGAGCCAGAGGCTGCACGGCTGGCTTACAAAGGATGCTCTTTTCTCTGTTCCTGCTCTCCTCGTTCTGTTTCGTTCTGCTTTCTCTCTTACTCCCTGCGCCCTCTTCCTCTTTTCTCTCTTTCTCCCTTTCTTGCTCCGTCTCGCTTTCTTCTCTGCACCTCGGTTTCTTGAATCCTCACCCCTGCCTTTCTACCTCCCACTCTTCTCGGCATATTTGTTTCACAAATCTTCCATCTTCTCCTCTCTACTCCTTCTCCTCTCTCCTCTCTCTCTCTCTACCCAGAAATGCATCTATTATTAACACACACCTCTGGCTCTTGGTGAAGACTGAACCAAGGTTCAGGCCAAGCTCCTCAGCATTTTAATCACCCCTAATGAGTAAGAAATAATGAATACACGAGCTTGAATCCAGCCTGTTTGTGTGACAGCAATTAATTTATGTTTTACATACAGTATGTGCAGCTAATCTTAACAGGTTCATTTTGCACAGTGTTGTATTCGAGCTGAGTGCGCCGTATCCTTAAAAGTCTCCTACTGTGAGACACATACCAGAGCATGTGTATAAAAATCAATCAGAGTGCATCCGACCACCGAGCTGCTCGGAGGATCAGAGCTCGTATTGCAGCATGTAATGCATATCATGTCATGTCAGACATTAGTGTAACAGGAGAATTAGCCATGCACCGGTTCTTTCTGCAGAGCTCGTGTTAAAGCTCTCCTGCGGCAGGTTTTCGCAGTCCGAGGGCACGCGCGCCCCGCCGTCAAACGAGGAGCGAGGAGATGCGCGAGAGAGGAGCATCCCCGGTGACTTGCATTGGCCTCTTTTCATCATCCGCTTCCCTCCTCTCTTTGAACAAACACAAGGGGCTCAAGGCGTGGATCTGTCAGAGGTCCACCGCTCGTAGAGAAAAGGGGGGGGATTATTTTCCTGCAAGACTACTGAAACCCCCCAAAATTCATTACCACTCTTTCTGCTGGAGCTTGAAGAAGTTAAGGATGCATCTTTTTCTGTTTCTGAAACAGCCTCGCAGAACAGAGAGGTCTAATTCTCTCTGTATTCCGCGGGAGATGTTGTAAGAATTCACAGGCGGAGAATGAGAGAAGTCTGAGTGTGTCCCTTTTATCACTGGTTTATTTATACTGGTAAACATCAAACAGAAACAACAGCAAAATCAAGAGCTGACGTCCTCCCCATACTTGTGATTATCGTTTCTCTTACATCGACAAGTTAATTTACAACAGTTGTCATCGGCGTGACACGATAACGTCAGTAAGTAAAAAATATGTAAATGAACCGTTCCTCTGGATCTCATCCACGGTGATACCAGATTACTCCCCCCCCCACCTGTCATGCTGTTGTCGTTGGCTCAATTGTCGCTTGAATCAGTCACGACAGGAATCCTATCAGAGTGGAGTCTTTATGTAATTATGTGATAAAAATGCATCGATTGAAACCCGAGGGCAGTATTAGGCTGAAAACGACTTGTGCCACAAAAATACTGCATTGTGCTGCGTCTGGGGGTGTAGGGATGTAAAGATGGAGGACTGTCTGTCTACTACATTCTGTTCCAACACCTCAGGGATGTAAAAGCACATTCGTAATCTCTCCAAACCACCGCCAAGGTAATTAAGACATGTCACTGTCTGACTGTAGAGCTGGAGACAAGAATCGTGTTCAAAGCCTACAGAGATTGTATCACGTTAAGTAACAGGCGATGAGAATGCGAGTATAATAATCCCACCTGTGTGCTTCTTCCTTTGTTATAATACAGTATGTCCAGGTTACTGCATTCAACACCACATGAACACTAATGGTTGTGCAGAGATGTACAGTATCTCACACAACGAAACATTTCTGTACATGAAGTTGTTTTATACATTTTTGTGCCTTTCTTCAAAGTTTGACCGTTATAAAGAAGACTTTGATAGGTTATAAGGTAGAAAACAAATGTGAAACCTTTCCCATAACCCTGAACGCCTGCCTTGCCCCCAAATATATGAGAGTAGCTTACAGGTCCCTCAACGGAGAGCGCAAAAGCTCAAAAGAAGGCATAAAACCCCGGTCCCAGTTTCACAACGGGCCACAAATCCAATCCAAGAAAGCAAGAGAACACAGGCTGTAAACTCCAAATCATAAAGTGCTCTCCAGCAGCCACTCAGACCTGGAGAGCTTGTCCCTGGCCCGCTGAATGTTTGTTGTGCTTTCCAGCTGCGGTAGCTCTCCGCTTATTGACAGGCTACGCTTGGAGCGCAGGCTGGCCCCAGTTTTGGGGTAGGCCACATAGCAGCGCTCTTGGTAAGAGTCCGCATTTATAGAGTGCCTGCGATTCACCCTCACGCCTCCTGCAGGCACAGTCATGTACTGACGGGATGCTTGATGGGGCCGCGGACCCCTCGGCGGTGCTGCAGTCCATTTGACAGGCTGCCCGGGAATAGCCAGAGCAACCGCAGTGTTGGCCATTTTAACCTTTGAGGAGTTATTCCGGTTCATGTTCTCGAGCTCAACGTCTGCCAGCGCCTCACTCCGTCGGGCTTCGGAGGGTTTTGGAGCGCCGGAACGTTTCGGCCTTGGAGCGCCCGGGGAGGCCGGGTGCCAGCTGTGACTGGCAGCGGAGGTGGAGACGGTGCAGTCGGGGACGGTGGGTTTGGTGTTCGCCGCGGCAACTGGTGCTCGCTGCTTGGCCGGCTCCGGGGGTGGTAGGGCGACTCTCAGGGAGTCCTTGTCACTCTTTTCTGGACGCAGGACCTGCTTGGAGAGAGACTTTGGGATCCCACAGCCCTGTAGCTGTCCATCGCTGCTCAGAGAGCGAATATCCCCCATCTCTAGAGCCTGGCAGGACAGCAGATGAGAAGAAAGAGTGTGAGGAGAGAGAAGATGGATGCAATCTAACATACTGCATGTCATCACAGCATTAGACTTCCCACTAAAGCATTAAAACAGATGTACAATGCGGTTGATTCTGTTTCAATTTGAGCGGAAATAATGAAGGGAAAGAATAATACACAAAGGTAATCAAGCCAAGCTGACCTTATCTGCATCTCCTTGGTTACACACCCGGTAGCGCACAATGAGGAAGATGATAAAAGCGAGCACCGAGGCCACTATAATCCCTCCGATGATAACTACGATAGTACCGCCAAGAAACTGGGACTGCATGAAATGACACCTCAGGTACTGCGGCTCCGTGGTGAAGTGGACACAGCCAATGACACGGGTGGCGGTCAGCGCCGTCACCTGGTCGTCGTAGATAGCCAGCACGCACAGGTCGTAGTGCGTACCTGCGGCCAGGTTGTTCACCATGATGCTTTTACTGGACGGGGGGATCATTCTGTGGAAATGAAAGAGAAGATTTTGTGATTTCTGACGAAGATTAGAGAGGGTTAAATGAAAGGAGACAGAAGCAAATCAGATTATGCAGCTTATTGTTTAGCAGGGATAAAATGACATGACAATCACTTATCCCTCACAGGGCTATTTAAGATCTGTCCGGGCCTAATCTTTTCTGACATTTGATTTATTCTCTCCAGCATCATTACTGATAAAAGCTTCACTCACACTGGGGAGGATGCAGGATGCCTCATTTTTTAGCACATTAGGATTAGAGTCTCTAACCCTCTACTGTCTCCTGAATTTAGTGTTCGCTCCTGAAAAACATATGGTGGTTGACTTCCAAGTTCCCCTTCCTAAATGGGAGTCTTTGTGACGATCCGATCACATCCCGGCGATTAGCAGTAAATATGGAGCGAAAGAGGGTGAAGATGAAAGAAATCTGTGCGCGCCAGTTTCTCAGATGGGCATGTGCGACGTCTCTGATGCTTTTTTTTTTTTGTAAAACACAGCCTGACTAGTCTTTCATCTCCTATCAGCCCACTGCTTAATGCTGACACTCTGTTTTGATTTTGTTGATTAAGCATTATCAAGGTTTTGCACAAAGTAAATGATACACTGGGGCGAGGGGAGGGCGGGGGGGATTATGAGTCCAAGAATAAGAAGTCAGATAGAGTGCATTAGTCCATCTTCTAGATAGGCTTGATAGACACCACGAATAATCATGTAGACAGCCAGGTCTACATCATCGTGACTGAATACTCAAAGGGATTTCAGCGTTTTAAGAATAATATAAAGGTAAAACGCGGGCCAAGGGATTTTCTTTCATATGATTCCAATCAGCTTAGGTTTATTTGCATACCTCTGTTACCTCTGATATAGATTTTCGGGTTATTTACTGTTTGAGAAAATGAGCTCCTTCATTTAGAGTTTATTATTAGCGCTCATCCTAGACTCAGAGGTAGACATGAGGCAGTTTTAGACCACAGGAACTTTTGGCAACACTTCATTTGACACCTATCTCTATAACGCATTATAAATATATGTATAATGTGTTATAATCACATTATAGCACTGTAAAAGTATAGTTATAAACACTCATAAATGATCAGAATGCTTTATAGCAATAATCATAACACATTATAAAACATTTTATCATGACCTACAAGGTCAGGTATTATAATGTGTTATAACTGTTAACAACTCACTGACAATGCCCACATAGATAATGCAATACAACTGTTATTAACAGTTATAACACATTATAATACCTGACCTTGTAGGTCATAATAAAATGCTTTATAATGTGTTATTATTTTTGCTATAAAGCATTATGATGTTTAAGTGTTTATAACTATACTTTTACAGTGCTATAACGTGATTATAACGCATTATAAATATATTTAATGAATTCTAGAGATAATAATAGAGATAATAGTAATGATAATGAAAACAGAAGTTTACAAAGTGCTTTGACAAACAGTAGCAAAGCACAGAACATCAGCTCATGAAAATAAAAACAAAAGCTCCGAATTGAAGGTCAATTTCATTTTTCATAAGAAACGCAGACAATACAAGAACCCATAACATAAAATGAGACCATGAGGACCAAAATAAAAACATAAAATAGGTAAGAAGAAGAAATGTAATAGAAAAGGGGGGCAGAAAGCAGTAAACAGGATAGTAAATATAAAAGAGGATATTAATAATGATAATAAAATAATAATAATGATGGTAATATTAGTGATAAAATGGGATAATAAAAATGAGCAGAAAAAAGCAATAAAGTAAAACAAAGGCTAAAAGGACAGTTAGTCTAAAATAGTAAGATAGGCGTTAAATGAAGTGTTACCGAACTTTTTCATAGTCCTGGAAACTACACAAACCCTCTACTTTAGTGCTGATGAAACCAAAGGAAGTTTGAACTCCTTCAGCTCAAGAGGGACTTTGAGAGACCTGAGTGCATAAGTGAGCATTGTATGTTGATTGGTTGAAAATTTTATCAATTCAGCGCCATCAACAATTTTTAAATCCTACAGTAAACATTATCAAAATAACAGTAAATAACTGTAACAGCTCTCAAAGGTGTTAAAAATAGAGGAACAACACTGATGAATGGACCGACAATGAAGTCCAGATTTTACCGAGTGTTTATAAAACACTATTTATCTAATTATTTTTATTCTGCTATTTTTCATGAACTGCTCCACCCATGGCGTTCTCGGTATCTTCAGTTGAGCCACATTAGCAGCGTAGCTTTAGCAGCTGTCAGGAGGCTAAGGTCACTTAAGGTTTATATCTGCCTTCACCAGACTGCAGACGGTAAAAAGTCAAATTTAGTGTAAAAGCCAGACAGTGTGCAGCGCTCTCCTTTTTGACTAAATTTGGTTTGCACAATGCACTTGTCACCCAGTCAGGTGTGCAAAGATCCTCTTCTGCGTTACACAGTAAAAAGTCCCCCCGGTGTGTAGTTCTCTGGGAATTCCCAAGTGGATAGTTCCTCTTCAGAAAGTCTACAGAACTCTTTGGTCTAAAAACACCTTTTGTGACATTAAACTTCAGGTCACTCGACCCTCTACTTAAAGCCTTTATTTCAGCGCTCCCATCACTGCCATCCTCCTTTTTTTTAACTTTTTGAACGGCCAGGTTTAATGGCATTGTGTTCCTTATCATTCATCAGAAGTTATTTGTGAAGTGTGATCATTTTCTCATTTAGTTGCACAGAATCACCATCAATTCTATAGAATCACTACTACAATATGAACAGATCAGCTCTTTCTGTTTACCTGTAAACCAGGGAATCGTCGTAGCTGCCATTATATTGGATCTGGAACATGCGTATCCCGGGGATACTCCTCTGGAAGTTAAACTTGACCAGGGCTGAGGTGGACGTGGCCTCGGCGATGACTACTTTCTTCTCTTGGCTCGTCTTCGCGTTGCCCAGCGGCAGCCCTCCCGCCTCTGACCCCGTCTTGGTCACGGTGGCGATATCCGACGATCCGGGGTCGGGCTCCTGCTCTGCCACTGTGTTGTTGGTGATGTGCGGAAGTTTGGCGATGACCAGATCCACCGTTTGCTGAGCCTCGCCTGCCGGGTTGGAGGCCACACAGGTGAAGGAACCTGCAACACAAATTAATCAGATCACCCTGATATTTAAGGGGAAATATTAAAAAAGTGCCGTGGAGAAAACTTGTTTTTTTAAGCTGCACTAAAAAAAAATATCTTATCAAATATTAGTTAAAGTTTGACATTTTTGAGACCGTGCGGAGTCCCGGAAGTCTTTATCTTGTGTGCACAAGATAAAAAATTATTATCAGGGGCAGTATTTCTCTGGAGTAATACATTTTAGTAATACATAGGCTGGCTGTTTCTCTCTGTTTACAGCCTGTTAAGATAAGCTTGCTGGCTGGCTGCTGGCTGCACTGCAGCTTAATATTTAATGGACGGATATGAGAGTGGTAGCAATCTTCTCATCTAACACACAGCTAGGAAGCAAAGAAGTGTATTTCCCAAAGTGTCAAAGTGTAGTATTACTATGTTGTGATAATAGTGTTGTATGTGTAAATATAACCACTGTAGCATTCAAGTGTCAGAAAGTACAGGCTTGTACACAGATGTCTATAACAGAAACTTGGCAGCCGACAAGGTGAAAAAGTCCTTTTTTCCTTCCTTTGTGACCTCAATCACCGTGAGCCAACACTCCCCCGACTCTAAACTTTATCAGCCTGATGTAGGCAAATACTTCAGCCTCATAGTCTTCAGCCCGCACAAGCAAACAACTAATTTCATTCAGTAAACAACACAAGCGCAGCCACCAGGGTGTAAACAGACCGGAGTCCTTGACGGTGCTGATGAGGATGTCCAAAGTGCCGTCTGTGTGGACAGCCGCCCTGGAGGAATTGGACATGAGGCGTCCGTCAGGGGCTATCCAGTGGATAATGGGGTCGGGGTCGCCTCTGGCCTTACAGCGCAGGGTCACGCTCTGACCCTCTAAAGCTCGCAGCTCCTAAGGAGGGAGAGGGAGGGCTGTTAGTTTTGCATATGCTTAATAATGACAGACACTGATTGGGGGAAAAAAAAGATGCCAGTCTGGACAAACAGTTTCTCTTAACAGTCATTTCTGCTTGAAGTGAAACACTCTGCATAACTGAGATAACATAATTAACTTTCATATTTGTGATGTTTTGCTTTAAAACTTCATTCCCTGTAAACATAGGCTAATCAGCAATTGATTATGTCACGATATTGAATTAGCATAATTATGAGGCCAGGATAATCAATATGACAGTACAGTGCGGTGCAGATGATGGATAATTTTCCCCGCAATTATGCAAAAGATGTCAACTGAATGTTAATGTGATGACATAGTTGTAGTTATTTGGTGAGATTTGATCAGATAACTCTGTTTGGATGCATGAATCTGAGGCTAAAGCAGTCGAAGCTTTCACTGTGTAATAAGAGCTTCACAGGGGATCCATCATAAACCTGCAAATAGCTTTATTGAAACTGGAAATCCCGCTAAAGAACTTCTTTAAAAGCCCTCCATAGGCCACAATTTGATTACATTTTTTTTAGCAAACCCTATATATTTTACATTATTGGGTTTGCCGAGTTGCCCGGATGAGTCCCAAAAGTCTTGTGAGACTCTTTCGGATCAGTAGCAGAGCTAATATTTGCTGTGACAGTCAAAGAAAGCACAACATACCACCTTGGATTAAATGAGACGGAAAATGATGTCTGTGTGAGTGTAGTATTTGGAGTGAGTGTTCGGGGTTTTTACCTGAGAGTGCCTGGTGATGAGAGGAGGCTCGCACAGGAACTCTTCTTCCGAAACAGTCCAGAAATAGCGTCCAGCCAGGTGTTGAGGTGACGCACAGGTCTCCAGATCGTCCTCCCTTCGCAGTCTCCTGAGCCAGAGCAGTTCACAGTTACACCGGAGCGGGTTCCCTCCGAAGCTCAAAGCGAACGACGAGGGCCCCATGATCCCAGAGGTGGCCAGGACCCCCGCTCTTTGAAAGACGGGGTCAGGCGGAAGCTTCTGGAGCTTGTTGGAGGTCACGTCCAGCCTCTTGAGCTTCTGCAACCCAGAGAAGGTTCCCTCTGGGATGTAGCTCAGCATGTTGTGATCCAGATTGAGCGTGTGGAGATTGGACATCCTCTGAATTGCGACCCACGGAGCGCTTTCCAAATTGTTGTAGGATAAGTCCAGCTCCTCCAGCGCCGTCAGGTCATTGAAGGCCCCGATCTGGATGTGGGTGAGCTGGTTGTTGTTCAGGATGAGGTGATGGAGCTTAGACATGCCACTGAAGGTGTCATTGGTGATGCGGGTAAGCCTGTTGCTGTCGAGGTGAAGCGCCCGGAGGTTTTCCAGATCCTTGAAAGCGTGAGGCGCGATGGTGCCGATAGTGTTCCTGGAGAGAGTCAGATCCACCAGCTTGGTCATGTTTGCAAAATCTTTGCGTTTGATGCTGGTTACAAAGTTATCTCCAAGCCGCATCTCCACAGTGTGCCTGTCAATGTTGGGGGGCACGAAGAGAAGACCCTTTTTGTCGCACAGAGTGGCGAGGTTCGGGTTAAGCATCTGGCAGACGCAGCGTTTGGGGCAGATCTGAACTTTGTGCGCCTTCACCGCCACACCAAAGACAATCAGATAAACCAGGAGAGACTCCATTTGGCTTTTCAGTCAGGTTAAAACACCTGGAACAGATCAAAGAGGAAAGAGAGAAAAAGAAGGGCAGACTATTTATCAAGCAGTTAAAGAAGGCAAAGCGTGAAATCTGCTATTGTAGCTCCTCTCATCTTTATCAAACTGTAAATTCTGTAGCTGGATAATCACACACGGGCTCCTTGAGAAGGGAACCGGGGTATTCTGCTCTGTCAATTTAAAGCTTTCCCACCAGATATGAAACAGTATCAATGCCAGCTCACTGCTGAGACTTACAAAGAGTCCAAATTCCGAGCAGGCAGCAAGGAGAGTTAATGCCTGAACAAACAATGAACACTGTGCAATTAGACATGAATCTAATTAGTCACCTGCAGACTTGAGAGTGAAACATCCCCGGTAATCTTACGTGATTTCTCTGACAGCATTTCTTTTTAGCCCCTGTTCCCCCCTCGCCGCTCTTTTTTTGAAATGATAATACCAGTCCTTTTATGTTTGTGTACAGAGGGATGAAAGTCTAGACCGGCAGTCCAGGGCCTCATCAGAATTAGACTGATATCTCCCAGGATCATATCGCCAATAGGAAGGGGATGATTGGGCCCAGTGCCTCGGCGAGGATGTGCTGTGCCTCGCTATTGATTTTCTCTCTGCTCTCTCTGCTGCTACTCTTACTTATGACACAGCTGAGATGGGGGGGATAAGGACGGGATCCATTTGATGAATCCCGAGACCTTGTCAGGGATATAGCATGTCATAAAAGTAAGACAGTGGAGATCAGATAGCAGCTCAGCAGGTGTACTCAAGCGAGAGCTGTGATTATTTTTAGCGAGGAAATTTAGTGCCGTTTTGTTTCAACGTGAAATATTCAAGCGCAGAAAAAAGATCAACAATCCAATCAAACCGAAGAACAAGAGATCCAATCCCACAACTGTAGTAAAAATCCAACGGCTAACCTTTAAATACCAAAGAGAACAGCTGATCTATGATCATAGCTTTCTGTGGTTTGCTGGTAATGCCTTTATTGTCTGTGTTTGCGTCTTAGAGAGAGTGTGCGTATATAAAAAAAAATCTCGCCTCAGCAGAGAGCTTGCCAAATGAGTGTCTTCATGCTTCAAAAAGCTCCCGTTGCATCGGAGCCGTGACACACAACTCGAGGTGTAATAACCTTGACAGTCAGAGTATATGAGGAATATATCATCGAGCAAAGAAAACACCAGACAGGATGGGAGTGACATGCTTGTCATATGGGGGCACATTTTCAGCTCAAGGAGGGGAGCTTAGGAAGCCGGGTGCCATCAGCTGACAACAGGCGCGTTTTGACAACCAAGTAAAATGTTTCACAGCCACCCGACAAGGAGGCTGGGAAGAGGTCGTCTGAAAACGGCCTGTAATATTAAAGGGAGGGATGGAATCATTGTAGGGGAGCTCCCTGGGTGTGACATTTTCATGAAGACTGCTGATCAAGCAGCAATGAATCAATGTCTTTCTTGACCCATTTTCACAAGGAACAACTTAGTCACACATGAGCCCCGTTGTGGTGGATGTCATCCGGGGTGCAGAGCTGCACAGAGTCGTTTTTTTTAAATGTTGCCATGAGTCTTCTTTAAGATGGCAGATGATTTCAGCTGCAGAGCTATGTGCAGTCCTCCAAGTACCTGAGTGGCAACTTTTTATCTCTTTTATGTGTGTGCGCATCCGAGGAGAGGCCTCACGCTCACGCTGCTAACCACCTTCCTCTCTGACTCTAAACTGCACGGCCTCTGGATGTGCAATGAGGCAGACAGGACCTGCTACTTCCACACTGGAATGACGCTGAAGACGTGATATTGATTCACTCGGTGGAGATTGGGCCTTTTTTTTTTTCTCTCTCTCTCTCTGCTCAAAACTCAGCCAGACGTGAAGAGAAGAGTTGCAACCGTAATCCCAACCTGTGAGGGGCAAAGGACGGCTCCTCACAAGGAAATATCTGCTGTCCTCTCTCTCTAATTTGCATTTAATTATGGTTGTTCCACTGGTGATTTGCATAACAGGTCGCACTCATCAGGTACAGGGACGAATAAGTAGATAATCAATCAATGCATTCATCAATCATACACTTCATCTTTAAATGTCACACCCCCAGAAAATCATTATCTTTCATGTTGGGCTGTTCATTACAGCGGGGCGACTTGGGAGGGCCACAAATAAACAAGAAAACAGATAATCTACTGATGCATTTACCATAATCTCCCTCTTAGTCAATCAAATATTCGTTTACTACCTCTGAGCAGGTCTTTTTTGGCCCTTAGAGAGTACAACAGACTGACAGCACACACCCACACACGCGCTCCAGTGGGTGGATTTGTACCTAATAGAGGTAGCTCACTACACAACAACCTCCAGCAATGGAGACAGACATTCATGTGCAGCAGCAGCAGCAGCAGCAGCAGTAGCAACAGTGATGTTGTACTGTAGGAAAGGAGAGGATATCTATGCTCTCCCTGGGGCAGCATTCTCAGAGAAAAGCCTTATGCAGCACACTGCATGCCAATCGGCCGGTGAGGTCATGGGGGATATGTTTTCAGATGGTCTAACTTATGCTGGAGCTCATCTGAGGAAGCCTCTGCAATCCACGTCTGGGAAGGGAATCAGGGAAAAGCAGCAGAGTTAATGAGATGAAGTCTGCTCGTTTTGCCTCCTCGCAGGTTGACACGATGGCACATGGCGGCACCTGAGCGTGCGGCGTCTCACCTGGTTTACTACGGGTGGGGAGCGAGCCGGACGTGCGCCTCCGCCAGGAATAAAAGGCTCTGTTGTGTCAAGGAGGTAAACTGATGCTGCAACATGACGGTAAAATGGTATCGACAAAGCAGTGAAATGGGTCCTCAGCCCGCTTGCTTTATGAGACCAAATGGAGCTGCTGCATCTGCCGGAGTGGATCATATTTTGACTGAGATTCCATTTTGTCGGCTAAATGCTCGTGTAGCCCGAGTCCAAACATCCTGACCAAACATTGATGCAGTTACGGACCGTCTCACTAACACATCTGTGTTTGTGAATGTGTGCATGTGCTGTGACACCCTTTTTTTTTTTCCTGCAGAGTCTGCCAATGTTAGAGTGCGATAGCTCTTGGGTGACAGCCTTGATGCCATGGCAACACAGAAAAACGTCAGTTTTAGGGTGAGATATAATCAGTGGCTCATTTTCAGATCACCTAATAACATTTCCAACAAAGAGGCCTCTTTGGAAGACAGGGGGCCTCGACAATTGAGGTCCTGGTTGTCAGCCAGAGCGGGCTCATTGTGGCGTTTATGAGCCTGTTGTGATGAGGAGAGAAGAGATTGTACATTCAGCTAATTTTCTATTGGATTCAATGTTTGGAGTGACTGAATCATTACTGTGTTCCAGTCTAATAAAAACCCAAACGAGTGGACGTAGAACTCTGATGAAGTTGAAATGATGTGTGGGAATGTGTGTGTGTGTGAGTGTGTGTGTGCATGCCAGGGGGATAGCATACTAAGCAGACCCCACTGCATCAATAGAAGTGCTGTTCATCAGCATTTACAACTCCCCCTTGGAGGTCCAAGTGTTTTCCTTCACACGCTATCACAGGAAATTCTCTGATACCTTGATATGCCGCAGATCTCATGAAGCATCAGTCCAACAAATCAGCAAACAAACACACACACAGGGAAAAAACACACACTTTTTTTTACACGCAGGCTTGTGTTACAGCAGGAGGCCAATTGAAATGCTGATCACTGACTCTGGATCTTAATTCTTGCAGCGGTGTGACGTGCCCTGATGTGCGAGGGGGGCTTATGACCCGGGATTTTCTCCCGGAAAGAGGAATATAGGATCCACGCACACTACCTCGGAATATCAATATGATAGACCCAAGTGTATATTCTTCACAGTATGGGCCCGCAGGTCTGTAGACTTTCAAATCTGCCAGTTCCTGAGTGCAATTTCAGGCGAAGAGGAAAGCACAATCCGTGCAAACACTATGCTCTGTTACATGGGCTTTTATTCCATGTAACAAAATAAATGCAGGGGAATAAAAACTGCCAAAATAAAACCCATAGTCAGGCATCCATTGAGTCATTTTCCCCTTTTCAAAGACCCTCAGGTTGCTGTGTTTTCCTCCTCACACAGCAACAAAACGGCTAAATAATGCATCATCTTTTCCTCTTATTTTGTTGTGTAATCAAAAAGCAACTCACACACATCCACAGATGTGGACCAGATGTGTGTGTTTGTGTGTGTGTTAAAGTCTGTGACTGTCAAAAACAACCCTCAAGTGTTTCAAGTCTCTTTGAAAGCACTTCTTCTGCAGAAAAAAATGACAAAAGCTTATTTTTGGCGAGTGGGAAAAAAAATTGGGTCAGCGAATGTGGAGCTGGTCTGCAGAACAACCTTCCATACATATCAGAGCCTGCTATCAGTGAAGGTAGCAGCACATAAGCTACATGACTGAGAGCATTAACATAGCATGGAGAGCAAACAGAAGCAGCAAAATGAGGCGTGGGCCTGATTTCACTGGTGTAGCTGTTACAATGGTGCCTCAGGCACTCATGAATAATAAGATATGTGATAACTAACACTCGACACAAGACCAGGACCATTAGACTCCATGCTTTGTAAGAAAAATCACTGGGTCTCCATCAGTCACCACATGCCCACTCACTCATCCTATAATCAGATGTGTTACTTGGGCTAATTTAGACTTTATCACACCTTAATGACTGCTGTGTAATTTGCATAGTGGCTTAAGCACAGCACAGAGCAGTTAGATAGCCTATCACTGGGATCCTGCGTGCTGATAAAACACACAATAAAACAAAGCAACATCTGACATCAATCATATCCTGCACGGATCACAGAGCGGGTTGAATAATGGCCACATTAGGGATGATTCTCACTTTCACCTGTAGGGAGAGATAAAAAAAAAACACAACACAGGATGCAGCCATGTGAATACAAATGATACAATTGTTATCATCGGACAGCGTTCCTGTGCAATTGAGGAATTTTTTTGACCTTGCGGTGCAGGTCCTGGGCTGGTGGGTTACAGCCACAACCCCCTGTCACGAGGAAGAACCTGAACCTTTCCAGATGGGTGCCGAGAAAAGTACTTGAAGTCAACGATGAGAGTTGAGCAGAGGCAGGAGAGGAAGATGTAAAAATATTGAAATTACCTTGCAGATGAAACATGAAGCCAAGTCAAAGGAGGGTGTGTTTGCGCGTATTTCCTCCACGGAGCATCCTGAGAGCGTCTTTGCCTTAAAAATGGGACCGACTGTGAGATAATTCAGGTGTCCCGAAACACGCGCCTCGGCTCCTATAACATGTGACGGCCTGCGAAACCAGCGATGCCCTTCAAGAAATCCATGAGCAGCAGATAAAGGACGTACTCCTCTCCGATCCCGTCTCACCTTATAAATAGATCAGCGTCTCTTCTTCTTTTAGTGGGAAAAATCGGTGACGCTTTTCTCGGGGAAAACGCAACCTGAAGCGTCCCGGCGTGCCGCTGAGGGGCTGCAGCTGTGCGGGATCGCCTCTACTGCGCATCCGCCTGTATGCACCTCCAGAAGAGAAAACGCCTTTTGTAGCGACAGGGCTTGCTTGAATATCCACAAGCAGCAGCAGCGCTATGAGTGACTGCCGCTGCTGCTGCTCTGAATCCAGCCAGATGTTCCTATCGCTTTCACGCGTTTTTTTTCCTTTCCCCCCTTTCCTGGCGACGCACAGCTCACTGCGAGTTAATCCAGATTGACTGAAAGGTTGCTGCCATAATATGCCCCCCCCCCCCTCTCTCTCCTCTCCTCTCTCTCTCTCTTTCTCTCTCTCTCTTCCTCCACCCTCCTCCTCTTCTTACTGCCCCCGGACTACTGTCAACCACCGACCCGGCTCCATTTCTGACCAGAGGTGCTGTGCTCGGAATGGTAATCAGTGCGCTCCGAGCTGCACAGAGAGCATTTGTGTGCACAGACAGATGCAGTTGCCTCCCAGCCTCTCTCGCAGGCAAGGCATCATCATTTATTCATGTAGATTGAACTCTACTGCACGAAAATGCAGCAGGGCCTCTAATATTCTCTAACTATTAAATTAAATCGAAAAAAAGAGAAAAGAAGCAGAGAAATGTTTATCAGATTAGACAAGGGGTAAAAATTGAGTCAGGCATGTTATTGGAAATCTATCTATTGCTTTGGTATAAAACCTTTGCTGCATTGATACATCTGGTCTTAGAAACCCAAATATAGCAGCCTATAGCTAGATATCCTGCATGTGTTACATAGATTATTGGCTACAAAGTGTTGAGTTGGCTGAAAGCGGAAGCCCCTAGCTCCCTGTGGGTCCTCTTGGCACTGGAGCTATCACTATCTGATGCAATGATCCCCTGGCCTTTTGTGCAGCTTGGCAAAGTAGCCTCTATGTAGCTACCGCATAAGTCTGTTAAGAGTGCAGACTCAGGCTTTTATTATTCCCAAAGAACAATGACCCCACTCTGCCCCCGAAGCCTCCTGGTGCTTTGAAAATAAGGGGTTGTTTGGTTGTCATCTGCAGGATTACCCTTAGGATTTCTGTACAGGATCAATCGCTCAATCTAGTTGTAACACTCCAATTCAGATCAATGGGATTAAGGTTGTCTGGCATTGCGAGTGCAGACAGGAATGGCAGGAGTAATTGTGACCATGAATCATGTTGTTTACATGTCTTTAAAATGTAGTACACTAGCAGAAATCATTGAATCCTTTTTTAAACAACCTTTTATTAAAACCTTTCCTGATCTCACTTAAACTTTATTACAAAATATTTCGGTAACGCTTTCTTTCACGGTACACTTATTACCAGGTAATTAACAGGTAATTACCTAGTATCAACATGAAATTATCTGGTAATTACATGATAACTACTTAGGCCACTTTTAGTCTCCATAGAAAACGGAAAAGTGCCGTTTTGTTTTCAGTTTTTATGCTGTGTTTACACAAAGACGCAATGTGGTTGAAAACGCTGTAATGTGCATACCAGGTTGCTAGGTAGCGCGTGTCGGTGTGACCGAAGAGATCAACAACACATACGTAGAACAACGTCTGTTCTACTTCCTAGAAGCATGCGACTCGAATGTCTAGCATGGTTGTTGTTGTTATTTTCAAGGAAGCTGCGCATGGCTATGATGTCATAAAGGTGAGCCAGGACGTCACAGGTTTGACTGTTTTCAGCGTTTTTGTACTTTAGACGAAAGCGGGACTAGCAGAGCGTTTACAACATTTCCACTCTGGAGGGGGTTTTCACTTTGTTACGTTTTCATCTCCTGAAAACGCAGTTGCCGTCTAAACGGACCCCCCTAAACGAAACTAAAATTTTTCTGTTTTCTATGGAGACCGTTTCCGTCTAAAAGTGGCCTAAGTCATTACCGTCTAGCTACCAGGTAGGAAACCTTCCATCATCATACAAATTTGAAGCTGAATTGCTCTGGTATTTCCAGGATTTTCTCCGCTTCCTGGAACCACCACTTGCGCAGTAGCATTGTACGCATTCGGCGGGTGAGTCGCTGTGATAATGCTCGGCTCAAACAGCGTATCGCTACGCAATCTTCACACGCCCATAGGCTGTATCAAGTGTCAATCATAGAAAATAAGAACCCCAAATAGCTTTTGAAAATGGAGCTGCATAGAAAAAAAAGAAAAAGAAAATCTAGACAGTATTGACTTAGTAGTTATCATGTAATTACCAGATGATTTCATGTTGTTACTAGGTAATTACCGATTAATTACATAGTAATAAGTGTACTGTAAAAGAAAGGGTTACCAATATTTCTAATGGTTTCCCGCATTGGACTGGCCCAAGGTCTCGCTACAAACAAGCGGCTACTGGAAGAGAGTGGGTGAGTTGTGTTTAGTCTCTTTGCTAAAGAAATTAGGCAAAGTTAAAAAGATGTTTGGTGGCTAGTGCTGTGGTTAGGACCCTATATGTACTGTTGATGAAGTTAGGTGCTGTTCTGGGTTGTTTGGTTGTCATCTGCAGGATTACCCTTTGGATTTCTGTACCAGATCAATCACTCAATCTAGTTGTAATACTCCAAATAAGATCAATGGGATTAAGGTTGTCTGGCATTGTGAGTGCAGACAGGAAGGGCAGGAGCAATTGTAACCGTGAATCATGTTGTTTAGATGTCCTTAAATGTAATATACTAGCAGTTCAATACAGATAATATCTTCAAAATGAAGAGAAAAACAACCTTTTATTAAAAACTTTCCTGATCTCACTTAAATTTTATTACAAAATATTTCCAATGGGTTCCCGCTGCGCTCTTATCTTCACTTCCTGCGCTGTATTGATTCATTTTTTGTAAAACCTGATGATTTCTTGATCTGTCTGAGTCATTCTGATGCCTTTGTGAAGCCCTTTATTGCTTGGGTTTACAAATAGACTCTTTCAGACAAGAACCTGAACCACTTTGAATTAATCAGTCAGTTTTTACACTCATAGCAAAAAGTTATCTCACGGCACGTTACAGACAAAGCAGGTCTAGTCTATACTCTGTTAGTGATGCTACACAGCAATCATTTTCTCAACACATGATTCTGACCTCCAATCTGTAGGAGCCTGAGGGGGTCTGTCGAGCCCAGGGGCTACAAAAGATCCCCTGATATGTTCCCCGTGTCGACAGCAACAAGAAGTTTTAACATCAAATTCAGACTCATAGTTCTAGTAGAGCCAATAAACAACTGTCAAATTAAATCCACACAGGCCAAAATGAATTCAACAATGAATGAGCACTTGGCAACACCGGCAAGAAAAACTTATTTTAAAGGTTTCATAAAATGGAAAATTTCAGCTGTTAACAACATTTCCTTGTTGTCTTTTAAGAAAGGCTTTGAAGTTATTGGCAAAAAAAGAAAAAGGAAAAAAAAAAGGAAAAAAAAAATGCAAATTCAAATTCAGCCTCTGTGAAGGATCTGCAGCCTCTCAGTTTCTAATCTCATTATTCCTGCACTAGTCTGAGTAGACTGGGATGCTACAGTGAGCTACTGCCTGCAGGAGTGTTGTCTGAGAGGAGGTTACAGACAAGTGCAAATGGATACAGAGTTGGACAAACCTCAAGACAAACATGGTGAGCACTCCAGGAGAACCTGCGCCAGCGCACTTTACATATGACCCAGAATACAACCCTAAACAGGAGGTAGCAGTAAGAGGTTTGCAGCTCCACTTACAACAGTATGTCTCTGAGTGGTATGTTAAAATCTGTGCATTAATCTTATCCTCTTGTTTTCATTACAAGGAGTATGCCTTGTTGTTAAAGAGATATTCCGGCGTAAAATAAATTTTACGTCAAAGACATCGTAGGTGAGTTGTGTTTAGTCTCTTTGCTAAAGAAATTAGGCAAAGTGAAAAAGATGTTTGGTGGCTAGTGCCGTGGTTAGGACCCTATATGTACTGTTGATGAAGTTAGGTGCTGTTCTGAGCATTATTTGTGGTTATAGAGTGGCGTTTTGGTTGAAGTTTGTTTATGGCTCCTCAGACCGCTGTGTATTGCTATCCTGTGGTCGTTACTAAAGTTGGTATAACTAGAGAAGCCAGCAGTCAGCAGCATTCATCTCTCCAGGGGGTGTCTAACTCGGTGTTACGGTGTGTTTGACCCTAAATCAATTTTAAGCCGGAATATCCCTTTAATGCAGTCTGGTGAGGTGACACATTATAGACATGTACCAACAACGGAGCAGTTGTTGTGTCTGGCTCTAACCTCGACATCTTGACTCTATAACACCGAAGCAAAACCACAATAGTGTGGGAGGAAGAGTAATTGCTGGAGGAGAAGGAGTGCTGTTGCATGCATGCCAGTGCAAATTACTCCTGTTGTTGTGTCACTAAAAGAGTAAATTTACCTCACAGAAGCTGTTATAAATAAATAGGCTGCAGAAACAATGCAGAAGATTTTCATGTTCTCAGGGATGCCAGACTGAAAGATGAATGAAGTAAGGGGAATGTCTATTTTGTAAGAGGTAGAAACCATGGACAGAACCAGACTCATCAGTAGAAAGCCATCTTATTGTTGTTATGCTAATTCATATAATAGTGGTAAAAAGGATGACTGAAAGTAGAAGTAAGAATTATGATTATGACAGCACTAGTATGATGATTATTATCGCAGTGAGAGCTAAACACAGTGGGTGTCTTAGTATGAGCTGGCAATTTATGATGTGAAATAAAACTCACTTATTATGATTTTGGGCCGCCTTTACTCATGTGAGTTACATTCATTCAGACACCTGTCAACCTGGAAACTGCTGGTTGTAGATGAGACTGTCTGCCCGTTCACCCGTCCGGCTCTTTTTCTCCAGGAACAGGCCAATGCCGTCTCTCGGGGGGTCAGCGATGCTGCGACTCCACGGGGTCTCTGTGATCCCCAGCAGCTCGCGCACACGAGCAGAGATGACCTGCGGGGTGCACAGCGGGGTTGAATCCTTTGATAAAGTGCATGTTTGTGACATGTAACCTTCATTTGATAAGAGAGCGACTGTCTCCTCTTTGAAGGAGCGCTCACCAAGACTGTGGAAACATAGGAGGAAAAGACGACACCCTTAAGAACAAATGGATCAAAGTGCTCAGAGGCTAAACAAATATAAAATTTCCACTTAATAGAGATTCTTAACTGAGTCTGCCTGTCTGGAGATATTTGGTTTGATGCTGCTACACTGGAGCAGCACTGAATACATACAAGCGCTTCCAGCCAATTTAGCTGTGACCTCAGGGAGAGATAAGAAAAACACTCGCTTTCACTGTAAACAGCGTATGTGTTACATCTGATCTGAGGTGTCTGCTGGCAGTGATGCTCGGTTACAATGCACAACTTTAATTGGATGTCACACTCCTCAAAGAAAAGAGTGTTGAGGTGCCAAGCAGGATGTGCAACCGAGTTGGCAAAGACTAGACAACATTTTTTTTGGGACTTGCAGCCCACTTAGAGCTCACAAGGGAGACAAATTTAGGTACTTCTGCATGTCTGGTTATTCTTAATTTGTTTTTGTTTATGTGTGTTTGTGTTGTTGTTAATTAATACAATGCTTCACTATTTGATAACAAGCTTAATTCTTTCCAAACAAAGCTTTAGTGTATGTTGTAAAATTAGGCCACTTAAATAAGGATCACCTCTAAATAGAAGACAAACTTCCTTTAAAAAAAGAAAGTTGTTTGAGCACCAGATGGTGAGAGCAGGTTATACAGAGTACAGTGGTTTCAACAATAGCATCATTATCGTGGTGCTACTCAGCCTGTTGAAACTTCTTTGAACATTGTGTGAGACTCCATCTTTGATATGTAAACAAGTCCCCATAGCGACATCAATCTCTTTTTGAAGGTGAGAATCAAAAAACTCCAGCTTCTGTCTCTTCCTCATACCTGCATGTCTTTAAAATCTGTTATTCCAAGTCTTGGCAGGTAGATGCAGTTTACATAAATGAGCTTCCTCCCGGTGATGAGGTTGTCCGTGAAACACACCTGCGACAGAAATGAATAACGAGGTCACAGCTCCTGAAAGTGAAATAATTGTAATGCAAGCTGGCGGGCACATCTACGGTAGCCGAGAACTGCCACTGTTGCAAATAAAAAAAGAATGCAAAAAGAAGAAGTCACAGCGGAAGTTACTAATGCAACAAAAAAAAAAAAAAAAGAAACCGAAGCCCACTGCAAATAACAAAAGAAACGGTGCAGATTTTTTTTTTAAAAAAGCCACAACGGAATTTAACAACGCAGATAAAGGGGCAATGCAAAAAAAAAAAAAATTACTCACTGCGGAAATAAAAGGATGCAAATTAAACTAGAAAAGCACCCGGAGAGCGCAGACCTTTGCCAAGCAGCTCATGTCCCCCCTTATATTGTGATTAACACCAAAAGTTTTACTGTTACATGTCTTTTATTAACTTTAATTTGTGTTTAAACTGGTATGTTCACTGTTCATAATGTTCCTAAAACAAGAAATGCCCTGACCCAGATTTGAACCCAGGACCTTCTTGCTGTGAGGCGATAGTGCTAACCACTACACCACTGTGCCGCCCATCTACACCACTGTGCCGCCCATTGGTTATCTTTCAGCATTGAAAATTCCAACGACACCCTTATTTTTGTGTGTTCTGGATCACAGTATCCAGAATTTTGTCTGGATCAGGATCAACCTTTGACACCTCATAAAACTCATTGAGATCCTTTTGTGTAATTTTTTACTAAAGACTCGGGCCATTTTTATTGAGTTAAATGGAAAAATTCCCAAATTTGCCCTATCTCACGATGATAAAGAATCCTTCAAAAAATTCCTGGATCCAGAGGGCAATCTGGATCACCACCAAAATGTAATGGGATCCTCCTAAGGCTAAAACGCACCTGTGGTGAAAATTTCAGGTCAATCCGTCTCTAACTTTCTCCGTAAAGTTGTTCACAGACAAACAAATAAATAAACAGACAAACAAACAAACAAACCAACGCTACCGAAAACATAACCTCCTTAGCGGAGTTAAAAATACATATGGTATGTTGTATCTCAACAGGTTATCTTACGAGCTAAAGTTACTTAGCACAGATGAAAGTTAAAACAAAGGCGTTTAGCAAATTGTTAAAGCACACAAACCATTGTCATGTGAGAAATCCGACGCTTTGACTCTCTACAAGTTGTCCTTCAGGTCGTTATCTTTGTAATATTTGTGTCTTTTATCAAAAAGCACTCCGTTCTCCCACATGTAAACAATCAGCCGGTCGGCCATTTTTTTTTTTTTTTTTTTTTTGCAATCTTTTTTATTTGCAGCTTTTTGCGCAATTCTCGGCCACCGTACACATCCCGTTACAATCTCTGTTTAGTGAGATGAGTGTTTACCTACCTTATACTGAGGAAATCCTAAAGTCTCAATCCAGTTTGCAACATCATGACAACTCCACTGAAGGAACTCCATGTTGCCCGCAAGCATGTTACCATGGTAACTGTTACCTCTCACTATAAAAGAGTTTCTTTCACGTGTTAGGGTGAGTTTTGTTCATGAATGAATGTGAGGCAGAAATTTGTCTCCGCATCAAGTATCAGCATTTGATACCCAAAAGGAAGCGCATGACCGAAAAGTTTCTAATAAAAGCTTTGTAAGGGGATAAATCAAGTATTTGTAGACACAGCCAATCAGTTGTTTTTAATTTAGGGCGGTTTGTTAATTGAGCTCAGCGATTGGCTTATAAATCGAGTTTGTCCCGCCCATTTTGGATGAAAACAGCGAATACCGATGCGCGAGGTTTTCTCAGATTAACAAACTACATGGACTGGTCACAGTAAGTGAAAATCCCAGCGTGTACATCTGTATATCTCATATCCACGCAGGATTGTTTCCCACCGTTACATTTATCCTGCTACATTCCTGCTAGCTGAAGTTGCCTTTGCACTCCAGTGCTACGTGGGTCGGTTGAAGGGCTTTGGAGCAGGGAAACAGAAACCTGACCCTCCACTATGGCAGCGGTTCTCCTTCGGTCCCTTTTGACCAAAAAGGTAAAAATACAACAAATAAATAAAAATCACCGTTACGTTTTACAAACCCACTGGCTTTGGTTTAAAGCTCATACAACTCTCAAAGCTAACAACCTCAGCTGCTAGCTTGCTAATCGTTGCCTAACGTGCACGTTGCAGACAGCCTCGCGACTCCCTCGTGCTTTTGACATACTCGATAATTAGGCGCAGCTGAAGTTTGATGCAGTATGCGCAGATTTCCTTCGCCGCACGAGAACAGGTGTGAATAATTAATTAAATTTGACTGACTGTTGACATAATGCACTGGTTTTGCAGGTTCCCCTCCAGCTGGGTCGCTGTTACTCCTCCTCCTCTGTGGTAAGGACCTCAGCTTTCATAACTCAAGGATGAAGCAATGACTGAATGACTACATGTTGTCTTATGTGTACTCTCCTTCTGAAATACTCTCACCTGACTCACGTGACCCGGTAATATCAAAACACGACCAATGAGCTCTATGCACAGATCCACTGCTTCCTGAATTTAAGGCAGCTCCTTTATTTCCTGTCTTAAATTATTGGACAAACTGATTAATCCAGGTGTGACTGATCATACACACCTGGATTAATCAGGGATATTTATTTATTTAAGGATATTTCGGCGTAAAATTGATTTAGGGTCAAACACACTGTAACACTGAGTTAGACACCCCCTCGAGAGATAAATGTTGCAGACCGCTTGCTTCTCTAGTTATACCAATTTTAGTAACGACCGCACGATAGCAATACACAGCGGTCTGAGGAGCCATAAACAAACCTCTACCAAAAAACCACTCTATAGCCACAAATAATGCTCAGAACAGCACCGAACTTCATCAACAGTACATATAGGGTCCCACTCATAGTGCTAGCCACCAAACATCTTTTTAACTTTGCCTAATTTCATTAGCAAAGTGACTAAATACAATGCATCTACCGTATTTTTCGCACTATAAGGCGCACCAGTCCATAATGGACTACAGCGGGGTGACGCAGCTCAAGGAAGAACATTTATGATCATTTCTTCGTGGAAATGCAATCAGACTGAGACTCTAAGATAGAAGAATTACAGCGTCTGCAGAGCAAAATGATCAATATGATGATTAGTACTTCAAGGAAATGAAAAAGTAATGATCGCAAATGTTCTTCCTTGAGCTGCGTCCCCCTGCTGGACTCGCTACAGACAAGCGGCTGCTGGAAGAGAGTAGGTGAGTTGTGTTTAGTCTCTTTGCTAAAGAAACTAGGCAAAGTTAAAAAGATGTTTGGTGGCTAGTGCTATGACTGGGACTCTATATGTACTGTTGATGAAGTTAGGTGCTGTTCTGAGCATTATTTGTTGCTATAGAGTGGTGTTTTGGTTGAGCGCGTGGCTCTCTGTATTGCGATCGCATGGTCGTTAAAGTTTGTATAACTCGAGATGCAAGCCGTCGGCAACATCCATCTATCGACAGGGTGTCTAACTCGGTGTTACAGTATGTTTGACCCTAATTAATTTTACGCCGGAATATCTCTTTCAAGTCAAAGTTATAATATTCAAAAGCTTATGCTTTTCGCGGCGCAATATGCAGGAAAGGGGCTACCTGCTTACAGACCTGTGCACAGGGCGTGCGACCCGAGTTGACTGATTGCTCCTGTCTTGTCCATTCGGGCTTTACACAGTATGTTTCTTGATTCTGTTTGTTGCAGCAAACGTAGTTAATTGGAAACTATTTAGCCAGGCAGATCTCTCTTTTCTAAGGTTTAATGTCAGAGCATGGAAAACAGATGAGAATAAATTCTCAAAAAATACACTTTGACTTTGCTCGAGCATAAATCTAGAAAAAAAGTAATTAAAATTTTCTTGTGATTATAAGTTACCAGCACTTGTTAGATGGAAGAGTCAAAACAAATGTTGGCGTAAATTATTGCACTATTTAGGCCATTAAAAAGTTTATTAATTTACAAACTCCCAGATTTAGTCAGCTTTAATTAGGGATTGGAAACATTATCTTGCGAATACACTTGCAGACACCACTTCTGAGGGTAAATTATGAAAACCTTTTACTCGTAGCTCATTAGCAACAATCAAAGCTTAATTAGTTTGGAGACGGTTTGAGAAATATGTCCTGTTGTACCCTCTCCTAATTTTCTCCTATCTGTGTAAGCAGGTTAAACCATGTTGATTTACTTTTTATGTCCTAAGACCTTTTACAGGCATCGTTATAGACGTTACACTGGGACTGATTACCACCAACTACCTCAGGTGTTGGTCATTCTCTTAATAGGCTTTCAAAATAAGACTGTAGCTACCTACATATGTGACTGTACAGCATAACTACAGTCCAGCTGACAGTAAACCTGGGATAGTGAGTGTGTTAGACTACGATACAGATACAATACAGAACAAGTAGAAGGATTTGAATCACTTGGTTCTGTAGAGATTGCTGGGTTCAATCGTTAAATGTATTTTTCTTGAAGTCCCAGGGCGTACATTTTGTTCTGTCAGATAAAATTCTTGTTCTACAGAAAAAATGCCTGCTTTAAAGCGTTGTCTTTTCGTTGTGGGGGGAAAATGCAGGTCAGCTTTCCCGCTTTTTACAGTCTCCACTCTAAATGTCATCACTGTTTCGGTTTCATAAAACTACACACTCAGAAGCTGGCTACCAGAGACGACCAAACTCTGAGCCCTTAGAAAGTTGCTGTATATGCTGCGGTGATGGATGGATGTCCTTAATGAACTCGGTAATGATGTAACCCAGCAGGATGGGATTAAATCATATGCTTCTGTGATCCTCTAGCCCACCACCAAGCTGTTCATTGACGGCAAGTTCGTCGAGTCCAACACCACTGAATGGCTTGACATTCACAACCCTGTAAGTACCCACAGATGAACTATATACAACCTGTGAGGAGGCTGGAGTAATAAGAGCTCTTACATTATGTGGCTGCAAATAACCTTTACAAGCTTGTAGTAGTAACTTACAATCATTTGCGAGGGGAAAATAACTCTTGATAGCTTAATTTTCAAGGCGAGATAAATCAGAGTCCAGTCTGCACTCAGCCGGCTGTGTTTAATTTTTTGTCCTCGAGTCCAGACGGGCTGAGTTCAAGGAGATGACAGTGAGCCTACAGCTGAGCAATGATTGGTGATAATAGCGTGCGGAAACAGCCGTCAAATGAAATAACAAGCCTGTAAAGGAAAGAAGACAAACATATGTTTATTAATATTAATGCATTAATGGCAATATCAGTCGATGACTTCCTCTGCTCCGTCTCCTCAGGCCACTAATGAGGTGGTGGGACGAGTTCCCAAAGCCACACAGGAGGAGATGCTGGCAGCTGCGGACTCCTGCTCCAGAGCCTTCCAGTCCTGGTCCGAGACCTCCATCCTGAGCAGGCAGCAGATCTTCCTGCGCTACCAGCAGCTCATCAAAGACAACATTGTAGGGAGATTTTTCAACTGTGATACACTTATGACAGAACTGAAAATGTCTCATGCAAGCAAAAAAACAAGTATTTTTGGGAGTATTTCACCGTGATTTCCAAAGAGCCACATTTTCTCTTTTGAATTGCTCATTTTTCTGAACATTTAAACCACGTAGATGACAAAAAACAGCAGCAAAGTCTCAAACTTGAAAAGCTCGCACAAGTTTTTTTTGACATTTCTGCTTAAAAACATCCAAAACCTTCATTTATTCATCCGAAAAGTAGAGTTTCTCGCATTTGACTATCAATAACTCATCGCAGCTCTAGAGAACTTCTTGTTTCTTTCGCGACGTATTAAATTTAACATTTTCACTTTGACTATTTCAGAAAGAACTGGCGAAAATGATCACCTTGGAGCAGGGCAAAACCCTGGCAGACGCAGAGGGAGATGTATTCAGAGGACTCCGTAAGTAAAGCAGAGATCTCCCGCTGTGCTATTGGGTTTTGATGTCCTGATTAGATTAGAGTGCAGGTGAATGTACGGCAGGGATCGGATTCCTCTGTTCGAATCGTTGTCTATAGTGTCTGTATCGCCTGATGAAAAGTCTGCATCTTTGGCAACCCTGTGTTCCTCTCCCTGAGGGAAGTAAGTGGCTGCAGGATGTCAATTATTTGCGTGAAACCCAACACTCTTCTCACTTTTAAATTAATAATGGGGCAAGGGTTCTTTTTTGGCCATAGTGGCACACAGAGGCTTTCAGAGTGTCTAATTATAGCTTAACAATGGCTACAGAAACAATATCCCTGCAGTGAACAACGTCAAGCTTTCTTTTAGCCGAGCTTTCTACTTTAGTTTTTCTGCTAAATACAGCAAGGTCACATTTCGGCCCCCTCCTTAAAATGTAGCTGTACATTTTCGGTTTGGCGTATTCGCATTATTGAGGAGCATGTTGAGAAATTAAGAGCCACGCACACTTGAAGTGAATAAAGATTATTTTTCCATGACGGGGCTGCCAGAGTTTATTTTGTACTTGGTGCGGCTCCCAGTTTGGGGATGCCGGAGTGATTCTGGCAGGCTCGCTCACTAACTTATCAGCTGAAAGTCAGGCTACATCTGCAGGTGTGCTGCCAACATTAGAGATTTCCCTCAGCACTGGGACCAAGGATGCATGAAGACTTCAATACTTCTGTTACACTTCACTCATAGGTAGAAGAAAAAAACGCTCTTAGATGTTCGTATTTAATTATTTCATGACAATTTCAAGTGGCGCCTCTGTTCATTTACTGTATGTCTATTTATTTAATGCTTGCTTAAGAAACGTTCAAGTGTGCTATCAGAAGTCCATAAAGAATAAGCAGTTGAAAGTAATTTATGTGTAAACCTGTTGGTAAAAGCTGGTTATCCTCGATGTGCAAATATTGATATAGTTTCTCTTCGCCCTCCAGAGGTGGTCGAACACGCCTGCAGCATCACCTCCCTCATGCTGGGTGAAACCCTACCTTCCATCACCAAGGACATGGACACGTACACCTACCGCCTGCCCATCGGCGTCTGCGCCGGCATCGCCCCTTTCAACTTCCCCGCCATGATCCCCCTGTGGATGTTCCCCATCGGCATGGTATGTGGCAACACCTACCTGATGAAGCCCTCTGAACGGGTCCCAGGATGCACTATGCTCCTCGCCAAAATGCTCCAGGACGCCGGGGCACCAGATGGTACACTCAACATCATCCACGGCCAGCACGCAGGTGAGCGCCTGCCTCCATGTGCATTCAGAAAAACACAATCTGTGTGTGTAATAAGCAGCGGGTAAAGGTCCAAGGATGATTCAAACACTCATCATATACCCCCCGGCAATATGTAGATAGGAAATTTCCATTATGCGCACAGTCTATATCTGTAAGTAATCCAGAAGTGTTCCAGACAAAAGGATTTGAATTACTGGATCTGAACCTCAGTGCTCTCATCCTGCGCCTGAAGGGTGAATCGCAGATGGATAAGAGGAGGTTGAAAGTATCTGTTTGTATCTTTTGTGTAGCCGTGAACTTCATCTGTGATCATCCCGCCATCAAAGCCATCAGCTTTGTGGGCTCCAACTCGGCCGGAGAGTACATCTACGAGCGGGGATCCAAGAACGGCAAGAGAGTGCAGTCCAACATGGTACGAGATATTTGTTTTTTTAGTCAGAACAGAAAACATAAATAAACCCGCAAACCTCACCAAGATGAAGCATGTGATTTCCATACTGATACACATGTTAACATCGTCTCCATATGGGCGAAAACATATGCAAACTTTCTATCGGTACTGTTACCAAGACAACAGCTCAGAGCTCAGCTGTCAAATGCTGATATGTAAAGCATATGTGATAATCAGCGCCTCTGTTTGAAGTCATACAGTGGAAATACAGAGAAACCCTACTGAGCAGTGTCCTATATTTCCATTTAAGGGTGCCAAGAACCATGGTGTGGTGATGCCCGATGCCAATAAGGAGAACACCCTCAACCAGCTGGTTGGTGCTGCATTCGGAGCAGCTGGCCAGCGCTGCATGGCTCTCTCCACAGCTATTTTTGTCGGAGAGTCTCGTGAGTGGCTCCCAGAGCTGGTGGAGCGCTCCAAATCACTACGAGTAAACGCAGGTACCTTCATTGATGACTGCACCCCCACTCAAACAATGTCCTGGATAATCATTTTTAGGATAAACTCGCAGTGTAAATACTGTAAAGAGATATTTTCCCATTTGTGTCCTAAAGGTGATCAGCCTGGTGCAGATGTGGGTCCCCTGATCTCTCCTGAAGCCCGAGCCAGAGTGGAGCATTTGATCCAGAGTGGAGTGGATGAAGGAGCCGCCCTTCTGCTGGATGGGAGAAACGTCACCGTCAAAGGATATGAAAACGGAAACTTTGTAGGACCCACCATCCTGGGAAATGTTAAGGTGAGATTTTGAGCGGGAGAAAAAGTCTCATGAGTGTCATTTTTAACTTAGAATTTGAATGAAATGCTCCTCATAGTAAAACATTTGAAGGTAGAAGAAAAAAAAAAATCAGGGCAAGTTTGTTCGAAGCGATCCCAGATCCGATTTGAAAAATACCTGCCCCCTCCAAAAAAACTCCATGAATGTTAACAGCTTTGAGTCGAAAGTTACATCCTGCTTTGAGTGTTTTACACCGCATATTATCAATATGTGAACTCCTGTTTGACACATACCCTTGTGTGTTTGACTTTATGATTTATTGTTAGAGGAGAAATGGTTCAGTTTGTTCCCGTACGTGAATGTGAAAAAGAACCTTTTAGATTTCCCTTTGTGTCTGTTCCTGTCATACAATATGTAAGGTGACATACTTTTTTTTATACCTGCACGATGTTTCATAAATTCACTGATATACATTTCTGGAAATCATATTTTTCAAACGTCCTTCAAGCGTCTGGCAGATATAAACAGCATGACCCATTTCTATGTGTCCTGTGCACAAAGTATGTATTGTATACGCAGTAAATGGTGTTCTCTATAAGGGCCGTATGTACTGTTCTAAGAAGGAAACTATGTGATGTGTAAGGCATCCTTGGTGCATGGCTCTGCACGTACAGTTAGTATTATGACACTTTCTTTGAGCTCCGGTTGGTTGGAGACTCGTAACCATGGTAGCAAATTACCTGAAGCTGTGCATCTTCCTTGCTGTCATACCGCTATGGGTGGGAATAGCTGGATGACTCAAAATATACGATACACACATTTGAGATGCGGCGCAACAGGATACAACAATACTACAAAAATGGGATAACTGATGTAAAGCAAGGCAGTTACAAAAAGAAAAATCACAGTATCTGACTAGCTAAAGAACACAAAATGCTACCTAATAGTCAAAGTGTAAGATTACTGTCGTTCTTGTGCCTTTATTCATGTCATTAGCACCACCACAGGGAGTCATGCAGCGGTGATGTGTTAAAATTGCAGGATAAACCGCTCTAAGTGCCATAGTGTCTGTTAAAACGTCTATTTTTACCACCAGCGTAGGACCTATAGGATTACGTATTGCCGTATAGATATTTTGTCTCACTCCTAGTTCACAAACTGCAAAGTATCGCTTTCATTCTTAGAGTACCAAACAGTAGTCGATGTGGAATTTCAGCCCCGACACTAAATGTCTGAGGAATGTCGTACTGAGCACAGGTTGGAGCAGCTCTGCAGCTCTGCTTCACCCTGAGAAGACAAAAGCATGTTCATGTTGAAAAGCTGATGAAAATCTTCTTCGTCTCTTAATGACTTCAGGCACTTTGAGCCAATTTTCCTCTTCAGACTGCATGGATGTCACAGGACAGACTTGAATAATGTGCAGCTTTCTCTGACATTTTCTGTTATACCTGAGTGTCATGTACTTTCAGCGGAGGGTTGGTGTTAAATTACCAAAGGAAACTTGAGAGTGATCCTTTGTTCTGTTCCTTCCAGCCCGACATGAAGTGCTACAGAGAGGAGATCTTTGGACCCGTGCTCGTCGTCCTGGAGGCCGACAGTCTGGATGACGCCATTTCTTTAATCAACAATAACCCCTACGGCAACGGCACCGCCATCTTCACCAACAACGGAGCCACGGCTCGCAAATACACACACGAGGTGGACGTCGGCCAGGTGAGAGCAGTGTTTCAAAAACCGGATAATAACGCTGGAGGTGGCCTCGTAAGATGCCAATTATCTACATGGTTTTCAAAGTGTCGTTCATGATCCAAACTGACAGTCACCTTTTTGGTGTTATTTCGGGTCCTCAGTGAATCACCTTTGAGAGACTTTGATGAGTAAACAGAATAGTGTGGGAGGCGTTGGGTTTCAAATAAGAGGAAACAGACATTGTTCATGTGAAGTGGGAATATTTATTGGAGCGACATGAAAGCTCAAAGGAAAATCCTATGAAGAATTCATGAAAGTGAAACACCCAGTGCTGATTTTTCTTTCCCACATTTAACAGTCCCTCCTTTAAACCCGACCGCTCCTGCTTATCTTTTGTGGCATTAAAGTCTCTTGAAAGAACAGCGCAATCTTTCATGCACATGAAAGGTAAGTCAGGTAGATGTTTTTAAGAGGTGAATTATCATAGTAAGCAAAACCAGCTTGATTTGAATACAGATTTGAGAAACTCAAACCAATCCTTTATTTTCTATTTTTCTTTCATGAATTCTCTTTTCATAGAAATTTATTCTTGTCGCTCAGTATTTACTTTTCTCCAAACAAATTATGGGGAAGAGGCAGAGACTCGATACATTATCTGCCAGATGCCACCTGCCAGAATATAAATTATCTGGGACAATCTCAAACCTGCATTAATGCAGAAAGGCGCCACTGCAGCAAGTCTGGTTCACAGTGTGTGACAGTGTGATAATCGGGTCTTGTTCCAGAGGCATCTAAGTACAATTTAAGATTTATAACACCCCTCCTGCTGATCGATGCCAAGATCTGTTTTTACCACTTGTTTCTGAAGGATTCATAAGGGCGAATGTCTCTTTTACAGCGACTCCAGAGAGAAATCACAACAGCATGCGTTTGTTTGGAGACGAAATAACTCACATTAGACTTCTAAACAAAGTCATTTGGAGGTTTTGCCGACCAAATCACTCATTTTGTCTCCCAATCCTTCCTGTATTTCTGCCGTGGTTGTGCATCAATTCTTACGCATGTGTTTATGAATTGAACAGATTGGTGTGAACGTCCCCATCCCAGTCCCCCTCCCCATGTTCTCCTTCACTGGATCCAGAGGCTCGTTCAGAGGAGACACCAACTTCTACGGCAAACAGGTGAGGGGGAAAAAAAAAGGATTGAAAGGACTTCTGAAACATAAACTGGCAAGCTGACGCAGAACATATGTCCCTCTCTTCTGTCTCCTCAGGGCATCCAGTTCTACACGCAGATCAAGACTGTGACTTCCCAGTGGAAAGCTGAAGATGCCACTGTGACCAGCCCAGCTGTTACCATGCCAACAATGGGACGCTAAGCTAAATCGACAGCATGTCCAGCTCAACCGTGACTGACTTCTCGTATGCCTTAAGAAGAAGCCTGAGGAGAGGACTGGGGGGGAAAGAGGTTAATGTCCTTTTTAGTGGGGTTTGTTACTGTGACTTTTAAAAACTTTGACAGTGTTGTTGCACAAACACATCAATGCAATTTCAACCTCATTTGGAGACAAACGTGGACTACTGAAATTCTCCACCTCTTTGTGTTACTGTTCAGCGTGTCTCATCTTTTCTAACCAGGTGAATTATTATTCAATCATGTTACGTCCTTTTCTTGATCTGCGGTGCACTCCAGTGTCATTTTTCTAAAACCCACAGTAGAAACCAGGTTCAGGGATTGCCTGTAGAGCGGCAACAGTCAGTGTCTTCCACTTGTTTCAGCTGTGGTTCCTCGGCTTGTGTTTTCTATCAGAGCTTTGTTTAGAAGCCCCCGGAAGCTGACATGAATGGAACAAACGCCCTAACTGTGGTACTCCATGAAAACTGAAATGTATGCCGTCTTCTCTATGTACTTCCCCTGTATGTTGTGTGCTGGGATGTGTCTTTTGTGTCAGAAGTTCATGGCTGTGTAGTGTATTGTCTGACAGATGCTTCTTTGTATCCATGAATGGCATTGAAATTGAAATGTTAGAAATGACATGGACATTAGATGTTCTGTATGAACCTTTATAAAAAGCTGTAATGGAACAGTGTGTGCTAGATGTTTTTTCATCCAGTGTATTTGAGCTGCTGCAAGCTTTCCATTTTTCTATTTAGAGAACGAGAATAACAGGGGTGTTCGAGCCTGATTCACCGAATATAGATGCTGTAATTTGACTCCACTGAATACTGATTTGTGTTGCAATTTTATGTATAGTTCATTACACTTAAATACAACTTGGTGATATGCTGGAGCAAAGAGGGCGCAGATCTAAATGCTGCTTAATGAACCCTACAGATGAAAAGCATATAATAATGTTTGAGCTTGACCCATTCTGATTCAGCAATGCAACCTATAATTTTTGCTGCTGAAAGCTTCCTGCCGATTTGACTGCCTGTAAAATGTGAACTCCAGAAACAGTACTGTCACTGATCGTTTTCCAAGCATCCCATTGTTCTATTAGGTCTGTTTTACTCTTTTGGACTCCATGTGTTTAATTCTAACTGTGGTTAGGTCAGCGGTGGGTGAGCCCTGCAGGAGACTTTCTTTTCCAAGATAAATGTTCAGGTTTTTTATTCTTTAAACTGGTGAAGAATTAATAGTGTATGCAAAATCAAACTACATGGAACAATGACAACATACGTAAATCAAATGAGAGCAATCATATATATGGGTCTCAGGGGAAAAACTGGGTTTCGATGTGGTTCATAAACACAGTACGCGAAAAGTACTTATAAAAAGAAGTTGTTAAAGTATGTAATTTAAGAATAACTCTTATTTTATATTTTATCCTCGAAGGGAAATTTAATATATATATGATATATACATGATATAATACATACTATACTATGACATTTTTTTGTTTTTAATTTTTAAATTTTTTTGTCACACTACACTATGACATTTTTATAATACTTTGCTATATTTTTCTCATATTAAAATTTGATTTTTTTTTGTCAGAGTATACAATATTTTTTGTCTTATTATACTATGAAAATTTTAGAATACTATAATATTTTTTTTTCATTCAAAAATTGTAATTTTTTTTGTCATACTATATATAATATATACATATAGTTCTACATGAAAAGTTGATTGCTCAGGAATAGATTTGCAGAATTGCAGTTTTTTAATGAAGAACTTTATATATAGCATCATGAAGAAAATCACATATTTAAGAGCCCTATGCTATCTTTTGTACACAGGTGTTTAGGTTCAGAGACTTTGCGCTGAGCAGTCTGAAAAAAAGGAGACTCTGGAGTCTTTAGGATTTAACAAAAGTAACTGGTTTATTAACTGCTAACTCTTAAGTCTTAATTATGTTTTTTGCTTAAGGGTTAGTTTCATAATTTAAGCAGAGGATTATATAGTTTAAAAGTTTCATATTGTTATGAATTAAAGCTTTAAAAGTGAACTTAAAGAGATAAAGAAATCTATTATTTTTGAATATATGACTTTGCTTATTGTACAATCATGTAATTTTCTGTACTGTCATAACTATCAAACCACCATAAACCCAGTAAATAGTCTGATCCCTGCCCGAGACCCTCATCAACTTCATCACGCTGTTGACGTCACTCGTAGTCAGATGCTGCTCTGCTTCAGTTATTAGCCGGACACCATGGTGAGAAAGATCCGTGTTTACCGTCCAAAACAACCGCTGACTTCTGTAGTTTTACTGTTTGTTTGGAGAGTTTTATTGTTCACTCGAAGTTGAACTAGCTAAACCGAGCTAAAGTTATCTATCTATCGGATGTAGCTTGTTGTCAAACTTGAACGGAGCATTCATGCTAACATATTGTCGAAACGCGATACAAACTTTCAAACAGAACTGCTGCTGTGCCGTAAATTCTGCTTTTATTAGCTCGTGTATTTTCAGTTTCTGTCGACAGCTAGAGGACTCGGGCTCGATGTCCCCCTTTCTACTGACAACCCCTCACTGTTTGATTGTTTGATTTGACTTTACTGCCACACAAGGTCTGAAACTTGTCTTGCATCATCACATCAGCTCCGTTTCCAACACAGAGGAGGACAAAGATACAAAGGCACACATATTAAAGAAACAACATCTCAAACACCAAACAGCATATTCAGAGATCTTCTCTGTACTTGTGATCATGGATTCAGTTTTAGCATTGGCCGGTCTACAGAAGAGGGCTTCAGTCAGACTTTGTAGATACTCAGATTAGCTGTGTGCATGGTTTGGGTATGCCAGCTTTGACCTTTTTTTGTTGTTGGCTGATTCATGGTGGGACACATGTGGTGTTTGAACGTTTCATCTGGTGGAGCATTTTGGACCTGTAAGTTAAAAACAGTCACATTTACCATGTGGGGTTACAGTAGGGGAGAGTGGGGTAAGTTGAGCCAAAGGGTATGTTGAGCCACCCCCTGTTTCTTGGGGTGTGTCCGAAATGAATCACTCAATCCCTAACCCCCATATGGGATTTTACTTTATTTTACCGCTGGTATAGGTAGATAGATTTTACCACCCGCTTTGGGCTGCATTCCCAAACAACCCGACTCCGAGAAGATCGTAACCCGGCGCGACAGGGCCGCTACCGGCCTCACACCGTCCACGGGATTAGGCGTTGGGCTCTTCCCTCTTCCCTCGATGCTACTGAGGGAATCCTGGTTAGTTTCTTTTCCTCCGCTTAGTAATATGCTTAAATTCAGCGGGTCGTCTCGTCTGATCTGAGGTCTGATCGTCTGATCTCATGCTCATCTACCTTTGAATGTGGTTTCTCATCGCTCCGGTAGAGTGGTTATAAGCAAGTTTCTGCTTACACAGCCGACGGACAACCTTGTCGTCATCTCCTGCGTCAAAATACTGCCAAACGGGGCTGATTTTCTTGCGTGGTAGCGTCGCCATCTTAACACAAACTTTCTTCCCCAAACTTTGTGGCCCTGCCCCCTTCTACGTGTGCATGTGGGGAACAAGATGCAGGATGCTCTAAGTAGCGTTTAACCGACGAGAAAAATACTAAACGTTTAATAAATGATGCTCCTGTGGTCAACTTATCCATACATATACACGGGGGTAAGTTGACCATAGGAGACCACTTTATTTTGGCTATATTATCAAGACCGTTATTCTGTTGGTTTGCAGGGATGCACAACATCTTGAAATAAATGCAGATACTCTAGTTAGAGACAAAACTATGATTGCCTTGATATAGTGATCCTAAATATGAAAAATGTCTCATCTTACCCCACTCTCCCCTATTGTAGGGCAGATCAAAAAGCCAAGAATGAATTAGTCTACTCGAGGACAGAGAGAGTCTTTCCAGGAAAACTAATCATCACCTGAGTATTTCTAAGAGGACGCTTCTTGGTTTTTACAAGGAATAACAAAAGGAGCTGTATGAGGGTCAGGTGTTTAACCAGCTATGATTTTCTTCCTTTTCTTGAGCATTATCACCACTTCACACTTTTCACTGCATGCTGATGCAGCTCTGAATCTTTAAAATTACTAAGCAAAGATATCAGAGCTGTATCATCAGAATACTTGAGAATGTACCAATTTGGTGTGGAGTGGATTATTAACTTCATGGTCACTGCAGCTTTAGATTTTTATGCTGAGATTTGCTGCTTCATTTCTGTTAATGCCTCAGTTAAAGCAAGTAATAAAACTCATTGTCCAGCGCAAGCTACTGAGGCTGGCTGCAAAAGACAGATCAAGTATTTTAGATCGCCACAGTGTGCTCAGATAAGGATTTTGACATCATTAAGAGATGCAATTATCAGACTTAATGAAGACAGAACTTCATAAAAATGCAGAGATGTTGAATCACATCTCATCATGTGCAGAGATGTTGAATATTTAACTATAAAGAGTTTAATTGAACTGTCATTTCACAGAAGTAAGCCTCAGTTGAGTATGTTTAGACTTTGGCTGTTAAGAAAACAACACAGACAAGAAACGTTTAAGGATTATAAAGCAAAGAGAGTGAATCATGCAGGGTTTTCTTTCCCTACAAAGCTGACTCACTTCTGTCCTCTGAACCGCCGAGAGTATCTTCTCCTCTTTGGAGGCACATATATACTTTATACTGATACAATTTAGGTCGTTTTTTAATATCTGCTCTTCTAGCTACTGAATAAACGAGGCATCTGACACCACATGATAATACTGTCACAACAATAAAACCACAATTGCACCTCATCTCCCAGAACATTTATCAGCATTGAAACTAAATTTCTGCGGCTGGTTTATTTTGCACATTTTTGACAATCACTATCCTTTAATCCTGACTCCAAACACTTCTATAGTGTGATAGATAATGCAGGAATAATGGGAGAAAGAAAGGATCCCTATATGCGATGAGATCCTCTACATATCTGGTATCAAGCTGTAGCATTCCTGTTCATATCTGCATCCTGCCTCAGGCTGTTTTGTAAGTGCAGTAGGTGGAAACTGTGCCTTAATTAGGTATTTACAGGCAGTAACATTTCTCATGAGGTGTGTTTTTACTCGATTTTCTGTTAGCAGAAGGTTGACATTGTCTCAGCAGGGTTCTCCCTCGCAGCCGCTTCTGACTGAGGCGCTGAAGACATCATAACTCCCCACATTTCATATCTGACTTTAGTAGAGAGATGTAGAGACACGCTCCACTTGCTGCGAATCGATCGAACATCCAGATCAAAGGATAGGAGTTCACCAATTTAAGTGCAACACGGTGAAAGTGTGATGTTTTCCAAAGCGTCCTCCAGAGTCGACTCAGCAGGTAGAGGAGTTGATTGTGGGATTTGTCTCCGTACGGTTGTGTTACGACCTCTTGAAAGAAGTCATTTACACCACCAAGAAAAGAAATAAGACTCGTAAAAGAGACCAGTAATATATGCAAAGGACAGACCGAGATTCTTGATATCGACAAAAAATCTAAATTTTATTAAAATAAGTAGAAATTGATCATTCAAAAATAAAGCAATGAAATAAAAAGGCTGTAGACGCCAGCAAAAAGTGACAAAAAAAGGGGGTGGTGAACATGGCTAGCCACACAATGGGCCATAGGACCAGTCACCACCATAGACTGTATATAGAATGGACAGCATCTGCCGCCTCACTGGATGAAGCCACTCCAAGAACAGCACCCTCTGGTGACGGGCTGCAGTATAGGTCATAAATCCCACCTCCTCCAGCTATGTGAGTTGTGGACAAACTTAAGTACAGAGATAGTGTAGCTAACCCGGGGGATACGCTGTTTGAGCCGAGCGTCATTACAGCGACTTTTGGTGACTCTCCCGCTGAATGCGCACAAAGCTACTGGGCAAGTGGAGGAGTGCATACAAAGCTATTGCGCAGTGTTGATTTCAGAATGTGGAGAAAAAACACGGAATTACCGAGAGCTTTTCGGCCTCAAATCTGTATATTGGCGGAATGCAATACCACGTGTATGGTCAGTTTGACAAACTTTACTAAAGGCAGATCTGGGTTACAGCTTCAGCATGCCACAAGTGTAACAAAGATTGGTCTGAGAATTCTGTTCCGGGTCCCTGCCCTTCCACGTGCTTGCGTGGATACCAGAGGCAGGAAGAGCCCCTTCCTGCCCATCACGAGCCATCATGAAAGGCGATAGCAGGGAGCGCACGCGAGGTTCTGGTCGGGGCCCCCCGTTCTTCACGCTGGCATGCGTGCAAGGCCAGCGGTAGGAAGAGCAACTTCCTGCCCTCTAGAGCCATCATGAAGGCAGAAACGATGAGGGGTAGAGCAGCGATGAACAGAACCCCCCTGGAACAGGAACGCTTTAAGGGTAGTGGAGCAATTAACTGACACAAGGGTGGAGCTGGGATGGCGATGGGTTGCTGGTTAGCTGTCGAAGCAGAGGAAGAGGCTGGGTTAGTGCAGTTTTGAATAAGGCGCTCTATAGGCATGGGACCAATAGGAGCTAGGAGTGAATCAGCTGGCTATCATCTGGTTGAGGTGGCTACTAGCCATTGGCTGTGGATCAGCGCTTGACGTCGTGTCCTGACAGAACTAACGCTATGCTTCATTCGTATTTGGTCACCACCCCGAACTAAAACTACCTAACTAAAAAGAACTTAGTATTTAATCAGAAAAGAAAGAACCAAAAACAGGGCTACCGGCAACCTACATCCAAACTAAAATAACAAAACCCAGCAGCTCAATCATGAAACCAAAAAGAAAGAGAAGGTGCAGCCACCAAACCTCACACCAAGAGAGTGTCCGTGTGTCTCCCCCAGCCTGCTGCTCTGCCTCTCTAAATAGTCCCTCCACCCTGAGTGCTAACAGCCCTCAGGTGTACTGCAGCCACACAGGTAGGGGGAGGAGGGTGACCAGAGAGAGAGAGAGAAGGCGCACAGCAACCGGCCACACATAACAGGTTGGCTGGGAAGTCTTTGAGGGAGTGGTCTAACACCCTGGTGTAAATAACACTAATGCATCCTCCTTCTCAGCTGTAATCAAACAACTTTCACCTCCAGTCAGCAACAGTTTGAAATGCTTCCATATTAGAGGAACACCCTGACAAGGAGCTCTGTTTGTTGTGTTTCCCCCCAGAGTGAAGAAGATGAAGTTCCCCGCCTCGCTTTCACTCGTGGTCCTGCTCGCTGTTGCGGACCCGACCCGAGCCCAGGTCAAGACCTCTCTACTGGATTTGACCAACAGCATCGGGAGCATCCTCCCCAGCCTGAGCCGCCCCGCCAACCACAGCAGGATCTTCTACGCGGTGATGTTTGACGCAGGGAGCACGGGGACCCGAATTCACGTCTACACCTTCATCCAGGGTGACTCAGGTAATAGCAGGCGACTCTCTGACTGACTTCTTGTCACTGCGGCGAAGACATCGTTTTTGTAAACCTGCAGGATTTCACTTCAGGGGACAGAAGTTATACTCGACTTCATTTAGTTTTTAAGTAATAATCCTATTTTGTCAGCTTCAAGTCAACACGCTTCATTTTAAATAAGTGGATATAGTCAGAGCATGTATGCTAAGCAGATTTAAGCGTCTTAATGCTTTTAATAGCCCGCTGCATATTTGATGTGGGTGGATCTTGTATCTTTTAGCAGAGCTGCCTGTTTTGGACAATGAGATGTTCCACTCCATAAAGCCGGGTCTGTCTGCGTATGCTGACTCCCCTGAAATGGTGAGTTCATCTTCAAATCTAATCAATGGTATCGAGCCGAAATGAAAGGTCTGCTGGCTCTACATTGTATTCAGAAACGCCGCTGATAGCCTCTCTCTGCGGGGAGTCGCATTTCACTAATGAAAGAAGGTAGGAAGTGAGAAGAGCAAAGTGACAAACAAGCAACTGATATGTAACACCGTGAAGTGTTTTACTTTAGCTCTAACCAGTCAGCCTGTTATCAGTGCTGAGCAGTGCTGTGTCACACTGTTTTTTAAAAGGCCGCACACACAGTGAGGATGCTGCTCAAGGTGGCTAAGAAGACCGTGCCCCGTCTGGAGTGGAAAAGGACTCCGGTGGTGCTCAGAGCCACAGCTGGACTCCGACTGCTGGCTGCAGAGAAAGCCCAGGCTCTGCTTGAACAGGTAAAAGAAGTGCAGAGGAACCAAGACATGACACACACGGTTAGGAAAAGTGGAGAGCAGGTTTTTTTTTTTTTTGTATTGTAGGGGAGTTGTTAGGCTCTACATTGTCTGACACTTTCAAAGGAGAGTGCATCCTCTTATCCGGAGAGGGAGCAGGCGGAAAAAGAAAGGAGCATTTTCTCTGCCATGGCAGGTAGTTCAGACACAAGAGGAAGAGTATCGTTATCAGAGTGGTGGGAGCTTAGAGTGGAGGGGATAAGATAGTAATGGATGGCCCTGGGGCACCTTGGAAGATAAGTGATACTTTATTAATCCCCCTGAGGGAATTAATTAATCCCTTCAAGCGGAGGGCACCTCTGGATGAGCTTCCGTTACAGTAGATAACATTAAGGCCATTTCTCTGCTGCTCCCCTCTCTCTCTCCGTCTCTCTCTGTCTCTCTCCGTCTCTCTAGGTTCAACATGTGTTCGATGAATCTCCATTTTTGGTCCCAGACAACAGTGTCAGCATAATGAATGGCACAAACGAAGGTAACGTCTGCCCACCCCTCTGCAAGACTCTCTCGTCAGTAATGGCAGCCACTCTCACTCTCGCTCGCTCTGCGGCGCTCTGGAGGTGTCATCAGAGATCCCTCTGCCCTACTTTCGGAGCGGGGTGTAATTTCTGCGAGGAATCTGTGTTTACAGCAAACATTTAACTAAATTGCAGGAGATTATCGCCGTCGTTTATGATGACTCTTAAGAAAATGAAGTCGCTCGTCACCTCAGAGTTGTCGAGGCTTTGAAAGCTGTGATTATCTGCTGAAAATTTGTTGTCTGCTGCTCTGCGGTGTGAATGATTTGTCAGCGTTTCACTCTTGTTTGCAGAAATCACACTCCTCTCCAAGTGTTTGCACTCCTCTTTATGAAACGCTGTAATATCTTATGAAATTTTTTTATCAGCTTTACCGAGATTAAGTTTTGTGTTTCACCTGAAATTTCCTGTTTCTGGGTTTTGCTAATCTCTCCGATGTAGGAATCCTGGCCTGGATATCTGTCAACTTTCTGACAGGTGAGAACTGTGAGCTGCAGTCTTTAAATTAAAAGAGAGGACTGGTTTTTCTGGTTAAACCATATTCCTGAGCCTTCTACTGTATATCCATATTCAACTTAAAGGCTGTCAGAGTCTTATTGTAGACCCTGATCCACTGATATAGGCTCAATGTGATAAGAAGGACTCAGTCGCCTGGAGCAGACATCTGTGATCTTTATCAGCCTCAGTGTGGAGATTTCTTTTTTTAACGTCTTTGAGTCGCACATGAAGATAACATCTTAGGTGTGACTGATCAGCTCCTCTGTGTTGTGACTGCGAGATTGAGGTGTGAAATATTTATAGGTCACCTAAAAGCGCAAACCGAGAAGATGGTGGGGATCCTGGATCTTGGAGGAGGATCCACGCAGATCACTTTCCTGCCAAAACTCAGGGTGGGTTAGTTAGCCAGCAGATTTATGCACAAATTAAAAGTCGGCTGTGATTAGTAACTCACTACGTCTTTGTAGAAAACCATCGAAAGTGTTCCTGTCGATGACTACGTCGCCAGATTTGACATCCTCAACTCGACATTTGAATTATACACCCACAGGTAACAGATGCGGTAATTACGCGTTATGAAACGGTTTAGTGCTTGTTCATCATTTGTGACTGCATCAGCTTTTCTATTTAAAGTGATTTTTTTTTTTTATATTTATACATTTCAAAGCAGCCTACACTCTCTGGGAGTAAATACTTGTGTTTCTGCTGCGGAGGCTTTCAACTCTGCTCTGATTTGTTTTCTTAATTAGGACAACTTCATGATCTGATTAGTCATTAGGTTGTGAATAATAGGCTGACCAGCGGTTTGTCCTATTTACAAAATGACTTGTTATGAATGTAGTCTGTGTGTGTTTTGCTTTTACAGCGGTGTAACAATCCTTTGTCCTCACGCAGTTACCTTGGACATGGTCTGATGGCAGCGCGGCTGGCTACACTTGGCGCTCTGGGTGCAGAAGGTACTGTGCGTACACGATGAAAAGGTGGCCTGTCGCCATTAGCTGTGGGTCAGTGTTGATCATTGTGAGTGAGTCAGTTCTCCAGACGCTCTCTGCTCCCGCCTGCCTCTTCCTCCAAACACTAAATAAAAAGCGGGTGAAAAGATGTTTTAAGTGGGATGTTCTTCAAGTCTCTCTAACTGGAAAAAAAAGAAAAACACCCAAACAATTCGAGTGAGACCCTGAGATGAATCACAGAAAAGCTTCAGAGAAAAATGTGTTGGTCTCCCCAGTTCTTGAGGCAGCCTCAGACCACTGTGACCATTTGTGAGAGAGTTTAGCCAGTTTGAAGATTAGATGAGTCATGCTTGTGCTCTCACAGGGCTGGAGTGGCGTGTTTTTAAAAGTTCCTGCCTGCCAAAGAAGTTCAGGGACGAATGGAGCTTCGGGGGGCTGACCTATCGAGTGAGCGGGCATCCGGATGGTGAGATCCTGCAAATAAGTGTGATGAGTTTAGGAAAATCAGAGTTAAACACACCGTAACACCGAGTTAGACACTCCGTCAAGAGATGAATGTTGCCGACCGCTTGCTTCTCTAGTTATACCAACTTTAGTAACGACCGCATGATAGAAATACAGAGAGCCACACTTTCAACCAAAAAGCCACTCTAAAGACACAAATTATGATCAGAACAACACCTAACTTCATCAACAGTGCATATAGGGGTCTAATCCATAGTACTAGCCACCAAACATCTTTTTATCTTTGCCTAATTTCTTTAGTAAAGAGACTAAACACAGCTCACCTACTCTCTTCCAGCAGCCGCTTGTTTGTAGTGAGACCTCCAGGTGAGTCCATAGACTGCAGCGGGGGGACACAGCTCAAGGAAGAACATTTATGATCATTTCCTCATTCTTCCTTGAGCTGTATCACCCTGCTGTAGTCCATAATGGACTGGCCTGAGGTCTCGCTACAAACAAGCGGCTGCTGGAAGAGAGTAGGTGAGTTGTGTTTAGTCTCTCTGCTGAAGAAACCAGGCAAAGTTAAAAAGATGTTTGGTGGCTAGAGCTATGGCTGGGACTCTTTTTAAGCGCCTGTTATTCCGCCAGAGTCTCTGGTATTTGCTTAGTTTTCCTGCTTGTGTTGGCAGTCATGGTCAAAGGAGGATTCAGACAATTTTCTGTACTTTCTGGTTGGTTTCACGTTATTCGAGGACGTGGAGCGTGCCTCGCAACACGAGGGAGCAGCGTCCGCCTCACAACCAATCAGGTCTAGGAGGTGGAGAATGGCTTTGTTTACTGTCAGAAAGAGCGGCTCGCTCAGAAATCTTAAAATGTTGATGACACAGACATAAGAGAACACAGCGATATCGTGATATTCCCAAGTATCATCAATAACTGATAGCTATTGACAGATATTTAAAGCTTTTTTTGTATAAACACCACAAAAAAGATGCTTCTTTAACGGATTCCTGCCTACCCCACCTTTAAGCAAATACAAAACTCTGAACTTCAGTGATAGCACCCAGACATCAGCAGGGAAGCTTTTAAAGCCCATTAAAACAGGCTCAGTGGTATTACGCATCATTTCATTTTGTTGTCCTAGTGTTAGCGGCATAATTCACATCCCTGTCTCTGTTTCCTCTCCAGGTTATTCAGGATACAAGCTCTGTTATCAGGAGGTACTCAAGGTAGTGAAGGGGATTATTCATCAGCCGTACGAGCTGCAAGACAGCAGCGTCTTCTATGCATTCTCCTATTACTATGATAGAGCAGTGGATGCAGGCCTTATCGGTGAGCGCACACTCTCACACACACTCATCTTGCGTAATTATACACACCCAGCAGGATGTTATTACCCGTCCCAGATCCAGACAGAGGCAGGACAATGTGAGTCATCAGCACCTGTCTCTGTGGATTTGACGAGCTATAGGTGTGTGGTTATTAGAGAAATTGCCATCCTCTGCTAGTCTGAGCTGAAAGGGCAGCAGCTCTGTTATTACTAACGTAGAAATGTAAATGTAGATCCTCTCTGTGGGATTTTAAACATGAGAAAATAACCAAATCCCTACTTTCTCTGTGTTGCAGACGGGGTCCAGGGAGGGATGCTGGAGGTCAGACACTTCAAGAAGAGAGCTAAAGAGGGTGAGAAGCAGTGCATGGTAACGATGATAGATCTGCAGCTCCCTGTACTTGAAACACAGTGTGCATCTCAATAGTCTGGACTAGTGTCCTCACTGCTATCTGAAATCCTGCCCTCACCCTCTCAGCAGAATACAGATGACTGATTACCCATCCTAACAGACATGACTCCCCTTCTGTCTGCGCAGTGTGCAATAAGATGACCAAGTACCCCCCTATCAGCGGCTTCCTGTGCATGGACATGACCTACATCACTTGTCTACTCAAGGACGGGTTCGGCTTTAAGGAGAGCACGGTGCTGCAGGTGAGACAGGAGAAATAACGAGGGGAAGAGTTGTGTGAATCATGACTTCTTACTTCTCTTTTAACTCCCAGTTAAAAGACAAAGAGTGGGTTTGAAAATAGCTCCCATTGAGAATTTGTTACTACCATTTGAATAGATCATAAATAGAACCGTGAGTCACCGGTGGCTTTCTTAAAACAGAGCACAAGTTATGAAATAATCAGTTAATCATGCTAAAGGATGAACGTCCCTGATCCTGAGAAATCACTCATTGTCCCTCATAAATGAGAGACAGGAAAGTACAGACACCAGCCTCTGCCGCGCGAGTTACAAAACTGATTCATGTCATCCCCCACTCCCCACCCACTTCCCCCCACGTCTTTTTTAAGCTGTCCGATCTAATCAAGGAAAAAGGCTCAAAAATAGCGAGAGAGCGAGACAAAAATGACATGACTCTTTATTTCAATAAATACAAAAGGCATTTGAGTGATTTGGTGTGGGTTTTTCCCCCCCTCCTCCTAGTTGACCAAGAAAGTGAACAACGTGGAGGCGAGCTGGGCTTTGGGCGCCACGCTGGACCACTTCCACAACCTGAAGATCCACTGAGGAGGAGGAAGAAGAAGAAGAGGAGGAGGAGGAGGAAGAAACACTGCTAGTAGTGCGCACTACTTTATCTAACAGCCCCAGACATCTGCTGTTTGTTTTTTTTTTTCTTTTTTTCTAACCTCATGAGTAATTCTTCATTTCATTTCAAAAGCAATTATTCTCAAGTGTTAATACATTGAGCTGTAAATGAGCAACGTGCGTCTTAACTCAGAGAGCGAGTGGAGCGGAGGAAGTCGACACTTTTGAGTGGAAGAAGTGAACCAATAAGACGCTGAGTGGAGCAGCTTTGGGCATTTGGTTTGAGATGAATGTTTGTTTGTTTTACTCAGGATGATCAACAGAGCGGCTGTGGTCGGTGTTTACATGCAGCGCTGTGCAGTAGCAGGTTTATAATATATCGGGCGCTTTTCTACTCTCAGGTGTGTTGGAAACGCAGCTTATATGGAGTCTTGTTTGTGTCTGTTGCATTTCAAACCGCAGACTTGTTTACAATGTTTCCGCTCAGAACAATACATGGTCCGTATATTTTCATAAACTTTTTAAACCCGTCTCAGTTTTTCTTTGGGAGTTCAAAAAACGGTTGTTTTGTACAAATGTTTCCGTTTCGCACTTGTTAAAATAAAACAATTATCAGTTGCTAATTACAGATATCTACAGACGTGATTAATCTATGTACAAAAAAAGACGGCTATGTTAAGTCCTTTCTGACTGACAGGAAACGGCAGTGTGTAATGTGTCATGATAGGAGACTACAGTAGCGCCACCACATCCTCTCCATATGCATGGCCCTCCGTCGTCATGGTCACCAGTTCATGCGGCTGTGAGAGGACGACCACTGAGTCTGCGGAGCCTGGAAGTACAGACACAAAAGAGAGTTATGTAGAAATCACCAGGTAATGTGAACACTGCAGAGCGGCGGGTCAATCAATCTCAACACATCCGCCACGGACGCCATGAGGTGGAAGACTGGATTTCATGACGCAGCGACCTTCGCTTTCCACCTGTGGTTGTTCTCGTTTGATGCTGATTGGCCGGTTGAGGAAAATCTGCATGAGCCTGTAAAAATATTCTAAGGGACTGGACGCTATTTGGAGTCACACATGAACTTTTTAATGTTGCTTAAAGGGATATTCCGGCGTAAAATTAACTTGGGGTCAAACACAGAGTAACACAGAGTAAAACACCCCCTCGAGAGATGAATGTTGCCATCTGCTTGCTTCTCTAGTTATACCAACTTTAGTAATGACCGCACGATAGCAATACACAGTCGTCTGAGGAGCCATAAACAAACCTCAACCAAAACGCCACTTTATAGCCACAGTACATATAGGGTCCCAGCCACAGCACTAGCCACCAAACATCTTTTTAACTTTGCCTAATTTCTTTAGCAAAGAGACTTAACACAACTCACCTACTCTCCTCCAACAGCTGTTTGTTTGTAGCGAGACCTCAGGCCAGTGCATTACGGACTGCTGTGGGGTGCCGCAGCTCAAGGAAGAACATTTATGATCATTTCTTCATGGAAATGCAATCAGACCGAGACGCTAAGGCAGAAGAACTACCACGTCTGCATTGCAAAATGATTGTTATGATGATCATTACTGCAAGGAAACGATAAAGTAATGATCATAAATGTTCTTCCTTGAGCTGCGTCACCCCGCTGTAGTCTGTAATGGACTGGCCTGAGGTCTCGGAAAAACAAGCGGCTGCTGGAAGAGAGTAGGTGAGTTGTGTTTAGTCTCTTTGCTAAAGAAATAAGGCAAAATTAAAAAAATGTTTGGTGGCTCGTGGCATGGCTGGGACCCTATATGTACTGTTGATGAAGTTAGGTGCTGTTCTGAGCATTATTTGTGGCTATAGAGTGGCGTTTTTTGAGGTTTGTTTATGGCTTCCCAGACCGCTGTGTATTGCTATCGTGCGGTCGTTATTAAGTTGGTATAACTAGAGAAGCAAGCGGTCTGAAACATTCATCTCTCAAGGGGGTGTCTAACTCAGTGTTACGGTGTGTTTGACCCTAAATTAATTTTGCACCAGAATATCCCTTTAAAGAAAAAAGTGCAGCGATCAGGAATCAGACGTGTTGACTGAACTTTTTGCAGTTCCATTACTAGAGTCCCCGTTTCATGTGGTTAAATCTCCTACTTGTGGCCCCTGTTCTCATTTAGCATCACAGCTCTCTGAAGTTTGGCAACAGTTGTCAACATTTCTTTGAAGTTAGGATCACAGAGAAATCCAGACGGACAAAGAATATGGGAATGTCAGCCAGAGAAACAAATTAATTATATAAGAAAATCCGTCTAGAGTAAGAACTATCACACAATTCATAATTTTCTGCAATCTGAAGCTACTTAAACGTGGGCACTGCAGGGGTAAATAAATATTTCAAACAAGCATTAAAATGGGACTCTGGGCTGCGGTAAATCTGCAGCATAGGACCACTCGCAAAGCGTGACTGAATTAGCCTTGTGTCACCAGGCGCTCCAGTTGTAAAATATAATTGTAGGTAATGGAGAGAAACGAAAGTAAATCAAAGCTGCAATGGAACAAGCTTCTCTGAGACAAACCACGGGACTGTAATAAAGGCGACAGATGGGAGAGAAACATCCGGAGTATAAATAGCATCACAATACTGAAAACATATGCATTTATGTGCTCACAGCGGAGGAGCAGGTGTTGCATTTAACAGAATCACAAAGGTTCGGACTGAATCTACGAGCCGGGTGAGGTTGAGATGCGTCATGAGATGAGCTGGTTGGCAACGAATACTGAAGAGAGTAAATTTCAGCCTTTTTTCCTCAAGTGAAATTACAGGATTTTGTTTACAGCTCCTCTTCTTTAAATCAAGACTGCACCGCTGCGAAAGGACAAACTCAGCTGAGTCATTTAGCAGTGGGTAATTTCAGCTTTGACAGTCGCCGCTTTAAAATCGAGACAAGTGAATAAAAAGAGAATAAAAAGGCCTTTTAAGTTGCTTTCTGATGGTAGATAAAACATCTCAAACTCAAGACAAACACACAAAGCTGGACTGTCGTGGAGCGACTCGTCACCTCGGGACTGTCACATAAATACGAGGAAAAACACCTGACAGGAAACCGGCGGCTCCACAGGTTGACTCAGCACCTCCGACATTAGCATAAATGCTGTCCGCTTCACCGAATCACTGTTTACAGCGAGGTTATTGTGCTGTGACATGTAAGAAACCTACCTGGTGATCTCAGCATGGCGTGGTGGAGATTCATGGGCTCCACGGCTGTTGTCATGGTGACCATATCATCTCCATTTTCGCCGTCTGCCTCCAGCAGGCTGCTTTGTGTCAGAGCCTCACCTGTCGGATGCGCACAGACGTCAAACTCTGATTTGTGACATGAGGAGGCGAGCGACATGTGATTCGAAACGTCGTAATACTCCATTTGTGATCCAAGAAATCATACCTGAGATAACTGAAATGCAATATACCTCAAACTCTGTTTCAACTCTGTTTTAAAGGATAAAAAGCCAAATATCAGAGTTCAAACATCTCATTTCTACAAACTTTTAAAGTTACCTTTGGACGCCTTTTCTTGGGGTTGTTTTTAGGACTGTCCTTATTCCAACAAAGTCGATTAAATAATTCATCTGGTATAAATAACACAGAAACTACCCCTCTGTTGAGAAGCTGCATCTTCCTTTCGTTCTGCTTTTTTTTTTACAAAAGACCAGCCTCTTTGGGGAGGCTGACCCGAATAAATCTGCTGTTTATAATTAGAGCTTTGGCAGCCGTTTCCTCTGTGGTGATTCAGCTGCCGTGCTTCCCACTGCTACACAAATGTGACAAGGAGGAAAATACTCTGTCTGCTCTCATGTTTCCACGCCACAAAGACAACCTAATTTAAGATGATTTTGTACAATTAGACATTATGTCGGAACGTAAATAGCTCGTTGAGGGACGCTTTTAATCTGAAGAGGTACTGGAACTCGGACTAAGAATAGAGGGAGGACTGACCTGGGGTGCATTCTCCACAGCTGCAGTGGGAGATTTACACAAGCATACCCACTCATTTACCTCGGTTATTTGTTATGTGACGGCACAAGACGCTCGAAGACATGAATTTGAGTTAATGCGGTGATTACAGACAATCGTGACCCCATCACAAGACGCCCGACAGGCCTCTTTCCGCGGCGCAGTTCTGCTATCTCTGCTTTTCCACAGATATGAGCTGTCTGAAACAATTCAGCCTCTGAGCCTGAAGAATAAAAATCTTAATGATTAATTTTTAACTGCTCTGGGGGCATTAATTATTCATGAAATATTCCTCAATGTAACTTAAACCAACACTTTCTCTGTGCACTTTTGAAAATGTATGGGCAGCTTGAAGCTACATAATCCATGGATTAGCATTACCACCTACTGCACAGTGCGTGTGTGTGAATGTGTGTGTTTTACAGTGAAAGAAAAAGATAATAGGAGAGAGAGTGGGAAAGAAAAAGAGACCTGTTTCTCGACTTTCAGTGCTGAGCCCCTCCTCTCCGTGCCTCTTCCTCATGTGGACGTTTCTGCTGCCCGACTGGGAGAACGTCTTACCGCAGATCCCGCAGTGATGAGGCTTCTCGCCTGGCAGACGACACACAAGCACGCAAACATAAAGAGACGTGAAATCCTGTGATCCCGCTCTGCATGTCTTCAAGGCGCATCACGATACAGTGGATCTGGATGCACACTAATTACAGAAACAGCGCCGGGGCTGTTCCAGCTGTAAACTGTGTCCCACTCACCAGAATGTACGAGCATGTGTTTCCTCAGACTGGAATACTCGGCAAAGGATCGCCCACAACCATCTGCTTCACACAGAAAAGGCTTCTCTCCTGGAAACAGCCACCCACCACACACAAACACACACACGCACATGCACACATACACACATTTAACTCCATATTACAAAGATTTACAAATGTACACAGCATTATTCTGCAGAACTTTACTGGATTATCCAAAGTGATAAAGTGATTTAAGCAGCTCAGGCACTCTGGAGTCGTTGAATGCAGCATTTTTTTCTTGTTTATGGAAACCGCAGTGACAGCTGACCTAATTCGACGCAAACATACTAATAAAATAAAAATTACTCCCATCGTGATCGCCTGAGATGTCGCTTTTTTATTTTCTGCTTTCTGATAAGGAATCAGGGATCTGAACCTGTTTATCTGTCGACTCTTCGTCTACATCTGAGCGTTTAAACTTTTATTTATGCGACTGCGAGAAATGAGACAAATCTGGGGTGTGTGATGAAGTATTCATCAACTCTCCTCCCTTTTTTTCCACCAAACTGACAAAAATCATCGAGTCGACTGCTGGTTAGCGCACAGTTCACGAATCAAAGGCTCTGATTGGTCAGCTCTTTGCATTCAGACATGACAGCATGGTGAGTGTACAGAAATACTTCCTTTTAATCATTGCAATCAAAGCATTTCCCTCGGAGGGTTCTTGAAATGATGATTAATTATGAACCCCTAATTATAGAAACCTCTATGCCTCTCCTATTTCCCCCCGCATAAATGTACACATGCAAGTTCAGAGATGAGTTTTCTAGTGTAAATATTATAACGCAACTGTCGCTTTTTCCAACCCCGGATAATATCACACTGTCTGCTTTCACCACGCAAACTTGTTTTCTTCCTAATTGCCAACATGAACAGGTTCATAAATGTTGGCGCAGCACATCATCCAGTGTAGGCGCCTGTTTCACAGCAGAAGAAAATAACCTTTTTTCTAATTAGAAAGAGCAGCTGAATTAATTTATTAGCACCATCCTTACCAATATTATCACTGTTACAGAGTTAATGTTAAATTTTGACTCTTTTCATTTTCACCTTTATTATAACAACTGCTGTCACCGCGATGCTATTGAGAAAGACCTGTCGACTCTAATTGTCATGAACTAAGAGGTTTTTACCGTTTGTCTCTATCCATCTCTCTCTTTCTAGTCAGTCTGAGTGGATAACTGTCCAACATGACTCTGGTGCGCTGCAGCATGCTCCTCTATGGATCCCAATAAGATGCTTGACTTAAAGGGATATTCCGGTGTAGAATTAATTTAGGGTCAAACACACAGTAACACTGAGTCAGACACCCCGTCGAGAGATGAATGTTGCCGACCGCTTGCTTCTCTAGTTGTACCAACTTTAGTAATGACTGCATGATAGCAATACAGCGGTCTGAGGAGCTTCAACCAAAAAGACACTTTATAGCAACAAATAATGCTCAGAACAGCACCTAACTTCATCAACAGGACATATAGGGTCCTAGCCATAGAACTAGCCACCAAACATCTTTTTAACTTTGCCTAATTTCTTTAGCAAAGAGACTAAACACAACTCACCTACTCTCCTCCAGCAGCCGCTTGTTTGTAGCGATACCTCAGGCCAGTGCATTACAGACTGCTGTGGGGTGTCGCAGCTCAAGGAAGAACATTTATGATAATTTATTTATCATTTCCTTGAAGTAACGATCACCATATTAATCATTTTGCACTGCAGACGCGGTAGTTCTTCTGCCTCAGTGTCTCGGTCTGATTGCATTTCCATAAGTAATGAACATAAATGTTCTTCCTTGAGCTGCGTCACCCCGCAGCAGTCCGTAATGGACTGGCCTGAGGTCTCAAACAAGTGGCTGCTGGAAGAGAGTAGGTGAGTTGTGTTTAGTCTCTTTGCTAAAGAAATTAGGCAAAGTTAAAAAGATGTTTGGTGGCTAGTGCTGTGGCTAGGACCCTATATGTCCTGTTGATGAAGTTAGGTGCTGTTCTGAGCATTATTTGTGGCTATAGAGGGCTTTTTGGTTGAGGTTTGTCTGTGGCTCCTCAGACCGCTGTGTATTGCTATCCTGCGGTCGTTACTTAAGTTGGTATAACTAGAGAAGCAAGCGGTCGGCAACATTCATCTCTAGACGGGTTGTCTAACTTGGTGTTACGGTGTGTTTGACCCTAAATTAATTTCACGCCAGAATATCCCTTTAATCTTATCCCATCTTAATGTTGGATCTTTGTAAATAAAACAAAGAGCACGGTCTAGACCAGGTCTTTCTGTAAAGGGTCTTGAGATGGACCATCCTAGGCTACACTGAAGCTAGTTCTGGTTCTAGTTTCAATATTATAACAGCTCCACGTTCAGTTTTGTGAATATTTCAGCTCACAGGAAGCCGTACTTCCAGACAAAAAGGCAAAGATAAACTCTGTTTAGCTGATCTGCTGGAGGGTCCCTGGAAAGAAGCAGCAGACAGTCTATCAGAAATCTTAATGTCACTTTAAATAAAACATGACAGAGTACTGATACTCTTTGCAGCGGTGAAGATGAGGCGCCAGTGCTGCTGACTCGTCACATCTCCACCTCTACTGCACCGTGGAAGCATTAAATAAGCCTGAGTCTAATGGCCTGAGTCAGTTCTTGCTTCCAGCGTGTTTAGCCTTTTATACCCATGTATCCCTCGCCCCCTTCACCCCTTCCCCCTCCCACCTGTGTGTGTGCGTCTGTGGTTCTTCAGGTTCCCAGCAGTGGTGAACTTCTTGCCGCAGTTCTTCTCCTTGCAGATGAAGGGCTTCTCGCCGTTGTGGGTCCTCATGTGAACCTGCAGCCTCTGCAGCACGTAGAAGCTCTTCCCACAGCCCTCAGCGCCGCACCTGAACATTCGGTCATTCCTGAGAGAAAACCAGACAAACGAGCCTCAGCGTGTTTGGACTGCACGATTCATTTGCAGTCAGCCCACCTCGAGGTCAGGCCAGGCAAACCACGAGTACACTTCCTTCACTGGTGTTAAGAGAGCTCCTGCTGCACAACAGCACACTTCTCTCTAAGTCTCCGCTGTGTTTCTCCCCGCCTGCCTTCGAGTTAAAAACCTGTGGAAGACACTGAGATCGCTCGGCTGTAAAACATCTGTACAGCTCTGCTCCAACACCAAGTCTCAGAAGCCTGAAAATGAAGCCCGCGGATGAAATATTTAAACGCTATTTACTCTGGGTTCCCCGCTTTTATTCATTCTACGTCTCTGCTGAAACATTATACACTTTGTGGAACCAAAAAAAGGAGCTTCAGTCGGATCAAAGAGTGGTGATAATATCTTTATTTTGGGGGCTTTTTCTGTAATTATTCCTACTAATATAAATCTAATTCATGTAAATTTCTGCACTAAGCTTAATAACAACATCTCCCTTCCTAATTGTGTTTTACAGGTAATAATAGCTGCGGCTTTCTATTAACAGCTGAGATTTGATTGCACATATTATATTTTAAGTGACAGTGTGTAATGACGGTATTAGCCTGCAAGCTTGTATTATTATTTTTCAATTTAGTAAATGTATCCGCATTAGCCAGGCTTTGAATGGGGTTTTGAATTTTGATGTTTTTGCAGCAGCTGCTTTGAGCCATTAATGAAAATAATGAATACCATGTGTGTGTGATGTATTAGGTGTTTGTGTTAAATATGTGTTAAAATGTGTGTATGATGATACCTGTGTGTTTTGAGGTGGTATTTCAGATGAGCCGGCCAGGTGAACGTCCTACAGCATCCCTCGAACGAGCAGCGGAGGATCTGCTTGGAGAGGGGACGGTTGGTCCGGGGCGCCGGCTCCCGCTTGTCCCCCTCCGGCGCCAAAGTGTGCGCGTGGTCGCCTAGGCAACAAGAAAAAGGAAAGTGAGCGGGGCTGTGCGGAAAATAACCCAGGAGTTACCAGGTGGTCGGCCTCTGGAGCCTGGCTGTATAAAAAGCTAATCATCGGGTAGCGACTGAGGCCCGCTGAACAACCGCCGCCGAAAGAAAACAACCCGAAGCTGAAGGCAATCACTCGCTTTTCACCTGCACAGGCTCCCCGCCTTGAATGCTGTTAACAGGTCCAATTTTGCTTACAGCATCTCGGCAGTAATGCAGCCATAACCGGTACCCCACTGCTGGAAGAAACTTGTCTAATCTAATGTGAATTGGTAGGAGGGCGGCCATTACTGCTGCTCAGATAGAGGAGTTTTTAGTCCCTCACTGAAAGCAGTTACAGTCTGCTGCAGACTTCTCATTTAACAATGTGGGAAACATTTATGAACTGCCACACCGCCTCAGAACAAAACATTAGACCTTACAATGTGACAAGATATGTGAAATACTCCACTGAGATCTTGATGAACCAGATAAAGGCTTACAAGGCCGGATCCACAAACATGTTTTTTTTTTTATCCAGTAACTTCTTTTTGAATTCAGGAGAGTATAAAATCAAATACAAACTCAGAGAAGTCAAAACAAGCCGAAAAATATGGCATCTTACTTTCTGAGGGTGCACTGGAGCAAATTTCCACCCGTACTGGGAATCACAGCTCAACTGAGTGTCAAAACAGAGCACAGTTAAAGCTCCAGTGAGGGTTTTCTCTGGACAAAGAAACAACTCTTATTACTTTGTTTGACTTTTTTTGGCCTGATTTATAACCAGATTAAACTCCTCACAGTCCTTTTAAAATACAAGACAGCAGCACAGCAATGTTGATGAGATGAAACAGGTTATATCTGCGCATGTAGTGCAGCAACAGTAATTAAAGCTCCTGTACGGAACTTTTGGTTTGAGTTGATCCTGGCACCCCCATAGACTGTATGTAGAATGGACGCTGTCTGCCTCCTCGCTGGGAGAAGCCACCCCGAGAACAGCACCCACTGGTGACGGGCTGCAGTATAGTTCATAAATCCCGCCTCCTCCAGCAATCCCTATAGAGCTGTGGACAAACTTTAGAAATTAATTACACAGAATATACCCCCCCCCCCCCCCCCCCCGGTTGCAATGTTGACATGTAGTTACTGTCAGACTGGTTTGTGCTCAAGTCCTTTTTTTCTGTACAGATCCATTTTTAAAAGTTATTAGGGGGTTCAAGTTTTCTATGATTGACACTTGATACAGCCTATGGGCGTTCAAGGATTGCGAAGCTCACACAGGGGATACGCTGTCTGAGCCGAGCGTCATCACAGCGACTCTTGGCGACTCTTCCGCCGAATGCACACAACGCTACTGCGCAATGTTGGTTTCGGGAAGTGGAGAAAAATTGCTGAAATACCAAGAGCTTTTCGGCTTAAAATCCATATACTGACGGAAGGCGGAACCAAGTTGTCCATAGTATATACAGTCCATGGGCCAAAGTGAGACCTCTTTCCTCTGTGTTAATCCTCTCCTTTACATGAGTACATAGTATTAACAAAAATTCCCTTCACACTTTTTATGAATATGAGCACTGTTCGTAACATTGCCTCTTTGCAGTGTTTATCAGCACTAAAAATTACAGTAAAATACTGTCAATCTTTCTGCTAGTGATCTGCTTTACTTTATAAAAAATCGCTGCTGTTCATCTCAGTCATTTTTGTAACTCTCCATCAATTTACATCACTGTTAGAAAAGGAGTTAAAATTGTATATATCAGATGCGATAAGGACTTCGGGACCAGCAATGTGTGTATTATTGTGCCTGTAACACTCATTATTACACCAACACTGTTTGTGCAAACAGTGAATGAACAGACTTTATTTACATTTAAAAATATCTCCAAATGCTCAGCGCTGATTTCAACTAGAAACAGCAGCACTCGAGTAAAACTGGCAAAGCAAAGATCCAGGCTGAGATTAGAGGAAATGCATTCGAAGCAGGCGAGGATGGAAACAACATTTTCCTCCTGTATCACTTTTCTAGCCTGAACCTCTGGCTGCAATTTGGCTCAGAGGAAGTTCAAAGATCAGAGATATAGCTAGGAGACACGCTGCCCTGAATGCTATGGGTGAAATCTTTATCTAACACGCCGCCTGTGGAGGGGAGTTAAAATGTGGAGTGATGTAGTGCAGACTCCCGGCGCGGGTCAACAGTTTTCTACAGCACCTTGTGCTGCGGGAAGAGGAGTGTGTGTGTGTGTGTGTGTGTGTGTGTGTGTGTGTGTCGTTCAGATCAGAGAGGGGAGCTTTCCAGTGAGAAGAGTGAGAGGAGATTAGGGATAACTTTGAACCGAGAGGGAGCAACACATGAAGAGGATATTTTGGTGGGTGGAGAAGCTGAAGTAAACAACTGCTGACAATCAAAGCACAGCTTAAAACACATTTTTAGCATTTCTTATTTATAGCCAATACTAAAAATGGAGCCAATTTAGCTTTTCGATTGCTTTGATGACGTTTTGATGCAAGCTTTTTCCGTATTTGTAGCTCAGACATGAGAGTGGTTCCGAACTTTACATTAACTATCTTTGAAAAAATTAAGAAGCTTATTATCGTCTGCTCAATTGTCCTCCATGTGACGGTTTCCTGACAGCTCCTTTTCTTGATCAGCTGTCCAGTCCCAGATCTTGTCTCAATGCCTAAACCGGGCCTCTCTCTCTCTCTCTCTGCACACAGCTGCCTCGTACCCTCTCTCCCTCTCCGGAGCCTGCATTAGTCGCATTACTAAACGCACATTAAATCATCAGAGACACAGCACACTGAAAACTACTTAAGCGTGATCAATGTTTCAGGATAATGCGGCTCTGATGACTCTGCTGGATATTTGCAGGCAGATTTGTAAATCAGAGACGACAAAGCTACAAATTCATTTTGATTGAGAGACTTCTGATGAGGAGCGCTGAACACACTTTCAGTCGCTGCTGATTACGCCACATTTTCATCTCGCTGCTGACCTCGTTTCTCTTCTTTCCGTCTTTGATGCCTGCCGTAAGTAGACCGGCTGATGTTATCTTCTCCCTAAAATGTGCTGTCTGCTGCGCATGAGCTTTGTTGCTTTTTAATTCTCTCTCTTTTTTTTTCTTAATTTAGTCTTACACATCACAGAGCGCTGCCTACATTCCTGAAAGTACTTCTTCAAAGACAAGCTTCTGTTTGACTTCATTTGGCGACCGTTTCTGCTTGTGCGGATGAAACAAAGTGACTCTACCGTTACTGACGCTCGCAGCTCTCGCGTCCTGGCTTGCCTTGGCATCTCTCGCGAGCTGCGCCCGCGTGGCGGCGATCAGACTGTCATGTGCCAGCTCTTGTACCCGCAGATACCAGGGAGCACTGCCATCCATCCCGTAGTCCCCTGATGAGACCCCCTCATCGTCATCCTCCCCGGCGCCATCTGCGGCGAAGATCAGCGACTCAGAAGAAGCTGTGATGCCTGTGAGGGATGAAAAGGCAGGAGGACAATCGCTGTGAAACAAGACATTCAAGGCCATTGCGAAAAAAGCTGCAGGATCATCGCTGGTCTGAGTCCCTCGAGGTCATAGCTCTGAATTCATTACTGTCCCTCTATCAAGCTCAGCAGCTTGGTTTTAATGTCGCTTCTGCGTTTTCAAAGGCAGCGAGGAGACAATTAAACAGACACACACGTAAACACGCCAAAGACAACACACTCCCCTTTTATTCAAGATCTGAATTTATTGTAACAACGACTCAAAGTGATTCTACCCTCTGAAAAGTCTTTTCTATCCGCCACATCACTCACTGAGTCACACACTGAACACAGCGCGCTGCACAAAAGGTGCATGTCAAGGGACCAAAATTAATTTTCTGGCTCTGCTGCCAAAAGGCTGATGAACCAAGAGAATGTGCCTGCCAAGGATCATTTCTTCCAGCCAAAATAATTCACAGTTTTCTTCATGAAAATGTGTCACCCCATTTCTTTTTTAGTGCTCCGAGTAGAATCGGGAGTCGAGTGAGACCCAGAGTGCAGACAAAAAAACAGATTTAAAGTTTTAATGTAAAACTTCTCAGCCTTTCTAAAGTGTTTGAAATCCATCAGGAAGTGACTCATCTCACGGGGATGAAGATGTGATTTGTTGTCAAGGATATGCCGATTAAACGTAGCCGACAGAAGGAGCTGTTTTGTTTGTTTTTGTCTAAAGTTTGTGACGCTCTTGTGTGGTGGGTTTCGATTTGAGATCTTTTACCTTTTGCTAGGTTCAGCAGGACGTATGATGTGCTGTCTGACTGCTGCAGGTCATGGAGGATGGGTGGGGGGCTGGGTGAGGCCCGCGGATGGGAGTGTGTCTGGACCACTAAGGGGCTCCGGTCTGATACACCTCCAAACTCTGACAGGGAAGGAGAACCCTCAGGCTCATGGCTCAGGCCGCCATCTGGGGAGAAAAACAGAGTATTTCGTTTTGCAAGATACCTGCTATTAAAACCTGGCTGTTTAAATGATTGCCTGGCTGTGCTGGATACTTGATTCTGATTGGTTAAAACCTCAAAACAGTAATTAACTCGAAATAGAGAAGCTGAGAGACATGCCAAATCAAATTAACCCACACTGAGGAGTCTAGCGCATGTCACCCCTGGCTGTTGAGGCTGGCAAAATCAGTGTCAATCAAAACATCAGTGTCTGTCTCAGGCTGGGAATAAGGCCAGTTACTGCACACACATGTGAGAGCTGCCTGAGGAGCTGCTGTTCCCCAACCACCTTTGATAGTGAAAAGAGGTGTAACAACCTGTCCTGCAATCCAGGCAACACCAACGGCACTGCTGAGGGCTTCTCTCTAGGTGTAAGCTCATGTTTTAACTTGAGTAAAAATTTTAATCTTCAGTTTCATGTTAAATTGAATCTGCTCACCCTGTAAGTGTTCTGATTTGCATAACCCAGGACTCGACAGTGCGACCATTTCAGGTGTTGAATAAGGGACCATCAATAAATTACCAGTTGATGTTCTCAAAAAAGGCTGTTTTCCTTTAATAGCTTCCATGTCATGTGACCAATTGACATAAAATTGATTTTAAATAATAGTACTAAGGTCATACAATAAGACACACCTCTTTATTTCCCTAATTTATCCTCTAAAATTTTTGTGTTAAATTTAAAGGCAAATTTTGAACATTTTCTTCTATAGCTTCCATGTCATGTGACCAACTGACCTAAAATTAATTTCAAATAATAGTACTAAAGTCGACCAATAGGACAAACATTATTTGATCAATTTTTATTCTGCCCTCTAAAGTTCTTTTTGTACTCCTTCTAAGAAAAGTTAGTGTCAAGCCCTGTGCGGGCTTCTCTCTAGGTAGCTACAAAGTAACTCAAACCATATGCAGTAGCGATAACAGCAACAATGATATGAGGTGTGGGATTTGCATTATTTATGCAAGCTCATATTTTAACTTGAGTAAAAATTTTAATCTCCAATTTAAGGTTAAATCGAATCTGCTCGCCCTGTAAGTGTTCTGATTTGCATAACCACCTGTTCACTATACATTATCCCTCATAGAAAAACCCATAATAATCAAGCTATGGTTTTCATTGGTGGGTATAACAAAAGTATTGAGTGCAGAGAAAATCTCAGCCCATCGAAAAAGCCTGATAAATGTGTGTATTTTAGAGAAATACAGACATCTATATTTGCGTAAGGCATCTTCACATCTTCAAACACTCAGAATGAGTTACAGATTTTCAGCAGGTGATGCTGCCGGTGTTTTCTGAAGGCTTACAGCTTCACTAAAGGCTAATAAGCATTTATCCCTCGGCTGAGTTGGAACCTGTCAGGTGTTTTTAATTACTCAGGATTCACAGCAGTTTAATACTGATCCTAAAATAAAGAAAGTGGAGATGTCGCCAAGCTGTTAGAATTTAGACAAACCATGTGAAAAACTACACCTAAAAACCACCACAGGGATGGTTTTAAAGTTTCAAATCACATGCTGGCTATGTTCTTCAATATTTATGGTTTGTCATGGACTGAATATTGAAACTCGAACCTGCAACAAATATCCAATGACTGTGTACTGCATTTTAAATTGAGAGAAAATATGAAGATTAGGGGAAGTTTCTATAAATCAGAAGTTGCACGATCTCCAATAGCAGATTTTTATTTCCACCTTAGAGCAGCTGAAACGAACTGTAAACGCCGAACTGACACATCCGTTTATTTTGATCTGTTGGTTCATTTAAAGGCGAGCGCTTGTCTCTCTAGCTGGTGAATTGAGTTCAGTATTTTCCTCAGCTCTGATTTGATCATCACCGACTCCTGCAGGACGTTTCTATCCCTGTAGCTGCTCAGCGCTCACCTGGTTTCACCTCATAATCACCATCCTTGTTTGTCTCCGGTTTGGTGCTGAGCAGACACCCGGACTACCAGCTGGATTTGCAGGAACAAGTTCACCTCAGGGTTAACTTTGAGTTATCAGTACTATAAAAATGGCTCATTTCTTAAAAAGGGAAAGTTTTCAATTTCTCTACCTTTATGACTTCACATAGTTTGAAAAATATTCATCAAAGTCATTAATTTTGCTGTGCTTATGTTGTTCTCCAATGGAGACTCATCAAAGCACCAAAGCCTTGTATTTGCTCTACTCAAAAGATGTAAAGTAACACCTGCTTACCACTTTAATTATGTTTTAATATTAATTTTGATTATCTATATAGTGCTCTGTTTGATCAAGTCAGGGCTGCAGCTTAAATATCATAGCTGAAACAGTCAAGTATAAAATGCATTTTTGTTCTGCCTTTATTTTCGCACATGCAGCTGTCAATTCAAGTAAGTTCTTCATGTTTGTCTTGTGCCATAGTTTGATCAAATATAATGATCTGCAGTCAGCTGACTTGTTCATGTTTGTCTCCCCACAGAAAGCCCAGGCTGACTCATGATGTTGACAGAAAAACCAGCATTGTTTCATAAAGTGTAATTTCATGTGTCAGAGCGAGCAAAGCCAGATAAGGAAAAGACATCCAGGGTGCGTCAAAAATTCAGGATTCAGGAAGCGTAGACACCGTGAGGGAGGTTTTTTTATATTAAACTGAAAACTAAAATTACCTGAACGAGAATTGAGGTTCAACAAAACAGCCAATTTTAAGATAAATCTGTGAGAAAGTTAAACAATAATATTGACTCTGGCTTTAAGGCTCTGTGAAAATACTCTGTTGTTCCATGAATAATGACAGAGTGTCTGAGAAGATTCAGAAACTCTGTGACACAGAGCTTGTCTATGATGTGGTCATTTTAAAAGTAAATCCTAATGACTTTAATCGTGGTGACAACATGCAATGTAAGTGTAAACTATTAAAAACCACAAAGCAGAGGATAGTCTTTCCCGCTGCACTCATAGTGAAACTCACTGATTGGTATGAACAACATGCACTGCAGGAGTCTTTGCAGTCTACTGAGACAAGACAGGAGCTGTTGGCTCCCTGGTCTGCACTAAAGCATACAGTAATGATACTAAAACTCTGTTTACATCTTGCATTACCATCAGATCTGGCTGACCTGTTTGCAAGTGACTGCCTTTAAAGCAGTGGTTCTCAAGTCCAGTCCTCGAGCCCCCCAGTCCTGCATGTTTTAGATGTTTCCCTGCTCCAACACACCTGATTCAAATGATCAGCTCGTTATTAAGCCATTACAAAGCTCGATAACGAGCTGATCATTTGAATCAGGTGTGTTGGGGCAGGGAAACATCCAAAACACACAGGACTGGCCTCGAGGACTGGACTTGAAAACCACTGCTTTAAAGGGATATTCCGGCTGCTTGCTTCTCTAGTTATACCAACTTTAGTAACGACTGCATGATAGCAATACACAGTGGTCTGGGGAGCCATAAACAAACCTCAACCAAAGCGCCACTCTATAGTCACAAATAATGCTCAGAACAGCACCTAACTTCATCAACAGTACATATAGGGTCCTAGCCACAGCACTAGCCACCAAACATCTTTGTAACTTTGCCTAATTTCTTTAGCAAAGAGACTAAACACAACTCACCTACTCTCTTACAGCAGCCGCTTGTTTGTAGCGAGACCTCCAGTTGAGTCAATCAACTGCAGCGGGGTGACGCAGCCCAAGGAAGAACATTTATGATCATTTCTTTATCATTTCCTTGAAGTAATAATCACCATATTAATGCCTTAGCGTCTCGTTCTGATTGCATTTCCATGAAAAAATGATCATAAATGTTCTTCCTTGAGCTGCGTCACCCCGCTGTAGTCCGTAATGGACTGGCTCGAGGTCTCTGTACAAACAAGCAGCTGCTGGAAGAGAGTAGGTGAGTTGTGTTTAGTCTCTTTACTAAAGAAATTAGGCAAAGTTAAACTTAGGTGCTGTTCTGAGCATTATTTGTGGCTATAGAGTGGCGTTTTGGTTAAGGCTCCTCAGACCGTTGTGTAATGCTACAGTGCGGTTGTTACTTAAGTTGGTGTAACTAGAGAAGCAAGCGGTCGGCAGCATTCATCTCTCGAGGGGGTGTCTAGTTAAGTCAAGTCAAGGTTTATTTATAAAGCACCTTTAAAACACAGCAGTCAAACAAAGTGCTGTATATGGGATAAATAAAAGAAGTAAATAAATAGATAGATAACAATGAAAAGTAAAATTAAAACAGTAGACAATAAAAGAATAAAAGCTACAGTGCCTCTGATTCCTGTGTGCTCATTTATTAATAGCAAGGGAGAAAAGGTGGGTCTTTAAAGATGATTTAAAAGACTCTAAGGTCTGAGAGGCTGGGTAAACTGATCCACAGTCTAAGGGCAACCGCCGAAAAGGCCCTGTCACCTCTAGACTTGAGTCTGGTTTTCGGGACGATCAAAAGTAACTGACCAGAGGACCTCAAGGCTCTGGCTGGGGAGTGGTGATGCAGGAGCTCGGACAGGTAAGGAGTCTAACTCAGTGTTATGGTGTGTTTGACCCTATATTAATTTTACGCCGGAATATCCCTTTAACTTATCTGAGTTTTGTTTGACTACTTCAGTAATCAGGTATCTCCAGTGTGCATCTTAACAGCGTCCACAAATGGTGCTAAAACAAGCCTTTGTGTCATGCAGCAACACTGAGGAGACTCATTTTTATTTTTTACCTGTTAGCTCCAGAGGGCTGCACAGTGAGCTCTCAGCCGGGGCCAGCAGAGGCAGGCAGGGGTGTTTGGGCTCGGAGTCTTCCAGACCCTGAACCAGAGGGATGGATGCGTTCTGTACAAACTGCACCAGCAGCTGAAAGAGGGAAACAGAGATTTAGTGCAGTCAAAAAAAAAAAGAAGAAGAACGGGAGCTGTTTCAGTCTCAATCACATCTGGATGGAAAGTGAGCAGGATTACCTCTGGTTTAGAGTCAAGCTCATCTGAAAGCATGGATCACCCTGTTTAGAGCCTGTAGAGAGTCAAAGGATTACACTTAGAGACAAGAGGCACAACATAGAGCTGAAGTTGACTAAAGTGTAAGGATGATACACAACTGTACATGTCCGTGTCTCCTGATGATAGCGGGCCAATTGATGCCCTTTTAAACTGCATTTTAGACATTACGTCCTGGATGGCAGCCAACTTCCTGCAGCTCAACCAGAGGTTCAAGTTATTGGTCCTGAAGGCCTGAGAGAGACACTTTTACCAAAACTACAAGATTTTAAAGTATCAACATCTGTAAAAAACCTAGGCGTAATTTTCGACTCTGAGCTCTGAGCTGACGAGGGCCAGAGGGCGGGAGCATATAACGCCAGTTTTAGCATTGCTGCATTGGCTCCCCGTCCGTTTCAGGATTGATTTTAAGATACTTTTATTAGTTTTTAGATGTATTAATGGTCTTGGCCCCTCCTATTTATCTGATTTACTTTTACCATATCAATCCTCACCGACCCTGAGGTCCTCAGGCACAGGCCTTTTAACCTTACCCAAAGTTAAATGAAAACACACGAGGAGGCGGCATTCAGCTTTCAAATTTTATGGTCCCCGGTTGTGGAACAGCCTGCCGGAGAGCCTCAGGGCCGCAGAGATTGTTGATGTTTTTAAGAAGAGGCTCAAGACTCACTTTTTTAACCAGGCTTTTTACTAATTGCCATTTTATATTTCTCTTATTGCAAATGTTCATTTTAATCAAAGTTCTTAATGTTTATTTTATGTCATTCCATTAATTATCTCTGCTCTTAGTCTTTCTCTTAATTTCCCGTCACAGGTTTTTACTTCTTTTACCCCTTTTTTTATATGGTAAAGAGCTTTTACTTATTTGTTCATTTAACATGACTTTCTTGTTTTAGTCCATCAGGTTTAGGTCTTTCTTTTTAACATTTTATTTCTATTTTCAACTCCAGTGTTTCCTAAAGGTAGCTCTTTCCTCATGTAATGTCTCCGTGTCAGGCCACGTCTATCTAACAATATATCTTAAGTTCTCACACTGTGTGCGGTTGTGTGTGTGTGTGTTTATGTGTGGGTGAGTGAGAGTGGGTGTGTGTCTTTGGGTGCGTGTGGGTCCATGGATGTGTGTGTGGGTGGGAGGGTTGGGTTTTATTGTCACTATTGTTGTTTAAAGTTGAATTTGAATGTGATGAAAACATACCTCAAATGTGACCTGCTGCTGCTGAATCTGAGGTTCTCTGGTGGTCATGCGCGCAGGTTGTGGGTCATCTTGGAGTCCGGACCATCACCCAGACTGCGGTCCAACAAGACAAAAAGTGAAATTACACAGAGTGACTGCTTGGCCACATTTTTTAAACTGGACTTAACAGCTGTTTAGATACTATCACTTCTTCTTAAAGCCCTGAATCTGTCTCAACTGTTTTCATTTACAGACTGCGTGATTAACACAGCTAGCATGGTTAGCATTTACTTCACCATCTACCGGGGTTAACACAAGATGTGAGAAACCTGGCACCCAAACTGTAAACAAATAACAATTTTAGTATTCTTAAATCTTGATATTAACGTAGAATAAATGTTTACCTCGTAACAGTTATCCAATTGAAGCTAGAGTGTGACAGCTGCTAGAAGACTATTGTCCCAAAACAGAGTAGCAGGTTTATTCTACGGAGTCTCGGATGGATCAATGTTGGAGCGCTTCCGCGTTTCGCACAGAGGGTTGCCGTGTCACCGCCGCCACCTAATGGTCAAAACTTTGAACTGCGAGAGGAGGCGGAATTCACTTTGGTATCAGACACCTGGAGGCACTTTTTGCTGTGTAAATACGCAATTAAACCTCAACTAATCTTTAAATATATATATATATATATATATATATATATATATATATATATATATATATATATATTAGATTGTAACGGCGGCCACCTGTTGGGGAATGTGTGTAGAGAGAGAATTACATTTTCTGTTTTAGCTTTCGTTTTGAAAATTTCCATATTCTAAAGCTTAAGGTGATATCAAATAATAGTCTTCATTATTATTGTTGTTTTGTCTGAGTTCTTTCTGTTCTATTTAAAGTTATTGACAAGACAGCAAAATAGAGACAAGAAAAATGAAGGGTAGTTGGTGCTAATGGTGCCTATGACACAGAAATTTATATCCATATATAATGTTTACTCAAATTTCAAGAATAAAGAGTTTGAGTAACACTTTACTTGACGCCTATCTCTATAACGCATTATAAATATATGTATAATGCGTTATAATCACGTTATAGCACTGTATAACTATAGTTATAAACACTCAGAAATGATCATAATGCTTTATAGCAATAATCATAACATCTTATAAAGCATTTTATCATGACTTACAAGGTCAGGTATTATAATGTGTTTTGTTATGTTATAGTGATAGGCATCAAGTAAAGTGTTACCGTGCCGGACAATCGTTTCCTGCTGATTATAACACTAATTTAATCTAACTTCAGTATCAGTGCATCTGTATGATCTGCAAAAGAAAAGAAGACCATCAGCAAAAAGATTCTCAATAAGTGATGGTGAAATCAGATTTAAATAATGTCCATTTTGGAGATCTAGGAACATAAACAACAGTTCGGTAACTGTGATGGACTAGATCGAGACTCTCCATGCTGCCACTGCCCATATGAATGAGATAAGTTCAGCCTTTTTCTGTTTAGTTTGTACTTTTAATTAATGACATCAAGGTGGATCTCAGGAAACAACTAAAACTAGGGCCCCGTTGGGGCACTGGCGGGCCCGAGCCGTGTCACGCCGCCCCCAGCGCGACCGCCTCCCCCACCCGATCGCGTCACACTCAAGGTCCAAAGATGGTGTGCGCACTTGTTTGTGGTCATTTACCATTATAATGAACGGGAGGCGCAGTTTCTACCAAAACGCTCGCTGCAGAAAAACTCCATGTCCTATTTGAAAAAAGTCTGGACCATGAGTGAGGGCACAAACACAGCTAAGATATATCCAAATGGCAAGTTGCTCCTCCTTTCGCTTTTGCCGAGAGAGCAGTGCGTTTGAGCCATTGAATGATGAACAGGAAAAACTTGACTTTATTCTCCTGCCATGGGGGGGCGCTCTTTTAACGAGAAAAAACTCCTTCACAAATGTGTTGATGGCTGGACATTGCATCATCCTAGAAAACATGGAGGCCAGTGAGGACAAAAATAAAAAGTTATAAGACTTTTAAATATGTGGATTTTACGGTTATCTTTGGCGCCCCCTAGAACCTAAACCGTGGGGTGCAGCGTCATGATTTGAATAACTTTTAATGGCCATGGGGTGTAGATTGGCCTGAGCAAATGTGGTGCCGGTGGAACGAAAGCCTTCGGAGGAGTTAGCGAAATTCCAATGTGTGCGAATCTGCAAAAAATGCGAAATAACCCTTTAACCGTACATTTGACAGATACATGGCCATTGACTTTTTCGAAGATCTTATTGAAATACACGTGTGTGTAAAATTTTGTGTCAATACGACAAAACATACATGCGTAGCACTCAACAATGTGTATTTTTACCTTAGTGGACAAGAAAAAATGGACTTTTTTCTCCTGCCATGGGGGGGCGCTCTTTTGGCGAGTAAAAATTCCTTCACAAATGTGTTGATGGCTGGACATTGCATCATCCTAGAAAACTTGGAGGCCAGTGGGGACAAAAATAAAAAGTTATAAGACTTTTAAATATGTGGATTTTACGGTTATCTTTGGCGCCCCCTAGAACCTAAACCGTGGGGTGCAGCGTCATGATTTGAATAACTTTCAATGGCCATGGGGTGTAGATTGGCCTGAGCAAATGTGGTGCCGGTGGAACGAAAGCCTTCGGAGGAGTTAGCGAAATTCCAATGTGTGCGGATCGGCAAAAAATGCGAAATAACCCTTTAACCGTACATTTGACAGATACGCCCGCACTGACTTTTTTGTAGATCTTATTGAGATACATGTGTGTGTCAATTTTTGTGTCATTTTGACAAAGCGTACAGGCGTGACAGTCAATAGTGTGAATTTTCACCTTAGGGGGCGCTATGGAGCCATTTTGCATTTTCTTGTTTGGGCGACTTCGGAATATCAAATTTTTCACCAGGCCCGGTCGTCCTGCCAAATTTCATGAGTTTTCGCCAGTGGGAAGTGGGCCATTTTCCAGTTCAAAGGGGAGGAAAAATAATAATAACTAGGACCCCGTTGGGGCACTGGCGGGCCCGAGCCGTGTCGCGTCCCCCCCCCCCCCCCCAACGTGCTGCCTTCCCGTCCCATTTGTGTCCTCTGGCCATCGCCCTCTCTGGTAACGCCCATCACTGCAAAGACCCTTTTCCTTCATCGGCGTTTGCTGTTCTTCCTGCCAGTGCGTGTTGCTTTCACTTACACTTGCCACAGCCAGCCTCGTGAGTGCCTAGCCTATTGGATATCACTGTCACCTACACAGGACAGTCATTACCTTTCTATTAATACTTTGTGTTTTAATTTCACATTAATTTCCATATTGTATAAACGACTGGAAAAAACTTGAGCCCCTGCCCCTGTATAATCATGTGCATGTCTCTGTTCTAGCTCCAAGGTGAATCTTCACTGCTCATGTTCTCCTCAGAAGCACTCACCTCACTCCCCTCAGGTTACTGTACACATGCACCAACTGCCTGCTTCAGGTTTGGATGGAGCTTCATGGTTGTCTTTTGGAGAAATGACCAGTCAAGTTGTGTTTGAAATTTGATTTTTTCAGGGGCAAAAGGAGCCTCTGCATTCTTGTCAAATATGTAAATAGCATGTTTTTGCAGGTGCTAAAAACCAGACTCTGAGTGTGTGTGTGTGTGTGTGTGTGTGTGTGTGCGTGTGTGTGTGTCTGTGTGTGCGTTCAAGTCACATGACATATTTAACCGGATGTAGCTGCAAGACGGAGCCTCGTTGACTCTCTGTTTCAACTTATCTCAAAAGTGAGGACCTCAACCTATATACCAGTTTTTAAATTGTGTTGATAGGCCAAATAAAACCAGAGTTATGATAAATTATGTCCGCGATACTTTTTTTCTGCTTATTTTGATCACGTTCGGCGCTCGATCGCGCTGTATGAGACAGGAAAACATAGCATGCAGACATTAGCGACAGGTCTTACGTCTGGTTCACACTGGAAGCGCCGCGCGCGGAACGGAAGCGCCGCGCGCGCGCAGCGCCGGCTCGCGCTTGGCTGTTCACACAGGAAGCGCTTTCTGCTGCGCTCTGACATGCCGGTCAGACATCGACTGAGCCCGGTAGTGCTCGGCCGTTTCCGTCTGCCCTCAGTTTTCCACACTTACGAGCGCTTTAAAAATGGGTAAATCACTATTTATTTACGTTTTTATTTCGTCATACATGAATTAAATATTGACAGCATCTTCAAGTATTGTTTTAAATTATTATATAGGGGTAAACGACGAATAAATTGGGAAGTCTGTTGACTCCGTTGTATGTATAGCCTTGTTAGCTCGAGGCTATTGACTGTATCGTAATAAAGTCCCCCCCCCTCTTTGTCTCAATAACATCACTGAATCTCTGCAGCTCTCCCTCCGTGTGTGTGTGTGTGTGTGTGTGTGTGTGTGTGTGTGTGTGTGTGTGTGTGTGTGTGTGTTTGTGTGTGTGTGTTCATCGGTAAAAAAAATAGACCGACAAGCAACACCGTCAATCTTTTTCTAATTTATTGAAATTTACTTTATTTTGAAAATTGACCGGATTCTCTCGCATCTCCTTCCTGACTTCCTGTCTGGTCCGATCTGCTCTGTTGAGCTTTACATCGGCGCGCGCGGCTCGCGCCAAAAATAGAGAGAAGCGGAGCAGCCGCGCTCCAGAGCGCGAGCCGTTCCGCGCGCGTGCTGTGTGAACAGTCTCATAGGTTAACATGGGCGCCGATCTGAAACTCTGTGCGCGGCGCTTCCGTTCCGCGCGCGGCGCTTCCAGTGTGAACCAGACGTTACAGGCGGAAAAGGCTTGCCAAAAGAAAAAAAAACACACCACAACATCTCTCCTATTGGTGGAAAACTTCACCACAACAACCAATCCAAAATTATATGGTGACTGATTGACAAGGGGCGGGCGCTTACGTTCTTCCTGCAACATGAGAAGGGAGGGAGGGACTCTCAGCAGGGATGCAGTCTGGGACACGTAGTTGCAAACCTAGCGACTTTGTTGTTAGATTCAATGACTTTTCAGACCCCCTAACAACTTTTTTTTAGAAAGAAAGGGACTTTTATCGACTTCTTCTGGAGTTTAGAGACTCTGACATGAAGCAGGCTTTCCTTACTGAGGAGTTAGCAACGCTGCTAAGGGTGCAGAGCCACACATGCGCTCAGAGCTCTGCATGGGAGACTGAAGCTGACAGAGCTGCAGCAGTTAGCAGGTTTCACCCTCAGAGACCACCAGGGGTTCATGTTGAGGCATTTTGAATTTTTTTTTTTGTGCCATAGACACTGTCAGCACAATCTGCAGTTACACTAACAAAAATGCTGCAAAAAACAAAGAATTATGGAAAAATTACACATGGACTGACATAGAGGAGGATCTACACAAGTTTTTTACATCATGTTTTACATCATGCATCATTTACATCATGTTTTTTTGTAGTGGCATAAATAAAAAGTGACATTTGTGAGACTATACAGTGTTTTGTAAATAATTTTACAAAGAACGCCTGGGCCATTGCCTGCATTTTGATGTAAATAGAGGTAAATCACTATGTTCTTTGTTTAAAATTTGCATATGTTTTGAAGTTTACAATTTTTATTTGAAGTTTAAGTTTTAAAAACAGTTCATCACACATATTTGTGGTTTTCACAGTAAAAATGTTACTTTTTTCCACTCGGATTTTATGTTTTGTGTGTGAATTTGGGTCCATTGTGTAAATTCAGTATGTCAACATGATAAAATAACTGTAAATTCGCACAGGTGAGGTTGTGCTGAAAAAAATGATACCAGGTAAGGCACGTGATTGTCAAATTTTGTGTCAATATGACAAAGCGTATAGGCGTGAATCTCAACAATATGTATTTTCACCTTAGGGGACAAGAAAAAATGGACTTTTTTCTCCTGCCATGGGGGGGGCGCTCTTTTGGGGAGTAAAAATTCCTTCACAAATGTGTTGATGGCTGGACATTGCATCATCCTAGAAAACTTGGAGGCCAGTGAGGACAAAAATAAAAAGTTATAAGACTTTTAAATATGTGGATTTTAGGGTTATCTTTGGCGCCCCCTAGAACCTAAACCTTGGGGTGCAGCGTCATGATTTTGATAACTTTTAATGGCCACGGGGTGTAGATTGGCCTGAGCAAATGTGGTGCCGGTGGAACGAAAGCCTTAGGAGGAGTTAGCCACATTCCAATGTGTGCGGATCGGCAAAAAATGCGAAATAACCCTTTAACCGTACATTTGACAGATACGCGCGCATTGACTTTTTCGTAGATCTTATTGAGTTACATGTGTGTGTCAATTTTTGTGTCATTTTGACAAAGTGTATAGGCGTGACACTCAACAATGTGTATTTTCACCTTAGGGGACAAGAAAAAATGGACTTTTTTCTCCTGCCATGGGGGGGCGCTCTTTTGGGGAGTAAAAATTCCTTCACAAATGTGTTGATGGCTGGACATTGCATCATCCTAGAAAACTTGGAGGCCAGTGAGGACAAAAATAAAAAGTTATAAGACTTTTAAATATGTGGATTTTAGTGTTATCTTTGGCGCCCCCTAGAACCTAAACCTTGGGGTGCAGCGTCATGATTTTGATAACTTTCAATGGCCACGGGGTGTAGATTGGCCTGAGCAAATGTGGTGCCGGTGGAACGAAAGCCTTTGGAGGAGTTAGCGAAATTCCAATGTGTGCGGATCGGCAAAAAATGCGAAATAACCCTTTAACCGTAATTTTGACAGATACGGCCGCACTGACTTTTTTGTAGATCTTATTGAGATACATATGTGTGTCAATTTTTGTGTCAATATGACAAAGCGTACAGGTGTGACAGTCAATAGTGTGAATTTCCACCTTAGGGGGCGCTATGGAGCCATTTTGCATTTTATTGTTTGGGCGACTTCAGAATATCGAATTTTTCACCAGGCCCGGTCGTCCTGCCAAATTTCATGAGTTTTCGCCAGTGGGAAGTGGGCCATTTTCCAGTTCAAAGGGGAGGAAAAAGAAGAAACTAGGGCCCCGTTGGGGCACTGGCGGGCCCGAGCCGTGTCGCGCCGCCCCCAGCGCGACCGCCTACCCCTCTTGATCGCGTCACACTCAAGGTCCAAAGATGGTGTGCGCACTTGTCTGTGGTCATTTACCATTATAATGAATGGGAGGCGCAGTTTCTACCAAAACGCTCGCTGCAGACAAACTCCATGTCCTTTTTGAAAAAAGTCTGGACCATGAGTGAGGGCACAAACTCAGCTAGTATATATCCAAATGGCAAGTTGCTCCTCCTTTCGGTTTTGCCGAGAGAGCGATGCTTTTGAACCATTGAGCGATGGGCAGGAAAAACTTGACTTTTTCCCCCTGCCATGGGGGGGCGCTCTTTTGGGGAGAAAAAATTCCTTCACAAATGTGTTGATGGCTGGACATTGCATCAGCCTAGAAAACTTGGAGGCCAGTGAGGACAAAAATAAAAAGTTATAAGACTTTTAAAAATGTGGATATTTGGGTCCTCTTTGGCACCCCCTAGAACGTAAACCGTGGGGTGCAGCGTCATGATTTGTACAACTTTGAATGGCCATGGGGTGTAGATTGACCTGAGCAAATTTGAAGCCGATGGGACAAAAGCTTTAGGAGGAGTTAGCCACATTCCAATGTGTGCGAATCGGCAAAAAATGCGAAATAGCCCTTTAAACGTACATTGAACAGATACGCTCGCATTGACTTTTTCGTAGATCTTATTGAGATACATGTGTGTGTCAAATTTTGTGTCATTTTGACAAAGCGTAAAGGCGTGACAGTCAACAATGTGTATTTTCGCCTTAGGAGACAAGAAAAAATGGACTTTTTTCTCCTGCCATGGGGGGGCGCTCTTTTGGCGAGTAAAAATTCCTTCACAAATGTGTTGATGGCTGGACATTGCATCATCCTAGAGAACTTGGAGGCCAGTGAGGACAAAAATAAAAAGTTATAAGACTTTTAAGACTGTGGATTTTTGGGTTATCTTTGGCGCCCCCTAGAACGTAAACCGTGGGGTGCAGTGTCATGATTTGTACAACTTTTAATGGCCATGGGGTGTAGATTGGCCTGAGCAAATGTGGTGCCGTTGGAACGAAAGCCTTCGGAGGAGTTAGCGAAATTCCAATGTGTGCGGATCGGCAAAAAATGCGAAATAACCCTTTAACCGTACATTTGACAGATACGCCCGCACTGACTTTTTTGTAGATCTTATTGAGATACATGTGTGTGTCAAATTTTGTGTCATTTTGACAAAGCGTTAAGGCGTGACAGTCAACGATGTGTATTTTCGCCTTAGGAGACAAGAAAAAATGGACATTTTTCTCCTGCCATGGGGGGGCGCTCTTTTGGCGAGTAAAAATTCCTTCACAAATGTGTTGATGGCTGGACATTGCATCATCCTAGAGAACTTGGAGGCCAGTGAGGACAAAAATAAAAAGTTATAAGACTTTTAAGACTGTGGATTTTTGGGTTATCTTTGGCGCCCCCTAGAACGTAAACCGTGGGGTGCAGCGTCATGATTTGTACAACTTTTATTGGCCATGGGGTGTAGATTGGCCTGAGCAAATGTGGTGCCGGTGGAACGAAAACCTTCGGAGGAGTTAGCGAAATTCCAATGTGTGCGGATCGGCAAAAAATGCGAAATAAACCTTTAACCGTACATTTGACAGATACGCCCGCACTGACTTTTTTGTAGATCTTATTGAGATACACGTGTGTGTCAAATTTTGTGTCATTTTGACAAAGCGTACAGGCGTGACACTCAATCATGTGAATTTTTCACCTTAGGGGGCGCTATGGAGCCATTTTGCATTTGATTTTTTGGGCGACTTCAGAATATCGAATTTTTCACCAGGCCCGGTCGTCCTGCCAAATTTCATGACTTTTCACCAGTGGGAAGTGGGCCATTTTCCAGTTCAAAGGGGCAGAAAAATAATAAGAAGAAGAAGAAGAAAGAAGAATCCATCAGGAATAATAGGGCTCTCGCAGCTGCTTAGCAGCTACGCTCGGGCCCTAATAATAATAATAACAAAAGAAGGAAACTACAGGAACAAGAGGGCTCTCGCAGCTGCTTAGCAGCTACGCTCGGGCCCTAATTAACTTATCACGAAGAAATTAACTAGGTGACATGTTTGGTATATGTAGGTTTCGGGCTTCCATACAATTGAGCTACATACTGAGAAAATTACTCTTGCATGAGTCGTCCAAAATATATTTCCATCCTCTGTGGTTACATTCACCTTCATAAGCCAGCAAGTATCCAACCAAAACTAATAAGCTGCAAATGATATAACAAGATTGGATAATTAAGAGCTGGAGCTTGGAGAGAGTACTTTATTGGTCCTTGGCCAAATAAACTGTTTGTCTACAGCGCTTCATGTAACATCATTTTGAAGTCAGGATCTCAGTTATTTTGCATAACTGACGTAATGTTTTTGATCTTAAGGCATCAGCAGCAAGAGTTCAGGCAAAACTTTCTGCCTCCAGATGTCTGATCCTCCACTCACAGCCTCTCAGCTCGCTTGTGTGATTATGAAGGTGCGTGAACTCTAAAAATATTTCTATCCTCTTTCTCACTCCTTTTCAAAATTCAGAACATGTTGTACCTCCTTGTGTGAACCTTTCCTCCTTAATATATTCAAGAGATGGTTACACCAATCCTGACTGAAACCTCTTGTTAAAAAAACAGGACGAGAACATCTTTTGAGTGACATTTATTACACAAGCCATGAAGCTTCAACTTTAACTGTACAAAAAAGCCCTAAAAGTCACACAAAAACCCTTTTAATCATAGTTTATTGTTCTTTGATTGACAGAGCTGAAGAATCAGTATTAATTACAAGCTCAATTTCATGTATGTATGAGTAAATCCTCCACAGTGGTGAGTCTCAGGGGGATTTGAACAGTTTCATATTTACATGTTCAGAATGTGTTTTTAAAAAGTTGACAGAAAGCCAGACTACATTCAGTTTGCCTGATTTCTACGACAGGAATTGTTTGAGCTACTGATCACATTGCTGGTGCATGACTAAAAACATGGTAATAGAACAATCACGACTTATTTCACAAACATTTTCATCATCCTTAGAAAGTACAGAAGGCGGACTGAAAAGCACTGAGGAGACGAAGCTGCCGACGTTTACGTGAAAAACTGAGAGTCCAGTGTTACACAATCACAGATATCCTACTGTACGGAATGAAGCGGTCGACTTTTTTTTTGAAGTATTTTGTTGGGTGTTTGTAATAATGACGGCGATATAGAGATTTGCAGTTTAAAACAGTTCAGTCATTAGTCCATAACATGGATGGGATCCGAGACACAGCAGTGTGGATCCATGTAAACAAACCAAACTTTAGATTACAGTGAGCTCATGGGAACCGTACAGAAGCTAAAAAGTGTGCCAAAGTAAAAACCTCTTTAAAAGATGGGTATGACCAGGTCTGTTGTGCTTCCATCACTCAAAACATCATTGCTTTTCTCTGTATCATTGCGTGTCCTTCACCAGATTAAAGACAGACTGGTCCCTAAGAGTTTTAATCGCTTCAGTGATGATTGTAGACGTTTAAAGTTCAGGTGAAAGAGAAAAAGAAACTGAGAAACTACGCTCTAAAATTTCAGCTGTCTTCATCAGAGTGTCTTAGTAAGACCTTTATTAAGGACACAGTATGTTATGATATTACTGTTTGTATTCAAGATAAGAGTAAGATGTGTCACAAGGTTGTAAGAATTTTTCTACCTCTGATATTTGGAAAAAAAGGAAAATATTTAAGCATAAAGGGGGAAAAAAAGAGGCTCAGTCGTGTATGAATGTGAGGTCTTCTGAAGACAGGGTGAAACGATAACAGCATTCCTTGACTTGATAAAGCGGATAGATTCACAATGTTATCCTGACATGGCCTCCACCTCATTATTACTGCAGAGACATGTCTGGCTGCACATTAGTTCAATGTTGTTGAAGGACACAACAAGCTTACTTACGATAAAGCTTAAAGCTGATTAAATTTTCACACAAGTCAGGAGCTTCGCTATCAACCAATTCCAGCTTTTCAGAACTGCTTTGATAAACTGTAAGAGTCGACTTTTGAAAAAGACGGACTCGCGATCTGCTACTGTGTCCTTTTTTTTTTTTCAGAGTAAAGACATGTCCGGCTCTGACATACCTGCTGACACACAGAGCAGCTCACACAGTATATAAACTGGAAGTCGATCGTTGTGCTTTGGACTCTTCGACAGGCTGAGATAGTGAAAGCGTGATAGCGTCATCTCATTCAGAAAAGAGCTGTTCAGTTGGTGAGTGGAAAACAAGACGACACATGATCCCTTTTAAGTTAACATGATAAAAAATAATATTTAAATGTGACAGAACATGCGAAAACATATTGCATATACAGAGGAAACTGCTGGTTCAAAAATAATCGGACAATATTGATGTAATGCATGGCTGTACAATAGGAAAAGTACATATTCACTGGTAGCTTTCTTATGATGCCTCTCAATGCACTTCAAGTACTGTAACATAGACAACAACAAAAAAAAGAAAGTTTAGTTGGCAAATGAGCTACCATAGCTGCCGTCAGATTCTGCCCAGAGATTACATCACAGCCACCCTCAGGTTTTTATTAGTGCAAATGGTGAACCTCTGCAGCGTACATCTGGTTTGGATATTAAGGCCATAATTTATAAGAGTCCAACGAAAAACTCTGCAACCTAATTTGGACGTTGTAGCTGTTAGACTTCCTCTGTGATTCTGGACTCAAGCGCAACTATCGGTCTTCATCGAGAAACCCGGTATGACGGACGTAGCACAAAGGTTCACATAAAAGCAGTCAGAATAGAAGTTAAACAGAAAAATAAAATAGCTGGAAATGAGATTGGAAAATATTAACCTGTTAAATAACATCCATGTGTACAATATATAAAATTAACAGTTTATAAAGCACGTACAAGTCTCAGTGAACCAAAGGAAGCACCCTTTTATGCTGGAATCACACCAGGGAAGCATCCGAATGGCTGTTAAGAGCTTTTTCTTCCCTCCTCCAGCCAGTTAACTGCCTTCTACAGCCGCTGTCGACACGATGGGAGCGCTGAACTTAAAAACCGTTAACAAGAAGAGCCGAATCTTCCACAGCGAGTCTGGAAATGCAGCCGGAAACCAAAATGACACTTAAGGCGCGTGTTTGTCTGTTTTAAAGATGCTGACTGGTGAGAGGCTCTGGATGCGTTCGGTGACATGAGAGTTTTAATCATCAGCTTTACGTAACTGGAACTGCCGCACGCTAATAACTCCGATTATGGGCACGCTTTGAATGTCAGCTGCAGCTCGTTATCACAGTTTAGAGACCTGACATGAAGATGTAAAAACTATGAGATTGTCAATCTTATTACTCCGTGTGTTGAGTCATTCTGAAGCCAATATGAGCAGTCCACTGATGTTTCACACCTCAAAGTTTCCATCCTCGGGGGTTTCCATCAAGCTTTTCGATTCAGAGCCTGTGTTGTGTATTCAGTAAAATAAAGAGTTTTATATTTATCCCTTTCATACCTCCGATCCAAATCTCTCAGGGCTTTAGGTCTTGACTGCAGTTGAGTCGAATATTTCTGCAGTTTCGACAGAAGAGCTGTAGACGGTGTGGCGGAACAGCGAGCAGTACTTCTGGTTTTAATCAAACTCGGGTCTCTGATCACATCCTGTCTGTTTGTATAGACATAAAGCACCTCTCTGCCTCAGTCGCTGAGGTTTCCGTGTGGAAAAACTACATATGCTGGTGGTGCAGTTATCCGAAGAGGAATTATGGGATATGGCAGTTTATTAGCTTGCCTCAAATTGCTCTGACCACAGAAGGTTGTTCTTTGAGTATTGCTGTGGATTCTACACTACATAACTCTCAGTCAATCATCTTGAGCGGCCGAATGAGACACCTTTTTTTTCCCAGGGACAAAGAAAGTGGTGAAGTGGTTTTTCTCGCTCCTCTTGCTGTAAAGTTTTCTGGACTGCAAACACAAATCGCTGACTAAAACATTTCCATCCGCACAAGTGCAGAACATATGTGCGTGTTGGCAGTCAACTTGCCATCAGCTACACTCTTCAAGTGCACTTTTTTTTTTAAACAGAAGACAAGAGGCAACGAAAAGTCTTGATCTTCACCAAATCTGAGAGCTCTAACGTGACGTATTGGGTCCCTGAGGCGGCCGGCAGCCAAAATGTAGGCCAAAGCTCGCTCTCTGTGCGCAAATGTCGAGTCTGGGGGTGTGAGTGTATTGTGGAGCACATTACTTTCGGTCCACTCGTCTCCACATGTCCCAAACCCCCCACCCTGTACCCCTCCCGTTTCAGTCTACAGGATTATTGTCTTGCTCTAGTCCCGGTCTAATCTTCCTTCAAGCTGGTCTCAGCAGCGTTCTCCCTGTCTTTCTCTTGGTCCATTTCCTGGAGACTGGTCTGCAGTTTCAAACAGATGCTGGTGTCGCCGCTCCACACCGCCTGAAGGAACAGGTCCGTGTGCTCCTTCAACTGGTCCAGGTCGCTTTGGGTGCGCCGGTTCTGCCGGTGGAGCTCCTTGGTGCGTAGCGCGATGTCCAGCAGGCCGGATTTACTCAAGATGTTGTACGTGTTGCAGAAGCGTTTCCTCTTGTTATCGGCGTCACTGTCTCCTGACGAGCTGCTCTCTTGGGGAGACCCAAAGGGAACGGGCAGAGTCTGGGCTGTCGAGCCTGTGCTTTGAGAAAAAGACAGGGGGCTGGTAAGCTCACATTGGCTGACAGCTGGTGAGGGCCTCTCCCTGGCAGGACTGCTGCTGGCGCTGCTTTCCGCGGTGTGCAGAGAAAGTCGACTCTGCAGCAGAGGAGACAGAGGGCTGGGGCTCGAAGGAAGACTGGGAGTGGTAGAGACGGGGTTGATGGATAAAGCGCTCAAACTTTTCTGCTGCTTCTCTCTCTGACAGTGTTCTCGGTGGGTGGAGGTCGAACCGCCGCCTCTCTTTGACTCTGATGAGGAAGAGGAGGTGGTGGAGGAAGATGAGGAGGCGGTCCCTCTCCCCGAGGAACTGGAGCTGTCTCCGGGATACGGAGCGATTTTGGGGTAGGATTTCAAGATCGGAAGATACTTCTTAGGGCGTCTGTGTCTGGAGGAGGCGTCTTTGGAGGCGGAGGATGCCTGACGAGAGACCACAGGCTGGAGAAAGACCACCTGAGGTTGCTGGACCACAGGCTGAACCACCTCCACTGTGGGACTGAATCCCCAGGGCTTCAGAGCTGGAGGATTATCTCCAGGCTGCAAAGGCAGAAAAGTCTAAAATTAAGTACTTTGAAAACACTTGTAATTGAGTTGTTACTAAGAAAGATTCAAAAAATGAGAATTGACGACAAACTATGACACATACACACAGAAAACAACCAAAAATCATATATGCTGTTCATTCAGGTCGGATGATTGAATTTCAACAAAACAGAAATGCGTTCAAATGATCCTTACAAACAATTTTATATTTGATGTAACACACACATGTATGAGAAATAGGCTAATGACCCAAATCATCCACTTTTTTATACTGTATATTATTTCTCTGTCAATCATTGTTCTGTAACAGCTTGAGCATCACCACCCACAGTGTTGCCATGGCAATATAGCAATCTGACAGTTGTTGGATGATAACCAACTCCCCTCTCAGGACTTGGTGTCTGATCTGGGTCTACTGACGACAGGTTCAGCCCACTCTTGATCTGTTTATGTGACAGCTGTTATGGGTCGACCTCTGGTTTTCCAATCTCGGGTCTCTGGTTGCATCCTGGTGCTTTTTCTCAAACAATTACATTACATAATAAAATAAAAACTCACCCCTGTCCGCTTTCCCACACATGCACGCCTTCCTTTCTCTCTCCTTCTGTCCTTGGTGGTACAGAAATGACTTCTATACCTCAAATACCACTAAGGTGATTTCCGTTTGTCGAACCCACCCGCAGGAGGGTGGGATGTCCTGCGGCTCATTCATTCAGACAAACTGCAGACCCATATCGCTGTGTGGTCAAATTGACTGCAGCCAGTACCAGTGTCAAATAATTATTAATAAGGACAAAATAACTCAGTTTGAGATACTCCTACTAGGTAACCAACAACGCTACTGAAACAAAGGCCAACAAGATGAAATGACATTTTAAAAGAAAGAGCATGATAGATGACTGTGGGTTTTTGAAAGGCAAGAAAGCAGTTCATCAGATGAAATATTTATATTCAACGTTTATGTAGATTTACATATTCATATTTAGGGTTTTTGACACTAGGAGTCCAATAAGATTTAGCAAAAAATCTGTAAACGTACAGTACAGGCCAAAAGTTTGGACACACCTTCTCATTCAATGCATTTTCTTTATTCTTTATATAAACATTACCCGTCTTTGCCCATCTCTCCCCCTCCCTGCGGCAGAAACCCTGGTCCACGCCTTCATTACCTCAAGGTTAGATTACTGCAACAGCCTGCTGTACGGTCTACCCTCCAAACTCCTCAACAAACTACAGATAGTCCAGAATTTTGCCTCCCTCCTTCTGACCCACAAAGCCCTTCATCATCAAGCCCTCCCTTATCTCCCCGACCTGCAGTTGCTCCTACCCTCTGGAACTCCCTACCACCCTCCAGCAGATACTGCCCTGACCCCACTACTTTCAAATCCCTTTTAAAAACTCACTTATTAAAAATTGCTTTTAATATTTAACTGTTTTATTCATTTTATTTCTACTGTTTTTATGTCTTTGTTTTATTACCTTGAGTTTTATGTACTATGTAAAGCGTCTTTGAGTGTTTTTAAAAGCGCCGTACAAATAAAATAAACTATTATTATTATTCTCATTACTATTTAAATTGTAGATTCTCACCGAGGGCATCAAAACTATTAATGAACACGTGGAATCATGTGCTCGAGAAAAAACATGTATTACATTTTAGATTCCTCAAAGTAGCCACCCTTTGCTTTTTTGATAGTGCTACAAACTTTTGGTGTTCTCTCAATGAGCTTCATGAGGTAGACACCTGAAATGGTTTTTACTTCACGGTTGTGCCTTGTCAGGGTTTAAGAAACTAGAATATAAAACATGTTTTCAGTTACTTCACTTTTTTTATAAGTACAAAATTCTACATGTGTTCATTCATAGTTTTGATGCCTTCACTGATAATCTACAATGTAAATAGTCATATAAAAAATGAGGTGTGTCCAAACTTTTGGCCTGTATTGTATGTTGATCAGTTGATAGCGCTGAGTTTAATTGGTTCCTATCGTGAGTCTTTTTGTTTTTTTATTATCTAATTAAAAATTCTTTTATTTTTGAGCATGTTCTACTACATCACAGGTCGGCACTTAGGCTCATTCCTGTGAGAATGGTCAGTCTTTTTTGGGTCAGAGCTGCCTGGAAAGTGAGGACACATTAAGTCAGGCCTAAAGGCAGTGACATGTGACCACATTCTTACTGTGACCTACACATACCTTTACCTAAGTTCAAAGGTTAAGAGCTGAACCTGTGTGAAAGCGGAGAGTGAGCTTGTCTACAACAGCTAAGGTTTTGCTGAGTAGAAGCAGTTTTACCTGCTTGAGGACCACGTTATTCATGATGATCATGGGTGAGAGGTTCGAGGAGGAGCCTCCCACCACAGTTAGCTGGGAAGGCTGAGGCCCTGAGCCAGACTTCTGCGGTCCCTGTGGTGCAGCAGGGCGAGGTGAATCCTCTGAGTCTGTGGTGTCCACAGTGCTTGTGTGCTCTGAGCTTGCATCTGTAGACCAGGGAGAAGAGTTAGCGGAGTTAAACTAAGTGATACTATTATTACTATTATTATCCATGCGCATAAAGCTGCGGTAATAACAAGGTTCTACCTGAGAAGCCAGAGTCTCGCTCTGAATCAGTCCGGGAGTCTCCAGACTTCATAATGCGAGGTCTGTTTGCTGCCCTTATGTGGCTCTCTGCCTTCCTTTTGGTGCTCATCTTCTCTTCTATGGTGCAGATTGTGTCTTTTGCTCTTCAGGCTCTCACTGCAACTACATCAGCATATCAAAGACTGGGGATGAAAAAAAAAGACAACCATTGAGAAACTCATTCTTACGTCAGCAACAGACTACTTGTACTCTTCAGAGATCTTAAAATCAGTGTTTCTCCTTGGGTTTGGTGGCGTCTACACAGAAACATACTTCAATCTTATAGAGTGAAAATGTGGCAATACACCTAGGATAATGTACAACAACATCCTTGATGAACCTATCCAGCAATTTTGCACGCTGTAGTTACACCAAATTGTATTCATTACAATAACTGAGTCCATATTTTCGGCTCATTGTAACAATCCCCTTCACAGCCACCCATGACTTGAGTGTACAAACTGACAAAAGTAGCTGCAAAAATAGAAGATAACTCCACCCTTCATACGTGCAAAGACTTAATCTTTCCACACATTCATTCTGTTGGATATATTACAACACTTACTTAAGATAAATGAACTTTTTGCACAATCTGCGGGTATATTTTACACTCCCCACCCCATCGCCATAACTTAAAAGGAAGTACTATACAAACACTTCTACTGATTTTACATGAGTAGATTGACAGAGTGATAATTTTTTACTTATTTTAAGTGAAATAGCATTAAATCTATCGTACTTAAGCCCCAGTAGAATATTGAAGTAGTCTTACCACCTCTGAAGAAAACAAAGCAGAGTGAACTCCCGTCAGGTTAGCTGTGAGGCTAGTTTCCTTTCGGGCTAACTGACGCTTCAACGTTCGAGAGTTCGAATTAGTTTCAAATTACACGACAAAAACGTTCGAAATGACGTGTATACTTTGTCCTCGTTGATGTTCCGACAACGCCTGTCTTCGAATGCGGGGAGCAACGTTCGTCGCCGGCGGGTCGCGGTGCTGTGTGTACCGTCCTCTCTCTCTCACTCTGTCGTTGATAGTGTGTCTGTTGGCTCTGCTGCCTGCTGAGCGAACGAGAACTCGCTGTTCCACGGTACAATACACGAGACTCTCCGCCCCTCCCCTGTTCTCTCGGTCACATGCAGACCACGGTGGCAGCAACCGTTAACCACAGCGCTTTAACGGTCCTCCCCGGGCGTCAAAACAAAATGTAGCCCACCGACAACTTATAGTTATCCATTCATGCGTCGCATTTTGTTCACGGACGGTTAAAACGCGAGAAAAAGGACAGAGTTTCACACAGCCGCTCTGCCATATTTGGTAGTCGGGGGCGTGTCTTCGTGAAGAGTACTAGACGCGTCATTTTCTGTACGTCGCTACGGCCTGTCACCTGGTGTGTTCTTTCGCTTCTGATTGGCGGGTGAAGCCAGCAGCTGAAAAACGTGACAGCAGCCAAATGTGTGGCAAGTTGAGGACATTGTGTTCAAGCGTGTAGTTAGGAGGTGTACACTACAGTACAGTGCAGGCATCTCAAATGTACTGTCAGGAAAGCCCGTGACGAGATGTTTCGAGCGTAATGTTCTTGCGTGTTGCATAATAGTCTGGCTGGCCTACAGCTAACCTAGGCAAAGTAAGTCTCCTCTGCAGCATGTTTTAATAAGTAAACAAACCACTGCTATTAGTACAAAACGTCCTCACGTGTTGCTTTTAACTGCATTTTCACTCCTACATCTTCTTTAAACAGGAGTTGAGTTGTTACATCAATCTCTCTTATAGTACTGTGTAAATTCAGCATAATTGGCCTTTTAAATGCTGCACTAATATGTTTTCTTATTCATTTCAACTTTTCAACAACACCTCAGACATATATGGATTATTATATTCCCATTACTTCACAAACTGACTAGAAATTTTGAGGATACTGCTGAGTGGAAAACTATTCAAGGGTTACCACATGCACATTAATCATCTCACACGTCTATGGAAGGCTTTGAATGGAATACAAACAACAGGGTATTACTGGAGGAAAAAGACCTACAGTGTCCTCAGATGATACCCACTCTAATAGAGCACTAACATAAGTGCAGACAACAAAAGGTTCTTGTGTAGGAGAGATTTTTATTCCACAAACTTATATCAGGCAGAGTGTATATCAATTTACACAAATAGCATGAAGTGATGGAGAAGTTATAACCTCTCTGTCTGACCAGACGGTTAATTAGAAAACTCTTCAGGTTGGACAACAGCCTAAACCCTTTCATTGGCAGCTGACAAGCTTCCAGCACTCACCTATTATGTCTATACCTGTTTTTAATCTCTCTGTGTCTGTGTTGAAAACCCCATTCAAGAGCAACCTGAACTGAAAAAGTCACACTTAAAAGTTAACTTCAGTCCATTAGGAACAGAAGTTACAGACAAGCATTCTGCAGACCTAAGGGTTTCCTTAGGAAATCAATCAAAAAAGGAAGACTATCACAGCCAAGATGGAAAGACTGATGTGTGATGGATACGTGGGTTTAAGAAACAAAAGGACAGACTACAATGTGATGTGATAAATATACAAAAAGTGTTCTCCAGACTTCTCAGAATTAAACTTCAGACATTGATCAATGCAGATCAATCTTGTTTTGAGGAAACTGGCACCTGAAAAATAGAAAAAGAAAACAAGTAGTTTTAATTGGTTCAACAATTTGTTAATGAAATTCATATTTAAAACACGAAGCTTTTAATTTCACCAAATTACATTTGAATTTCAAATGTCCTGGCACAGCTGTGAGGTGGTGAAGCATTTGGTACTATTACAGAACATTATTCACAAGCCTCTGCTGCAGTTTGCTGATCTTACTGCTCGATCTTTTTTCCATCAATAGATGAATTTTTGGCGATTTATCCAAAGAAAAACACAAACCTGTTCAGACACCAAATTAGGAGGCATGGTATAGTGCAATATTTTTGCTGCAAAAAGTGAAATTACAAACACAAAGGTCTGAAGTGCCTGCTCAGCAACATCACTAAGCAGTTCCTGTTTATATTTTAAAACTTTGGTAACACTTTATAATAACTATCCGTTATAACTAGTTAATAGATCATGAGTTAACTGTAAATAATTAGTTATTTCTGACTTATTAAGTGTTTGTTAACAGTTTAAGGACTTATAATGATGCCTTACAGATAGTTAATATATCATATAAACTGTTAGTTAATGAGTTACCTTATGAATTAGTAATATATCATGAACAAGCTATTAGTAAATTACTTACGAATGACTTGTTAAGTTTCAATTAATAATTTTTATATCATTTGGATGGTACTCTAAAGTTGCAACTATTCCTCATTTACTAACAGTTAGTAAATGAGGAATAGTTGCAATAACGCCCCAATTATTATGACCAAATTACCCAAGTAAGTAATTTACTAATAGCTTGTTCACGATCTATTACTAATTTATAAGGTATAGTAATAAATAATTAACATACAGTTAACAAGTCATTTGTAACTCATTAACTAAAAGTTTATATGATATGATGTATTAACTATCTAGAAGGCATCATTATAAATCCTTAAACTATTAACAAACACTTAACAATTCATTAATAACTCATTAATTAACAGATTACTAATGATCTATTAACTAGTTATAATGGACAGTTATTATAAAGTGTTACCAAAACTTTTAAACAATCTCAATTTAAGACTCAACTTTTAAAAGTCACAACATTAACTATAACCAGGAATATTTTTATCCGCATTCACTCATATTTAAGCTGCTTTCTATATTTGCAAAGACTCGCTTACATAGCACTACAACTCACCACCAGACTGAAACATCTGACACTTGGATGCATTACAGAATAAGCCCACAGGTCATAGGACAAGGGGCCAAAGGGTTCATAGGCCCCTCAAGACGAGCGTCTGTTTGAATTGACATGTTTCATCACAGAGCAAAAAGGCGAGTTATTTTTCTTAGCCTCCAAAGTTTAATGTCAAACATTTACTTTGAGACTGCCACAGGGATGAAGCCACCATGAAACAATCAATGTGAATGTTTACTCCTGCAGGTTTTAAGTAGGAAGTTTTTCTCAAATTCAGTTTATGTTCAGCACTGACATTGTATAATTTGTCCCTCTGAATCTGCTGGAATGAATTAAAAAGTCAGCAGCTGTGTGGTCCTCCTGGTCAGGGCTGAAGTTGAGGGTTACAAGATGATGGGGCTGGCCCTACATCATGGTTTGGTTTACAAATAATACGAGCAGAGACAAGTCATAACGCAGCATTAACATGTGCTTGGCAGGAAAACAACAACAATACCATGACCACCCAGGTGATAAAGATGATTAAGCTTCGTAAGTGTGGGGAACCCCCAGACCTCCACCAAACACAGTCTTTCTTTACAGTGGCCTTGAACCTAGAGTCTGCCTTAAAGCTGGTCTGATTTCTTGCTGCTCTTTCAAGGCTGAGGATTCGACGTCCTGTCACTCTGCTTCATTAAAGTCAGTAAAACCTGAAGTCACCCCTGTACACAGATGACCTCACCCCTGTATCGTGCTCTGCTTTAAAGAGGTCAAGTTTTTGTGCCTCAAATACTGATTCAAGGTTCATGCCGTTTTAATTATTAGTGTAACAGAGAATAGAATCACAAGAATTGTTAGCCGAGGCTTCAATGGGACTTCAAATATATCAAAAATCAAACATACTTTGCCTTTCAGTTGGGAATTCTCCTTTAGTAGCACATACAGCGCCTTTTCTTCTGAGCTGTGGTGGACAATCCTTACTTTGTCCATCAATTTGACTAACTTTGACTGCACAGCAACATTTGCATTTCTCCGCCTCATGCAAGCTATTAGCAAGACTGCTAAATTTCGAGAATGCAAACTTGCACAAAAAGAGGAATGCAAATGTTGTCTGCACTGCATATATTTGAATTGTTTAACATAAGATCAGTGGAGGGCACTGTTGTCAGGAGAAATGATAACAGTGCAAGCTTTTTCCATTATACTCATGAGGAGTCAAAAATGTCAAATTTCATAAAGATGAAATTGACTGTACTTAAAATAGACAACACTGCTTAATTTCCACCTAGACCTGTACTGCAGCCAGTCAGCAGAAGGGCTCTAAAATTAGGATTTCAGACTGTGTGACCGACAGTTAAAGTTTAACAAACACGGCTGAACTGACCTTCTTATAAAAAAAAAAACTCAAAGTTTTTCTCTAAACCATAAAACCTGTTCTCAGCTATGACTCATAATCAAGTCTTTTAAGGCCTCTGATTTATCCTTGGCATTTTGGTGTTTGTGGTGACGCTTTCACGGATCATCATTTCAGATTTATTCATATAACAATTTCTTTTGGCAAATGAAAGAAAATGACAGAGTGAAAGACAGGGGTGGAGAGATCACCTGTGACGTACGCTGACCCCTGACCTTTGTATGTCAGCGGACAAATAAATTCACTGCACATAAAACCTTCAGAGCTGGCTATCGATGATGGTTTCGAGTGTCTCTGACTGGCTTGTTCTTAAACGTGTTAGACAAACTTCCTCATCTGGTCCTCATTCGTTCTGTTAATGTGGGTAAAATTATGTACAGTGTTTAACATGACTGAGCGGCCTGCTGAAGAAAAACAAATAAACAAATTAGGCCAGAAAAGACATTTACTGATCTATATATTAGCTCTCTTACAAGAGTAATTCTTCCTCATATGTGTTCTGGTTAGTCGTCTCTAACAGCAGCCTTGGATTACAGTCCTAAAAACCTCTGTGGCCTTAAACCGAAGCACAAACTCGTGTGCTTCAGGAAGAGCAACACAAGGAGATATTTACAGTGATATGGTTTAATCTCGTTGGTCCTTGGAAGTTTGACACAGTGTGGGGGGAACAGTGATAAATGTAGCACTAAATGTCAAAACATTGTGAATTAGTGTGCACACGTGTTTGTGTGTGTGTTTTTATGTGCGCTGCACGAGGGCAATCCGTCTCTTACTTGCCACAGCCGTTTGCCATTTTCTTGAGTTTCCTCCTCCGCGGTCTGTTCTTTATAGACTCACTGCTGCTAAAGAGGAAGAACAAAGTGTGGTTATGATATTAATCTATCAGGTGTGATAGAAAAAACGTCCTTCCACTGACCTCTTGTTATTTGGAAGAACCTGGCGGGCTCTAAAACAGGGTAAAAACAACAACAATCAGCCTCTACTGCAATAAAAAATGACTGATCTGCTCCTGGTTGTTGTTTTTTTTTTTACCTGCATTCACATGTCTGGTGTTCCACAAATGTGAGTTCCACATGGTGCATAGATATCATGGGATGAAGCCTCATCACCTGAGCAGTAAATAAAAGGGAAGTGTTTTAAACAACTTCCATACATTTTTTGGTTTTGATCCATTTCTGTTTAAGGCCTTCGCCGCACCTGCAGAGTGATATTTCGTTCCAGAGTCGACTGGCACTCTAGGTTTTCATCCCCGCAGCAACCTGAGCAACGCCAAAGTGGGACACAAGCAGGCATGTAGATGAACTCCACGTCTCCAGGGTATTCCTGCTCCACATCTACCAACTGCTCCATGGGCCGACACAGGCTCCTTGCCCACACCTCCTGGAATGGCATCACTGCAAGTTTAAAAAGTTTAATTATTGAGTCATTTCCAGGAGGTGTAAATACCAAGATGCAAACATAAAAAAAAAGAGAGGAAAATACCTTTGGAGTGACTTTCTTCTGGAGGATATGAAACCTGTTAGATGTATAAAAACAAGATTTATTTACTGGCATTTCACCCAAATAAAGAATGAAAAAAAGGTCAAAACAAAGCTGCGGTGAAAAAAAAAAGTGCCTGAAGTCAATCAGAAATCTGATACAGGTGAGAAATGATGTGACCTAAATAACTGTGGGTTCATTGGGCTGTTGCAGAGCACTCTCTAGTGGTTAATAAAAGTATCACACACAAACAGATCCAGTAAAAACAATGATGCAGCGTGGTGTACCACTGTGCCGCTGTTTGCAAATCAGCAAAAAGCAGTAAAATGAGCCAGCTGCCAAAATAAAACCCACTTGATTTCTCAATTTGTTGTAATCCTAGACAGTTTATATTAAAAGATGTGAAAACTCTCAAAGTATGCAAAGAATAACAACAAAGAATAGCTTTTCCTGACTCAGGGGAGGTTTTCACCCAATCAACACAGAGAAAACAAAGGCAGTACAGAAAAGTGTCATGACACAGCAGGATTTTTTTTTGTTCTCACAGCCCAGCATCCAAACTCAAGATGGAAATGCTCCCCATTTTTGAGAGCCAAATTGAGCAGAGAGACAAAGTGAAAAGTTGATTTTGGCTCACGTCTTCTTTTGAATATCAACAATGTGTCTGTGACTCCTCACCTCGCTCTGTGAACACTGATGGGAACGCTGCAAATGTGTAACACACAATGCTTCAGGGCTCAGACAACAGCAGGTTTTAGTGTGAGTGTGCGCTGTATCGAAAGAGTGTGCACTGCTTTTTTAGTCGATGAAATAAGATGCATTTTAGTGGCAGTAAAAAGTGCAAAACACTCAACACCAAATATACAATAATTGAACGTGTGCATAATCTCAGTCAACAGGCTTACAAATACAAGGTCCTTTAAACATGCTGCAACTGTTGCCCTCTGTAAAAAAGTAAATCTCTCATGCTGACTGTCTGTATTATTTTACATGGATACATTTAAGCATGTTTGTCCATTGATTTATTTCTAACCTGTTGCACCTGGACAATCATTATGAATCTGCCTAACTCTGTGTTACTCCGTGAAACAAACTCAAACTGACACTAATGTGTTTTTAGGACCTACATAAGCAAACAAGATCATCAGGAACAAGACTGATTATTTCTATATTACAATTTTTAATGCTGGAAATCGCTGTGGGGGGTCGGTTTCAAACTCGTTCATATACTGTAGATCAGTGGTTCTCAACTGGTCTCACTCTGGGGACCCACATTTTCCCATAGTCCTTAAGTCGCAACCCACTTTTATAGAATTTAAACCAAGCAAAAAAAAACTTTAAAGACTCTAATCTATAACATAAATCCACTTGTTTTATTGAATAAAGTGCATTTACTCAACATGAGGACGACAACTACTGAAGTTCCGTAAACAGAAAATATCAAAAATCTTATAAATATGACTTAAAATGTTTACTTTTTTGTCCAGCTGTTCGTGACCCATCCAGAACATGTCCGCGACCCAATTATGGGTCTCTACCCACCAGTTGAGAACCACTGCTGTAGATTACACACCCTCTTTACAACGTGTGATGTATTCACCTGTTAAAAGTACTCAGGATGACACTTTTGTGTTATAAAATATAACCTTGGCTTGTACAGAACAAGCCATAAGGTGTTAGTTTTGTCCACAGGAGGGCGCCAAAACCAGCACAAACCAAAAGTTACTTAACCCTTCAATGTCTTTTGTATCATATTTGATACATAATTTTATATACTTCTATCAAATCAATATGATCAACACATTACTAAAAAAACACCCGAATACAGTCCGATAAATGATAAAAATGTCCTCTTGTAGTTTATCAGTTTCCAAAAATATCTAATGTATCAAACGAGATAAATAAATATATTTGTTAAATTTTAGGAAAATTTTGATGTTTTTTAGTTTTCAGTAGAAAGTAAAATAAACATTTTAGCTTCAAAAAATTTGAATTTTCTGGCCCAAATTTGTGGTTTCAGGAATTAAAGGGCTACGGGTGCTTTAAATATTTCATCTTGCCAACTCATCCTCCATCAGCACTCTTGTAATACAGTTCATGGACTGCTGTAAACAAGTGCTTGTGCAGAATCAGTTCGCCCATTTATTTCTCTCTCTGTACAAATGAGAGCCAGCATTGATTTTTCACATTTTGAGTGCAGCAAGTTTCCATCAAGATGAAACTGAATGTAAATTATCCTCTCTAGTTGCTTCTCCCAGAAATAAAAAATGTGGAGAATAAAACAACTTAAACCTTATATGTTTAAGTCACAGTGGTGCCCAACACCAACCAAATCCTGAGCAACTTCCAATTCTGTATGTCTCAGTCAATATCTGCACACACGATAGTAACTGGAGCTTCATGAAGCAACAAAGTCAAATGATATCTTCACAAAGGGCAAAGACAGTCAGACAGACAGTCACATTTGGAGTGATGGAGACAGCATACATGCTAACTTTAAAGGTATTTTCAATTTAATATACTTAATTTAACTTTGAATTAAAAATAAAATCCATTTGTATATTTCATCGTTAAAAAAGTCAAACTTTTCCAAACCTCACAAACTATGACTATGACTTGTTACAAAAAGCCAAGGTTTGAAACTTGTTCCTTTACCTGCGCAGGTGCCCGCTGTAACAGATGAGCCAGGAAGAGATGCGAAAGGACGGTGAAACTTGGCATGTTAGTCCAGGAGAACAGTCACCTCTCCTCCACTCAGTTCTGTGGAGAACAACTCAGAAGAAGAGGATCATCTGAAAGCCAATATCAGCTCTCTCTCTCTCTCTCTCTCTCTCTCTCTCTCTCTCTCTCTCTCTCTCTCTCTCTCTCTCTCTCTCTCTCTCTCTCTCTCTCTCTCTCTCTCTCTCTCTCTCTCTCGCTCTCGCTCTCTCTCAATGCAGTTTGTTGTCATGTAGCCTAAGTTTATCAGCTGCACAAGTGTGTATCCAACAGTTGTTGTAACAGGATCAAACTCATTTTTCCATAATCTATAAATGGTAAAAAGATAGTTTGTTAATGTTTAATCATCATTTTAAAACAGCATATAGACCAATTATAAATGGCAAATAGATAGTTTATTAATGTCACTTAAGAGTTACTCAACCATGAACAAGCAATGAAATTATGATTAATAATTTTCATTAATTATTAATGGACTATTTATTAAAGGTTTATATAGGGTTTAAATATTGGTTGTAAAACATCTAGATTAAAATGTGTGTCAGCAGCACTTTGTAAATGGTTAATATTTGGATTTTAAACCATCTATAAACATTACTTAGATGGTTATTGTAAAGTTGAAACTGATGTTTGTAATACTTTGTGAATGATTAATAAGTGGTAGTTAAACCATTTATAAATATTACTAAGATGTTATTGTAAAGTTAGGGTTAGGGATAGGTTTTTAAAATTGTAAAATGTACAATTTATTAATACAACTGATACTTTGAATATATGCTGTTCTGATGTGGTTTTTTATTTGTCTGTATATGCAAGTCCGTTTGCAGCCTCCACATGGTTGCTTATGTTATGTAATCTGTTGCAGGGGTGACATGGTTTGCTTCTTTAAGTGATTGTGCACTTAACCTTTCTCCTCTGTTAGCTTTTACAACACACTCACTATGTTAACAGGTGTTTTAAATCAGCTGTAAATTACACTAAAAACGATTTTCTATCATCCAACTTGGTTCTCATCTCTATGTTACCTTGTTAGGCTTCATTGTCCATGAAAACATTGATTATAATATCTTTTGTTGTGGGCCTCTTGGACTTTCTTTGTCAGTGTACCCCCATACAGACATCTACACTGAATTAATCTCTGGACATGCCTGGACATGTCCGATGTCTGGCCAAATGAGATATTATCTAAACGGGTCTACGGCAACTCTAACGCCACAAGTGCCATAATTTCAATAAGAACATTTTATAATTTAGTCAATTTAAAAAAATTTTTTTCTGATTTTGTTGAATTAGAGGTCCCTGACAAAGTCAAAAAGTCTTGATGTGAAAAACCTCTAACACAGAGGAGGGTTTTAAGAACAATCATAAGCAAAGTTTGAACCTGTTATAACCTTTTCTTTTCTCTTCAAATGATTTGAAGAATATTTGTGTCAGTGATGGCCTCCTACCTCCAGGTGAGGTTATCTTTAATTTTTCAAACAAGAGTACAGAGTGTTGTGTTGCTTTCTATTTTGAGGAAAAATCTCCCCTGAGCCTCATGCACAGTACAAAAAAACCAAGTATTTTCAGAAAAAGAGTATCAAAATAAAAAATGTGGTTCTGTTTCATAATGCATGCTCGAATGAAAAATGACATCTTGGAGATGAATGGTTTTCGCAGGACTGTAAATCATGCAGTAAGAAAATAAAACAGATGTCTGCTCCGGGCAAAAGAAATGATGCCAAAATATTTAGAAAGAGAAACACAATAACTCTCCTTACTCAGCTGTTTGATATTTGGCTCTGATATGCTGTTTTTCCAGGATCCACCTCCAGAACTGGGAGCTCCCTGTCACTATTAAAGCTGTTATTAAAGTTTCTTCTTCACTGAATGTCTCTGTCATTCATGACTCGGCATGTTCCTGCACTCTTACTTATTAAAAATATGCATCAAATAACATCAGCATACTGCATGCCTTGTAGGAGGGTTGAACCCAACTGTGTTATAAATGTCTCTGTCCATTACACTCCATCTGTCTTCTTCTTGTTTGCAGATACAGAGAACACGTTCCTGATCTCTTTTCCATTAAGACTAACAGGTGCGGTGATAGCAGCCACATTGAGATTCATGCTCTCTCCTTGACTGACATGCACCCAAGTGCCCCCACATTTATTAGGAGGGCTCAGATGTGTTTTCACAGCCAGTGTGATTTATGAGGTAATTGGTCCAGTGTGTTTAAAAAAAAAAAAACACAGCTTCAGCGGAGGAGAAACAAAGATGGATGGTGACTCTTACTCCTTGTGAGCTGTGTCAGTGAGGCAGCATGGTGCTTAAAGTAAGAAAAGACACGTTTGCTTCACCTTTAACACGATTTCAATCACGTACTGGATAAAGACGGATGAGGCTGATGTGGGATGTTTCAGGTTGATGGTGTTTTAGAGGGAAAGAAGTCAGAGTTTAGATGATGACATCCATTTGAAAGTATTAGGGAAGACCGGGGCTTGTTGTCACACTTTTGACACTCTTATATATTTCTTGGAATAAGTACATCATACATATTTATTCGATCAAATATACATTACAAATTTAGACAAGAAATTCACCTATTTTTGGAGATTGAAAAGGAGTTTGTTGGAGCCATTATTTAGTTTCTTTTGTGTGGTTCATTGCTTTTTTCTATTCCTTGGTTCTTTTAAGTGTAAAGGGGTATTTAAGTAAACCCAGGTGTGGAGGGCGTACTCAAAGAAAGAATATAAGAATCTTGGTTTTTATTGTCACATCACGCATCAGAACGAGTTCTAGCTCGGTGTGTAGTCTCAGTGGAAAGATTCTACACTATTCATCGACCTTTTACATGTCTCTAGAATTGTAGGATTTCTTAAGTCGCCAAAAAGTAGCCAAAGCTCCAAAGTCGAACATGAATAAGTAACAAATCATTATGTCAGGTATGACAGGATGTCTTAATCTCTCCTCTAACATGTCCACATGTTTCACTGCTGGGATTTTTATCTGGAAGTAGTTTATTTTAAAATATGTAAAGTTAATTTTTTTTACTTTGGGTTGTGCAAAATGGTTAATTTGCACTCATCTCAGCTCACAATGTGCTCTCCTCTTTTCAGACAGGACCCTGACCACGTAAAGGAAAAAAACTAGTATTCCACTTTTTGGTGGCGCCCTCTGGTGGCAAAGATAATTGCAATGTGACAACTTACCCATGTGACAACAAGCCCCAGTCTCCCCTACATAATCATCCAAAGAATTTGTTTTCTGTTTATGTATATGTATGTTTATGTTTATCCATGCGGGAAATTAAGTCAAATACAAAATATTGTTCTTAGCAAGCCTGTCAACGTTACATACGATGCAGCCTGATCTATCTGTATGATCTATTTATCTGCTGCTGAGTGCAGATAAGACATAATAATCCTTTAACGTCAGATATCATCTGTGAAATTTGCCATGAGCGCTCAGTGATCATCGTGACTGATTAGTGCGTGTGAACTGTTTCTGAACTTACTCGAACGGTCTCCAGCGCTCCTCGCTCACTTTCATGGGGTTTCCCTGTTTCCCTCGGAGTCTCAGCCTGATGCAGAGGTCAGACAGACAGCTGCTGCTTCCCGTCTCTGGGAACCAAACTGATGCTGCAGTCCCAGTCCCAGTTGAGGGAGAAGGAGGACGGGGTTTCCCCACAGCTGGAGCAGAGGCAGCAGGTGGGAATAAACATCTTTGTTTACTCTGAGATGAGGACAATTCAGTTACTCTGTTCAGTCGTATAGTTTGGTTGATCCGTCTTTTTTTGGTCTTTGGATCAGATGAGACAAAAAGGTCCACAAATCTCTGCTCATTCATCTACGCCTTCTTTGGTTTTCCTCAACTTGATTTGTCTTCCTATTTTTATGCCTGTGATCAGAACCCAAACTCCATTTCCCACACTTTTTGCCAGTCTGGAGCTGCAGGTGCATTGTGGGTAATAATGCTACTGGTTCCCAAGCCCCACAGTAGCCAGACAGACGGACTCTGAGTGATGAATATGACCCTAAAGGCCAAACAGATGCTGATCCACTGTGGGATTATCAAATTTACTCTGTGTTTGGAGAAAAATGCAACCACTGAGGGCATTTTTAGACTCTATTTACATTCAAGAATCACGGCTGAAACAAGCTTCAATCAGTCTCAACACTGATCATGCAAAACTTGTATTAGTTAAATTTATTCTGTATCACATAAAGACTTAGTCTATGTTCACACTGCAGGTCGATTCCAATATTTTAATCATATGTGACACATATCTGATTTTTTCATATAAGTGTGAACACTGCAATTCCGATTCTTTCAAATCCGACCCAGGCCTTTTTTGTATTTGGATGTAAATCGGATATGTATCCGATGTGACTGCGGTGTGAACACTCAGACGTGTTCATCTGACCTATACGTCATCATTGTTCGATAACACAAACAGGTGCGGAAAGCAATTTGTGCTTTGTGCGCATGTGGGTCACTTCACGGACGCGTTCCCTTCACATTAGATGCCGCATTCATTGTTGTAATGTGAACGACCGCACAAAAAGATCAGATTTAACAAAAAATCCAAATTGTGCATCATAACCAGCAGTGTGAATGTAGCCTCACTCTGAATCTTTTTACTCTATTTCTGAGGCACACACTAAATACTCTGGAGAAAAAGTGACTGTGCAGGATTTATCTTGATCTAAAGCTCCGATATGATTCCCATTTATTAAATAATGACTCTTTTTCGTTCGTTCATTAGTGAATGATGTGTGAGCTGTGGAGCAACATTGAAAATTGGTCTTCTTGTCTAGCTGTTGAAAGGATTATTTTAAGACTTACAGTACAAACTGCTTCTTATTATTCACACTTTGCTTTCCAGAAGCATTTAATTCAAAAGTAAGATAAGACAATAGTTTATTGATCCCAGAGGGGAAATTCTGTTGTTGCAGCAACTCAGAGATAGTCAGTAAAAAAAAAGTTGGAATCCAAAAACTAGAAGATAAAGGTAGAATAATGAAAAAAAAGAAAAATAAGTGGGACGTATGTACAACTATTATTATAATACAACTACTTCTGATAAAAGTGAAAACAACAATTTAATATGAACTAAAATGACCATACAATACTTTGTAATGTAATATAATACAAAAACGACAATGTAATAGAAATACAGGCTACATATTTTAGTGTGTGTGTGGTGCTGTTGAGCAGTCTGATGGCAGAGGGCACAAAGGAACGCCTGCAGCGCTCAGTTTTGGTGGAATGAGGGGTTGGCGGAGTGTGCTGGTCACAGAGACTCCAGACTGTCCAGTTCTGGCCCGACCACAGAGCGGACTGTCCACACCAGCTTTGTTTAGTTTGTCAGCCTTGGTAACTCTTTCATCAGCTGTTTCTTTATGTGACACAACCGCAACTTCAAATAAGCTGAAACTTTGTACAATGCTGACGAAAAGAGGTTTGGATGGATTACAGATATATGTAATTGAATAGTGCCAAGACAATATAACATGTAAAAACAGATTTTTTTCAAAATGCAAAATATGTACGCATGTTTTAAAAACAACACATTTCGACACAACTGGGACAGGGGTGTGTTTACCACTGTGTAAATACACCCTCCTCTCTCAATAACACTCTGTAAACATTTAAGAAAGGAGTTTTCTGGAGTTTGGAAAGTGGTTTGAGACTTTGTTTACACGTGGTTTTGACAGTTTTGACCTACATTGATGGAAGCAGGAATAAATGTTGTCATCAGGAAATGAGATTTGGAGGGGATTTAAGCCAACGCAGTGATTTCTACTTTAGAGTCATGTCGGTTTTTGGGAGTGCCACCTCAGAGCCAGAAGATGAGGCCTATTATTAAATTAAATTCAGGGTTGTAATTATTCAGTGATCATCAAAATGCAGCATGAGGTGCAATGTACGGTGGCCCTGAAGTGCAAAACACAACAACATTTTGCAAAACACAACAACATTTCACAAAACACAAAAACATTTTGGAAAACACAAAAACATTTCGGAAAACATAAAAACATTTCGCAAAACACTTTTTGTGTTTTGCGAAATGTTTTCGTGTTTTGGAAATGTTGTTGTGAAATGTCGTGTTTTGCAAAATGGTATGTTTTGCACAGTAGTTTATTTAACCTAATCTCTTTTTACATTTTATTTCTTAACATCTTATGTATTTCAAGATCTATAAAACCCGATTTCCAGCACTTACTTGTTTTTTTTTTCTTGTTTTTTTTGATTTATGTACTTATTTATTTATTGTTATAGCTCCAGAATTTGTTATTTAAACAAAGTAATAGAAATATCCAGCTGTTGACGGGTTTTGAGGGAAAAGGGGGTGTCTGTAATGTATCTCCTGTGTATATCTGTAGAAAACTAATGAAAAGATTTGTTGAATTTAAAAATCAAAATCTATTTTGTCAACAGTTTACGCAGCACTTCAACTTTTGGGAATTGAGTTTTATTATCTTCATGTATTTTCTTCACCCATTAAAAATATGCAAATCCAAGATAAAACGACAGAACCATGTTTGATTTAATTCTTCATATTTATTGGTGGTCATAACTGTATTCAAAGCTACAGAGAGCGAGATAACATCTTGTGGGAGATGTTTCAAACAACACTTGTTAGGTAGGGAGCATCAGAAGTTAAAACTACGCCTTGACCTGCTGAAGCATGACAGGCTGTGGAATAACTGAAAACACCTGTGAGAGTATACAGGGCCTTTATTACAGCCATCCAATAAATAAATTAGTTTCTTAACAAAGTCCATGGGTTATTACAGTTTTGCCTTATCATACATCACACTATAATAATGTGTTTACTCCAAACTTTTCGAATGTTTCTGCTGCGACAAAAAGACGACAGTAGACACGGTTTATACAGCACATAAACTATTTGAAACTCTTCAGTCCCAGTTGAATATTAATGCTGCCGCTGTGGTTCTAAATATCTGTTCTGTCTGAGGAGAACTGAAGCTAGACGTCCAACAGTCCACCATATGTGCAAATGTGGGAATGACTACCAGACGTGACAAACATCTAGTGCTGAAGATGTGTGTTTAAATGTTTGAATTGGAGCACGTTAAGGTATGTTACAGCGTTTTTTACTTCTCTGTGGAGAAAGCTCTCTTCATCAGAGGAGGAGGGGTCTTCCCTGCCTCATAGAGGGACTCAGGAGGGGGGGTGCTCAGGCAGCACCAGTCCGGGATGCGTCCAGTTTGGTTGTAGTAATCTCGAGACACCGATCTGCTTCCTAGGATGTCCTGCAGCGCCCCAAAGATGGCACCTGATGAGTGAAGGATGACATGAATGAAAACAGGGATTGTGACAACCTTCAGTTCAGTGATAAATATATCAGTAAAACTTTATATCTGAACCTCCAAGCCAGGCAGTGCAGTTGGGTTTAGCAGGTGGGGAGTGTAAACGCAGGCTCTTGCTGGCCAGCACTTCGCTGTATTTGGGTTTCTCCACCAGGAGGCGTAACTCTGCCAGCAGACGGTGCATGAAGCCTGGCAACATAGCTGTGCCTCCAATCACCACCAGGTTCTCGGAGAGCACTTTGCGTGCGTCAATGGGGCACTGCATGGAAACAGATTATCAGGTCATTAATATTTGTGGCCTCTTTTCTTCATGTGATCATTTGACGTCATGAGATGGAGATAATACATTTGTTAACAGTGCAAAGAGAGGGAAGATGATGCAGTGAATGAAAGTACCTGAAGCAGACACCACTGCAGCACCTCGTCGAAAATGTAAAGCTCTTAAGAGATATCAACACCTATAGATCCTGAGCAGAGTATTGCTCTTACAGCCAAAGTTGTACAAAAACCGTCCTGGGCAGGCTTCATACCCACATGAAAACTACTCTACCACATTGAATGGCCAATGAGTGTTTCCATAGCAACAGCACAGATGAAAACTATTAACCGTGGAGAACAATACGGGGCTGCTGCATTCCTCTCGCTGGAGATATTGAAGATTTGCAGCAGGGAAATGCAGCATTACATGTTATTCAGCAGAGGGAGAATTCGTATGCGAGGCAAAATCTAAATGATGTTGCATCAACTGAGGGACTAAAAGAAGTGCAAAAGGACAATAAGGCATCGCACTACAATGCAGCAGCATGCATGTGCTGAAACAGATAAAGATTTTGAATAAACACACATCATAAACAGGCCCAAGTAAATGTTCCTGTCCCGTCAAGACTGTTTTTTTTAAATCCTCAATAGTTCACTAAGTAAACACACACAGAATACAGAATCAGAAACTCTTCTTTACCTTGACAAGGGCGTCAAGTATCAGAGAGGCCACACTCTTCTCTTCATTGTCCTGTTCAAACAGGATCTCCATCACAGAGTCCCTGAAAAGAGGAGAGAAAATCTAATCAGAGACGAGTCAAACAGGATCATTTAGGTTGACAATGCCTTTGTTTTACTTTTCTTATTTTACCTTTTAGGTCCTTTATTTTATTGTTTTTTCCTGCTCAGTTTATGATTCCATTTTATCATAAATATTACCATCATTATTATTTTATTATGATTTTATTATCATTATTAATATCCTCTTTTATACTTACTATACCTACTATCTTGCTTTCTGCCCTCCTTTTCTATTTCATTTCTTCTTCTTACCTACATTACGTTTTTATTTTGGTCCTCATGGTCTCATTTTATGTTGTAGGGTTCTTGTATTGTCTGGGTTTACGAAAAATGAAATCAGCCTTCAATTCGGAGGCTTTGTTTTTAACTGAGCTTTTGTTTTTTTTTTGTTTTTAAAGTGCTATATAAATAAAGTTATTATTATTATTATTATTTATACTTTTTATTATTATTATTCAATATTTTTCTATTATTAATGCTATTTATTATTATTTATTATACTTTTTTATTATTTTATTAATATTTATTATGAATTATATTTAATTTAATTATTACTAATAAATATTATTAATAGTATCTATTATTATTATTTTATTTGATAATAATATTTTTTATTATTATTATTATTATTGAAGCTGAAATAGTTCTTGTGGGGGACACTGAAGTAAAAACAAAGCTCTTTGTCTGTTTACTATGTTTAAGACACTTGCACAAAGGCTGCTGTCTGAGAGGCTACCTGATGGATCCTTTAACGTGCAGGATTTTCTCCCCGTCAAGAGGGTAATCGACATCTGGGGGAGGAGCTGGACGCTGCAAACACAATCAGAGGAAGTAGAGTATCAATCTGATTCTGCAGCGGCGCCTTTGTTAGTGTTGGCGTTTGTTTACAGACTGAAGTTAACTGACACAAACACCCGCCTTAAAAGAAAACCTTGAACTCACCTCAGCTGTACCATCCAGGTTAAATTTGGCCTCTTGGATCTTGAGGCCTCTCTGAAGGTCACTGACAAAGCATGTTCGCACTGCAGTGAGAAAAAAGATGTGAGGAAAAAAGCAAACGCCTGACAAAGAGGGAATTTTATACCAATAGTCTTATAAATATCCTTGACTGCACCAAAATAAGGTTATAAGTGAGGAAAAAATGGTCTAAATGACATTTGATCCATTCCCCCCATGAAAACAAAGAATAAAAATGTAAATAGAAACAAAAGCCATGCAAAACTCACCCTTTATATCCTCTACAATCTCCTCTGGGATGGTCCCTATAAAATGTAAACCCAAACATATCAATGAGGTTTGTTTCTTTGGTCTGCTTGAGCATAAATCAGCAATTTCTCTCATTTCAAAGACAAAATTGAAGCTACACCAGTGTTCGGGAAAATGTGTAATCAGTTGTCAGATTGCAGACTCTGATTGTGACCCCTGGATCACTCTGAGTGTTAAAGGGTTAATTATAGAGATCTCAATCTCCCTGTGCTTACTGCAGAAATGCACTTCATTTACTGGTCCAGTCCAGTGAGTCAGCCTGCTGTCTGTCTCAATTATTGATGCATGTGTGTGTAAGCATCCCTCACTCTGCGGCAGCTGGAGTTCTTACTGCTGATTCAGTTCAAGTTCGAGAAAAAGTGTGTCGAGAAAACTCTAAAATAGACCGTATATGTATAATTCACTCAAGTGTCACGCAGGAACAAGGTCTTCTTATAAATAGAAAATGATTCACCCGGGGTCAAAGCCCTTGTTCGCCTTCTACTCTCTGGGTTGTTGAACAAATCAGCAGTTCATTCGAAGAGTTCAAGTTTCAAGTGTGTGGTGTTTTTCGTAATTACCGATGACAGCTGGTACACTCTGTCCAGTGGTGGTGTCTGTGTCCACAGTACACTGCTCCACTAGGAGTCCATCTAACTCCCTACGAGAAGAAGAAACAGGCACATCTTCAATTTTCAATTTTACACTCAGACCTGGACAAAATGGATAATAGATTTTTTCTTTTAACAGCCAGTATTACATCTGCAAGAGCTACTTACTTATGGATGGCTTTTCCTCCCAATGGTAAAGCCTCCCAAGCTGGGAGTATAGGAGTGCACTCATAAACCTGATTTCACAGTCAAGGTTAAAAGATGCAAATTCAAAACTGAGAGTTTACACAAAACACAACGACTCTTCTTATGGTGTCGCAAAATGACTTGGAGCTCATCATTCATGCCTTTGTGTCGTCATGTTTAGACTACTGTAACAGTTGGTTTTCATGTCTGAACAAAAAGGAGCTGTCTCGTCTTCAGTTACTGCAAAACTCTGCAGCGAGAATTCTAACCCGCGCCAATAAGGAGGACTCACATATCCCCTATTCTTAAAGCACTACATTGGCTGCCTGTGTCCTCTAGGATCAATTTTACAATTCTGGTCCTAACTTTGAAAGTCTTGCACGGTCAGGCCATCTTATATTTGTCATCTGATCCAGCCTTACACCCCCTCTCGGGCTCTGAGTTTCAAGATGGTCCCGTGCACTTGTTTTCGGACCAGAGGAGACCGATCCTTCCAGGCTGTTGCCCCCAGACTTTAGAATGATCGTCCTCTCTCTCTGCGCTTAATTGATTCTGTTGACTCAAAACATATTTATTTGCTCAGGCATTTGTTTAATTGTTTTGGGGCTGCTATGACTGTTTAATGTTGTTGTCTTGGCCTTTTAATTTGTATGTACATTTTTATTTTTGTCTATGTGAAGCACTTTGTGACTCTTTAGTCTGTGAAAAGTGCTACACAAATAAAGTTTACTTATTGAGAAATGTCACAGAACAATACAAGAGTGCATTCATAAAAAAGAGGCAGCCATTCCTGCTGTCTAGGTTAAATTAAACCTGCAGTAATCCACTCTTTCTGTGTCCCAGCAAAATAATCCTTATTTCCCACACAGCTGGATTTCAGACTACACGATGCTTTGAAGAGGATACAGGTAAGACCAGAGTCTCTGTGTGGCCACAGTCCATGACCAGGGCAGAGTTGATTCCTAGAGTCATGATGGCCATGAGGTGACTCGGGGCGAACAGAACTGAGGGGACCTGGAAAACAACATTAAAAGTAACATTTAAAAGTGTATCTTACACTCACTGTTAAGACTAAGTTGAGGGTTTTTTTTGTTTTTACCTCAAACTGCTTGAAGAAAACCTTGGTGAGCGTCTCTCTGAAGTGCGACGGGCAGAGGATGGACTCGATGATGACCACTCTTCTGTCTCGAGGATTCACTAACAGGTGCCTGAGACAAAACGTTGGTTCAAGAGACCACTTAATTTTCTTGAATACATTTAGGACAAATTATGCGTCTCACTTCTTGAGGATAGAAACTAAAGCGTAGGAGTCTCACCTGAAGTACAGCAAATGGATAAACTCTTTGAGGATGACATAAAGCTCTTCTGTGTTGATGTTGTACTGAACCACTTTGGTGGCCTGAAAGCAGGACATCACATTCATATTCATTAAACATCAGTCAACAAACCACAATCCTCCCAAACAATCACACTTTGCAAAGCAGTGAGGTATCACCTGTTGCTGACCCGGTTTCCGGATCTCGCTCGGAATTATGAACCTGGGCCCCGTTTCCCCTGCAAAGCCACATCTGCAAGGAAAGACAACTGTAGACTTACTACTGAGTAGATAATGCATGCATGATATACTGTTATCATAGTTCAATGATATCATGTACAAGATGAATGCAGACATTAACCTTTTTAAGGCTTAAGGACATACTTAGGTAGAAAAAAAGCAAGGCAGCAGGATGCTAACAAATGCTTTTACATCACGTCACGCTCACACTCACAGTTCATACTCTGATGCATCGCCTGTTTTTTTTTGTCATTAATTTCTGTTTTGGCTTCCCCCCCTCCTTTTATTTTTGCAGCAATAAACTTTTTTTTTTTTTTTGGCATTGGCAATTTTTTTGCGACATTAACTTCTATTGTTGCTATTTTTTTCCATCCTTTTATTTTCGCAGTACAATTTTTATTTTTTTTGGCATCGCCAATTTTTTGCGACATTAACTCCTATTGTGGCTATTTTTTTCCATCCTTTTATTTTAGCAGCAAGAAACTTTTTTTCTTTTGCAATTTTATTGTGTTGTTAACTTCCGTTGTGGCTTTTTTTTTTGTCTGCACCATTTCTTTTTTATTTGCAGCGGACTTCGGTTTTAGATTTTTTTGCATCTGTAACTTTCGTTGCGGCTTATTTCTTCCTTTTTCTCTGCACCGTTTCTTTTTTTATTGGCAGCGGGCTTCGGTTTTTGTTTTCTTTTTTGCATCTATAACTTCCGTTGTAGCTTCTTTTTTTGCATTCTTTTTTATTTGCAGCAGTGGTGTTTTTTTTCTTGCATTCTTTTTTATTTGCAGCAGTAGCGTTCTTTTTTTTTTCGCAGCAGACACTTTAGCATGTGGACAGTAGAACCTGGGATCAAATCCTTCTGATCGAGAGAAAACCTACTTCAGCACTGAGCCACAACATTTTAATGAGCAACAATCAGCCTCTTTAAAATACTGAAAAATCTTTGGAGTAGGTTGAAAATACAGAGAAAAAAACTGCAGGTCTGTGTAAACTCAAAGACAGAGACATCATTATTAAATTATAAAGAGAGGGAGCAGTCCTCTTGATCTTCATGTGACTTGCCCACGGCCTGCATCTCCTCTCCTCCAACAAAAGTCCTTTGATTTCACTCCCAGTCAAAATCTTGCTGCTTTATCACTTCTATTTATTTGCTGTTGAGTTGTTTGAGGTAAAGTAAAAGGTGCAGTAATTTGAAGTGTGTGACAGGCTTCAGATTAGCAGATTAAACTATTCAGGTCAGTGGAGCAGCAGGTAATACGGTGGGAACACGATAGAAAATTAAGATGAAACTTGTCTGATCTTATGAAAATAGATGTAAGTATTTGAAATGTTTCTCTAAGTTTAACCTGCCTCATATATCCAAACCCACACCGGCCGTTTAAGCTTCAATTGTCAGATATAAACACGTTAGCATGCTGTGCTAAATACTCACTTTGTGTACGCTGCTCCTAAATCAATAACGATCGCAGTCTTCTCTCCTCCGCTCCCCAAACCATCAAATAAGGGCATTTTAATAACACGTTCGCCTATAGGTAAGAATATTGGTGGTGTTTATTCAGCCTCGACTGCAGCAAATCCGCATCATCGTATCAATAAGATAAGAAACAAAAATCTGTAGTCTTCCTGTTGGGCTGGGCTGGGTCCTGAAAACGCGATGACGTCAAATGCGGCTGCCTGAACAAAATGCACAAAAAAACTAAAAAACTCAAATTGATACAAAAAAATATCCGGTATTTTCTTTTTATTATTATCTTTAAGTTTTGTTTTAACGGCATTTTTCAACCAGCGTAAATATGTTTCACCTTTCAGCCAGAAAAATTGGGGGAGACCGGGATTGGTTGTTACACGTTTTAAGGTCCTTACACACCGGGACCGACGCCAATATAGAACGCGAAATTGTGAAATATTCGTAATCAAGCAAAAATCAAGCATCAACCTTTCCACTAACTTCGTTGCTCATCTTCTCGCCGTCGTCTTCTGTGCCTAGACCGTAAAACATCGGTGCATTATCATCATTGGTCCCTGGAAGCTCACTTCTGTTGTGGCTTTTTTTTTAAAATTTGCATCCTTTTATTTTTGCAGTAAGTAACTTTATTTTTTTTTTGCATCACCACTTTTTCTTTTGTGACATTAACTTCCGTTGTGTGTTTTTCTTTTTTTTTTTTTATATATCTGCACTGTTTCTTTTTTTTATTTGTGGTGGGCTTTAGTTTCTTTCCTTTTCTTTGCATCAGTAATTTTCTTTGTGGTGTCATTTTTTTGGCACTCTTTTTTATTTGCAGCAGTGGCAGTTCTCAGCCACCGTAAAATAGTGTATAATAGATAAAAATACACATGAATTTGAAGAAGTGACTGTTATTTAGGGAGAGAGAAGGTGACGAAAAGCTGAGGTGGAGAGTGGGGAGGTGGTAGGGATACGGCTCAACTTACCCCGCTCCTATGGTCAACTTAGCCCCCTTTTTTTTTTTTTGCATGCTATATTATCAAGAAAGTTATGTTTACACTCATTCTGTTGGTTTGCAAGGATGCACAACATCTTGAAATATATGCAGCTACACCAGTTAGAGACAAAACTATGATTGCCTTGATGTAGTGATCTGAAATAAGAAAAATGGCTCATCTTACCCCACTCTCCCCTACTGGCTGAAATGTTGAGAAGTAGAACTACAATAGAGCCCATAAAAGTGACACTTAGATAAAAGTACTGTTTCTAAAACTACCCCCAAAAAAAAACAAAAACATAAAAACATCAAATTACAGTGACATGAATAAAAGTAATCCGTTACTTTTCAATATTGATTTCAGATAATTTAAGGAATTGTCTGTAATTTGAGGTGCTCCTCTCTGATGGTGCAGGTGTGAAGCACTAGATGTCAGCTGTTGAAGAGCAGCAGGCGGACATACGTAGAGAAGACGGAGACTTGGAGTCAGTGACGCTGAGCTGCACAACAACAAGCCTCTCCTCTCCTCTCCTCTCCTTCAGCCTGCTCAACACACGAGACTCTCCGGAATCTGTACCCGAGCTGCAGCTCTGCGTCTACAGGCACGAGGATCCGTCATGAACTGTGGAAGGTAGATGTAGTTTTTTTAATTTTAGCGAATTGAAGTGATGTATGACGCGATTGCAGGTAATAATGCACGAAAGAAATTATCATTCCCTTGCAGTGAAATTGTGTGAAATTTGATACGGCACCGCAGTGTGTTTACATTTCTGGACTGCACGAGCTTACTGTGAGAGTGCGTGAACTGTATTGATCACGGAGGAGGTGCGCAGGCCAAAAAGAAAAAAAAAGTGGGTTGCATAGTGACATTGTTGGACTGATGAGCAGGGCTGGGCGCTGATTCCCTCTCAGACGTTTCTCTGACTCAAGCAACATGAAAGGGTGTCACCCTGTCAACAACACTACAGCTCTCTGTTTTCTTTCACCTGATCAGACATTGATTATCAGCTGATCATTGATCGAAGCAACACTTGCTTTTTGCTTAGTTTTTAACTCATGCAAAAATTGCTTTAATGTGCATATATGCTGTTTGAATTTGTCCCCCTTTGCAGAAGGGTTGCAGGTTTGTGTAATGGAAAAAATTTAACATTCATGGATCCCTCTGTGGAGGCTCCTGGAGGATAGAAAATCTGCTGCTATTTATAGGTGAAGTGCGGAGGGGTGCTAAGGATTGCTGTGTCAGATTCCCACTCTCCCTCTCTCTCTCCCTCGTTCTCTATTTGTTACTCCCCCTCCTTGTGCGAGTGTGTGTGTGAGCCCAGCGTTTCCCTCTATTTATATAAAATGAACAGAGGAGTCTCAGATGAAAAGGAACTGCATCCGAATTATTCAAAACGGTGCAACTGCAGCATCAAAGCCGAGGCAGGCAGAGCTGCACGGCTAATCCTGTTCTCTGTGGTTATCACAGACTATGTGAAGTTCTCTCTCTTCTAATCTGCAGCTGCACACTGTTTAAAATGTGTCATGTAACCTATCATCCCTCTACTGGTGCAGTCTGGTCATGCTCATTAACATGTGTCCTTTGTGTCCACTCTCAGCAGGCTCTGAGACAAGACAGAGATGCTGATGTCTGGGACGCTCCGCCGCCTCCTCTTGGCTGGGACGTGTCTCTGTATCTATGGAAACCCCGTCCATCTCCAAGACTCCACCCCCACGCAGGACAGAGTAACAAGTGTCGGGCCGACGCAAACCCCAGATGTAAAGTCTGAATCCACAAGTGCGGAACATGTGACCGGGCTGATGTTGGATGTCGGTGCGGCAGGAGGGGCTGACCCACATGAAGCACCTGTGGGATCATCTCCAGTGACGCAGACAGAAAATGGGGATGGCCTCGATGGAAGATCTGGGCTAGGGGAGGCAGGCGGAGAGGCACCGAGCCAAAAGAGTGAGGAAAAGAAGGTCGGGAGCACATCTGAGATGGGAGATGCTTTGAGACAGTCTGAGAGAGCTGCAGTGCTGCCTGTAGAGGAGGATACTGCCATCACCAGTGGTCCTACAGGTGGAAAGAAGCAGATGGACATAGACCAAACCCCTACAGCCAGGAGGGGCAGAGACCGAGGCGGAGAGGACTTAACAAACCCACCTGCGTACGCCTATTCTGTCCAGGGTAAAAACCCAGAAACAGACCTGCTGTTCTCTACAGAACCTCCAAATCCTGGAGAAACCACTCAGAAACTGCCCTCCCACAGTCCCATCTTTGTCTCCCCTCAGACCTTGACACCTTTGTCCATTTGGAGTCAAGATGGAGCTACAACTTCTTCCCTCCCTGAACCTCTGCTACCTGAATTTGGACCAAACCTAATGCCGAAAGAAGACGGACCAGAGAGTCTGTGGACTGAGGCTGTGAGGCCCGGTGGAGGTGAGTTAGAAAAATTAGGAATGTAGAGCAGAAAGGAAATGAATGGATAGGGTATCACTCTCTATATAGGACCTTAGTTCAATATGTGCAAACCAAATCCTCCAAAGTGGGTCTGTAGTTATTGTCTCCCTCCACATCGAGCTCTATTCTCCGTCTTGCTGGAGTTTTCAGGGTTTCAGGAGGCTTCATTAAGAGTGAAGCGGAAATGAAAGCGACACGTCTTGTGGCAGAGATTGCCTTTGATGATTGGCAAAGAAAGGCGCCCGCTTTTCCACGCTCCACTTTGAACCCCAGCTGGGACCCGTGGCGGTCTAATTACTTTCTATTCTTGACTCCAGCGTGAAAAAAAAAAAGAGAGAAAGAACAGACACATACTCTCACAACTGGATGGAAGAGACTGGTGGCACTTTTTTTCCAAGTCTTTAGAGGATTCATCCCCTTTGTCTCTTTCTCTGTATATCCCTCTTCTTCCTTAAAACCTTGTCTTTTCCTCCCCACACTTCAGAAAAAAAAAGACTCAGGCAGGTTATTATTCAGTGAGGCGGAGAAGAGAAATGGATTAAACAAGTCTGTCTAAGCCAATATGTGCTCCTGACGTCCGTGTGGGGATGGTGTGTTTGATGAAGCTTCCTCCTGACAGAATAGAAGCTGACAAAAAAAAACCCAATTCCCCAAACAGCATTATGTAAAAACTTTGCAGTCTTTATAAGTGTTTTTCAGCCTACTTTAGAGACGCATTGGACTAAAGGAAATGCCTGAGAGCTATGCGCAGTGACAGTTTTCGCCTCGGTGGGAGCTCCTTATCAAGAAAGAACTCTATTTTCAGATCCTCTTTCTTTCATTGTGTCCTTGCTGCTCTGAGAGGGTGGTGCGAGCGCCGCTAATGACAAAACCTACATGCAGAAAAAAGTCAACCGCATCAAAACACTGCGTTCTCTCACAAATTATTCAGTGCCCTATGCTGAATACATGTGTTCCGGCGCAAAAGAAAATGTGTGTTTCTCATTTAAGAGGACTTATGTGAGAAGAAAACGCGAGACTCGTGACTTGTTCTTGCTCATTTGTCCTCGTTTTGTCGCATTGTGTTATGTGGGCACGAAGGTGGGACCCAGTTTACTCCTCATACATGACTTACAGGCAGAAAGTAAAGCAGGCAAACCAGCAGCAAGAAAGTGGTTGATGCAAAGGCAGGCAAGGAAGTTTCAACAAAGCAGAACGGGAAAGACCAACTAACAAAATAATGGAGAGATTTTCTCTACAAGATATTTAAAGCTCCTGTGATGAACTTTTTGTTTGTGTTAGTTTTGGCACCCCCTGTGGTCAAAGCAGCCTTGCTTGAGCAGACTATCGTTAATTCTGAATATTTTATGTGGAAATTGTTCAGTCAGGACCGCTTACATCCTCTTTTACCCAGACATCTCCTCTTTTTTAGTCAGAGAGCGTAGTCAGAGTATGATTGGACAATGGATGTGCGCATGTGCCACGCCCCCGTAACCCTGGGGAGTGGCACTATCATTTAAAGAACTTTCGACTCAGAAGCAACTGCAACATGGCTAAAGCAAGAAAGAATGTCCACTTTTGGAACAACGAGGAGAGTGCCGTTATGCTTTCCCTTCTGAAAGAAATGGACATTTTAAGGACGGCTGCAAAACGAGGAACAGAGACATCTATAAAAAGGTCCGAAATCAGCGCCACTGGAAAAAAACATATCGCCCCTTAGTTTCGGGGAGGAGCACACTTTGGCATCAATAATTCGATTTGTTTCGACTGACACTTCACACACCAAAAAAAAACTACTAAGTCTCAATCACATGCAGCTAAGAAATACTCCTAGTAGTCAGCCAACACTCCCAGGTGTAGCTAATCCCCCTTAATTGCAGCAGGTGTAGCTGATATCCTTAATTGCAGCAGCAGGCCAGCAGAAGAGACACACCCTGCCCTTTCCCCCTCTTACTACCCCAATTCTTACCTGGCCTCTCCACCCTCAAGTCTCCTCCCTCATCAGTGAAATCATAATGACCTTTAAAACATATTTACAATAAACAATATATACAAGTAACAACACAATTCAATTGACTTATATACTAATACAGCTAAAATTGAGGTTCTAATAAACTGAGGGAAACCTAAACAAGCCAAACCTAACAAAATATCTCGTTTTATAACTCAATGTGCATCTGTGTATGATTTTTTATACCTCAGTGAGGGGGATGCTGTCCAGCTCCCTCACAGGTATCAATATGCATTCTAATGTATTTCAAAAACATAAAAAAATTCCTCACAGGAGCTTCAGTATTTAAAATAGCATATTTTACTTGTAAAATAATCGAATACGTTGGTTAAAATTCATTTAAAACCATGCAAATCAAGTTCTTAGTAACAGTAACAGTGGGGGTTACAACAGGAAGAGCACATTTTTGGCACTGAATACAAACAAAGCTGTGCTGCAGAGTCTGACCCTCCTCCTGTCTCTGTCTTGTCGCCTCCCTCACAGTAAATACGGAGGTCCCTCTGTCTCAGGATGAAGCCACAGAGGGCACCATGTCATCAGAGGCTCTCCCTCTCATCTTCGAGCCGTTTGAAGATGTTGCATCAGAGGGGGCACCGGCAGACGCGGCCGTCACGTCAATGCCAGGCAGCGCTCAGCCCCTCGCTGCCATGGCGACTGCAGGAATGGACGTGGACCCGCAGCTGGTCACCGTGGAGACAGACAGTGATAGTCTCTCCCAGGCACCTCCCCTGCTGATGCCAGACTGGACCTCACCCTGGCAGACATCTGGCGCTGAGCAGCTGGAGCCAATCAGCTCCTCGGGACCGTCTGTGTCACAGCAGCGAGCAGGAAGTGAGGCGGAGGATCACACAGGGAGAGGTGAGAGAGGATATGTTAGGGAAAGCATGAATGGATGCTTTTCAATGCCAACACAATGCTTTGAGAAGAAGCCTCTTTATGTACCTGATACTCAAATTCTACTTTAGCCTGATTTAGCCTTTTTAAAGTTTCATAACCAATATGCATAATTCACTTTATTTTTAAAAATTATATGAGTAAACACATTTATTATCCAGTTTGTTATGTTGTAATGCGACAGTACACTCACCTTATCCACTTGGCAATTGTTGTTCTCTGAGATTGCTCTCTAGGTAGGAAGCTTACATGCTTTTAGTAAGTCCCCCTGTGTTCAAGGTTGACTCTCTATTTAAAGAAAGAGGAAACGTGCGAATTAAAAGACAACTCCCTGGTCAAATTTAAAACCTTTTTAATCGCTTATTGGCCCCAAAGGGCTGCATCGCACTGACCAACATTAAGGGAGTGTGTCCACTGACTGCATCATTTTGGACCTTTTTTTAAACCAGTCAGCTTTTTCAATGTTCAGGGTCCTAAATGCAAAAATGCTCATGGGATCAACTGTGTTTGTACAAAACATTTAAACTTTTTGGACAATTGTATTTGTCAGTGTCTCTAACAATGAATCACAATCCAAAGAAAGGTGTTAGTGGACACAGGCCCCAAATTTTAAACAATTCCTCACTGACCAGCTCACCTCACTTCTATTAACCTTCCTCCTGTGTTTGCTTTTACTACGCACCCACTATGTTAAGAATCAGTTTCAACCCGTGTCTTAAATCAGCTGTAAATTACACTAAAAACAATTCTCTATCATCCAATTTGGTTCTCATCTCCAAGTACCTTGTTAGGCTTCATTATCCATGAAAATATTGCTTATAATATTTTTTGTAGTGAGCCTCTGGACCTTTCTTTGTCAGTATACCCCTCATATAGACATCTATACTGAACTGATCCTACATGTCTGGACATGTCCGACGTTGTTTTTTGTGCAGGGAAAAAACAGGCAAAATGAGAATTTCCTAAATCTCACATGATTGGAAGAGGATCTGACTGTCAGTGTGGTGCCTGAACGTGCACACATGATTTTATTTTTTGCTCTTATAATCTAAACAGGTCAGCAGCGACCCTAACACGACAAGTGCCATAGTTTTAATAAGAGTATTTTATAATTAAGTCAATTTAATCTTTTTATTTTTAGTTTGTTGAAATAGAGGTTCCTGACATCTGCCTGGCATCTACTATTTTCACTTCCCACCGTCTGTTCAGTTGTTGTCCACTTAAGGGAAGAGATGAAGTCTCCAGATTCTTATCTTTTATGGGATTTATAAACCCTGCACACAGGAGAACAATACAGGGTGTAGTCCTCCATCACCGACCCCACAGCAGCTGCTGGTCGGCTCTGCTTCTGTGGGCCATAAAGAGGCATCAGGAATAATTTCCGTCTGTTTCATAACTAGAATTTAACTCCTTACCGGAGCTTCAAGCAGCAAACATTCACCCGCTTTATCATGCAAACATCATGTGAGCTGTTTGTTTCTGTAATATAAAGAATGTGCCTTTTTTTTGAGAGAGGCGTACCTGAAACACAACAAATACATTCACCACCCACACTATAATTATGCATGCTGTAGTCAGAGACTCAGCCTCCCACACATCATTAGACAGTAAGGAGCTGTCAGTTGTACGAACAGCGAGTGTAAACCTCTTCTTCTCCTGCGTCCTCCTTGTCCTTTTTGATTTGAAACATGTAGGTGCTGCGAGGACACTGAACCTTCAGGGTAACTTGCCCACCGCCAGCGCCTCCCTCTCATCCTTGCAGCAAGCTATGACAACCGTAGCCATGGCAACCAATCAGCCGGTGCACAAATCCAGATCGGGGTTAGAGGAGATGGAGTCCGACGGTAAGATGAGTTTTATCGACGGCTGAAAGTCGATTTTATTTTCATCTTAGACCTTATCTTCCCCTGGCTGCTGAGGAGAACATTTTCATTTTTATCCCCTTCAGAGGAGCAGGATGAAGATGAGGATGATGAGAACTCAGAGGAATCAGTGGAGGACGAGAGTGAAGAGGACCTGACAGAGACACCGAAAACGTCCTCCACGCCACCTCCATACAGCCTCATTCCTCCACCTCCTGTGTGGGTTCAACGCAACCAGGGACTGAGTACGGCTTTAAACAGCTTTTAAATCACGATTATTCTCGATTTTAAGTATTTTACAAGCTCCTATTTTCAACATAATCAACATAAATCATTTAAACTCCTTCAAGTATGGAGAAGTTATCCTTTAGGATGTCGTCCTCTGAAGTCTGTGTCCTTTTTCTTCTAGTGCGGAGCTGGGTAGAGCTGATCAGAGAAAAGGTAAGACTGCCCTCTGCTGTCCTTTATAAATCTTCATTACACATCTAAATAAGAGCCTAACATCGCCTCTTCAGTTTGTGGAGTCATGAATACAGCCAGCAGTAATGTTTTTAGAGGGAAATTTAGCCATGTGTCAAGTTAAACTCATACTACAGTTAGAAAATGACTGACTTAAAGCTCCTGTAAGGAACTTTGCAGCTTTGGCGCCCCCCTGTGGACATAACAGTCTTTATTAGTCTGCATAAACAGTCTCTTGAGACAAAAAAATCTGTCAAATTAATTGTTTGTTTCGGGCATCAAAAAGTACAATATGAAGATCATGATGGTATCATTTGTTTTTGGATGTCATAAAAAAATATTGGTCCATTTCATAAATATCAAAAAACTCCTCAGAGGAGCTTCAAGTACCAACCGAGTAATTTCAGAATAAGTTGGAGAGTAGGAAAAGTTAACATCACGTGACATAACAGTGTTTCAGTGTACTACCTTTGGCCACAGTGTGAGTACAGTGAACCCTGTGTGGCTCCACCCTTTGCAGGCAGGGTATGTGTCTGGGATGTTGGCCCCTGTTGGGATTGGCATCACCGGGGCCCTGCTGATCGTTGGGGCCCTCTATAGCATCAGGATGATTCACCGTAAGAGGAGAAACAGCTTCAAACACCAGAGGAGGAAGGTCAGACAGCAAGAGGTCAATACCCTACTCTTATTTACCACTTTTTAATTATTATTATTATTACTTTCAGTTGTTGGTTTTTCTTTATAATGTAACTTTTTTTTCTTTTCCAGCAACCTCGGGAGCCCGGGACCAGCCGTCAGGATCAGGCCATGCTGCTGGCTGACAGCTCTGAGGACGAGTTCTGATGATGAGAGCCTTTTGGGTTCCTCTTATTTGTGACCACTGGCTGATGCTCCTGTAAAAGCGGGGCCTGTCAAACACCCCCTACTGCTATGACTACTACAACTCCTAACACCCAGGGCTGTTTGGCTATGACTCATCTGATCCTCACAGTGTGACTGAGTGTAAAACACAGTTTGCACACAGGCTGCACAAAGGTCAGCTTTGTATTCTCCCATCTCTAAATCTACCAATGTGAGCACTTTTCTGAAGGTTGTCAGGTGATATTGACAGATGGTTTGGTCGGGCTGTAGTGATGCACTTTGACGTGAGAAAATAATGTTGCTGCTTAAAAAAACAAAACACATTTGCAGGGTATTTGGAAATGTAATTAAAGGGTTCATCTTTTCTAGAGTGTAGGGGAAGTTTGGACCAGCAGGTTAATTGTCGAGTAATAAAAAGGGCTGTAGAGGAGTAAAAACAATGTAAATACATGTACTGTAAATGTAGCTGACTCTGGGTCAGTCATGTGAGTGTAAATAAACTTTAAGTTCTTAGTAAACACTTAGAGTATTTAGAGGGAATCGCTTCACATTAATTCTCATTTAGAAAAATACAATCTGGTGTAAAGATAATGTTTCGCACCAAGACTAGGGAAACATCTCAATAAGTTTAGAAAGCTTCACATGAGACTGTTGGCGTTAACGCTTTGTTTAAATGTGAATTTTGTGAAAACTTCAATGTTTGCTTTTTACATTTGCTTTTAACGGTTACTGTGATATGCACTTACAAAAACCATAATCCTAGTCTTAACACGTAGCATAGAGCGGATTCTGTTGTAAAATATGCAGATATGGGATTAGGGTTAGGTAACGCTGTCTTTTACAGTACACTTATTACCAGGTAATTAACAGGTAATTACCTAGTAACAACATTAAATTATCTGGTAATTTCATGATAACTACTAACTACTAAGTCAATACTGTCCATCATCATACAGATTTGAAGCCGAATTGCTCTTGTATTTCCAGGATTTTCTCCGCTTCCTGGAACCACCACTTGCGCAGTAGCATTGTACGCATTCGGCGGGTGAGTCACTGTGATGATGCTCGGCTCAAACAGCGTATCGCTACACAATCTTCGCATGCCCGTAGGTTGTATCAAGTGTCAATCATAGAAAATAAGAACCGCACAGAAAAAAGAAAAACTAGACAGTATTGACTTAGTAGTTATCATGTAATTACCAGATAATTTCATGTTGTTACTAGGTAATTACCTGTTAATTACCTGGTAATAAGTGTACTGTAAAAGAAAACGTTACCGGATTATTTTATCGCCACTTGAGAACTTCTCTCCTTCATCGCATGACTACATCTAAGTCTACTCATACACGGACCTGTTGCAGAGATTGCAGCCTCGTGAATCAAGTGTTTCTGTCAGCTGGGGAGGCACAAGAATTAAAAATACTTAACCAGGAGTTTTTTTTTTATTTTTTAAACCAGCTATTTTTGCACAACGGTGGTTTTTGTGTGTAAATCTGGTCCAGACTGGGACGAATAAAGGTGGTGTTCAGGCAGACGTGTTCGGTCAAAGATTGCAGAGTTACAGTGTGTCATAGACGGATAAGAGTCCTTTTGTTTCCAGATAAAAATAACTCATTTGAGACGTGTTTATAACCCCACAGAAGACACACTTTCTTCTCTTTTGTTTCAGGATATTTTCTATAACTACATAAGCCATCTACTATGCTTATATACGACTGCCTGTTTATATGCAATAATGTTTTAGAGTCAATGTGATGTAAAATAGTGGACACTTTTGTCTCTGTGTAGATATAAAACAATGTGAGAAATTAAACTACTTCTTGTAGATGTCTGATTGTGCCCTTTCTTATCAAGTGTGGGATGAATGACACTCTATACAGCAGCAGGCAAGATAACCCGAGTTACAGCATTAAAAAAATCAAATAATTTATTTCTGTGTTCTTTTTCCACATTAAATAAAAGCTTTCGGACATTTCCAGATCAAAATCAAGAGGAGGGACAGGGAAGAGGAACAGGGGGAACAGAAATCTGACATGCAAAAAACACCGTTTGCTCTCCCCTTTTGCACACTTGGTGGATGGCGGTGGAGGCGTAGCAGCCCGCCCTGTAAAAGACTGCAGCGAGCCCCCCTCTGGGGATGGTTGGTTTGGTGGTTGCTTTTACTTGCAAAGCCGAGAATGATGTCTATTAGGCCTGGAAAAACTGGTTTCTGGGGAGAATTTATGATTGTAACACTCAAACACAGGCTGGCAGATGTCGCCCCCAGGTGAAGCCAGGAGTGGGGTTGTGATTGTTAAGAATAAGCCTTCTTTTTAATCTTTTTGATCGCACACTAAAGTCTGGGATGAAGACGAGAAAAACCGCTTTTGACACCTGTGAACACTGGACTGGCATGTCAAGTCAAAACTTATTCCAAAGGCATAATCGGAGAGGAAACCGAGCCACCCCACGAGCCATGGCAGCAAACTGATACAGATGGTGAAGCCCTTCAGTCTGGGATCTGAACAGAGCTCTTTGGCTCACTAGGACAGGCTAATGCCCAGAAATCTGGTGGAACTGGCAGAGTCTCGCAGATTAACAGGGGTAACATCTATTTCTTTAAAATGACGACTGGATTAGTCAATTTTAGGTGTTATAGTCTTCATCTTCCAGTGGTTGAGGTTTTAAAGAAAGAAGGATTAGGACAGAGGAGGCACAAGAGATTCAAACCTCCAAAGTAAACCAGAAGGAGTCGACACAGGGTGATAATCAAAATATAAACAGTGTCAGAAGAGCAGTGAAGAGAATAGTTTGTGTTTTTTTTTAGGGTTTGGAGCAAATTTTTGAACTGCTCACCATTCATGATGGGCCAAAGTAGCACAGAAACTTAAAATAAAACTCTGATAAATCAACCCAAACCGCCCCCATCCCAACAGATGATTCACAAAAAAAACATGCTCTCAAAATATCCAATGAATAGAACAACACTCTTATACAAATCTGAAAAAAAAAGAAAAAAAATAGGTCATATGATCCGTTGCTCAAAATGCACAGACGCAAACTCACGTACACAGGCTGTTATGTGGGTGGAAACTCTGTAAACATCTACTTTCCCTTTCTTTCAGTTCTCGGCTCCCGGGGGTCGTAAATCTCACCTTCAAGGGGGGGGGGACAAAGCGGCCGCACAGATTCACGGATGAAACCGTCTTGACCTGTGTGACTTCTGCTGCAAACTTTGGCGTGTTCTCGAGGGGGGGAAAAATTTGTGACTGTTATAATGCCTCACGCTCAGAATAACACAGGCAGGATGAAAACTCGCAGATGTCCAATTGCATAATTTAATACTCAAGGTGGAAAATGATATTTAAAATTGCATTTACAACCCCGAGATGTGGGTTGTTTTTCAATTTGACTCTTGGAAGAAAAAGGATCTTATCTCCCCTCATCCATCACCCGGGCTGTCTCCTGCCCTCTCTATTGCATTAAGCTCTAACTCACATCTTGGAAAGCTAAAAAAAAAAAAAGTGATTTGTTCCTTCCTGTTGTCCATATAAGGCTGGAGCAAAACACAGCACCTCAAAGGCTCTGATTTTTTCCTGTGTGGGGCCTCTGAAAGTAGAGAAACGAAAATCTAACAGAAGAGATCCACACTGATGTCAAAACACGCGCTCACACATTCATACACACACAAACAAACGCACTGCAGCGATTTCTACAGAAGTGCATCTGACCTTTGTTCATTTTTACTTAAAATAAAAAACAAAGAAAAAAAAAAAAGGCTGAAGCAAACTGTTTTTGCCATTGTTAGTGTAAGTTCGGAACGTCCGGGGTGCATCTGTAACACGTTCCAGGCTGGAGATCTTTAACATGTTAGCGAGGTTGGTTGTGCATCGAGTTAGAACACCGGGGAAGTGCATCATGAACTCAGCCGCTCTTGCGCAGCGTGAGGTTATACAGGTGTAGAGTAGACAATCTAAATAAACTGAAAGCGAACACAAGAATAAAATATAATCTGCTAAGAATACTTATCTATTTTCCTTTTTTTTTTTTAAATCAAGAGATAAACACACACGCACACACGGCATACGCAAAAATGGGGAATCCAGCATTATGAAAAAACTCGACCAGACCAGGACCGGAGCGAGGCTGCCAAAGTGGCGCCTTCAGGGAGGGGTTGGGGGTCACTGCAGTTGTGGCTGATAGTGCAGATGGATTGAGTGGCACTTTTTTTTAATAGAGGAGGAGAAACAGAAGAATCGTCGAAAAGGAGTGACACAAAATCATTGGCAAGGAGTCTCTCTTCCTCCTGTTTGGGGAATCTTGCAGCAGCTGGCAGTGCATTTGGAAAATCAAAACAAAAGAAGAAAGTTCTCAACCATACTGTGAGGGTTTGATGACAGAGGGGAGGGGACCGAAGAGAGAAGGTGGGCGAAGTTTGAGGCGCTAATGGAGTGATTTCGATCAACTGCTCTGTGACGACATGCTTACACCAAAAACAGGAAGGAGGGTTAGCTTTAGACTGGGTTAATCTGCACACACACTCACACACACACGTACACACACGCACAGTTCGCACTTTTTCCCCCCGCACTCACAGTAAAATAAATGCATGCATATCTTTACAGGCTTCAGTCCTGGAGGCTGAGGCAAGTGATGGAAAACTGGACAGGGAGGGAGACAAAAACAACAGTAGTCTAACTTCACACACTCACACTCACACTGTCAGCACACAAAAACAGGCCGCACACCCGCTTTTTTAGAAAAAAAAAAAAAACACAAACAAACATGAGGCGGTACAAACACACAGTCATACTATAGCTTTTCCACCAACCGTCCAAGGTTAAAAAAGAAACACAAAAATAAACTCCACAAATATTTTTTCTTCCCAGTCTGTTTTTGCCGCCTTACTTCCTTGTTTCACGTCATGTTTTGTTTTCTTGAAGTCTGTTTGTGTCCTGTGTTCTGCACCAGGACTCGCCGTGGTGGTGGTGCCGTGTCCTCGTTTGAGCTGCCTCACGTCACGGTCGATGCTGCACCCCAATACCACCCTCACCCCCACCTCTCCTCCTATTCCTCTTCTCAGGTAGCATGAGGGGCCTCTTCATGAAAACATCAGGAGGGTTGTTAGTCTGTTTCTGCCAAAGCAACACTTGTTCAGAGGTCGAGGACAAAACGAGGGCGTGTTTGCATGTCTATGCGCATACTCCTTATGTTTGAACACAAGTGTGTGTGTTTGTGTGTGTGTGTGTGTGTGTGTGAGAGAGAGGGTGTGTGCTGTGTGTTTGTGTGTGTATATAAGAGTGAAATGACCAGGGCAGAGCTGAGGCTGTCAAGCTGATAGTGTACGAGGTGAACAGCACCTGCTGTCCCATTTTTTCCTCCCCCGTCCCCTCTTCGTTCCTCTAGCGGAGCCACAGTTTGAGCCGCAGCGCGTCCACTCCGTTCAGGTAGTATCTGAACAGCCGCTTATCTCTGACAAAACCCAAGTTCTCGTACAGCTTCAGGGCTGATTTGTTGGTTATTTCGGTCTCCAATACAACCTGGGGACACACAGACGGGCGCGTTATTATGTTTATGTTTACATGACAAACTTCACCATATGATAGCACAAAACAGGTATAATGTAACTCTGTCTTAGAGAAACCTGCACATTTTTTCAAACATAGAAATGACGTTTTTTTCCTAAAATTGTGCATGTTGAAGGTTAGACACCCCAAATAATCATTTGCATTTCAAAACCAAACCATATTTAAAGGGATATTCCAGCATGAAATTAATTTAGGGTCAAACACACCGTAACACAGAGTTAGACACCCCCTTGAGAGATGAATGTTGCCGACCGCTTACTTCTCTAGTTATACCAACTTTAGTAACGACCGCAGGATAGCAATACACAGCGGTCTGAGGAGCCATAAACAAACCTCAACCTAAAAGCCACTCTATAGCCACAAATAATGCTCGGAACAGAACTTCATCAACAGTACATATAGGGTCCTAACCATAGCAGTAGCCACCAAACATCTTATTAACTTCACCTGATTCTTTAGCAAAGAGACTGAACACAACTCACCTACTCTCTTCCAGCAGCTGCTTGTTTGTAGTGAGACCTCGGGCCAGTCCATTACGGACTGCTGTGGGGTGACGCAGCTCAAGGAAGAACATTTGTAATCATTACTTCATCATTTCCTTGAAGTACTAATCACCATATTAATCATTTTGCACTGCAGACGCGGTAGTTCTTCTGTCTTAGTGTCTCGGTCTGTTTGCATTTCCATGAAGAAATGATCATAAATGTTCTTCCTTGAGCTGCGTCACCCCGCAGTAGTCAATGGACTGGCCTGAGGTCTCACTACAAACGCAGCTGCTGGAAGAGAGTAGGTGAGTTGTGTTCAGTCTTTTTGCTAAAGAATTAGGTGAAGTTAATAAGATGTTTGGTGGCTAGTACTAAGGCTGGGACCCTATATGTACTGTTGATGAAGTTAGGTGCTGTTCTGAGCATTACTTGTGGCTATAGAGTTGCGTTTTGGTTGAGGTTTACTTATGGCTCCTCAGACCGCTGTGTATTGCTATCCTGTGGTCATGTACTAAAGTTGGTAGAACTGGAGAAGCAATCAGTTGGCAACATTCATCTTTCGAGGGGGTTAAATTAATTTTACGCCGGAATATCCCTTTAATGCACTAATCATGGGATCAAATCTCCTTCATTCTGCTAGCTCAGCTGATACAGGAGAGCTAACCTGTGGAAAGAAAACACAGCTGTAGACCCCTTTTAGCTGAGAGGGGACTCACTAATACTTGTGCAGTAAGCTGACTTTGGTTCATGACTGCATATAATATAAAAGCTATACGGTACAGGATGTCTCAGGTACTGTGTGTACTTTTTTTAGGGCGTGTGTGGTGGTGGGGGGTGTCGTTCAGCTGTTTCTGGCCAAGAATAATTTCATTGAGTAATCAAGCTGCCAATCAACCCTCAGTGTGTCATATACCAGCTCTGTGTGTCTTGCACCTTTGTCTGAGCTGAGCTAGCAGTTCCCCCCTCTGCTCCAGCTTTATGCCAAAGTAAGCTAACTGTAACACTGAGTAGGCATTTTTTCACTGGTCGCGGTGGGAATAGCGCTGTCCACAACCAAACAACATTAGCGGTGGCTCTGGCTCGGTACGCTGGGACAGAGAGGAGCAGCTCTCAAACCGAGGCAGCTCTAATGTGGATCCTCGAAAAAGACATTTAGTCGACAAAAATGAATGAATAAATGTGGGTGGAAACAATAAATCATAATGTCAAGAAAATCAAAACACTACAAAAGTGACTCCAGCAGTATGGCTTATTCTGTGATACAGCTGTTTTCCTGTTTGTGCCTTTGAGGCAGGTTTGATCTATTGAGAATAAAAATAACTTTATTTATCCCTGAAGGGAAATTCAAGCGTCATTAAAGCTCCTGTGAGAAGATTTTAGTCGGTTATGAAATCAACTCTGACCCTTTTTTTTGCCTACAAATGTGAGTGAGACCACCAGGATTCAGGAATAAAGCTGATTATTTTTATTAAGTGACTTTTAATAGACGCCACTCAGTGGGTCATTCACATTCACAAGAGCAGCAGTAATGCATTTTACTATTAAAGGGAAGCAGGTGGAGTCTAGCCCAGTTTGATGCTACTTTTTTTACATGACTACTTCTGTGGTGGTTTGTTTGTACATTTTGCTACTGAGGCTTTGACACCGTGGGTAAGACTACTCGCTCGCCTCTGCTGAGTGATGCTGCCACTCGTCTTTAAATTATAATTGTGGAACGATTATTACAGTACCTTATGATTTCATCATCGCGGCCGTTTAATATCGCATATCGCTATTAAATCGTATATCGGCACATCCCTAATTGTGACAACTGCTCACAACACAGCTTTGGTGCTTGCCGTCGCCAGGTGATAAAAAATACACTCCTTAATCAGCATGTGTTGTGTAACCCCATCACATTAACATTATGATAATTTTGGTGAAACACGGCGGCGGCTCTTTGGTCTCAATCAACAGAAATCTGAATGTTGAATCTCATTTCCACTTCTAATATTTGAAGACAGAAACGGTTTCAAAACCTCCTGTGTGGAAGACGCCGTGAATGATTTCGCAGGTTTTTGCTCAGGGAGTGAGAGAAATAGCTTGTCGCCCGGGGGGACTACTCAAATGCTCAAAGGAGATGACAATCAAACCAAGGTAACCAGCAGAGAGATATGTGAGGGTCGAGCGAGACGTGTGGGCCTTGAAATACGAGCAGCTTGGTTGAGTTTCTTTTACTCACACAGAGCCTCGCTGTTAGAGGAAGAAAAGATTTTCAGCAGTGCTGACATCGGGCTCTTGCCAAATTTAAACACAAAAAAGACTAATCAAACATGTGGTTTATTTATACATCAGTTTCATGTGTTGTCATTTGATTTCTTCAGTTTCTTTTTTCTATTGCAGGACTATCCTCCTTTCTACGGCACACATGAGCGTTGAGAGTGAATTCTTTGGCACACATGGTTTGAGTCTTTGCCAATGTCAGGCAGACAGCCCATGCATGTTGGCACCAAACCCCCCTGAGAAGTTTTCAGATAAGGTTCAACAAAAAGCCTGACATGTTTACTTATTGAGACACCCCGCAATAAGAATGAGTTTCACAAGCCTTACCTCGTCACAGTCCCCCTCCACCATGGCATAGATGGCCTTCTTCACCAGATTAGTACCTGACAAACACAAGTTTGAGTCAGTTTTGAAAAATTATTTTTACTTTAGAGAAAATTATGCTTGTATTTTCTGTTTGTTTGGCGTGTAAACTTGTATTATAAGAAAGGCAGAAGTGTTTCGCGTGAACTCAGGCTGCATAACTTATCTAATTTTAGCATTTGCATAAAGAGATTTGGTTTTCAAAGACACTGCTGGTTCTCTCAAACTAGTCTGAAGCGGAGTCCACATCTCACCGATGCTTTTCCTTCTGTGTTTGGAGTCCACAGCCAGCATGGCGATGTAGCCACGACGGAACATCTTCTTGTGCATGTCAAGCTTACAAACGATGGCTCCGACACACTCCTGCTCCACCATGGCCTGTGACACACACACACACACACACACAGATAATAGTTAGCTGTTTATCAGGGCGGTTGCTAAAAACCTGGCAGGAGTTCCTGTAGAGCTGCAGCCATCCTGCCTGTTCTGCTGACTCTCTAAACTGACCTCTGACCTTTATTTCACGACACTTCCTCTTCTGTCACACACTGTGGCTCCTGACAAACTGGAACTAAATTGTTTACAACCTTGAGGTGACGAGGATAAACAAAGAAGGAACAAAAGATCCAACTGACGCTGTAGGTACAAGGGGAAACCAGTGCGTTGACATTATTCTCTACTATTTAAGGCGTTAAAAACCTTTCATTACTCCTGTCTGCCTGAGTTTGGCTTCACGACAGATTCTTGCATCAGTAATGAAATAAAACAGACATAGAGTCGGCTAAACCCTCCCTGACTGGACCGCTGTCAACTCAGACTGAAGTCCTTCGGATAAACAAGAACAATGTAGAAGAGTTTGTGTGAGAGACGTGGACAAACTGGCTAAAAAGATAGAGTACAAACTTCATTATCAGTAGGACGTTAACACATCTGGGCTGGGCGATATGGGAAAAAGTTTATCACAATGTATTTTTTTTATATCAGTCGATATCGATATAAATCACGATATAAATCACGATATAAAAAATGAAATTTAACAGTGCTTATTAGTAGTATATCTTTTGAAATACAATAAGCTGCTGCATCTGTGAGGTCTTTGTGTCTCTTTGACATTTTGTGGTAAGGCGTTGCGCTAGAGAAAACGGACTGAATGGTTGGCTGTTTCGGCTGCACAGGCGCCATGGGCTCCTTGCTCCGCTTGGGGTTTGTAACCTTTTGCATTGCGCGAGCTCTGCCATGCGGCACTGCTTCAGGTGGTGAAAAAGATTTGAGGTATTCCCCGACTTTGCGAGAACGTGTACTCTGCATAATTCGCAGTACACATTACTCTGCTTCATGTCCGACCTCAGAAAACTAAAATACCTCTACACCACCAACGTTTTCGTGCCAGTGTTGTCACCTTCATCTTCACCTTCATTAAATCTGCCAATTTCAGCCTGTTTGAGACTAATCGGTAATCAGCCAAAACTCGCCGATTATCCCCCATATTTTCAGGAATAAAATGGAGAATAAGATTCGGTTTCACTTTGAAAATGTTCCGCAATTTGAAACGTTCCCTGACTTATCCTGTAGGTGGCGCAGCGACCTTGTGACAATCTTCATCCACTAACTACCTCACAGCACAGCAGAGTGACGGATCTGAAGCAGGCAGCTCAGGCACGCACGAGGAAGAGTGGTCTGCCTCAACAGTAAATAAACCAGTTTGTGAAATACACAATAAGTCAACAAGTTTCAGTTCAACCCACGTCACCATGTTCCCCGCTGTGCTGGTCTCGATCACGCTGAGTTAACGGTGAAGCACCATGTAATATGCAAGCTAAAGTTAGAGTTAGCCATCTGCTATTAGCCTTGCTACACTGTTAGCCATGGCAGTAAGGGTAGAATAAACTATGTCTAAGAATATATGTTTAGCGTTTGACGATGTTGACGAAAATATTTTCGAAAACAACACTGTTATGGTTGCGTGTAACTGCAGCCTGCTACTACACAGTTGTTTGCTACTTTGTTCTTATTCAGCACATGATTTGTTCAGCGCTAAGCGGACTGCAGCAACTCCCCTTTTCATTGACTATTCATAAAATCGACCAAAACATGGTGGAATGTCAGCTATCGACAAGCATATTGATCATGTGTTATACTCATAGTGAGGGAAATTAATTTGACATGTATATCATTTTATCGCCCAGCCCTATAACGCATGTGTGTTTTTTGGGTGTTTGCCTTCAGTACATATCAGCTCCATATTTGGCTGCCTGTCAGACACGCTGACAGGTGAAAGCATGCAGTCACACCCAACCCCACTATTGGTATGCAGCTTCAGGTAACCAAAGTCCTTGGGCAAAAAGGAGGGTGTCTTTTGCACTCATTTAGAGGGAATAATAAACAAGGTAAAGGAATGGGAAGAAGGTATTTTGGTGTTGGTAAGAGAGTCACACTCACCAGAAAGCAGAGCTGCGGCCAGTTGTGGATGAAGTACCTGTAGGTGTAAATTGAATAAGGCTCAGATAAGTCCTTGGTGATGAGTCTCATGATCCACGGCATCTGCAGCTCAGACTCATAGCGGACATAGCGGATGCCGTGGCTCTCCTCCTCCTCCTCCACCTCCGCTCGGCCGGGAGACCCGCTCAGGTCCAGCCGGGCCAGCTCTGCGGCAGGCGGCTGCTGCTGCTGCGGCCCGGCGGGGCTCTCCTCCTCCTCCTCTCCGCCGGGCCCGGCAGCTTCTGTCATGTGAACAAACTCGTCTCTCCCTTCGTCCTCGGGGTGGTGTTGTTGTTGTTGGTGGTGGTGGTGGGCCGCGTCAGTTCTCGTGAAACCCGGCATCCCGTTCATGCTATTGTTGACCAGGGGGGAGTGGGTGCCGTTTTTGGAGCAGCAGCGGCAGCAGCAGCAGGGGCTGTGGCCTTCTTCATGTTGGCAGTGCTCACTATTGTTTCTCACGGCCGGAGCCTCCTCGGTGCAGCTGTCACAGTTGTCCACGGACGGTCTGGGATTGTCGGGCCGGTTTCCTGTGTGTTCGTGGCTGTCACCGTCCTCCGTGGGGCTCGACAGCCCGTTCAGCTGCTGCTGCTCCCGGGCTTGCATTTTCAGGTGCAGCGCCGACGCCGCCGCCGGGCTAGCTCGGGCTAGCATGTTCACCTGCTTCTTCTGAACCGACGATTTGACCTCGTTGACCGTCTGAGACTTCTTCCCCGGATCGGAGGGTACACGGTCCTCCCGGTGACAGGCTGGCTTCCCGTCTCCCCCCGCCGGCTCCGCGGTCCCAGCCCCGGGGAAAGGAGGACTTTCAGCCGGGGATGCAGACAGTGCGCTACTAGGCCCAGGCGGCACTGTGGCCATCCCACCGCATTAAGGTGGAGATTCGCGCTTAGAAGAGGTCCAACACAATCTCATCAACAAAGCCAAGACATAAACAAAGGGTATAAGAGCGATCTAACCGAATATCACATGAATTCAGCGGATTTTCAGGCGATACCGTATCCGCTCCAGACGGTAGTCTCTGCTTTCTCCTCGATTTCCCTGCTGCCGGAAAGTGCTGTCGCAGCAAACGCCATTGCAACAGCAGACAGAGGCGTTTTACGACAGTGGTGTAACGCATGACAGGCAGCAGTTTTTTTTCTTTTTCAGCCACTTATTTACACAGTTCAGTCATGAGGTCCTCAGACGTTTTTTAAAAAAAAGTTTAATTCAGTCAACTTTATTTATTTGTATTTTATTTTATTTTTTGATTTATTAATTTTTTATTTTTTAATATTTCCTTTCTTTCTTTTGCTTTTAAAAAAAATTTATTCAGTTAATTTTTCTTTTTTTAATTGACTTTTATTTCATTTTTAGTTCATTAAGTCATGTATTTAATGTATTTTCTTATTTTTTCTTTTTAAGTTTTATTTAGAGTTAACTTTTTTCTTGTTTTTTTATTTACTTTTATTTTAAATTTAGTTTGTTATTTTTTATGTATTTTCTTTTTTTTTAATCTTTTTTTTTGTTTTATCCAGTTAACAATTTCTTTCTTATTTATCTATTTTTTAAATTTTTTAAATTTATTTTTAATTTATTTTAATTTTTTTTATTATTATATTATTTTATATTATTTTATTTTTAAAAATGTATTTATTTTATTTTATTTCATTTTTTTAATGTATTTTTTTATTGCAAACATTTAACAAGACATGCAAAGGAGTGAGGTGCAACATGAATAATAATAGAAACAAGAAATAACAAAAAATAAATAAAAATAAAAAACACCAACAAAGACAATAACAAGAGACAAAAACAAATCAAGAACAACAATAACATTTTAAAAAATGATAATGGTACATTACCAAAAAAAGCAAGCAGAGCAAAAACACAAATGAGACAAGAGTAGGGGGAGTCAGTCACAACTGCTCAAAACGAATTTAAAATGTATTTGAAATCTCTTAAAACGTTAACTGGTTTGAAGGAACAAAAGTTATATGATAACTTTTGTTCCTTGTATGGTCGGAGCCAAATGTGGAGTCTTTCTCCAAGGTTCACAGCCGTCTTATCTGATTTCCACCAACAGGGGACGCCAAGTTCACGATTTATTTGAGGATTTCCCTCTCTCTTTCACAACCGCAACAACATCGCTTTTTCTCCAGCAGATGTCGCCAGAGGATCAGTTTTATCTGCTTTTCTGATTCTTTTCAATGTATAATGAAGTCTTTTCAAGTTTGATTTAGTTTGTGGAAGTTAAAGCCATTATCTGTGCAGAAAATGTTACAGTATCTTTTGAAATAAAACAATAATTTTTAAAATTATAATCAGATGTTAAATCAAAGTTTCTACCCCAGGGTCGAGACAACATCCTTATCCTGTGTGATGACATAATATCAGACACGAGAGAGAACTAGACTTCAGTGAACCAAACATTTATTTTTCTGCATTAATGCACAGTAGGAACTTTAATTTGATGCAGCTGAAAATGCGTTTTGAAAAATTAAGAATATAATATCTGTCATCATAAAGAGAGACAGGAAGTCCTCAGTCTCTGTTTTTACTTAGTGCTCAAGTGTTTTATAGTAAAACTTCATGATTAGTTTTCCTGTATATCCTATCTTGTCTACTTAGGTTTATAAATGAGGAAAAGACCCTCCTGTTTCAGCACTCACCAGAAATGATTACAAATGCCTCAAACTTAATTGAAGTGTTAACTGAATATCAGTTTGTTACTTTAGTTTGTGTCTCCTCCTCTTTCTTAAAACACTATAATCTCTCTCCTCAATTCAAGAAGACTGTAAAAAGTGTGGTGATTATTTCTTAATTACTTCATACTTTACTCACAGTAAGGATGAAACATACAAATCAGGGCAAGACTGACGACTGACTTGCTGAAAACCTGGTCCAGGTTTACGCAAGATGGTTTACTGTGGCTCCTCCTAGGTGGCAGTGTTACTCTATCAAGGCCTCAAGCATATGGCGGTGATTGACTTCACTATTCCTTTAAAATAGATTTTTAAATTGATTTTTCTTACAAAGCTCACTAAGATTAAAACCCTCTGTACCAAGAGCGTCCTGACAAACAGATAACCAAACATAAAAACATGATACAAAGTAAATGACTTAAATATAATTAAAAACACAAACTTAAAAAATGCAACAGGGTATATTTTTCAAAAATCAACCACAATCAGAAGTGTAAAGGTCCTTACACACTGGGAGTGTATTTTTTTTTGGTGCGATTATTTCAGACGTCGCAATTTTTTTTCGAACCCGTATCCTGTCAATACAAGTGTTCACATCAGCGACGTTTTCCCATCCTGCGATATTGCGGCATTTATTATTTTTGATTACGGTCAATTTTTCTGTAGTTTTGCATACTGTGTGTCCACTTCTAACCAATCAGATTGCATGTTGTTGAAACGTCTGACTCACCGGTATATCCAACATGGCCGACCGGCTGATTGTTTACGTGTCGGAGAACAGAGTGCTTTTCGATAAAGACACAAATATTACAAAGATAACGACCTGAAGGACAAATTGTGGAGAGTCATAGCATCGGATCTCTCATATGACGATAGTTTGTGTGCTTTAACAGTTTGATAAACGTCTTTGTTTTAACTTTCATCTGTGCTAAGTAACTTTAGCTCGTAAGCTAACCTGTTCAGATACAACATACCATATGTATTTTTACTGTCTCAAACTCAATCGCGTTGCTGTCACAGCACCATTAGGTCTCAGTTGTTACCTTACATTTATGGATCATATTTTAATGTGTTCATCTGGCACTGGCCCCGACTCAGTACATGCTATCATGACAGACAGACATCTCAACACTAGAGTCTAATCAGAACTGAAAACAGTCGTCTGCTGTTGTGTCAGTCTTCTCGCTTCCACCCGGGGTACATCTTTTTCCCCCCCGGAAAGTCGCAAAATCGCATCGGGCTTGATGTGTATAGTCAGGCGCATCAAAATTTGCCCCTGAATATTTCGTAATTTCGTGTTCTATATTCATGTCATCCCCGGTGTGTAAGGACCTTAAGAGGCAGCGAATCTACAGGGAGGCGTGCTCTTTAACATGACCTTTGAATCGACCAATAAGATCGGTTCATTAAGTTAAGGTGGAAGGTGTCAGCCAAGCAGCGAAAGAGACGACCCTGTTTCTTCCAGTTTCCACAAAACATATTCACAATAAATTTTACACTTTTTGTCAGTTTTTGTCAGAACACACTACTAAGCTAGACAGGCCAAGAATGTTTTCTCCACAAGGGGGCGCCAAAATCAACACAAAAAAAGTTACTCACAGGAGCTTTAAAAAGAAAATAGGTCATTTGTATACAAAAACAGAGGTTAAATAAAACTCGATAGATAGATAGATAGATAGATAGATAGATAGATAGATATGTTGAAAGAGGCAGTGTCACGCTATTTGTTGATAAATGTCACAGAGACAGAAAGATCGATGGAGAGAGAGAGAAAAATGAGAGAGAGACGGCCCTTTGAAAGCTAAGCCTCGGGGCTGAGAACTCTCTGAAGAGCTGGAATCAGACATGCACAATCAGTTCCCCTCTTCAAATCTCCTTTACAGGCCTATCTACTTGAACAGGCTTCTCTTAATTACTTTCTCTATCACTTAGCGAGCCGTGCCTGCCTGGGACGAGGAGCTGCAGCGTCTTTGCCAGAGACACTTGGCTGGTTTGAACCCATATTCACATATCTTCTTTCTCACAATCCTGTCCCGTACCTTTTTCTCTTTTTCCCCCTCTCCCCTCCTCTTCCTCTTTCTCCTCCTCCTTTTTTTCCCCCCTTCTACGCCGCTCTTGTCTCTCCGCGGCTCTCCCCATCCTGCCTCTATAGCCTCTTCCAAATATCTTCAGGGCGTCGGTTGCGTCATGTGACTGGTTTGCTTGTGATTACAGCAGCTGGCACCCTCTCTCATCTAAGAGGAAGCACCAAAATACCTTGAGAAATGACAGCATGAAGAGAAGAATATAGGTCTGGGAGTGCTTGAAGAAGAGGTGCAACTTGCCCATCATCATCATCATCATCCACCATCATCATTGTCGTCTCAGTTCCTCACCCTGTTTCTTGTTCTGAAGGCCAAGGGTTGCATCTTCTTCTCCTGCTCGTCACTTTGGCTCACCTCCTCCTCCTTCTCCTCCTCCTTCTTCTTATTCTTCCTCTTTTTTTTTGCTGTCTGGCGTCTGGTCCACTAGAGCTGTATTTAATTAGTTTCTGTAGGGTTAATTAGGGGGCTAAAGTTAGGGGGTCGGAGCAGAACAAAAGCAGGGCAGGCTGGGCGGATGCAGGTGCCCTTGTGTGTTTGCCAGATTCTTCCGTTCAGATTAAGATTCGTCTCAGATAGAGGAAAGCTTCTCTAACTTATTTTCACTCTGGCAGAATTTTACCCGATATTTCCTTCATTTCAGCATCCCGTCTCTACACCATAAAGTTGAAGGATTTCTCCTCACTTTCATGCCTCGTATTGCTCATATCACGCTGGCGCTGATCATACAGAGCTAACGTATGGCGCGTTCAAGTGATCCGCTCGCCAGTAATCTTTCCATACAAGGTGTTGCATCCTATGTTGTCATTCATATCACTCCCAGCACTCTCTTCAGTGGCGGATATACCCTCTTTTTCTCTGTAGAATAAAAAACACACGACAAAGACATCAAATGAGCACTGCAGGCAAGTGAAGTATACATAAAAATGAGCACTTTAAGGCCTGTGAAGTGAACATCAGTTGTTGAATTGTAGTGATCATGGAATTGAAAAAGGAGATGTGAGTGCAGGAAGCTTCAGGCTGCAGCTTTTTGAAGGTTACCCGTCTACTTATTGTACTTTTTGCATGTATTCACAACTTGAAAAACGCACAAAAGAGGGTTGGATGACAAATACGCGGTTACAAGTAGTCTTGTGTGCGACAAAGAAGTGAAGAAGAGCCAGAAAGAGACACAATTTGACCTTTTCTTCCATCCAGTAGAGATGAAGAGGGAGCAGATGAGCTGATATCAGAAAGGAGGAGAGGAGAGGAAGGAGAGGGGAGAGAGAGAGAGGGCATCTCTGGCATGGCTGGAGACCCTCAGTGTGTGAGGGTCCTGGGGCCCTTTAGACAGGCGCCAGCCCAGCAGGGAGGCAGAGACAATCGCGCAGCACCAGATCCAGTGCAGGGGAGATGGAGGGATGGAGGGAGATGAGGAGACACAGAGGGGAGGATTGAGGGAGGGTGTGCGGAGAGACAAAGAGAGCGTCTGAGAAAGGTGGAGGACGCGACAAGGAGAAGAGAAGACAGGTAAGAGCGAGTGAATAAAAGAGATGAGTTTAAAAGAGTTAGGGGGAAAACAGAGAGAGTGGCGCGGATCAAGAGGAGGTGAGAGGAAAAGGAGTGAGAGGAAGAAAGGAGCGAGCGAGCGAGCGAGAGATAGCACGTATTCCCTCTGTTACAGTCTTTATCACCGGCCCAGATCGTGGCGTATGAACAGTGATCCAAGTCAACCATCTGCTGAGGCTAGATAAGCCTGGGAGAGCCGGGTATTGAGCTGTCACTCAGGGAGGAGAGCCGAGAAAGAAAGAGAGGAGGGGAGAGAGGAACAGAGGAGAAATAAAGACAGAATGGGGAGAAGGGAGAGGGTGAGGGAGGGGACGGAGGGGCTGTGTGTGCAAGGTAGGAGAAGATTTGTGCAGACCGGAGAGCATCCGTCTTGTTAGAGAGAGACTTAACGTCAAATAGATGTCCAGTCCTGTCCCCGCTTCATCTGGAAATAATCCGTCAGCTAATAAGAACAATGAAATTTATTGCTTTATTTTGTCAACACACACAACTGCAGACACACACACTTCCTCTCATCACTACTCCCAATGACATACAAGAGGCTGTTGTTTATTTCCTGTCATCAGCATGTTAATAAACGTCACTGCAGCCTGTTAGAAGAACAAAATTGAACAGTTGAACACACACACACACACACAGGTACACACACAGGTACACACATGCTATCATCTCAGAGAAGTGTGTGTGTGTGTGGGTTGATTACACACCTCTAACTGCTGGTGAGCATCCCCAGAGTGGAAGATGGGTTACTAGTTGATTAAGCCGCTGTGTAGGTGATTAAGTTAAATCCCACTTAAACATACCCCTCTAAACCACTTAATGCACGACTATGAATGACATTATAACCCTGTTTGTGTGTAAAAGGCCCGACGTTCAATATTAGATGATTTTTGTCATCTTTTATCTGGTTTAGCGTTTTAAAGACGCAGCATTTACTCCATAATCGTGATTTTTTTTTGGATGTGTGTTTGTGTTTGTTGTGTGATTCCGTTGTCGTGAATCACGGCTGGGAGGGGGGGGTCAGGCCTGGGAGTGGGGGGGTTAGGAGGGGATTAGCCGAGGCCAGTTGGATCATTTTACAGCCGGAGGACCCCCTCACCCCCCTACCCCACCCTCTGCAGTCTCCTGGACAATGAGGATTAAACTCCTCTTGTTCCTCAACTCCGTAAAAAAAAACGGCAGGACGACAAAGACACTATTCCTCCTGGGTCCTCTGGCTGAGGCCGGGAGCTGAGCTGAGAGGAGAAGGAGGGAAGGATTGAAGGGAAGGAGGGAGGCAGCGAGGAGGCAGGGGGTCCATCATAAAATTAATCCCTTCACAGTTTCCTCTGGGTGCAAAGTGAGATATGAGGCAGACATGTCTAATGAAACGCTACAGTCATCTAAGGGCACAGCGATAAAAGCATATATTAAACTAATGGAGCTCGTCATTAGCGCCTCTATTAAGCGGATTGAGAAGGCTGTGCTCTCCTCTGGTGATCGGCACAAAAGATTAATCAGCACCAATCAAAGTCCACCTTCTCACTTCTTCAATTTCAGAGCTCAAACTGAAGTCTCACTGATATTTAAGCTCACTTACATACCTTTAATCAACCTATGACTGTACTCATCTGAAAATCACATTAATTTGATGTTTTCTGCACCTCCTTTTTAAAAATCAAATGAAGAGATACTGCTGTAATGTCTGCACAGGAAAAGAGAAGCTAGAGTCAGCCACTGCAGCCACTTACTTAGGTTAGTTTACGAGCTAAAGTTACTTAGCACAGATGAAAGTTAAAGCTCATGTCCCCCCTTATATTGTGATTCACACCAAAACTTTTAGTGTTACGTTTATTTTATTAACTTTTATTTGTGTTTAAACTGGTATGTTCACTGTTCATAATGTTCCTAAAACAACAAAGCTCATATTAGATACATAAATGCATGATTTATTATGCAATATTTGTAAGCGTACACTTCCTTATATCTTCATTGGTTATCTTTCAGCGTTGAAAATTCCAACGACACTCTTATTTTTGTGTGTTCTGGATCACAGTATCCGGAATATTGTCTGGATCATGACAAAAACGGTCCCGGTGTGTAAGGACCTTTACTTGCTGATAAAAACATCACATCAAAACGCATGGTAAGCTCATCTACTCAGTCTGTTATCCAACGCTGTAAATCTTTAAAGCTCCTGTGTGCAACTTTTGATATGTGTCGATTCTAGCGCCCCCTCTGGACAAAGAAGTGAATCCTCTTCATACTTCAGTGAAGTCAACCGACAATAAATATCATCCTGCTTGTAGGTTCCTTAACCATGAAGCCATGAGATTGCTAAAAAGAACTCCACAGGATCCTCTCGCTCGTTTTGATACACTAGTCCAGCATGACTATATAAACATATAAGTGCGCAAAATACAAAATAAAAGCAGAGTAAGTGAACAAACGAGCGAGGTCAAAAAACTGTGTGGCTCCACTCCATGATGCCTGACATAACTGCCCGCTTGGGTTAACTACACACACAGATATCAATACGCATCAAACACTCTATATGCGATTTTTAAGTTAAATGAACTTATCAACATGAATTATCTAACTATAAATAATGTAAATAACGAGAATTTTACCACAAATCAACACAAAAATAATTAAATACATAAACTTAAATTATCCAAATATTGATGAACTCAAAATAGGACCTAGGCCCCTACACTGCTAACTCTTGACATATCGTTTATCATTAATACCTGTGAAAACAGGACTTTATCCTCTGACAGCTACCCCCTTTTACCAATTTTAGGAATTAAAAACTACAATATAAAAATTGCTGATGGTCTTGCTTGATTTCGATAATCATAAAAATGCCTTCATGGTTTGTCTGTTTCATAAAAAATACTCCTCATAGGAGCTTTAAACAAGTAGTACGAGAGGCTAGTTCAGCTAATACAACATGGGCTAACACTAATCTTTAATATTAAACAAAATTAGAGATTATTCAGTTTTACTTTTTCAAAGCAGCCCTCTGTTTTATAATACATGTACCTGCATGTTACATAAACGCTGTACTCTCCCTTCATCACTGAGTTTAGGCGATCTGTCCTGAAAACATATGCTGTATGACACTCATAGTGACCACTTGGGCTCTTTGTGAACAGGAGTACTCTGGGATTAGTAAATTGAAGGCTAAATCCTGTGTAAAAGCCCAGCGTTGAGCAGGGTGTGATCATAGCCTGAGGCACGGTGATTAAGGATCTGTATGTGGCGAAGAGTCCCGACACAGGACACAGCAGTGGGCTCAGTATGTGGCAGTGTGTCAGGCTTGTAAAAGAGACAGATTTGACTGCCCTTAATGTTTTACTGTAACATCTATTTGCTTCTGAGGAGAGAGGACACAAAAGCTGTTTTTTGAAGCGGTGATGCCGAGGATCAAATTTACTGGTCAACATCCAAATAAGAGGGACGATAAAGGAGGAAGACAAAGGGAACAGAAGTCTGCTGGTTTTAATCTGAGGGAAAAATGAGGGAGTCAATATGGGAACGTAAGGAGAAGAGAAAAAGAGGGAACCACGGAGGAGGGCGAGGAGCACAACAGAACCGGGGGGAGTTAGAGGGAGAGCGGAGAGCAGAGGAGGGGCCTTTCATACAAAAAGGCTCTCTTTTACTTATAGAAAAGAAAAAAAAGAGCAAAAGAAAAGCTTCTTCTCGCCTCCTGGACGCAGTGTCAAACCCAATCAGTGTCTGTTCTGGCAGCGTTGCTCGTCTCCCAGGCACCGGCTCACAAAGAAGGCGAGCCTGGGCCGCCACACCTCTCACTTCAAATCTGCGTCCTCCAGGACGGGCCTGGGAGCCAGGGGCCGAGGGGAGGCCCAACAAAGCACCTCAAATGTTCAAATTCTCATAAAAAAGTCCCAGTGTGGTGAGAATTGGATTAACTAGTAAAACTGAAAAACTCTTCTCAAGAGGCTTCAGATCGGCTCATTTTGATTTGGACAGCAAATATCAGGTTTTATTGTCACGAAGCTGACGCAAGTGTGGCTTTGGATAATCGTCCGGGTGTAGGTTGTTATTGTTCTTAAAGATTTTCAAACAAAACAGGTGGAAAGAATGGGACTTAGTGTCAGGGTGCATGTAGGTAAAGCCAAACACAAACATGGATAAACTGCTCGACGATTACAACGACTGACAATCCCTGAGCTGTGGAGTCCTGCGCTAATAAACGTGAGCAACAAGGCTTGATCCTTAAAAACCTCGCCACTCAAAAAAAAAAATGTCTATCCTGAATAGACACCCCCCCCTAAATCGCATTGTTGAGCAAATCCTGCATTAAAAGGAGAGAGTAACTCTGCATTTATACTCCTGAAGACTTTAGTTAAGCCAGTGCCTCTGCCACTTTGCAGCGCGGGCTTCATCCAGCCTGAGTAAATCCGTCTCTCAACCGGCGATTGGCTGAAGCCGAAGGGGCCATCTTTTTCACACGCTTCTTCACTCGCCACCCCCCCCTCCCCACCTACGGCTAGTGTTTACCCGTCACCAGACAATGGCCGGTTACTGGCAATTAAACAGCATTTTGCGAGGAATCCGTGGCACTGGTCTAATGGCATTACTGTTGGATGATTCAATCCTTGAATAGTCAACAGGATTTTGCCTCTCACCAGGAAAATACTGCTTCATCGAATTACCCGTATTACATAGATTTACCCAAAGCTTATGATTCAGGGTTCACAGATTACTGCTGCTCTAAAGATGGCGGGAGAAAAGAGTGATGGGCTGAGTGAACGTTGACTCATGTCTCCAAACCTTCGCAGATTTAGACAGATTATTAATTTACCTTTTGTGTTTCCGCGCTCTTTTCATTTCTCACACGGACTTTAAGGACAAGATGATGCAAGTCTTGAAAGATGGTTTCCACACACACTCATATACACACAAACATATAGGAGCCAAACCGCACATTGTGCCCTTTGACCTTTCATGGGTCGAGTCGGGCTGGGCAGCTTGGGGAACCAGGAAGACCGGCCAAGTCCATTATCTCACAATGAAGGGCTAATTACTGGGCCCGCAAGCCTCAAATCACACGGCAGCAGACTGCCTGTCTATGTCCTCCGCTCACCCAACATCTTAATTGCTCTTTTATTCTCTCTCCGTTTTTACTGTGCCTCTCTCCCCGACTCGCTCAGCTCCTCTCGCCTCAGCCATTTCCCACATAAAAGCAAGATGCTAATTGCCTGCTATGGAAATATTGGGCCTGTGATTAGCCAGGCAGAAGGTTTGGCTGGCCTGTGTGCTTTTTCTCTCCGTCTGAACGAGGGGAGCGCGGAGCCAGCATGCGGGGTGCAAAATGGGAAACTGCAGCGTAAATTTATTTTTCTGTCATTCACATGCGCGGCCGGGTTCAAAGCCGCGAGCATTGTCATTGTGCTCCGGTGGCAATTTGTCAGAGTGAAATGTTGGCAAAATGTTGATGAAAATCAGCTTGAAGAAAATTACAGGAAAATTAGTTCAGCTTCTTTTTAGACACAGTTTGAGGATTGTTATCATCGGCATTGACATAATTATGGGACTAATTATTTTGCCCTTCTGTTAGTTCAAATATCTACTCTGTAAACTGTCGACTGAGTTAATAAAGAGGGAAAAAGTTTGATTAAATGGTCAAAACAGGTTAGTAGCGTCTTTTTATACAATTAACAATCAGTGTTTTTACCCAAACTCTGGTAAAAGTTGAGGTACTGTTTACACTTCACACTTAAAAAGAAAAATAAGAAGCCCGGCGTAACAAAAATGACCCTGACTTTGTGGCGCTCTGCTAAAGAGACTGACCTTTGATAATGTAAGGGGTTAAAAGTACGGATATTTGCGACAAAGGCTACGTTCACACTGCAGGTTATGATGCACAATTCGGATTTTTTGTTAAATCCGATCTTTTGTGCGGAAGTTCATATTACAACAACGAATGCGGCGTCTAATGTGAACAGAATGCGTCCGTGAAGTGACCTGCATGCGCACAAAGTACAAATTGCTCTCCGCGCCTGTTTTTGTTGTCGAACGATGGTGACGTTTGATTTGATTAATGACGTATGCAGTCACTGACACTGCAGTCACATCGGATGAACTCAACACAGCTTACTTTTTAGAGGACAAAAAAACTATTAAAAGTGCATCTTAGGTCGTGTTCACACCTAAAGGTCCGTTTCCTGATTCGAATCAAAGGCAAGACGATACTTTTGTTTTAATTAACTGGTCCGGTTTGTGTTCACAAAGGAAAAACTCAATCGCTCCAGAAAACAGAACCTGAAGTCATGTGACCCCGAATGTTGTTCGGTTATTGGTCCTTGGTTCATGCGGGAATACAAACCCCGCTCTGCTGTCTTCGCCTGTCATGGAGCATCGTAGGCTGATTTTGCTTTTGCTACTCATCTGGAGCGTGAAGCAAAAGCGCTAGTTGATCGCGCCTATGAACGGCTTATTAGCCAGCGAGCGCCAACTGCGGCATTAATTCATTCATTCTGGAGTAGACGTGCTGCAAACAACAGACGGATAAAGACGAGACGGCGACAGGCATGAATGACGTGTGTGGTGCGTTTCCTGTGATTGGTGTGGATGACGTTCACACCAGAAATGAACCGCTCCAGAGTTCACTTGAATCCACCTCTCCAGGCGGACCAGAGTTCGTTTATTTGGTCTGCACCAGAGTTCGAGGTCAGCGTTCAAACCGACCCAAACGAACTGCACCAAGGGAGTAAATGCTCCAGGGTTCGGCTTGACCGCACTAAACGAGGGTGGTGTGAACGCGCCTTTATTCACCAAATTCCAAGGTATGTCTGACTGTCAAACTTTTTCTCTTTTTTCTTGGAAAACCGGACTAAAATTCAAAGATGAAACTAAAAGAGTGACACTATTTCAAAATAAGTTACAAACTCCTCACAGTTCCTTCTACTTTCTGAAAGTATGGATACATTTTTAACCAAACTTTGAAGGGACAGTGTTTCTTTGGCATTAGTCAAAACTGAAGATGCAAATTGTGTCACACATGACTGACAAAAAATAAAAACTAAACTCCAAACTGCCAATAAAGAACAACCAATCACAGCGCCTTCAGACAGATACAAATCTATTAAACGTCGTTTTTTAAAGCTGCTGATTTGGTTTTCTCTGAGACTTAGCAGGTGCAACCTTTCCCCTCTTCTCCTTCTCCTATTATGAAGTCTCCTTGGTAATCTTTAGCTCTTTTCAATACACGTCAGATGTTAGCAGGTTATTTTAGTAACTTTTCTTCTGTCAGAGTCACCTGCCATTTGACCTCGGCCTTGTCCCAAGTACCAAACCAAAGCTTTCTGAGCAGCTTGGCGGATATTGAAATGCTCTTTCAGACGTCTTCTCTTTGCAGTTCTTTGTCCAGGATGTAGGAAAAGATGGAGAAGGCAGCGAGGCCGGCTTTCCCAATGATGGGAGCGGAGGAGTTTTTGGGCCGAGAAGTGATTGGTGGTGGCAGCGATGGGGGGGAAGGTTTTCGGGGCCAGAGAGGGGTGCAGGTCGGCTGTTCAAAGGCTGGCTTTTTGCATTGTTGGTCAGTTGGGGATTAGGGTCCTCTGAGCGGCAGAATAGCCCCTCTAATTAAAAAGGATAAGAAGGCAGAGAAATAGCGAGAGGCACGGGAGGAAGCAAAGAGAGAGGGAGGAGAGGGGAGAGCAAATTTGCAGAGAAAAGAAAAGAAAAGAAAAACTGTTTTCAGTGTCACTCCCGCAGCCGAGCCCGACGATTCAGACTGGATTAACTTTACACTCCTCCTCCCTCTTTCTCTCTGTCACTCTCTCCTTAAATCTCTTTCTGTCAGTCTTTCTATCCGGCAATTTCCTTGCTTTGTTCTCCACATGCACAGTGTTTCCTTGAAAGTACAGTTAAAGTGAGTGTTCAAAGCATAAAAACAGACTTTGAAAATGCTCCAGAGTTTAACAAAACGTTAAGAAAAACGTTAGTTAAAACACATTTAATAACTGCAGCAAGAACCCTGTTGTTATGATGCAGGTTTGCAGGGAGTAAGTTGATATTCTACTGAAATAAACCCAGCCTCCTGCACCTGTGTGTGTGTGTGTGTGTGTGTGTGTGTGTGTGTGTGTGTGTGTGTGTGTGTGTGTGTGTGTGTGTGTGTGTGTGTGTGTGCTCAGTATTTGCAGTCATCAGAATGTGAATAGAGTTGCTGTGTGTTGTGCCCCAGATGCCGGCTGTCGGTAGGTGGGCTGTTTGCCGTGGGGATGCCAGGTTGTGTTTTTGTTTGGCCCTCCTCTGTCCCGCCTGCCTCCCTCCCCTTGCTCGATGGGGGGTCCAGGGCTCCCCGGGGCTGGTCCCTGCTGACCATTACCCAGGTATGAGGCCTCTCAGTTTGGCTAACACTAGCCACAGGCCACAGGAGGTTAACGAGGTACCAGCAGGGACAAGACATTCAAGCGTCCCCTGGGCAAAGCTCAAGTGGTGGATGGATCTCAATGAAGGGCATGAATGTGATATGATGGAGGCAGGCATCAGTGGGTGCAAAGGCGGTTTAATGGTCATCAGTCTGTAGGCGTCAAACAAAACGCACAAGAAAAATCCTACACCTAGAAGTTCACAGCAAAGGAAGTTGATCAGTGGAGGGGTATAGGTGAATGGTGGTGTCAATTTTGTATCTGTGGGGTAATTTGTTGTGAAATGGCAAAAGTACGGTGGCCGAACAACACCACTGCTGCAAATAAAAAGAATGCAAAAAAAAGAAGCCACAATGGGAGTCACCGATGAAAAAAAAGAAACCAAAGCCTGCTGCAAATAAAAAAAAAACGGTGCAACGGAAGTTAATGACATGAAAAAAATGGCGATTCAAAGAAAAAAAGTTACTTACTGGGAAAATAAAAGGATACAATTTAAAAAAGCCACAATGGAAGTGAGCTGCCGGGGACCAATAATGAAAAAAAGTGAGGGGTCTGCATACTTATTTCTGTGAGTAAAGCAACCGAACCGTAAAACCACCAAACTCAATTTTCCTTTCGTAGGTGGTCTTTCGGGGCGTATATCGACTCAGGTGCAACATGGCCTAACCAAATAACACAATAAAGCACACGAAGCAAAATTAAACAATAACCTTTCTACTTACTTCTTTGCTCGTCCTCTCGCCGTCGTCTTCAAGCCTCAAGAGGATCTACTTTTTAAAGGCATACTATGCAACTTTCTGATGCAGGAAGTGCCATGACTATTTATGGGGAAAAAGAAGGATTCTTAAGACAGATTATAAAATAAATGTATGGAAATTGTTTGTGTCTGTGTAAAAAGATACTGTGAGCCGTCTGTACTTTAGTCAGACACTGTTATGCAACTCTAATGCAAAAAACAGCATTAAATCTAAAAACTAATGGCGTTGAATAAAAAATGGCCTAAATGTGTGGTTTTGTTTTTCTCCAACACAGACACACCTGCTGTCTGCTGCTCCTACAGACTCCTCTGATGATACTGTAGTTCAAGATGCAGGATGCCAAATCGGTTTGTTGTTTAAATCATCAATAGATGCATCGCATCCCGCAACAAACCTATCAATAAATCTATCAGTGTGAGCGTACAGATGGTAAAAAGCAAGCAATCATACAGTCCTCTGAGTGTGTGTGTGTGTTTGTCTGTGCGTGTGTGTGTGTGTGTGTGTGTGTGTATGACAGATGGGGTCGGCTGATTGGGCCAAGACATTGATTTGACCTTGAGATGGACTGATGAACAAAAACACAGAGGATGAAATAAAACCAGATAGAATAGAGTAGAAATAGATAAGATAATAAGGTATAAAAAGAAAGAAAGTAAGAAAATAATATGTATAGATAGATAGACAGATAGATAGATAGATAGATAGATAGATAGAAAAAGAAAGAAAGAAAAGAATACATTGTATACATAGGTAGATAGAGAAAGATAAAAGAAAGAAAAAAAACATATTGTATAGATAGATAGAGAGAGAGAGAGAAAGAAAGAAAAAAGAAAGAAAAAAGAAAGAAAGAGAGGAGGGAAGAAATAAAAAAGGAAGAAAAAAAGAAAGGGAGGAGGGAAGAAAGAAAAAAGAATGAGAGAAAAAAGGAAGAAAGGAAGAAAAAAGAAAAAAACAAGAAAGAAAAAAGGAAGAAAGAAAGAAAGAAAGAAAGAAAGAAAGAAATAAGAAAAAAGGAAGATAAAAGAAAAAGAAAGAAAGAAAGAAAGAAAGAAAATAATGTATTGTATAGATAGATAGATGACATTCCGACTGTGAATAAATACACAATTGTTTTCAATCTAAAACCCTCTATGAGTAAAGCAGTTAAGGTTTTTTTTTAAAGACAATTCAAATTAACACAGTGCATCTCTAAGTATATCATATTCAATCAGATGTTGTCCCTGTATTGAATTGCAAATAAATTGAGCTGATTTTGTGATTTGAGCAAGTATTTAAATGTTGTGCAGTGAATCAAATGTTTGGCAAACTTGTGCTTCACACCCTATAATGTCAAACATTCAACTTCAAATAGTGGTAATCTATAAAACTATAAAATAACAGCCTATTTAAAAGTGATAACTTATTACTCTTAAAGATTTCAAACCATTTTTTTTTCTTGTCCTTTATGTTCTGCAACCACACAGAGCCACCGCACAGGGAGCGAACAAAAGACAGCAGGAGGAGGAGGAGGAGGAGGAGGAGGCAGCACATCACTCTTCCTCATGCCAGCCAGTATTATCAAACCCACAGTGACAGAGTGTTATATCTCAGTCCCACGATTCTTAGCCTTCAATTCGTCTCCCTGCAGCAGCAGCAGCAGGAGAAAGCGTGACTCCTTCAATCTGCCCGCAGACAGGAGGAGGGCAGATTGCCACAGACATTAACAAGAGACTTCACCTTTTTACAACCAGCAGCCCGTTTAGCTCAAACGCTCCCCCGGGCTGTCAGATATTTTGCGATGAATTATAAATCAGAGCCAGAGATGAAAGCGCACAGTGGGAGCCAAGAACAACAAGGGAGCGGATCTGTTCGACTGTTTGTTTTAAAACGTCTCTGAGGGAAAATAACACTTACTCCAACACTCATAGCAAACATTACATCTCAATATTAACAAAAAAAAAATGACCCACTCAGTATGCAAGGAATTTTTAGTTCCTAATTAGCAGCACTGACTTTGTTTTCCCCCCATCATAAGTGGTTAGTAAGGTGGTATTGATTTAACTCGTTCTGTCTAATAAGCAGCAGCCGAAGCCTCAGAGTCTGTTCATCTGGCATCAAGACTCCTAATTACTCCTCTAACCTGCTGCTTGTTTGGGAGCGTTAACCAATTAATTTAGGATACTGCATGACCCCAAGATTGAAATTGAGAAAAAAACAGTTTAAATAAAAAGATTCAATGTAAAATTAAGACATTTGGATACACCTCTAATACAAATACAGTTTATAAAGTAATCCAGCACAGATTATTTTTATATTCTGAAGTGGTCAAATCTAGAAAAATTAATAAAACTCACTCTAACCAATTATTTTAGGTTACTGCATGACTTCAAGACTGAAACTGAGTAAAAAAAAAAAACAGTTTAGATAAAAAGATTTAATGTGGATTAAGACATTTAGTCTATGTTCACACTGCAGGTCAATTCTGATTTTTTAAACATATGTGACACATATCTGATTTTTTCATGTAAGTGTGAACAGTGCAATTCAGATTTTTTCGAAGCCGACCCAGGCCTCTTTTGTATGTGGATATAAATCGGATATGTATCCGAAGTGACTGCATTGTGGATGTTCAGGTCGCGTTCAGCCGAAGTATACGTCATCAATAAGCGACAAACGTCACCACTATTCGACAACACAAAAAGGCGCGGAAAGCAATTTGTGCTTTGTGTGCATGTGAGTCACTTCACGGACGTGTTCTGTTCATATTAAATGCAGAATTCGTCGCTGTAATGTGAACGACCGCACAAAAAGATCGGATTGAACAAAAAATCTGAATTGTGCATCATAACCTGCAGTGTGAACGTAGACTTAGATACAAGTGGAACACAATTACTGGATATAAAATAATCCAGCAGGAGTGGTTTAATCCAGAAAAATTAATAAAACTCACTCTAACCAATTATTTCAAGCTACTACATGACTCCAAGATTTGAACTGAGTGAAAAAACAGTTTATATAAAAAGATTTAATGTTGAAAAAGACGTTTAACAAGTCTAACACAAATACTTTATACAAAATAATCCAGCACAGATTATTTGACTATTCTGAGGTGGTCTAATCCAGAAAAATTAATAAAAATCATTCTCTTTTGGCTGTAAGGTTGTTTGTTTGAATTTTCCTTTTTTTTTTTTTTAATCAGTGAAAGTGGGGGTGCTCAGCCTCACAAGCTCTCATCCCCTCCACCCTTAAATCTCCTTTACAGGGTTACACAGGATCAAACCGTGACACATCTCCAAGAAGAAGTTATTTTCACTTTCAACTTTGATTCTGCTGGCTCAGCTGCTTTTTTTGTTAATTTTTTTTCTCCTTTTGACTTGAAATTTGCAAATTGTAGTTTAAAATCTCCTGTTATTCACTATAACACAAAAAGACCTGTCATTCAGCAGGTGCTCGGCTTTGATTGGCTGCTTTTTAATCAATAATCCCACCTTTATTTGCATCCAAGAAACTGGGGCACAATATTATAAATAAGTTGCTCCAACTATTTAATCATGTCATGATGAAGAAGTGGTGCTTGAACAAGGAGAAGGCCTATAGGTGCTGCCTCTCCTCTCACACCTCTGTACTGCATATTTCTCTCATTTCCATTGGCTGCTAAAATTCCTCTCTTATGCTCCCTCTCTGCCCCTCTCTCACTCACTCTCCCTCCATAAATACTGAGCATCTCTCTGTTTTATCCGCATCCAACAAGCTTACCGGGAGGAAACTAATCACTGCAGCTTGACAGGAGAAAGCCAGACTACGAAAGGAAAGAAAGAGACTGTTTTTTTTGAATGAAAGAAGCGTCGAAAAAAGGGAGTAAGTGATTCATTTTTAATATCTAGGTCGTTGGTGAGGAGGTGAAATGTGTATTTTTTTGTTTTGAAAGCCAGTAGATGCGCGTGTGCTGGAGCTGGATTGAGTCTGCAGGAGGTAATTGAGGAGGCGGGCTTTGGAGGAAACTTTTCAGCCTTGCGCTTGAGAGTTGGAGCAAAGAGGCATTCAAGCGATTAACAGAGGCCCACAACTTCAGATAAAACACCAGTGCTGCTGTTTGACCGCACACTCGGTTTCAAACCAAAACCAAGATAACATTTCTTTGGATCATAAAGCGTAATTTTAATAATTTGACGAAGATGTTCCATTTTGTTGGATATTTGCGTAAAATGTGCGTAGAAATAACTCAAATTTGCGCACGATTTACAAACTTGTGTGTTCATTTACTGCTGAATTTTGCAAAAAAACTGTCCTTAAAATCAAAACACAACATAATTAAAATTATAAAATAAGAAATGTTGGTTATTTATATGATGATTGCGGTTTTTTAAATTTGGGTCACTTTGGGAAAGTGAGTGTCAGGGTTGGTTGGTCTGTATATATGGATGTGTGTGCGCGCGTGTGTTGGGGGTGAAGGGGGGTGTTGTTGCTGGTTGTCTGGCAGTCAGCTGGTCTGATAAACACAATGCCAGGCTTTGTTTTATTTTCGTGACGCAGAAAATTGCGGAGGCCTGAATGCGGAGTCGTGGCTGGCGTCCTGTAATCAGGCCAGCGCGTGCCGTCCGGATTATCTCGTTAATTTCTTACACAGAGCGCAGGAGAAAGAAAAAAAAATCTCTTGTATTAGCCGATAATAATTAATGGCTTCATGTGAGGGGGGTTTAATAATCATCATCATCATCATCATTATTATTATTGAACGGATGTGGAGCAACCGGTCGCTCCGGGGTGAAATAAGGGACAGCTTGAGGGTTGAGGAGTGGCCGTTATTGGCTGGATAAGGAGCAGAGTGAGGGGAGCACCCCGGGGTCCTGGGAACTTTATGCTACAGGTAGGTGTCACTGAAGACGTTAGAGGCCTCAGACAGCAGCATATGGTACACACTCTTTAATTAGCTCGTGTTAAAAAGACGTACATTTGTGGACTTTACATCGATTTATTTTGCGAAAATTCAGTGGCCTACTTTGTCTTTTGTTGACTTCAGGGCCTGATATGAAAAAATACAAATGTAAAATTTTATAGGGCATTTTTTTTCAAGTCTAGGAGCCTTAAGAAAATTAAATGATTTTTTTTTTAAATTAGTGATATTCCTGAAAAATGTCATGTCTCACAAATTATCCATTAATGGCTATTTTTACATCTTTATTTCTTTATTTTCAGTGTCTCTTTATGGATGCTGATAATGTTACAATTTTTTTATTTTTCCCTCTCCAAATCACAAATTCTGGGGTAAAATATGACACATAACTCGACTTTATTTTCATTTTAAACAGATGCAGGTTTCTGTAGTGGTCCATCTCCTTGTTTGTTTGGATTAAGATGAAGTGTTTTCCTCTCTAATCAACACTTCTCGATAGTCTCACCTTCCAAATCTAATTACCGGGAGCCATTCATTAAGAGAGGAGGGGTATAGGGAGGGGGAACCATCACCCTGAGGAGTGTTACTAATATGTCCAAACTTTAGTGATTTGCTGAAGTTTTCCTTTACATTTTAATTTCGTTACATTTAAATGTACAAGGGTTTTAGTGGAAACAGACAATAGCCTGCAGTTATAGAAATGAAGATGCTGAGTTGTATGTGAATGCGCGCTCAGTTTGCAGTGTTGGCCTCTTTGTTTGCGCCCTAAACTCTTTTGTTATCAGCATTACTTATCGGTCAACAGTGGGCTTTGTTTCTGCAAATGGCCCCCCAATCAGCTGTCTATTTAGCTTCGCCTAACCTGTGGGTATATGCTAATTGAGAGCCCGGTTGGGGCCCACGAGTGTGCGCATTTTAACGACAATGTTTTGTTTTGGTGCTACTCGGAGATGAGTGTGTTTGGGGAGGGGCGGTAGTGGTGAGGGGCGGGGTTATAGTAGCAGTTAGTGTGTGTTGTGGTGGTGTTGAGGAGGTGGGGGGTGGTGGTGGCGTAAACGCCTGTCAGCCAGACAGAGCATCCTCAGTCCAGCAGGGACAGCTGGGGGTCTCCACTCGGCTTTAAGAGCCCCTGCGAGTCCGTGGACGCCCACTTCTCCAAAGTCTCCGCGGTGCGTAAAAGGCTGCGCGTAAAAATCCAGACGAAAGTAAACGAGCTTCCTGTTTTATGTCCTGCTTCAGGTTGACCCGGACGGAGTGAAACACCGAATAGAGACGCAAGAGGATTTAAAAAAAAAAGATCTTTTCGACATTTTTCTTCTTCTTGGCGTTTTCTGATCCGGCCGCCAGCATGATGTCCTATCTGAAACAGCCGCCGTACACAGTGAACGGACTGAGCTTATCGGCCTCAGGAGTGGACCTGCTGCATCCTTCAGTGGGATATCAAGGTAATAATAAACACAAAGAGGTTTATTAGTGTCCTAAAGAAGTATTACTACATGATATAATCTGCATTTTAGATTACCGGAAATGTGTTGCTTGCTCAAGGGTGACTTAATATTTCTTTCCTCGTCAGGAAATTAAAAAAAAAGTTAAAAAGAAACTTCAGACTTTAAAAAAAAATTAAGATGAGGCCTAAAAAAACACTAGATTATAATTTGGATCATATCTCGATGACCAAGTTTGAGAGGTTTGCTTTGGTGCGCGTAACTCCATAACATCTCGTATCTCTTTTTTTTTTTTTTTTAACCAGCGACCCCACGCAAACAGAGGAGAGAGAGGACGACCTTCACGCGGGCTCAGCTCGACGTGTTGGAGAACCTGTTCGGAAAGACCCGGTACCCTGACATCTTCATGAGAGAGGAGGTGGCCTTAAAGATCAACCTGCCTGAATCCCGAGTGCAAGTGAGTCAAAAAAAGGGAAAATTATGTAATAAATCAATAAGTGGTCAAATGTTTATGAAAGGAGGGATATCCCAAGTGTCCTCTTTGAGAGAACTGAGAGTTGCTAAACTGAACCCTTTAAAAACCTTTTTTTCCATTTTCAAAATAAGTTACTTTCAAGGAATGTGATGCAGAAAGAAATGACCATGATGATCCCCAATTGTCTGATATGTAGATTTTGTGATCGATGACTCGCAACTCTGGGAATTAAAAGGTTTTGTTTTCCTTTCTCAGGTTTGGTTCAAAAACCGAAGAGCCAAACACCGACAGCAGGCTCAGCAAACCCAAACGGGAGTGCAGAACAAAGTGGTCAGTAAACCCGTGAAGAAGAAATGCTCTCCGGTCCGAGAGGGCAGCTCAGAGAGCGGGGCCAGCGGTCAGTTCACGCCGCCCTCCAGCACCTCAATCCCGGCTGTGAGCAGCAGCAGCAGCGGCGGCAGCAGCAGCGCGGCGCCGGTATCTATCTGGAGCCCGGCCTCCATCTCCCCTCTGTCGGACCCTCTGTCCACCTCCTCCTCCTCGTGCATGCAGCGCTCCTACCCCATGACCTACACGCAGGCGTCCGGCTACAACCAGGGATACACCGGCTCCTCGTCCTACTTCACCGGGATGGACTGCGGCTCCTACCTCTCGCCGATGCACCACCAGCTCTCCGCCGCGGGCTCCGCCATGAGCCCCATGGGCGGCAGCGGGGTGTCCAGCCATCTGAGCCCGGCGTCCTCGCTCTCCTCGTCGGCGTACGGAGCGACGGGTCTAGGCTTCACTGGAGCTGCGGACTGCTTAGACTATAAGGACCAGACATCATCGTGGAAGCTTAATTTCAACGCAGACTGTTTGGATTACAAAGACCAGTCAGCGTGGAAGTTCCAAGTCTTGTGAAAAGGGGGAAAAAATTAAAGGGACAATCTCCACAAAAATACAGACTTTTACAGGCGAATTCAAACCCTAAAAGTTGGGAGCTCAAATCAGAGGCCCCAACTCCTACCTCCAAGGACTGCAGGTCCCACTTGTTGGGTTAATTTATTGAACATTCAGACATGGTTTCTCCCCAACTTTGATCAAGGACACGGAACAAATGTGCGCACCAAAAGGAGAAAAAAGGATCAAAAGAGTCGAAGTTGGGTTGAGTTTGAGGAGTAGGTCAGGTTCTCTTCTCTAAGCTCCTTAAAGACTCCCCTCTCACTCTCTCTCACTCTCTCTCTCTTGTCTTTTTTGATTTTGTTGGCACGATGAAGGGCCCCTTTGATCAAAGCATGAGTGTGTGTGTGCGTGTGTGAATGTGAGGAGCTCTGAAACGAACCTGGATGCACTATTAATTTATGAGAAATATTAGTAATAAGAGACAATCAGTCTGTCTGTCTGTGTGTCTGTGTGTGTGTGCTCAAATGTCCTTTCCCAACGTGTTAGATTTCTTCTTTTCTTTTACAATTCTTTGTATGCAAGTTTGCCACAAACCCAGCTGTGAATTTGATAGACTTATTATTACTTCCATGTCTCGAGTGTTAAATGAGGAATAATATAACAGACACGTTAGTTAATTGAAATAGGGAGTGCAGGATGATTTCAGATAAGGTTCATTTGAGCTGTAATGTGCTGTGAGAAGGCCAAAACACTAAATGACAATAAAAACCACTTCATGATACAATGCTGTGACTGTATTTGTAAATCACTCAAATTCTCCTTTTTGTTTCACTGTCTTCACACAAAATGTCAGAAGCTTTTCTGCCAAGTTCATCCACTTCACTCTCCAAAATAACCTGATTATTTCCTCTATTGTATCGTCCACGATTTTCGTCCAGGCTATGAGGAATGTGAGTTATGCTGGGGTTCTGTTAATCCAGGCCCTTAAAGAGGATAATCCAACATTTTTATTGACGGCTGCCCCCGGTTGAAGGCGCACCGCAGCTCTGTTCACACGGGGGAGCAGAGAAATGAGCTCCAAGAGTCCGAGGAAATACCTGAAATTATACTTTCTAATGCTGCACTTTCTATTTTCTAAAAGCTAGAATTAATCATCATTCCTGGTCAAATTAAAATAACTCTAATCAAAGACTTAGTTTTTGAAATAAAAGTAAAAATAAGTATCTGTTGCAGGGATTACGCACCGTTTCCAAAAGAGAGAAAGAAGAGGAGGGCTCGTGCTGTTCGTTTAATTACGAATTAGTCCATCAAGAGACAAACAATCAAGTGTGTAATCTGAAATAATTTAAATATAAATCCAATATTTCCATCAATGTCTTAATCCAACTGTCGAATTTACGCGCAACATTTACGCACAGACTTTCTCCAAAGTTGACCCTATCAGTCTGAGTCTGTGTAAATTAAAAAAAAAAAAAACTTCTCTTATTTTCTCATGCAGTCCTCCAAATAAGAGGTATTTTCTCCATGTGATTTCTAAAACTTCAACAGGTTCAGTATAAGCCCCTGCAGCAGAACAACCAGAGTTTCCCCCTTATTCCGGTTTAATTAAGCACCAGCAGCACTAAAAGGGAACATATGGGTCCAGCAGACGCGCTTCATTAATCCTCTCGTCGCATTTGAGGATGTTAAACAATAAAAAAAGAAAAATGCCTCGGAAGCTTTTTCTTGACCGAGATCACCAAAGTCTGTGCTAAACACGATCAGTAAAGCGGCGCCCTCCAGGCAGGCTTTCCCCGAGAGGCAGCAGCACTTCACCGCGTCCGAAGGGAGAGGGGATACGAGGTGCGACCCCATGTCCACGAGTCTATAACACACCTGACTATTCATCAAATCAAGACACGGTGGGCTAAATCCTAAAATGCAAATGTGACAGAGTTCACATCAGCCTTGTTTATTGGTTTCAGCCAAAACCCAAACTGTGTCCAGATCTAGACTAAACTAATATCTCCTCTTAATCATAAAAAAACTACAAAATTAAAATATATTCAAGTTGTCAAAGTTTGTGAATCTTTAAATGCATCTCAAGATTTATCCTGATATCTAAAATAATAGGTTATAGCTAAGCTACTTTAACGGACATGACATTAATTTCAAGTTTTCAATTTCTCTAATTAACTACTTTTGTTAAACAACACAATCACTCTCTGATTTTGATGTGTTTTGCTTCCTCAATACGCGTTTTTACAGGTCCTCAAAGACGCCTTACAAAGAAAAAGAAGAAAATAAAATTTAAAAAACACAATTTAAAATACTGAACATTTTGAGAAATTAAACCAATGATGTAAAAGGTTAAAAAAGACACAATATGAGAAGACTATATAAGTAGATACAATAAATTAGGCTTAACATGCCAAAAAGCTTGTTTAGGTTTGCTGCAAAATGGGCAAATTATGACATTTTGAGTTATTCATATGATATTTTGTCCATAAAAGCAGAAGTGCTGGTAAAAGTAGCGATACTGTTACTGAATTATGTCAAATTTTGTTGAAATTTCTAACATGTTTTGCACCCAAATCAAACTTATTCACGTGAAAATATTTGATTTAAAGCAATTAATAGACATCTAAGTTTTTTTTTTTAGACAGGCTGATTCAACCAGAATATTAGAAATCAATGTGTCCATAATAATCAGAAGGCAAGAGAGACCCGCCATAAATCATAAAGATCTAATATGTCATCTATCACGACTCATTTAAACAGGCTGTGCCATCAGCTGTGCAGTGTCACTGACAGGCGTCTGACTTTGTCCTCTATGAAAGGGGATTTAGTGAAAGTTCTGGGGCGACCACATGAATGCAGAGTAACGGCTCTTCGGTAAAGAGGGACGACATGGAGCTGATTTCTAGATATAACACGCACACAAAAAAATCAACTTCTTATAAAGACGAGGAGAACATGGGAAATAAACGGCCAATTTGCCGGTGAGAATATAACTGAAGACTATTGTTATGCATAAGTGCGTGTCCTACATTCCCCCAGAGAGCCATGTCTATCACATATCAACACAGAAACACATACATAATTCATCTTCGACAACAACAACAACAACAGTCCAGGAATCTCATTTAAGCGACAGAAACAATAGTGTTCCTGTACTCGCATCAGACTGGCGGTTGAGGAATATGTTAAATGGTTAAAAGTACAGCCTTAACTCTTTGTGACCCACTCTATCTGTGTTAAGCCACTGGAGTGATTTTATCTGTTGGATTACACAATCTGATGAGATTAAGCTCAATTCGATCAGATGTTCACGTTAAATGTCAGCATGTGATGTTTTAATAGGACTCAAAGCAACAAAAAATGTTCCTCTAACGACTCCAAGCACTCGGCTGTGAGGGTTTACTTTGAAGCAGGTTCGGCCAAACTTGTGCTCATTTCTTGGTTGTGCTTACAGATAAAAAAAAGTGAAATTTGACAGACGGATACAAAAAGAAAAGTAGTGCATCTTCTCCTTATGTTACAGTTTACCTCTCTTTTAAACTGAGGCTAAAGATGAAACCTAAACATGTAGAAATTTAAGCTGCTAGAACCTGTAAAATCATTTGAAAATTCACCCTATTTCATGATTTGGATTCGTCCCTTGAACAAGTGAACTGGGATGATTTGTTGATGTGAACGCTGACTCTGTCCTCTGAGCTGTTTCAACGGTAAATATCACTGTTTGTGTTTTAGAGAAAACTAGAGCTGTTGTAGGATGATCTTGACTGTAGTGACAGTACAAAAAAAGTCTAAACACTTGAGGGTGAAGTGGATCCTGTAAAGGGACCTACAGCTTTACGAGTCCATCTGAGATTGTTGCAGTAAGGTTGTAGTTTTAATCCCTGCTCCATATTCAAATTATGGGTAATTTCATATTTTATGTACAACGCTGAAATAATCTAAAAAGAATAAACACAATCAGAGTTTTAAATTTAATTTCCTCCTTTACTGATAAACTGGTTAAAGCTCCAGTGAGTAACTTTTTGTTTGTGTCTGTTTTGGCGCCTCTGAGTGGACAACATAAAACTCAGTAGATTTGATTTTTATTGATGCTTTTTTAAACTTCTGACTGAGTAAATTATGGAAAGCTGTTTGATAAGCTTTGTATTTTGGCTTAGAGGTACGCCCACCTGACTATACAGGTAAAATAATCCTGTCAAACAAGGGGGAACTTTGTTCTCCAGTTCCAGTTTAATCTAAACAGTACATATGGATGACTTGTCTTTGCTTCTGAAAGCCTATATTACTGAGTGCATCATTAAAGGGATATTCTGGCGTAAAATTAAGTTTGGGGCAAACCCACAGTAACAGAGTTAGACAACCCCTCCAGAACATTTATGATCATTTCTTCATGGAAATGTAATCAGACTGAGACGCTAAAGCAGAAGAACTACCGTGTCTGCAGTGCAAGAAGATGAATATGATGATTATTACTTCAAGGAAATGACAAAAAAATGATCATAAATGTTCTTCCTTAAGCTGCGTCACCCCGCTGTAGTCAATGGACTGGCCTGAGGTCTCGCTACAAACAAGCGCTGCTGGAAGGGAGTAGGTGAGTTGTGTTTAGTCTCTTTGCTAAAGAAATTAGGCAAAGCTAAAAAGATGTTTGGTGGCTAGTACTGTGGCTGTGACCCTTTATGTACTGTTGTTGAAGTTAGGTGCTGTTCTGAGCATTATTTGTGGCTATAGAGTGGCGTTTTGGTTGAGGTTTGTTTATGGCTCCTCAGACAGCTGTGTATTGCTATTGTGCGGTCGTTATTAAGAAGCAAGCGGTCGGCAACATTCATCTCTTGTGGGGGTGTCTAACCCGATGTTTTGGTGTGTTTGTCCCTAAATTAATTTTACACTGGAATATCCCTTTAAAATAGCCTAATGAATCATCTGAAGTATGCAGGTGACCTGATTGTGTTCAGTTTAGTTTAAGTACAACTGGTCCTCAGCAACTTCTGGCAGTATGATGTGTTTATGGCACTCGTTATTTTCACACACCTGACCTCCTGAATGCTTCTCCAACATGAACAGTCGCCTCTACCATCTGTCAACGCTATTTTAGTATCCTGTTCATGGCACTCTGTGTACAGGATTTTAATTTTCTTACAAGGAGGAACACGCTCCGCCGAACAAACAACAATCCTATATGGAGAAAAGCCATAAAGACTTTAAAATGATTACGCTGTCAGAGATCAAAATTATGTGCAACACAGTACAGATCGACTGATTAATCGCTTGGCTGATTTGACGTTACTGTAATATGGACATCTGCCTCTGATTTCAATTTAAATCAAAAGTCTAATTTAAAAATTATGGATAAATATAAGATTTATATCTGCACAAAAACCTCTTCTTACAAAACTGTTATTAGGATAAACAGATTTTTAAGAACTGAGCCTCTAAATGTATGCAAACACTGATTTAAAAACAAAATTACACAACCACCGAATGGGGCCGGGATATGAGCTTTGTGTGGGATCACCGAGCTGCAGTTACACAAGTGAGCTAAATCACTCATAATATTAAAATATTGTCATTGTAGGAAACACAACAACATTAAAACGCACCGCACATACGCACAGACATAAAGCAGAAAGCTGATTACAGGTTTAAAGAAAATCCGGCATATGTAAAAAAATGAATTACCATCAGAGAATTAAAGAGAGGGAATTTTACACAAAGTTAATGCCTAGTTAATGTTTCTTTCTTTCTTTTTTTTTAAGCATCCATTTAGCCTCAGGACCTCCTGACCTTGGATTAAATCCACAGTGGACACCCAGCCAACAAAGCACTCCTGCTCTCATAAGAACAGACCATTAGCAGGAAATTCATAAATCTCCTTAGATGAGCAACAGGGAGATGCAGTAATAACAGATTACATGCATTTAATGGTCAAATTTACAACCTTAAGCTGAGGCTGAAAGCATTTGACGAACACAGATGTTTGAGTCGAGCTTTGTCGAGGAAGCTGCGGAGACAAATGTGTAAACACTGGAGGAAAAACACACCTGGAGTACTCAGAGTATTCCCAGTTAGACCACATAAACACGCTGATAAATCTAACGGTGAGTCCAAAATAAATCCTGCGCACATTCTCTGTAAGGGTGAAAATAAAAGTCCTGATGGTTCAAAACTTTACTTAGACTAACAGGGCTTGACACCAACTTTTTTCACATGTGCTCCTCCTAAGCTGAAAAAGTAAGGAGCACAAAACAAAACTTTAGGGGCACAATAAAAACTGATTAAATACTGTGTGTCTTATTGGTCGACTTAAGTACTATTATTTGAAATCAATTTTAGGTCAATTGGTCGTGACATGGAAACTATTGAAGGTAAATAGCCTTTTTCGGGAAAATGAACTGGTAATTTACCGATGGTCCCTTATTCAACACCCAACATTGACAGCGAGGATGCCGAGTAGATTCATCAACCGTTGCTATTCCTGGTTAGGGAGAGTGTGACGATACCGGCACAACCGCAGTGAATGTCCGTAGGATATACAACCTGAAACTAACTTCACCGCGGTATTTACATGAAAAAACATTTGCTGACTTGGCTTGGCTTGAAGACCTTCGGCACGATGGCGGACATCCGGCTCAGGATTTTTTTTTTTCTAAATCATGTAAAAAAAAAATAAAAAATTTAAAAAATGTGGTTAGCTAGATCTGAATATGACCGGTAGAGGACAGCATTACACTGGATAGCGTACATCCTGCCGGAGAAGAAGAAGCAGAAGAAGAAAAAGACGCATCAGCGAGCGGCGAACTGTAAATTTCAAATGATGGATGCCAGGTACTTCGATCCAGAAGAAGAAATGGCGATATTGGAAGCTGGGCTTGAACAGAAGAGCCTGGAAAAGATGGAAAGCCTCACGGTAGCTGGTGCCGAAAACTGAAAGAGCCAGGTGCTTGTTTTTGTGTGTCGCACGCCGGAAAGCTTATAAATGGCAGCAGTGGGTAAAAGTTCGGTAAAGTTGGAAAGATATTCACAGATTCTGACTTCCGGGATCAATAACTCTGAGACAAAATGTTGTCTAAACACAAATGATGCCTCTTTCATGTCGTAATAGCACAGACTACTAGCTACAAGAATCAAAAACTGACTTGTTTAACAATAACAAGCCGGTCTTTGAGCTGGATGAATAATACTGATCTCCATGCGCAGCCGGTAGCCGGGCGAGTGCGCAGGGATCGTCTGCAAATTACGATACAAGAGCAAATGCTGCAAACAAAAATCAATCGCTCCGCTGTTATACAGTAGAGACCCCAAATCACCACACACACCAAGGGTCTCTTCATAATACAACAGCTGTTTTAGGAAAATGTGCCTTTTTATAATTTTGGTGAATTTGTATTGTTATGAATCATTAATATCTTCCAATATTAATCAATAGCACCACTGTCATATAGTGTCTACCACCCCTACATAAGAAATTTTCAGGCAGAGGATTTTTTTCTGCTTCAAGCCCTCCCCTAAACACATTTTACAATTCACACACATCTATAATAAATATAATGCAGCACATAATGTGTCTTCTGTAAAGTATTGACGCATTTTCAATATATAATCAGTTATATAACACCTCAGGAATAAGGTCACATCTGCGCCATCAGCTCAATAATTGGACCACTTGTAGACACGCAGCAGCTTTAACTGCCAAACAGTTCCAGTGCTAATGTTACAATACTGATGTCAAAGGTCAAGGGGCCTCCTTTTGGCCGTACAGTGCTCGGAGTATTACGCAACGTAAATCTCCCCTTCATGTCAATTCTTACTGCAGCAAAAGTCAAAAAGCACGTGACTTTAGATGCTGAGCAGGTGAAGTACACGAGTGAGGCCTGATAATGTCGTTTCTTCGCATTCATGACCTTCCTCTTCCTCTCTTCGCCTCTTTACGGGGCAGATGGAGAGGTGTACAGTGGGGACGGAAGGATGCAGAATTTGTTGACAGATGCCCCTCGCTGCCCGCCCCGCCTCCTCTCTGCCCACCTGTTAATGGCAGCGCTGAGCTCCTGGACGCGAGCGTGTCTGCTGCGGACACACGCTGAGGGGGGAGGCAGCCAGGGAAGGGGAGGGCTGGGAACACGAGCACGTGCGTTAACTTGCAGCGATCTTCCTCCTGCTACACGTCATGGAGCAGGGCCGGATTTTGTTCACTTGAGATGTGCGTGTGTGTGTGTGAATACGCGCAGGTGTGTACCTCTTTGTGTTTCCTCTGAAGCAAACAGATTGTGTAGTGAGCATTGACGTGTTTCTGGGTTTGTGGATCAATCATATGTGTACGAGCGTGTCAGAGAGTGTGCGTGTGTGTGTGTGTGTATGTTTAGGGGAGCAGGAGGAGTGTGCCCTCGCTGCACCCCCACAGCCGCCACACGCCTGGCCACCTGCTCTGGGATTAGAGAGCATGCGGATTACACGCGTCACAATGGAGATACACAAACACAAATATGCCCTCGGCCAACAAAGGATACACACACACCGGACAGACTCACTGCTAATCGCTTTGAGCATCTTCAATATTTTATTGGTTTGGGGGGATAATGACTCTGGAGGTGGTGTGTGACATGCCTGATGATATTGATGTTTATGCTGACTGATGCGTTCAGACGCTGACAGGGAGATTTGAAACCGTGAGTTTTTCGTGGGACTTGTTTTTACACGTATTTTTAAGGTTTGAGTGGGTTTGTGTGTTGTCCTGTATGTACATGTGTGCATAAGGGGGGTGGGTGTTTTGCCATGCCTGCCCCAGTATGAGCACAAAACAGTGTCCTACTTTCCAACTATGAAAACACTGTGACGTCAAAACAGAGGAATCAACAGGCTACGTCACAGAGACAGAGATCCCTGAAACAGAACACCACCATTAAAAAGAAAGACAACTTTACAAACACAAGAAGTAAATCAACATTAAAACCTTATTTGTAGGTAATTAAAGGGCACATGGTCTAAATCGTAACAAAGGGGTCCACTTCAGTTTGACTCAGTGGGTCTCTTTTTACCTAAAGTGGGGGTGAGTAAAGGGACTCAGTGACGCACAGTTAGTCATTTCTTTGGCTGAGGACAAATTGGTAACACAATTACATTTTAGACTTAAGTATTTTTTGACGGTTATATGAACAAAAGACCTCGGACTCTGACGATTATTTAAAGGGTTATTCCACCTATTTGTGTGCAAGGGGTAACTGGGGGCACTACGCCATCTGAAAGCTTTGGAAGAGGGCAGGTGCCATAATTTTTTTGTTTGTGTTTTTAATGTCTAATATGATTTTCAAATTAGATGTTTTTCCCTCAAAATTCAGAGATAAAAGAAAGTCACAATTCTGATTTCCTTTCATATTTCTTACTTTAACTCAGTAATATGGGGGAAAAAAAAGTCTGAGGCCGTATCCACATCCAGAAAAAGGCAGATAGTGTTTATTAAGATAGAGATTTTCTCTGCATTTCGATCTCTTGTCGACACTTGAAAAAAGTCAAAGGTTACCAAAAACAAGTACTTAAAAACGCTGTCTAAGGTGTAAATTTTGGGAAACTCCATTTAGTTGTTTTAAGGCATTTTAAAAACATCATTTCCTCAACTTACGAAGGGCAATTACTGGAGATGTATTGTATTCATATTGTTTAATGCTAATGTTGGGTTTAATCTCCTGTTTACAGGAGGACCTCTTTGTTCCTATCTGACTGGAAAGACGCAGGGTGAAAAAACATAAAGTCAGGAATCTGATTTTAATCTCAAAAGTCTGACTTTGGTTTCTGAATTCTGTTTTTCCCCCCTAAGAATTCTTTGTTAAAATTGTAAATGTTTAGTTTAAAGTCAGAATTCTGAATAAAATAGAGTTTCTGTTTTGATCTTGCAATCCTAAAACCAAATCAGAATCATGACTGTAAAAAGTTTTAAGTACAAAGTCAAAGTTTTGGTTTTAATCTCAGATTTCTGACTTCAAATTCAGATTTCTGAGAATCAAAGCCTGATTCTGAACCTCAATTCGGAGTTGTAAATTCACAGTATTCTGTATCTCAAGTTCTTGATTCAAAATTCAAGAAAAATATCTAGAAATCTTGCACATTTATTCTTAAGATTCTTTGTAAGAAACACAGGTGGGAAAAATCACATGAATAATCCAGTCTGTAATGTTTTTAAAAATAGAGAAGGAAAACACTGCTGTAAAAGTCTGTTTGTAGTCTAAAAAGTTTAAGTCAAAGCAGAAAAAGCTGTTATTTTAATACATCTTTAAATGAATTAACTCAAAACACTTTCAACACATTTCCCACTTTTTAATGTTCTTTCAAATAAAATAAACTTTTCAAAGCAAAACAGAAAAGTTCTCTTTGAAACTGGCTCAGCGAGGATGATGGGTTTAAGCGCAGTTTCATCTCTCTCGATACGAACGTACAATGTTTTTAGGGAGTTACTTTGTCACATTAAAGTCAGAGGACATGAATGAAAAATGCCACAAGTGATGAAACAAAGGATTACAAACATCATCCTGAGGCTTTAGAGTAACCATCAGCTGCCTGCATGTAAATCTAACCGTCATCTCTGCAACACTTGCTTTGTATGCATGATGTAATTCACAGCTTCAGTGTCATCTGCACACATTTTAATGACGTGATTGAACTAAAGCTATCACACAAATTACAGTCAAGTGATGTAAAAGTATGCCAAGATCCTGGTGTACAGCCAAACTATGAACTGCATATGAACCAGCAGTGTGGTGCATTCAGGGACCTCTCAGACTTCTAGAAGGAGATCTTCGGCCACCCGCTTTGTGGACTTCTCTCTACCCCTCGGGGTCGGCAGGTTTGTTTTGCTAATGACTCCATCCCGTTATGACCTCATTCAGTTTGCGCTTGGTAATTGGTGGCACACTGACACACTGCCGTGTCGGGGGAGGGGCTGACACGCCTCAAGGGGCCATCCCATTGTAAACATTCCTCCCTGACAAATAAGGCATTGTTATTGATGATTAACGGCAATGAGGGGTGCCACATGTGTGTGTGTGAGACTGTGTGTGTGTGTGTGAGTGTGTGTTTGTTTGGGCAGGGCAAAAGATAATGAGGATAATGCAGGTGATGAATGACAGTGAGGTGTTACCGCAGTCTATCCTCATACAGTAATAAAGCTGAATGAGACTTTAACTTTACATTTTAACTTAATGTTGAAGATGGTTTCACAACTTTAGCCACTGAAGAGTCACTAAGCAAAGCAACAAGTCCTCAGCAGCCTGGACTTGAGCTGTTTGGTTCTCTCTTAAGTTTGTGTAAGTTTGGAAGATCTAAATAGAAGTTAAAAGAGGTATAAAAGAAGTTTGGGGAGATTGTTCCTGTAATAATGTCAGCGATATAAAGGTTCTTTGATTTACTACAATATTTCGCTAATCTGCTTCTGTGCATTTTAAAGAAAGATTAAATAAGCACTGCATTTTATCCTACTTAATTAGGCAGCTTTACTGATGTCTTTTAGATTAACATCAACATACAAAATACTCTCCTGTGTCTAAATGTGATGTATTACAATGCATGAGGGGGTTAAAATTGTCTATTTATCACCAGTCAATACATATGGATCAAGAGTCTGAGGCAACAAATCTACTTGCAGGGCAGCCGCACACTTTTAATAATCAAATTTCATAGTTATAATCCAAAAATAACACTATTGCATTACAGAACAAATGATACAGGAGGGGCTGATGCAGAGTTAAAAAGGTTTTTTGCATATCTTCACTCTGTACACGTTTCCTTAAACTTGTATTTTCTTAGCTTTACCTCTTTTCATACCTTAAAAGCAAAAGCAACCAGCAAGTCTAGAAAAACGAGTAACAACGTTTTCTGACACTAACTAGAATGTCCAGATTTGATGAAGTAGCCATTAGTCAGCAAGAGCCCTCCACCTATCATGTTCAACTCTCACTAAAGCGTCGTTCAGAGCATCCTGACCAGCTGTGTCACTGCGTAGTTAAGGAGCTGCAAAGCTCAGAATAGAAAGACACTGCAGCGCATAGTGAACACAGCTGGGAAGATCACTGGTGTCTCACTCCCCTCTCTTGGACACTGATAGCACCGGCCTAACCCTCCTGCCTTCTGGGAGAAGGTACCGGAGCCTCGAGCCCTGCTCTACCAGCTTCCACTTGACTGTTAAAAGCTGAACTCTCTCCCCTCTCTTCCACATCTGCCCCCCAAAACACTTGCCTCTGATCCTCTTTTTAGACACACCCAAAACCAATCTGTCACTACAACTCTGCTGCTGTTACAGAATTACCTTTTTTCTATCTTTTGCACTAGAACTCCCTACTGTTTACATCACCACCTGTTCAATGCAACACAGCCATGTGCATTGAACATTGAACACAATAAAACCTCTGCTGTACAAAGAGGACATCTGAATACGCAGCACTAATATGGTGGTTACAGTTATTATCTATGAAGTGAGTAAGTCCTCCTCCTCTTCCATTTGCCACACAGATGGAGGCCTCTCTCATATGGATGGAGGGTAAACTAATAGACTGGTAAAACGGCACAAAATTACGTCCGCGAGGTTGGAGCGTGTGTGCCTGAGTGTGTGTATGTGCGTATATGTGTTAAGTGGTTGCATGTCTCCTGTGAGAATTGCCCGGGGGTCATTCATGGGTTCCTCTAATGTGTCTGTCTACACGCCATTATTCAAATTAATTTGAGGGGAAGTGTGTCATCGCGTGTGAGTGTGTATGTGTGTGTGTGAGTGTGTGTGTGTTCATTAATATTTAACTGAGGAAATGAGCCCCAGACTGAACATCAAATAAGTCAAATGATAGCTATCAGTTGTACTTATGTTTAACAGCGTTATTAGCATTTATTATGGATCACTTACACAGTCATTAGCATGTTTTATGTCTTTAAGTGTGTGTGTCTGCGCTTGTGTGCTCAGAGGGATGGATTTGTCCAGTTAAAATGTGTCACTTTGTAGGTGAGCACGCTCGAAACAACAAAAACATGGGATGAAAAGTGTCTACATTGAAAATTTACGCGTCTACACACAAACTCGCAAATCTTTTTCCTCCTTTCACCTTTAGTGGGTGGCAGAAAAATTCCTCCCAGCACACACTCACACACACACACGCCCTACACACCCTCCTCTTCCTCTCTCCTCATCCCACTATCACATCGGACAGGGTCTACTTATAGCGCCACGCCAGGGAGCGGAGAATGGGGAGAGAAAGGGTATTATGACAGTGCGGAGAGAAAAGAGAGGGAGCGAGAGAAAAGAAGGGCAGACAGGGTATTATGAGAGAGAGGGATGAGAGCAGTGAAGGCATTTGGAGTCTTTATTCGCCTTCCTAAGCCACGGGCTCCGCTCCCAATCCGATTGGTCGATACGGCCAGCCATGTAAATGAAATGCAAAGCAGAGAGAGACCCTGACTTCTCTTTGCCAATTTGTGGGGCCCTTTCTCTCTCCCTCCACCGATGGCTCTGTTCTTTTATCAGTCTGTCTTCCTCGCTATGTGACGCCTTTTCTTCCTCACTATCACAGCCCGCCGCCTTCAACCTCTGATTCTTCCCCTCTTCTCTCTCTCTCTGGAAGATAATGATTTGCCTTTTTTTCTGTAAGAGCTGAACTCTGCACTTCTCTAATGTTCAGCTCCAAGGATTTAATCCACACAGACTTTTTTTATTTCCTGGGAAACTCCTCTGTTGATTAAGCACATGCTCTTTTTCTGTGTGTGCAGAGGCAAACAGGGTATGTCCCCTCGTACTCGTACTGTTGGCACAATGTTTACTCTGAGGCCATTAACTTGTCCCTTTAGAAAATCCTTATAATTAACACAAATACAATCAATACCTCAAATTTGACACCTGTGCATGTAACTGAAAATACAGACGTTTCATAGCTTTTCAGCTGTCTGCTGAGTCATGCCTAATGCCTTAATGAGTCTTCCAGCCAATCACAGGCTGTTTCAAACTTTCAACAAAGAAGAGGCTCTGTCAGTGACGTGGATTTTAGCGCCTGGTCTAATGAGTCATTGCTCAGTGTGACAGAAATCCTCCACAGAAATGTTTCTGTGACAGCGCAAAAGCAGGAAAAAAAATAAAATTAAAAACTCAAGGAGATGTAATGTGGGTCAAATTTCTTGCACTGGAGGTAGTAAGGAAGACGGAACAGAGGTAAAACAGCATCACCATACTGTGGATCCATTCTGCAATGTGTAACGCAAAGAGGCGTTATGGTGAGCTAAAGCTGTTCTGTCTCTGATTTGGCTTCAGATGTAGCAGCAACCCTGTGTTCAGGGTTCAGGGTTCTGCTGAATCTCAGTGTCTGAAGAGCTATTCTTACTGTCAATGTCAATTGCACTTTCGCCCTAAAAATCAGAGACTGATCTAGGGAGTGTTAGAGGTGACCCTAATGTGTCCCGATACTGTAGAAAATTCTAGATCGGGTATCGTGACTAAGAGCCTGATGCATAGGGGCCTATCTATTCAGTCTCACTCTATGCTATGCGCCATGAGTGGCATCCACAAGTAAACACGCTGAGCAGATGCCCACATTGTTTTCAAAGTGGAGCGAGCAAAGGGGTCTGCTGTCTTGAACTTTATCACAATATCTCAGCCTACAAGCTTGATGGCCACTTGCAATACCTGCGCAGTAAATTTATATCTGTGTTAATTTATTACCTTTTTTTAACAAGACCAATGTCAAGCCTGATGTCTTCACTCACAGGGCAAGGTATAAAGTTCATTAATCCAACAGAAGTATTGTATCGTATCGGGTATCGGGTATCAGGTATCGATATCATATTGGATCGGAAAAAAATGGATAGGAGCATCTCTACCTAATTTCCGATTGGCCACCCTGAATCCTAAGCATCCCAGTCCTCACAGAGTCTCCCTTGTCTCACAAATGAGAAGTTGGAAGTTAAAGTGATTTGTGAAAATAACCCTATCAAATTTGGGGTAAACCCTAAAGTAAGGTAAGGTAGACTTTATTGATCCCGCATGGGGGAAACTATTTCACCACCAGGACAAGACGACTCATACAGACAACAAACAGCATGGAGACATCAGAAAAAAAACACAGACTCAACACCAGATATACAACAAACACGGTGAAGGCCAATGAAACATGATTTAAAAGTGGTACAATAAAAGATAAGGACATAATTAAATACAACAAAAGCCTAATAAAAATGAATTAATACGTCTACAAACTATGCAGCACTGCAAAGTCAGACCCTGACATACACTGTTAAAAAATCTTACTGCTGCTGGAACAAAAGACTTTCTTAATCGTTCAGTGGAGCACCGCTGCATCTCAAGTCGCTCACTAAAAGGACTTTCTTGACCTAAATGTACCCAAAACCACCGCTGGGCACCCCCTCTAAAAAGTTTGGTCACCTCAGCCTTCATTTAACATATCTTGGGCCTGAAAATGGATCTTCGGTCTGACGTTAATGTAAATTTTCTCACATTTTGCTTAAAAGGTTTATTGCCGTTAAACAGCCATTTGACGTTGATGCAGCAGAAGGTTCTTTGAAGGACTACATCGAGGTTTTTCGCACTTGACCTGTTATATTTCAGCTGTATCGGGTCTGAACCTTCACGAAACTCCTCTTAACATTATTTATACACTCTCCTTGTCATTTAATGTCCCTGATGGGGACCCTCCTCCACTCCTGCAGAAGAAGGCTCTGTTGACACTAAACTCTTCCCGGGGGGTAGAGCAGCAGTAATGGGGGCTCTGCTAGCCTAAGCCCCCAGCTGTGAGATTTAGTTTATTTATTTTATTTATTTTCAAGCTCCAGCAGAGTTTTTTTCCCCCTCCTAACAGGATGATGACGGGGTGACAGGCCGATAGACGGGTCAGGACTGATGACAGTTTTAAGTGCAGACAAATGCCACAGTCTGTCGCAGATTAAAAATGCCCACTACCACTTTAATCCGTGTAGCGCTGCCAAATTGGTGTTTCCTTCTTTTTGCTGAACTGAGCCGTGCTGAACGAGCAGAGACAGGGACACGCAGTGACTCATACGGTCTGACCTAAATGAACTCTCTGGCCCTGAGTGTTGGCAGACTGGACTACATTTCTCTTTTCATTCCTCCTGCCCAACAACTGCTATACAAACCTAATGGTGTTTAGAGTTAAAAAAGGAAAAAATGCATCGGGCTTAACTGTCTTAGAGAGCTGTGGAGAGATTTCTAAAACCTCACGGTAATATTAGAGATGAATGAAGGAAAGGGAGACATGATCAGATCGCTAGAAATGTGAGAAAGGACAAACTGGTGATGAGAGGGACGATCAAGTAGGAGAACAGGTCAGCAGGCAAACTCCTGGACTTTTCATTATTCTAACACTGCCACCTGCAGGCTGCTGATAGAAACACAGCTGGCTCATGTCGACACATATTCAGAGATACTACACTGATTTGAACTTTCACACTGACAAAATCTCACACATGAACAAGACGTAATTTCTGAAACTACATACAGCAATATGCTCGTTTGTTACAGCCCTGAACTGATCAGCATGGAGCTGAAGAACAACAAGCAGTCAGAGCCGAGAGTGGAGGAATCAGAGAGACCTTGGATTTGTAAGATTTGTCTGACTAACGTTTGAGGAAGATAAATGTTATATCAAGTTTAGGCCAGCTAGTTTAAACCAACTAATATAAAAGTTTGTATGTGGTTGCCAGCTGACGTTCACCTGCACTAACAGAGCCATCGAGCTACTTTAACAGGTAATAGGTGGGTTTTAAACCCAAGATACAGTCAAGCGTATTGGGAAACAGACAGCTGATTCAACCAGAGACAACAACAGGGTTGGGCTATTTTTTCAACATGATTTCAAACTCAGAATAATTGCAGTATGAAGCCTGGATTTTGTTTTTATATAAGTGTCAGCCCAGGGTTTGAAATGATCTTTTTGACACACCAGCTACAGAGTAGTCTTTTCAAGCTTTTATATAACATGCGGTCAAGATTTGGGCATCTATCTTATTATGAATCTAGACAATGTCTGTCATTGTATAGCCTGCTTGCAGTCATTAGCTCATTAATGTCTCCAATAACCACAGCATCTTTCTTAAGACACACAAACACACACCTGGCTCCTCCCGCTCCTCTCCCTGCTCTCCTCTCTCCACCTGTTGCTGCCTGATAGTTTGTACCACTACTGCACAACGTGTTAAAGATACAGTGGCGAACTATTAATCCTGGCAGGAGTCATAACCTCCTCGCTTTCCTAAACTTTGTTTCACATTGATCCAAGCTGGTCATGATGTAGTGGAAGTGAGAGGGCGAGCTTTATTTAATGTACAGAACACACCAGATGCCAAATATTTTTATGATCATGGGTGGCCTGCAATACTCTCAAACTTAAAATCTGATTTAACACCAAGCTTGATGGTGCATATAGCTGTCTAAAAATTTTGGGACCAACCCCTATAGGAGGAAAAACCTCAGTTGCCATGTGAACAGTGCAGCACAGACTTCAAATGTGTGTCTGTGGTTGTGCAGAGCAGCTCCATGATGGGCAGCATGTGGGAAGCTCCTCTCCAGCTTCCTGACAGGAGGGAGGAGGCCTCCCATAAGACACGTCAGACACACAAAACTACACACACTCACACACCCTCCTCATCAGGCTCTCTTTCCTCGTCCTGCCATCAACCCTCTCTCTTCGCTGGCTCTGCCCTCCTCCTCCTCCTCCTCCTCCTCCTCTTCCTCCTCCTCCTCTCAAACCCTCCCGACAGTCCTGCCAAGCTGACAGCTCCAAGCTCCGTGGAAAATGAGTCTCGCTCGCATTACAATTGCGCAGGACAGATTCCATTAGCACTATCTGAAATTGAGCGCGGGGAGTAGAGAGCGGGAGGCGGCCGCGCGTGGCCTTATCAGAGGAAGAGGGTGAGTTCCGCCGACGTCACTAATCCACCGGGCAAGATTCAGCACACACAGTAACACAGACGTACACTCACACTGAAAGACAACTTGGGGGAGACACAGGATGCAAACACACTCTCTTATACCAAAGGAAGCAGATAGGGAAACATACCTACACGCACTTAAATACACATTAAGACACGCAGGAAATGAGAGGCTCATAAAAGCACACACACATAGATAACACAACCTCAACTCTCACATCCTACAATGTTCTGAAAAGGACCAGAATTTGCATTTAGCCAAAGGACATGATGAAACTGGTGGAAAAACAGGCAACAGATCAACTCTCACACTGCCTCTTTTTGTCTCTGCATGTATGTGTGTGTGTTTGAATGTGTATATGTGTGTATTTGTGATTCTTTCCTGAGGAGTGCTGGCAGGTCTGTTCAGTGCTGCTGCTGTTGGTGGGATTTGTAACATGTCAGTCCGACAGTTTGAGATGAAACTGAGCCTGGCTTGCACTTTCTGTGTGATCTCTACCTCCCTGCACTGATGATGTCTCCTTTCCACTTCAACACACACACATATATACACACATCCTTGTTCTGCCGATATACTGTATAAACACATTATACATATACATGCTGACACACACACTCTAATGTGCATATATGGGGACACCCCACTTGAACCCCCCTGTCCCCATCCCCACAGTTATTAACCCTTGACACATAAATCCAAGGGTATGTGGGTGTGTGATATTAGCTGCATGTGTGAGGGAGGATGGGGTTAATCTTTATGTAGTGGGGATCTCTCCGCACAAGATCACTCAATTTAAATAGAGCAAGAACACTTTGATGTCTCCAGCCCTCCCCCCCGTCCTTCCCTCGCTCTCATTCACTCCTCTAATTTGCTTCATGTCGCCCCCCTCTGTGCCCCGGTGATAAGGTGTAATGAGAAATGTTTTCAAAATGGCTCTCACCTACCATGCGACACTAATTGGGGCGTGTGCGCTCGATTCAGCCAGAAGAGGAGAGCTGCTCATCCTTGACCGCTGAAGATGCTGAGGAGAGGGGAAACAGAAAAGAAGAAGCACTTTAACAGAAGTTTCACCGCTATGAGTTGAATAAAATTGACACGTGCTTGCATCAACCGAGCGCCGCTGACAGCCCTGCCCCCCGCCATCAAAGACACAAAGTAATGAATGATCTTCATTAGTTGTCATTTACAGGGAATTACAGTGATGCCTCCTTGAGGCTGTTATTGGTCACGCTGAGAGCGAGCAGCGAGAGAAACGTCACAGAGGAAAAGAGGAAACTTTGAGAGGATGTGGGAACAGGAGAATGTTTGGCCTATTTTCACTCAGCAGCAGAGGAACGAGCTGGCGTTTTCCTCAGTGAAATGAAAGACATGAAAGAAAAATATAAAATCAATTCAGGATCAGGACAAGAACACAGAATATGTACGTTTCACTACAAGATATTATAACACAAAATGACTCAGGATGTGAAGATGATATGATGTGAGATTGGGGTTTTCTTTATCGTGATAATGTTAAGAGTGCTGAGAGGAGCTGTGCAATTGATCAGGAAATAATAATAATGCATTATGACCACTTTGCAAGAAAGAAAGAGTATAAGTTTGTATTTACTGTAAATAAAGGTAAGATTTCTACATAGGAAGAGACTGAATAGACTGGTCAGGAGAGCCAGTTCTGTCCTGGACTTCTCTTTGGACTCCCTGGAGGAGGTGGGTGAGAGGAGGATGTTAGCAAAGCTTGTATCCATCATGGACAATCCCTCTCACCCACTGCACCAGACTGTGGGGGCTTTAAGCAGCTCCTTCAGCAGCAGACTGAGACTCCCACCTTGCAAGACAGAGTGCTACCGCAGGTCATTCCTCCCTTCTGCAACAAGACTTTACAACCAACTGTAATAAAACTGGACTCACACCACCACTTTTTTCTCGAATTCAATTTGTGTATATTGTATATAGTTTTATTTTCTTCTCCCTTTTTCTAATTTTTTTCTTAATTATGACATCTATTTAAGTTCTTAATATTAAAATCTTTATTTTTATAACTGTATTTTTGCACTCTTTGTCTGTGATGTTGCTGTGGCAAAAAATTTCCCCCATGGGGGATCAATAAAGGAATATTCTATTCTAAAACAACAATACTTTCTCTTTCAGCACACAGACATTTGACTGGCCTGGATCTAAATGAAATGCTTTCACATCAAATCAGACTTGTGACCAAAATCCTGAGATTAATTTGTACTAATGTGGTGATAAAAACAAAGATTTGAGGATAACTCTGGTGTTCAGGAAAGCCATGTTACTCACACAGGTACACATGAGACGCAAATATACACAATTTTGTGTTTTTCAAAACTACTAAAACAGTTAAACACATATAATTCAGCCTAGAGAGATGTTTTCAAAGAAACACAGGGATATTTGTGAGTTGGAGTGATTAAGTTATAAACACAAAAGCACCAAACCTGAAATGGCGGCCTCACTGCAGCTCTGTTGGCTGAATAAGCAGGAGATACTCTGGCAGTTTGAACCATTTCCAAGGGGAAAAACAGTAAAAAATGAAACTCAGTAAGAGACACAAGAAGAGGATATGCAGAAATATTATTTGTTTTAGAACACATTATGTTTTCAGGAGTAGCAGGATTACCACATTTCCTGAAGGACTTACACAGTAAGTAAGCAGGTAAAATTTGGCTCGATTTCCGGGCCACAAATAGATGGGCGGGGCTTCCTGATGCGTCATATACGTCAATGACGCAATCCTTCTCAAGAGGAAATTATTTATTTATTCATTTATTTATTTAGTTCTCTTGTGTATGAATGCATTCTTGATTAAAATGGCTTATTTAAAAGGTTTATTTTGCTAGAGCCATATATAATCAAGATTGGATAAAAAAGTGAGTATGTACGGGTCAATGGCGTCTTTGCATTAAACGGGCCCACCAGAGGGCGCTGCTGTGCAGAAGAGGATTATAAAGTTTTTAAATTAAGTTTTTCTGTGTCAAAAACGTCGTTGAGCACAAGTTAATTAAAAAAAAATAACTTAATCCACACTGAGATGTGTGCAGTTTTCATTTGTATGGGCGCAATTTCCCTACTTTCTTACTAGCTCGGCTACCGTGGTAGCACAACAGCTAATTCACGTTCTTCGTTCATGCTGTGGATTATTACGGGTTACAGAGAAGTTTGCGCACACGAAGGACCGCAGAGCGTCATTCCTCTTCAAAAAGTGATCCACAATGGTAAGTCCATTATTCCACGTGGAATTTATAATAGTTTACACATTGTTAGAATAAAAGTGGAATTTATGTAATGCCTAACTGGCGATACGTGTGTCTGTTCACCTGTCTTTGTTGTCAAAATGGCCACTTGGCTGTGATACATTGTTTGTGGTGGCTTTGTGTGTTGATTGCTGTGTATTGGGTGTGCTCCGTTCACGCCATTGTGTTTGATCATTGTCACGTTGTTTCGATCTTGAGTAGGGGAGGGTGGGGTAAGTCGAGCCAAAGAGTAAGTTGAACCACCCCCTGTTTCTTGGAAATGGTAAAAGAAATTGATCATGTGACCAAATATTTAGGAGATGGGCATCAATTCATGGAGTCTGTGAAGGTTGGAAAGGGGTTAGACATTTATTTCGTTACTCAATGTTTGTGTGATGTTATAATTCAGCTGCAGTTTTGTCGTCAAAGATGCTGTGGTCCCCTCTCTCACTTGCTGCTGTGTTTTTGTTGTGAGGGTATGAGAGTAATATCAGGTATTTCTGGATTGCATTCTAAGATATTCCTGCATGGCCCCACCAGAATTTCCAGACCAAAATCGCCACTGGTACAGATCATTTAAACAGATCACAAACTGAAAAACTTCTCTCCCATCCTCACAATGGTCCCTACTTTTGTACATGCTATAGTTCTGTTAATAAGTGTATTTTTACCTATATGTAGGTATTTCAAGTCATATTTTATTACACCCCTTGCACAGGTATCTCACGATGGTTTCCATATTCCTATATTCCTATTTTGAAATCCAATAAATAATACATTTCCAAACAGTAAATTGATTCTCCACTGACAGATTGGAGTGTTTTCTACCTTAATTTCAGGTATGATGGAGAAATCTTTATAATTTATATTCTTAAACGATAAAGAACATATCACCTTCACTTAAAGGTAAGTTTTCCGAATCGTGTTCATTGTAAGCAGATAAAAAGTGCTAAATGAAGAGGAAACATCAGCAGTGAGAAAGTCCAGTTTGCTCTTTGAGTCTTGAGTGAGCAGTATTTTACAGGCGTTGGAATAGATCCAGTCACAGGTTGGGCCTGCCATCCTCAGGAACACTGACATATGATGAGAGTTTTCATGGCAGCTGTGAGGTAGACACTATGATTTGGATTGCCAGCCCACCGCTGCAACATCAGCCCCCTAACAGGATAACACAGCATAATAAACTCCATAAAATAATCAAACTTATTACAACTTCTAACCCCTGTTAAATACACTCTGCTAAGCTTACGTGTGCTGCATTCACCGCCACAAAAGAAAATAGTCTTATAAGTCTGGAGAACACAGGACAGCAGCTTGTGGTGTCTTAATATTGGCTTTAATTGGATTTGTAAATTATGGGGCTAAATTAACACTTCCTATGGCTCGGTGACTTAGTGAAATGTGTATGAGGAAAGAAAAAAGGAGTGAAAGTCTTAAAGTTAATTAATCGTCTAAGGCCTCAGCTTAATTAAAGTTTCCCTGTGTTTGTAGTTAATGGGTGGATTGATGGAACAATGGCATAAACGCCCTGTGATACCTCCAGACTGAGTCCACAGAGAGTACACAGAGGAAGATTTCAGAGTCGCTGATTAACACGTAACACACACTCAAGATGCCTTCACATACTTCTCACTTACCAGATGTGTTCACATGCACGCATACAGACACAATGTCCCCTTCAAACTTCCCGTACACAGATGCCCATTACTCTCCATTGAGGGTTCCACATTAATTAGCTGGGATCAAAACCTACAAATCCCTCCACTGAGAATATCACTGTGATGCTAAACCCTGCCTCCATCATCTATACTGGGTCCCACGACACACACACACACACACACACACACACACACACACACACACACACACAGACAGTGAGTTGGGTTGGGTAAACCACAAGGCAGCCTCAGGGCGGGGAAAAACTGCCGGGCTCCCCTGAGCCCCCCGCTTCCTTCTCTGTGCAGTTTTGTAGTCTGGTTTAAAACAAATAGATATGTGAACACAACATTAAAACAGGATTATATTTAACTTCCTGAGCATTTTCTGACCCATTTGTGTAAAAAAAAGATCATGATTGGTTGATAATGTACAGCAATAAGTATAATTTCTTAAAAGCACAATATTGATTTTAAAGCTCCTGTGGGGAAATTTGGGTTGTAGACCTCTTGTCCTCTACATGCCTTAATCATGTCCCCTGAAAAAAAAAAAAAAGTTCATGCTATGATTTAATGTAAATATTTTTAGAGGAAAATGTAAAATCAGGGCTGTTTCTTCGGCTGCTCGGCTGATAGTAGGGGTGGGAGAAAAAAATCGATTTACCTAAGTATCGCGATTTTTTGTTTTACAATTTTTAAATCTATTTTTATGTTAAAAAAAAATATTTTTTTCAAATTAAGAATAAAGGACTGTTTTTTACGTGCAATTATTTCGGACGTCAGTATTTTTTTTCGAACCTGTATCCTGTCAATACAAGCGTTCACATCAGTGACGTTTTACCATCCTGCGATATTGTGGCATTTATTTTTTCAGATCATGGCCGATTTTTCTAAAGTTTCGCATACTGTGTGCATACTGTACCGCTTCCAGATGGGACACGTCTTTTCCCCCTGGAAAGTCGCAAAATCGCATCGGGCTTGATGTGTATAGTCAGGCGCGTCAAAACTCGCCTCCGAATATATCGTAATTTCGCATTCTATATCTGTGTCGACCCCGGTGTGTAAGGTCCTTAAATCTTAAAAACTGACTTACATGTGATGTGTACTTTTGTGGGAAATATGGTTCCTGGAATAGTCAGTAGACAATCATAATCATTCAAGTGTTACACTGGTGTTAGAAAATGCAGGCTAAAAATCGAGAAAATCAACAATATTGTAGAATCACAATTTGAATTGAACTGGCATCCAAAAAATCGTTGAAGAATCGAATCGGGAGAAAAGCATATCGTCCCAGTCCTAGCTGATACCCACCACATTAGTTACAGACATAAAAATTTACAACATAAAAATCAGCAATCTTGGCACTGACGGCTTTGTTTGCTTTTGTAAATCATAAAAAAAGCCTTGATATGATGTCAGTCTATTCCATAAATTTTAAAAGACTGCTCAAGCAGCTGTGTAGTAAGTGAGGAAACATATCGTGAGCAGGTTGATTGAAAATGAATTCGAACCCTGAACAGGCTGAAGATTCTCACTAAAAGGACTTGGTGTAACAACCTCTTTCGAACACAAGATGCACGCAGCTTGAGGAACCGGGAAAGAACTTGGCATTAAGGCAGCATGTTTTTCAGAGGGGTGCTCAATAACAAGCTGAACATCACGGACGCATATGACATTCTAGACTAATGTGGTCAGTCCTAACGAACAGCTGCTAAATTACTTGTGTCAGCAGGTACAGAGCCACATTTATTTTTCATTTTGAGAAATGTTTCTATCAACTTTAAGTCTAATGTTGGAAAATCAAGAATCACTTCTTTTAAAGTATCTTCTAAAGATAGTTAAAGTTAATGTGCAACAAAGGAAAATAGGATCTTTATTGATCTATCTGGGGTTTATATAAAATATTAAAGTACAGTGAAGATGAACTCAGAAAATTCTTAACTGTTACCTGTTAAAGATGCATGGTTTGTCTGCCACGGCTTCGAAAAACACTCTATCTCGCCTTATTTACTCATTTTTTGGGGGTTAAACTGATGAAAACTGTAGTTTGTTTTAATATGTTCAACAGTTTATTTGTCTCACAGTCTCTTCTAAGAGCAGTGGGGAAGCTTTGGGTTTTCTCCCTCCCATGCTTCAGAGGAGATTAAATGTAGTGTGGCACTGTGAAACCCATGAAAAAAGGCTTCATAATCTCTGAATGGAAAAAAAAGCCTCCTCCTCCTCCAGGTTAAGAAGTAATACCACAATTTTGAACAAACTTCTGAATAAACCTACTCTCAGTGGGTCTTAGGGAGTCTTTCAGCAGACATCCTGAATTCTTTGCAAAGGACTTAAGTCTTTCACATTTCTATTTTAAATGAGGCGTTTGGTGGTTTTCAGACATTTTCAGCGTCTTATCGCATATGCATGGAGATGGAGATGACTGCCAAAACTGCTCATTTAAACGGCTGATTATTTCAAAGAGGTGATGCAACTCAAGAGCAACCTCATCAGAGTGTGTGTGTTTGCTGTGCTGTTGGAATAAGAGCTGGCGGACAGCGTCCTCTGCTGGTACAAGCGAAGAACAGCTCTTTAGCTAGGCCCCGTTCAAATGTATACAAACCATAAAAGAAAATATGCTCTAAAACAGGAAGAAAAAAGAGAGGAAGTTCATTTTTAAACAGGTTTATTGACATGTGTATAGCGATTGTCTGTGCACCGGACAAATACAGGAGAATATGATATAAAATAATACAAAACAGCTGTACATGACACAGATGTATGTAAAGGAATGCATTAATAACTGTGAGGTTGTTATGCTGTAGAGCAGGTGTCAGCTACTCACTCACCTGTAATAAGAGGAGTTCATAAGTTTGAGGTTTCGCCATCTGGATTGAAGGTTAATTGATACAAACGTTAAAAACAGAGTTACGGAAGAGCTACTGATGGTTACTGGTGGTTTTAAACAGCCTGATGCCACACTAAAATACTGTATCTGAAAAATTCTACGATCTAAAAAAAAATTAAAGAAAAGGATATTGCATATGGATACCTATATCCCAAAGAGGATTCAAACGAATATGAAACAAAGAAGAAGGAAAGTAAAGAAGGTCAAATAAATGTGAAAGGTCTTCGACTAGAAGCCAATGATGGTGCCGCAACATTTCTTCCATCCACATGCCAATGGTGTTACTTTAGTCAGTAAATATCATCTCAAAAGCAGGAGTCGTTGTATTTGGTGTGCTCACTAAAGGGCAGCTGATCGAGATGTTTTCACCGCCTGTCTGATTCACAAGGCCTCCTTCGCAGATCCTGGACGTCTGCGCCTGACATACTTTAGATCGTTGCCTCACGTTTACAGTTTGGTTCTGCATCAGAGACACTTGAAGAGTGAAACCGTCCTCTACCAGGCGTTTTCAGGCTTCACCAGCTGTGACTGAAATCCCTAATCCTGAGCTACAGTAATTATCAACACTGCATTCATTATCCACCGCACCGCAGGGAGTTTCCATCTTGTATTTAGACCTCAAATAGACACAAAGATGCGTTTTGGAAACAGAAGGCTGACTTCTAATGAGTGTGAAAGGATCTATTATCTGCCTAAATACAAACTGAAAACGAGTGCTCGAGTGGACATCTTTGCAGTGAATTTGGTGGAAAGTCTTAGCATAGTAGTACAAAGTGGGATTCAACAGGTCTCATTCACAAATGTCACACATCCATCAAGTATGAGGATTTTTTTTTTTTAGATTGCTTGCTCTTTCTTTTTTTTGTTTTTTGTTTTTCAAGAGACGTCTTCCAGACAAAATAAAACAACCAAACCGAACAGAAACGCTGCATTTTGAAAAAACCGAGGACTCGGAAGACATCTTAGTCTGCGACAAACGCTTTCGGCATGAATACCAGGTTGGCGATCAACCGTGCAAAGTTTTCGAGTACGTGTACGTGTAGTGTACATACTGTATGTGTACGTTCATGCAAGCTAGACACAATTTCCATGTGAGCGTGTATTATCAGTTATACGTCTTCCATAATTGAGGCTATTATTGGAATTATCTGACTTTTTTTCTGAGCTAGATCACCAAGCTACACCATAATATTCAGTTACAAAAATAGTATCACAATATAGACCATTCAATATGAGCACCAGGGAAGGCTAAATATAGCCTGAGTATTTGGCTACATTCATTGTCTGGGCAATGTTTTACGGTAGCAGTGTGTTGAGTGTGTGTTTGTTGGACACAGTGTTGGCAATGTTTTCTCACTCACAAGCTCTCCTACACCTACCACACGAGAATACTCAGAAACATACAGAACTTGCTTACACTGAGTAACAATGGTTAACTAAAACCAATTATCAGTTAGAAAAATAGTTTTTTTTAAACACTGAACACCTAAAAGAAGTCCTCCCGCTCCCTCCCCCCTGAATCCCTCCCCATCCCCCCCATTTCCTAACAAAATATTTCTCTTTAAAACAACAAAAAGGTTCTCTTTTGAGGTTACACAAGTTCAAACCTTTTACACTCCATCATATTGACATGGACCCTGTTTAGCATAATTCACTAACCAGAAGTGTGTTCACACATGAATTCACACAATGCTGATTTCTGCTAGCATGTTCAGCTCACTAATGCATCTGAAAGGAGTATTTAAATAAACACTATGATTTTTAATTGCTCGTCTTTATATTCTAGTGCTTTGGTTTACACACACACTTTAATCACAAACCGTAATACTGAACACACCTCTGGTTAAGCCCTTAACCTGAAACCATTCACCCATGTTTGAAGCGACCACCGACTTAAACACTTGGCTAAACATAGCACAACATCTAGCTTATCTATGAGAGTGCTCTTATTGCTGTAGAGAGTTGTATAGTGGATTTGTACCCGGTTTCATCTCCCGTTCCGACTTATCCTCGCTCTGCTTGATGATCAGGATAAGATCTGGGCTCAACAGGTGATGTCTTTGTGGTGTGATCTTACAGCGTGGAGAGTTCCCTCCGGCAATGTGGAGATAATCAAACAGTCTGCAGGCTTTCATTCCAACCTTTTACTACACAAGGGGTCTCATGTATGGGGGCCTCTCTGCATAGTTTTCATACAAGAGGGATGCATGAGGATGATTAAACTGTGTGGATGACTAGGATGATATTTCCTCTGTGAGTCCTAACAAAGACGTCTCTGAGGTCGCTTTCACACCTGACCAAGCGGACTCGGTTCGATTGGGGAGCTGAAAGTCGCAACATTGTTGCATTTATCACTTGTTTCGATTTTGCTTTCACACTGATTTCTAAAGCGCGCCGAACTTTCCGAGCAGCATCACGTAAACCTCACGCATTACAAACGGGTTTGTAACCGTCTTGTATCGTGCTTCGTCACATTATTTTATGGAATGCTACAATCTTAGTGAACGCAACTGTTCCTATAATGCTATCGTAGCTTGTCAGGGATTGATCCTGTTATTTTTCTAACTTTGACGATCTAACGTGACAACATATGAGCTCAGGGTTTAAGGACTGTGACTGTTGGTAGCTGTGATTTGATTTTGTTTAAATATGCAAAATTGTGAATTTATGGGTTATTGTCGTTCAGACAATTGAGCTAAGCTACCTCGCAACTGCTAATGTCAGTCCACGCTTCCTCTACCCAAGATGCACTGCATATGCACTGCGTATAGCGTCATTACGTATATTTGGTCCTGTGTTTGGTCCGGTGAGCTTTCACACTGCATACGAACCGAACCAGGATTCACTTGCAAGCGAACCGAGAGCCACATTTTCAGGCGGACTAGAGTACGCTTGTTTGGTCCGCACCAGAGTTCGGATGAGCTTTCACACCTGCCCAAATGAAGCAGACTATCCGAGGAAACGAACTCTGGTCCGTTTAAAGTGGACCAAACAGCTCTGGTGTGAAAGCGACCTTATTTAAACTTCTAACCTCACACATCTACCTAAAGTTGACTGAGAATAAATCAGCTGGTCATTCATGAAGGAAACTTGGGAAACCAGTGAGAAGTCTACGAGTGAGTCCAAAATGAAGGTGATTTAAGGGAAATTATTGATGATTTGCAGCATTTAGCAGTAATTACAGTAAAAATTAAGGAGGTGGTCGGATATCAGGCCGAGTAGTGCAAGCGGTGGCGTTTCACTGAGTAAAGAGCAGACAGATGCTGCGGATCAGCTAAGAAAAAGGCCATTCTTTTCTCATGTGCAAAAAAGCTACTTGTTATTTCATACATGGCTTCTGAAACAGACAGTATTTGGATCGTTCTCCTTGAATGTGGAAGGGTAGATCTGTGTAGGGTTGGGTCTTTAGATCACAATGTGAAAATAACTGTTTGAAAAGCAGCATCGTTTCAGCTCCTGCGTTCACATCTTTGGGAGCCGTCTTTTGTTGAGGGTTGGTCATGAGTGAAGAAGCTCGTGTTATGTTTGGTTGGAATGAAAACAGCAGATTTCTCCACAACGACAGGCTAGACAAAGACGGAGTTTAGAGAAAATTAATGCCACTTTTTTTTCACCAATCCTCTATGATCCAACGTGATCAACAAGCCCGGGAGGATAAATAAGGAGAGGGAGTCTTAAGGCCTGAGCTGCATTCAGGAACAGCATTGAAGAGTGTTTGTTGTTCCTTAAACTGAACACTGGTCAACGTCTGATCGTGAACAGAGCTCAGGTTTCTGTTACTGTGAAAGTGAGAGTGGTTGCTCAGAAAGTGGTGACTAGTCAATCGGGCCCTGGAAGATGAGCCGCGTCCAGCCGGGGGTGCTGAGGGCAGTGGAGCAGAAGGGGCAGATGGGTCTGAAGGCGTGCGTCCCGTGGGGGAGCGGGGTCTCGGCCCAGTACCTGGCTGTCCTCTCTGAGGAGACGTGGCCGCACGGCACAAAGCCGTGGGTGGGTGCTCCAGCGTCCACGTACACCGCAGGCTCGCAGCCCAGCCAGAGCGGCACGTAAGGACCCACGCTCCTGCACAGGGGACATTCTCTGCGTGTGGTGGATCCCTCACCCTCTCCTGGCAGCTCCTCCCCCTCGGATCTTTGGCCCCAGTCGTGACGTCCGTGGACATGGCCGCAAGCGAGGTAGACCCAGGGCTGACGCTCCTCAAGACTGAGTCAAAACATATCAAGAGACCGTCAGTGTTTCTACGAGAGTATGAAGGGGAATATGTTTGAGACAGACAGAGATAACACACCTGTGGCTACGTGGCAGGCTGGGGAAGGCCAGAGTGCTGAGGCCTACAGGACACTGAGGTCGGGATGCGTTCAGCTCCTGGCGTAGTGCTTCCAGGTGACGCAAGGTGGGAGCACGCATCAGTCCCTCACCTGTACGCCACAGCAGGGTGGCACCGCACAGGTCGACCAGAGAACCGTCACGCAATGCGCTGCTCTCACCCTCCGCCTGCAGAGGACAGACGCATGCTTAACATCGAACCACAAACCCATATTTCCCAACCTTGATGAGCAGATGTGGTCGAAACTCACCAGTTTGCCCCGGCTGGGTCCAGAGCGAGTCTCCCGCAGGGCATAGACGTCTCCACACACAGAGATCTCCCTCCACAGACCCTGCTTGGGGTCTTCTGGGAACCCCTCTGGATGCATCACAAGCACGCCATTGGTAGTCAGGCCATCCATATGTCCATCAGGGTTTTTCCATTTGGTCGCTTTTTCCTGAGATATCATGACAGCATTTAAACGAGTTTTTCATTTGGTCGTACCTTTGTTCTGAAATCTCTGGATCATTGTTCTACTCACCCCCAGGAAGATATTTTTGGATGAGTCAAAGCCGGCGGCGTAGATGCGCGCAGTGTAAGGTGGGTTACGCTCACACACGATTCTACAGGCAAAACGTGAGATGGTGCTGGGTGCGATAGAGGGGTCCTCTCCCTCCTTCCCCCCTCCAGAGGTGTCTGTTACCACAAAGTCAATGGGGCTTTCTGTGGAGCGTCCAATCTGCGGAGTACAGCACAAAGAAAATCTATGAAGAGCTCCGTGGTTATTGATAGTTTCAGCTTCACACTAGTTTCATGCAGGCTGTTGGATTTTCGACAGGATCAAGACTTGTTTTCCCTCATGACTGTGGTGCCAGACTTCATCATCCAGTGGAAATAATACTCATCTGTGGACTATAATAAGACCGAATCTTTTAGTGGATAAAAATAGACGTTCTTGGAGATTTTCCACCTCCGTCTTCAGTCTTAATGCTCCTGTTTTTGAACCGAAATAACCTAACTCCTTCGATGGAATTACATAACGGCATATTTCGGGTGAAACTGGCTCATCGTGTCCAAACTAGCATTGTTTTCTTTGACAAGTGAGCCGTTACAGACAGAGGGCTTCTGACTGTGTTTGCTGGCGTGGGACTGTACCTGGAACATATCTGTGTTGTTGTCATGGCAGTACTCCACCACCACTGTTTGGTTCCGGGACAGAGTGAAAGAGATGCTGTGCTGCCCCCTGCTGTGGACAGCCTGCAACGACAACCACAGGAACAAGCGCAGGTGATTCATTCATCTTCTGGAAAAGTCTTGGAAATGATTCACTACATCCCAAAAAAGCTTATAAAATCCAGCTACATGAATATTGTAATAGAAAAGCACCGTGCATCTTTTTACGGAAGTATTCACATGTACATTTAAATGCGTCATGCTTACTCATCCTTCCTCTGCCTCCTTTAAAATAAGAACAGGAAGCCACAGAAAGGAAACCAATAAAACACACTGATATAGAAAAAAAACTCTCACACATGTACCTTGCTGTCCTGTGGGGTGTTGAGGATGTGCACTGCACTGGGTTTGACGCCATTGGCCTTGGCTCGTCGGTACAGAGCAAAGCGACTCTTCCTACGCCCACGGTCTCCGGTTGGAAGAGAGCCATTGTACCTAAAGGACCGCACAGGGTTAAAAACATGAGCACAGAGTGACCTAGATTAAACTTGAATACAGCTCGGATACCACAACACATGTTCACATCATAGTTACAGTTTGTTGCTTTCTTGAGAAACAGTCGTGGTGCAATCAGTACCCAGCATTCAATGGTTACACAGGCCAAATACCGAAGTTGGGAGGATGTGTAAGATGTGGATAAAAAATTTTTTTGATGAAAATGATATAAAACAAGACGCTGAATTTAAAAAAAGTGCAAAGACAGAACATCAAATGTGTAAAATGAAAAATGTCAATGTTGACACTTGAGGGAACTATGTACTTGTTGGGTTAACTTGTATCAGGTTAGTAAAATGACTCACAGTACTTTTACTTGAACAAAAGCAGCCAGAGCATTTAGCTCTGGGGACTTCACTTTAAGGAACTACATGGTTCCTGTAACCCACTTCTGTCTGTTACATTCACAGCTCTCTATTGAAGTCTGTGCTGAATTTTTTCACACAAAGAGTCAGAAATCACATTGATAGCAGCCGGTAAGCTGCGTTGATTAAATAACACCAGGTTATTTACTGGAAATGTTTACTCTTGTTCTGTTGCCCCTTGGTACCTCTACTTGTTTAACTTTCTCTGCTCAGCTGGGGTCTGTGTTTTAATTGTTTACCAGCTCATATTGTAAACCAAACAGTTTCCTTGTAAGACTAACTACTGAAACTGTGAAAACACACAAAACATCTCTGAAATTGAGAAAAAAAAGGGACGTAAACAGAGTCAAAGATTCATGTAGTTTTACTGATCAGGTGACATTAAGACATGTAGGATATAATACAGAATCTCTGCATAGTTTGTGTCTGTAAATGCCAGTAATCCACATGTAAATAAAACCATCACGCCCTGCCTTCCAAAGTCCCTGGGACATTAAAAAGCGCTGCCCCCTCAGCAGGGACTTTTTTAAGAAGTGAAAAGTCCCTTCTACCTCAGAACTAAATTTAGACCCTAGTTCCTTCTGGTAAAATAGCACATAGCTGAAAGGAAAGGTCCCTGGTTAGGTGGGAAATTCTGCAGTAAAAAAAAGCACCTTTGGTAAAACAACGCTCATTTAGGAACTGATTCTCTTATAATTCACTGTTCACTGTTCTATGATGGACTGAATTTGAACATGAGGTAAATTTAAAATAGTTGTCTTCAATGTAAAATTGTCCTGAGGCCTGAAATAAATACGATGATAAGGGATGCAAGCTTTGGAGCAGCTGAAACCTTATATCTGTTGAGAATTAAACAACATTTCCCTTCCTAACAGGTCTCCTCAGTTCATGACTGATTTCATGCATCTTTGCAGTTGCAGCACGGCACACTCTTTGATATAAATCCAAGTGGCACAGGTGGGCCACTCGTGATTCACATTAAACTGCTACACCCAAGATAAACCAAAAGGACAACAACCACTTGACCTCACTCTCTCAGCGTGTTGATGAGGCTCAATGCCTCTGAAGAGAAGCTCGCTCCTCATCTAACCTCCTCTGCGGAAGGCCAGGATCATTATTCCGACACAATCACACAATATTATTAACCATATAACCTTGAATAGGTGCTCCAGCTAGGATCGGAAATGCTTTGATGTGTTCATTACTAGAAACAGACATCAAGATTCAAATTCTTCCCGAAAGGATGGAAACTAATGTATTCTGGATCCAGAATGATTCATAATTTAATATCAACCTTTTTTTGAAGACCATCTCTGTTTTCATGTTTTAATAAAGTCAGTGAGTCATGATTTTTAGATCTTTCTAATGCTTTCTAAAACTGGCTCTGTTCTCATATGTTTTACAGCCATGTTTTAAAGCCATATAGACGTGCTGTGCTAGTTTTATGATCTTAACCAAACAGGAAATGGTCATTATTAGCACGTAGCCAACAGGCAGAAGGACAATGAGAGTCTGTGCTGGTCTGAAGTGATCAAATCAGAGGACGTCTGGCTTAGCTCTGGTCTTTCATGGTGGTCTGACTGCATCCTAGGATGAGGACACCACAGTCTGCTCAGACATTTTCTGCTTTAAACCCTAGGCTCTAGTTAATTTAGTAAGTAGTCTTTTACAAAGCAATCAATATCAATTTTAAAAATGGATTTATTCATATTTTATCAAATGAAAAAGCCAATAATCTGCTGCTCATAAAACGTGCTGGTATTTCTTCATTTTACATCATTAAACAGTGGATACTCTGTACTTTTTGCTGCTTTACAATAAAGGTAAAGCATCACTTGGCTCAGCTGATTTATAGTGGATATTTCTCACATTTTTACTGTCAACCAGACAAAAACATCAGCAGACAAGGAGAAAAAACATTCTTAGCAACAGTCATGTTTTAGCAGCATCTGTACTCAAAAAACAAAACTTGTTTTTAGTGTTAAACTAAATTGCAATAACTCAGAGATATTATACTAATTTGATATCACTGTTTACCACTTATCTGTTTAAATCCAAACTGAATATCTCAGGGTTGGCGGAACCAAAAAAATTTCAGGGCGCTGTCTTGTGTAGTCGTCTCAGCGTGCTTTATATACACTGGTCACTGATTCATCTCCTGGGCATTTCCTGACTCTTTGCACTGCATGTCTTCTCCCAGTCTCTCACATTTCCTGTTTGTCTTTATCTGATAATGGCAAAAAATGACCAATAAACTTTTGATTTTGTCTCTTTTCTGACATTTTGTACACGTATGGGTTCACCTGTGAATGTTGTCACAGACCTTTGCTGTTCTAAAGCAACTAGATTTATAGTCATTTAGACAGAAATTAACATTCTGACTGACCAACTTATCTAAAAAGTAAGAAAACACTCAGAAAAGGGTTAAAATTGAGCCCTTTTTTTTAACTTTTTTACGTGGCTCAACAAGGGGTCAGAGTTTGCAGGTCAACCAAGTCAAATTGGTTTGTGAAGTGTGGCTAACACCAGCAGAGGTAGCACTACCAGCCGTCCAAGTTAACACACACATTCTTATACTGGTTATGCTAAATTGGCCAACATAACTTGATTTCCATGTGCCACATCAAAATGCTGCCAAACTGGGCCGCTCGGTGGGGGGCCATCCGTCAACTGAGCCTGTTTAGCAGCAGCAGCAGCAGAGAATTACAGCAGTATGGTAGTAGCCATTAACCAGAGCTACAACCACAACCAGGAGGGAGTAACTGCACTGTAGCTAAGACTGGCACAATATTCAAATAGTAATTGTTTAACTGACGAGTTGTTCAAGTGCTGACTGGTAATGTTAACAGTGTTTGGTCAACTAAAGGCACAGGTCCCAACCTGAAAGTCATATTGGTGCCAAATACATAGGGCCTGATCTACTAAGATCATATCTGCCTTAAACAAATACTGGGGCTCACCCAAACAATCACCAAATATAGTAAGAATCACATTAAAAGACAATGATCAGGGTGCACATAGCAACTCTACAAACACATGCTCCCAAATGTTTAATTTTACTGTTTGTTTCAAATGTTCCTTCACTGAAATCTGTGCCGGAAAAAAAATAGCTTGTTTACGAGTCAAATTGGATAAGACACACACTGAACAGATGGCTGGGAATTAAGAGAGAGATCCAGCTAATCATCAACATCTCTGACCTGAGTCTGAAGACAAACTTAATTCACTCACTACCAACGTTAGACTTTTTTTTCCCTTTAAATCACCTCACATTATCTTATTGTGAATGTTGGTGGAATCTGTTTCATGCTAAGCTAGGTTTGTTGACACAATGCATTTTAATGACCCATATTTCCATAAATCTCAGGACCACAGACTATTTTCCATGGGGAAAAACCCTCCAGCAAGATCAGACCAGGCAGTCAGCAGGATGTTGGAGAGAAGATCAAGTCTGGTTCTTGGAAAAACCCTTCAAACCAAGGAAATATGGATGTGATATTTAATAAAAGTTGAGTGCAATCACAGAGGATGACTCAGTGCTACCTGCTCCCTGTGTGGCCCTGCCTGTCAGCTCAAACTGGACCCCTGTCTGACAGGAGGAGTACTGGGTCAGGGAAAAGAAGACACATGAGGACTGGCTCCTGCAGGCTCTGCTTAAAAGGCAAAAGATGTGAAATGGGAGCGAGGATGAGAGGGCACAGGAGGGAAAAAAATCAGCTTATGGGAGGAGAGAGCCAAGAGAAGGTGGAGAACAAAATGATGCAAAGGGCTGGGTGAAGGAGGACAGCAGGGAGACAGATACACTCAGGGTCCGGGGAAGAGGTCTGGAGGATGAGCAGCACCACAATGTGCAGTTTGCTAAGTCCGTTCTGGCTTGCAACACGCATGTGCATACATCATAAAGCACAATATGAAATATTCACTCCTTCTGCCCCTCGACACTGGGTTTATTTTCGTTGAGGTCAGCCACAGAGGAGGCCTGGCTCTGTGAAAGTCAGCACTCAGCAAAACACTGGAACACAGAGCGGGTGAGACAGAGGAATGCGACAGAGATGGTGTTACGGGTGAGATAAAAAAAGAGGCGTGGGGGAGATAAATACAGAGACCGAGAGAGGGTGTTTTTATAGTGATGGCAGCGGGTTCTGAGCGAGTCCTGCTGTGTTACATGGTGTCCAGGCTAAGTCAGGACAATGAGCGATGGCAGTCAGGCAGCCTCTGCAAAGATCACATGGCCTGCAGGGAGGCAGACATCGACCACGTAGGGCATGTGATCATCACGGCTAAAAGATGCAAACTTTAAACATTTCGCACGTAGAGAAAGAGAAATATATAAAACGTAAGATGCTGCAGCAGACGGAACAGCCTGTTCTGACAGTTTGGATCATCTGTGAGAGTTACCTACTGTTTGTTGGGAGACAGATGACAGATTACAATGACCACTGAACCCATACAATCACATTTTGACATTTCAAACATGTTGTAAACAGCCATAAAGATGGTCCTATCTTTATACCCCATTACTTAGATCTATCTGTCTGCAAACCTGTGGCCATAAACCTCAGAGCTAACCTCAATCACAACAGTTTAAAAGTAAGCTAATACAAATGCATTTTCAGCCCTCACTTAACCACATCATGAATCGTGACGCACACCGCAGAGCAGTTGCGTGTTTTAAGTAGCATGTCCAAAACCTCAAACTGCGCATTAAATCATCACTTCCCTTCCTCTGAACTGAGAACGTAAAGGACCGCTCTGTTCAAACAGTCTGACGATGAAGAGGACGCTAATCAGTATTCTGATGCCCGTGGCCCACAGTCTCCTCTCTCCATGTTCAGCCGGAGGGGAAGAGATAGGCCATTAGGTCAGTTATCTTTGGCATACACAGGAAGCTCAGCGGGGAAACAGGGAGGCCTGTGTGAGCCTGGATATGACTGTGTCTGACTGTGTAATTGTGTGTGTGTGTGTATATGTGTGTGCTGTGGCATTTCTGGTCCCCGCAGACCCTGCACAGTGTGGAGCTGCAGGGGTGGAAATGCTGTGGAAGCTGGTGGCTGTCATCAGCACATCCTGCCGACTATGTGCTTGAGTGTATGTGCTGGTGATGTAGTAGGGGGCTTTTCTCCTCCTCCTCATCCTCCTCCTCCTCCTCCTTTTCTGGCGTGGATGGTCATCTGGCTGCGACGTATATTAATTGCATATACCAATGCTTTACCACTAAATAAAACGGGCAAGGTTACATGTATTTTTCAGACAATGATATCACCCTCTGTGCTACTTTTTTAGCAATCACAGCTCCAGCATAGTATGACATCATTGGGATTTTCAGCCTGAGCAAACCCAGCGCTGCTTACCCCTCACTACAACCATTGATGAAAAGCGGCTAGATCCGTAGTAACCATGGGCACTATGGTCAAAGCACAGTTAAGCCCATTTAACACCCAAATTCATGATGCATTATGAGCAAATGTGTCACAGTATTAGAGAATATGCTTTCATCTGCAACATAAAGTTAGTTCATGATGTTAATACACAGCTATAGACTGGTGGAATAGGAATGTAATGCACAATATGAATAGAAAATGGGTTATAAATGCAGCCAGTACGTGTTTAAATGTAAATGAAGAGTATATGTTTGATAAGAGGAGTGGATTAGTGCTAACCACACTCGGCATCTGCTGGTTTATTGTGCTGCTGATGGTGCCGCTACACATTACACAGTAATAAGCCGCTGGAGGGTTAAACACGTCCCACACAATTTCTAAATCGGTATAGGGTTTACATTACTTACCCTAAAATGACCAATTCGCCGTATTTTACCGGGTCTTTAACGGGCACATCATCTTCTCCGTCTTTTTTCGGCGAATTCATCAGACTGGACTCCTCCAGAAGAAGACGAAAAACGCGTCCAGTAAGAGTGGGGAGATAAAACAATGCTAACACACTCGAAACTGAAGGGAAGTTTGGGGGGGGATTTCGTCTATTAAAGTTTGGACATAGTTTGGCAAAGTTTTTCTCGACTTTTCGCTATTTCTTTTCTGGTTTCAATCCCGTGAAGGGGCATCTTTTCGATGCTAAAAAAATGCCAATGTGAAGCTAGTTAGTAACGCAACATCTCTGCTCGGTAGCATAGGGTACAACAACGGCTAACGGCAGGGAGTGGGACGTACCATGTTTTGTAGGGGGGAGTTGTCCGAAATGCTTCCCCAAATAGTCTCCAAATCAACATATGAAGAGAGGAAGCAGCTTTTTTCAAGATGTTAAGAGCTTTTGAATCTGTTGTAAGTGATTTCACTGAAAATTTTACAATCATAAATGAAAACATAAGGGAATGCCATCATGAACTCCCCTATGGAAGAGGGATGGGTGAAACCTTGGTGAGAGGCTTGCTCCCACTGATAGAACAAAATGAGACGTTTCGAAATCCAGGGGAAGTGTCCACATAAACCGGGATGTTGAGGCGTCCGAAACATTGAAAGTAAAAGACAAGCTCTCTGTATGTTATATATGGAAATAATATATCAATTATCTCGCGGGTCATTATGGAGTCTGACGTAATGAGATGCTTCGGGGGTGTGGTATAGCGAGATGTGGGTCACCAATGCGCCCCAGACGAGACACCTTCTTTTCTTCTTGTCTGCAGTTTCATGTGGGAGTTGGGAGACAGATATAGGCCGATTGGAGCCCTCACTTCCATCTCTCCCTCCCTCTCCTTCTCACACTCAATACAAACAGTAGTGTGTGGGCTGTGTAGTTACTCACACTACTGTGACCACATGAGGGCAGTGCACTTCAGTTCCTAAGTGCAACTTTACTGTCTCTGAAGTTACCCAAGTATGACTAAGCTTTCAGATTTGTCCATTTGTCCATCATTTCTAATTGAGCACCACTGTTTTATTCTCTGTTGGAACATTCTGGGATGAATGAAAGGGACTGAGGCGTACACTTGATCCAGATAAGTCAGATACTTGGCACATTTTCCTCCAACAACCTGATTGCTGTTCATTGTTATTTGATGAGATTGAAAGCAAAACCTTCCCTGCAGACTTCCTTGGACCGAACACAGAGCCTGGGTGTTGGTAACAGAATCTGCACAAGTCTCTACACCAGCATGGCTGTCCTCAGGTGGAACAGTAGCCTTCTTGGTGTTCTGACTGGGTGGTGTAGCTTAACATGTAGCGGCTTGCATGCAAAAGGTGAAGTCACAAAGGCGCCATACAGTTTTCAGCAAGACTATTCAGTTTTGTGGTGATGTTTGCCCTTGCTGTCAGATAGGCTGTGTCAGTGCCATTCACACATTTGCGTGTGAAAATTTACATGGATTACAGAAGCGGTATGATAACAAATTCAAATTAGAAACAGCCATGCCCTCCCTCACTCATTCTCTAGAGTTCTTTGAGAGGCTGTTCATTGCATTAAGAGCAGAGGATGAGTCATGAATAAGCTTCATCATAAACCAGAAAACAAACAACCACACCCGAAATATATGAATGACAACTCATTGCAGCTAAGAGTAACTAATTAACCAACTGCAGTGTTGACTCACACTTAAGTGTCTATAACTGTGTACAAGTTTCACTGTGTCTAGAAATTTAACCCCCAGCATACTTTTCTTCTGACATACAAAGTAGAAACTGGATGGACCAGATGTGTGCGTGTGTATTTCTTTCTTTCCCACTCTGGGATTAAGGTCACACCCTCCTAACGCTCTCAATCTCTATATATCTCACATTTTCGCTTCTCTCTTTTCCCTGTCCTCTGATTTCTTTTATTCCGTCCTTGTCCCTTTTGTTGATGACTGAATTCCTGCATTAAAATAGAAAAAATGTCTGCCCCCCATTCTGCAGACAAATTCTTCACAGCCCACTTTACAGCTATAACAATCAATTAGCAGGACAAGGATTCAATGTGGATTGAGGATTATTTCTCAACCATCCAGGACTTCAAAATGATGAGAAGACTTTGTAGGAATAAAATTTTCTCTGTATCAGGTAGTCAGTATATTTAATGAGCATGAGGTGTTTGATTTAGTCCTGCAGAAAAAAATCCCCTCCTAGGATTATAGCTTATAAAAAGATGCTAACCCTTACACAATTTCCTTTTTTTCATGAACTCTTTTTGCTCTCGTTATTACCCAACTGACACAAATACAGGGGAAAAAAACACCAATATAGAGTCTGTTTTTCCATGATTTCACCACTTCTGTCATCTCCTCTTTCAGGAAAAAGAAACTTATGTAATTACCAAAAAGGGATGGGATATGGCACTTTGCATTGACAGCAACTTTGTTAAATGAAGACGTCATCATTCAGGCAAATTATGGAGGTAATCACAGTGTATAGTTCTGTGCTGGTTTCCTGCTAATTAGTGTTTGTATTCATAGAAAAAGAATATACAATAATTACTGTACTCCTATAGTTCAACTCAATGAGTCAGCAGCACATTACAATTAAAAATCTCCATTTATGGCATTTTTCTTAGTTACTTATGTCCCGATAAACGGGATCAAACCAGGCAATTTGAAGAGGCGTTTGTAGTTTTTTCTACCAAGTCATCTAAAAACCATATTTGGTGAGCAAATCACAGAAAAGATTGCTTGTGCCTAATTGTGCACATGTGGAAAGCATTACCTCTGCTTTCATTATGCAGCCTTTGGCCGGGTTATTATGCACTTCAAGTCAGGCAAAACAAAGCAGAGGAGGTGGGCAGTGATTATTTACAAGTGCATGCTCATGGTGAGTATACACACACAAATATATAACCACTCTACAACCACCCTTACACAATTTAAAGGTTAAAGCATGTGATTAAAATCAAACAGGACAACCCTATTAGAAAACTCCCCTCCACACACATGCAGTTGCATAACATGGCTAATGAACGACAGATTCCAACACAAATATCACCTCTGGATCTCTCCTGGATTGTTGCTCTGATTTATTATCACCGTGAGAGTTTCTGTGGCGTAAAGGCTGCGCTGACATCCTCAATCCGCTTTAATCTGATTCCTATTTTGAAGCTGGAAAAAAAAGAGATATTTGGTGTAGAAATTAAGAAAAGGAGTGGACTCAAGATGGTCCATTTCCACCACTTAGATGTGCCACAGCCATCTGCTGCTGAGTCTTTGTCAATGTTGCCATAGAGACAAGAGCAAACAAAAGAAAGGTATTTCTGTCATTTAGACGGCCCATCTCCTCTGTCTGTAGTTAGGGGCTTAGATGAAGTAGTGAAGCAAACCTGAGACATTTTTTGGGAGGATAAATACCAACTAGAGCAGCAAGAGCTATTAAATCACCTTAATACAAACCCTGATATGATCATTGCTGCCAGCTTGTGTGAGTCCCAGCAACAAAAGAGACAGTGTCTTACCTGCGATGCACGAGTGCGCACACGCCTGCTGGGCATGTGTGTATCTGTGTGTTTGATGAGGAGGCAGACTCCTACATGAAACTGCAGATGGCTCAGCATATTCCTTGTATTCTGTGCGGACACTCACACACACGCACACAACAAGCTCTCCGCGAGTGATTGCGGCTCCCTGCAGGGGAGACTAATTGCATACACAAGCAGGTTTGTTGCAAAACACTGAAAATAAATGGTGTTAGAAACAGCAGCAATTGATTGTGTAAACTGTGGATAATAACTTTAACAGATTGCCGTGCAGGGTTTCAATTGTTGTGGAATATGTGCTGATTTTGGGGGCATTTTAATGGCACGTAATTGAACCCTGAGATTATCATCATCAACGTTCAGCAAGACGAGGAAAGATGCCATGGGATCATGTGAGAAGCAGGAGGTAAGGGAGTCATTTGAGGGCCTCATAGAAACAACTTTTGATCCAAATCCCAGTTAGAAAAAGGCCAAATAAAGCTGCAGCACATGTGACAAGATTAAACTTTGGAGCCAGTTTGTTGGGCCATATACTTTTTCTATTGCAGCACTTGCATCTGAAAAAAATATTGACCCAAATAACAATCTTTACTCACTTTACATGGATAAATAGAGACAATTTGAATTTCTTTATTGTTGTTGTTGCCTGAATCAAAAGTACATGGATCAACACAAACTCAGCTGCAGGGCTTTAATCAAAAATTATGACCATGTAATTCTTACGCCTCAGTCCAGATCTTCAGATTTCTCCTAAACTTCTTTTTAGTGAAACAGAAAACAATGACCCATTATGTGATATGAGGCGGCCTTTATTTTAGCAGGACAACAGCAGCTTAAACACAGACTACTGATCCGAGTCGCTCTTCTCTAATAGCTCCCAGCACACTGAGTCCTTTCATGAACCATGGAGCAGCATCCAGCACCTGCCAACAACCTGCCATACATGTACATGACCCCAGCACATGGGCTACACACACAGTCGTGGGTGTGGGTGCTTAAGAAACCAGATGGTTCTTCAGACGGGTCATTAATAAGAGCCTGTGGGGGGCCTGTTTGTGGTGAGTTATTTCTGGATCTAGTGTTGTGTGTTATTTAGGGATGACTGTTTTGTTAGTGAGTCTATTTCTTAGCGTGTGTGTGAGAGAGTAGGAGGCTAACAGGCACTTGAAACAGGCCGACATTTAGAGTAATTGGCACCCTGTTCAGTGTGATCGGTATTCCAGCACATACTTATCAATTATTAAACAAAGTGCGAATGGTGACCTTTGACCCGGTGCAACAGGTGTTATCAGCACAGCTTTAAAGGTAGTGATATCGCTCTTTCTGACTCTAGATTTAATTGCTTCCCTGCTCAGCCCTTCTGTCAGTGAAACAATGTTGGTCTTCAAGGACAAGAAGCTGCTGACATGCAATCATGAGTGTGATCCTCAATTTTTTTTTTCCCTGCAAAAATGTCTCTCTTTTTCATATAAGAAACACTCTTATTTGTCTTCTAAATTGTGCATTTTGTCACTTAATTAATACAAAAATGCGCCTGCATCCATTAGAAGGTGTGAAAGTTGCACAGTAAGTTGATTTTCGGTCGTGTACACTGTTCAAACCTGGTACTTTTGGTTTGGCACTTCTGTTTTTGTTATTCTCTTAATTGAGATCTATCTCGTTGCAGTGGTGAACCATGTTTGACACAGGAAGGCTGCAGAATATGTTACATCCTGTCACAAAGGAAAGCACAGCTCAACATTTATCAATTACACGGCTGTTATCTACTGTAGAGCAATCCCTTTGGTATCTGAAAGTCATGAACCCTCCTATTGTTGACATCAACAAGTTTCTATCTACTGAAGCAATCAAATTTCATGAAAACCTTACCTAAGCCAAATTATATCCTGAGTACCATATATGGGTGTATATGACATTTTTCAGACAGTGATTCTATCCAAACACTGTCCTCTCTCCAGAAGCGAAAAAGCAGCGCGCTAAATGCACAGTGTCCATTAATTCCATCTGTGAGCCCGTATCATCGCTGCAGAGCACATCCCTCCCACTGCTCAACTTTATAGCCAAAAACAAGCTCAGGCCTCAGGCTCCCTGTAATTATTAGCACATTGTCCAAGGCGGAGGGAAACGCAATGTGCGACTGATTCTGAGGAGCTTACAACCGCCTGGAAGCTGAATGTCACCCCGCATGCTGCTTTATGACGCTGCTTAAACGGGCCCCATGACAACCCAGACACTGAGACTTTCTGAGCTGCAGCTCCAGCTCATCCAGCCGGCCCTAAAGTCTCTTTTGTCTGTGTCTGTTAGTCAGTGGAGGATGTTGTTGGACAGGAAATGCTTGCGAGGACAAGCGCGGAAAATCATTCAATCAACAGACAGAGGTTTGAAAAAGATGGAAAACAAAAGAAATCAGAGGGTGAATCGTATCTATGATGAGCTGAATAAGAACTAGTCGAGGAAGATTAGGCAGAAGGAGGAGCACTGAATTTTTATTCCTGTTGCCCATGGCAACTAGAGGATGCACTGTCCTGGGTTAGAAACCCCCCTGAGGTATTCAACGGCTAGGATAATAGAGAGGGCAGGGTTCTGACAATGTGGTGAAGCATTAGAGGGTCCATACTCAAACATACATGGTACAGAGCAGCAATGAATTTGATTTAGTGTCAAATTATTGTATTGCACAACTGATGCTTTTCATGTAGTTGTTTGAAAACATGTAAAAAGAGGCTAACGACAACAATATGATGAGTTTTTCTGATTATGGTACATTTCTATAGTTATATCGTTAAAATTAAAGGTTATACATTTTCAGAAATAGTGCACGTCTCAAATATCCTCCTTCCTGTTAAATAGACACGGCAAATGCAGTGCTTGTGGTCATGACTGCCACACACATCACTAGACTGGAGGCCAGAGTAAATGACAAAGAAGTATTATAAATGCTCTCTAGTTCAACAACTTCATTTCAAAGTCTCTTCAGAATGAGCCTTTTATTTTCCTTCCTCAAAGCTAAACACACTCAAAGCTTCAGCTAGCCTGCTAGCCTGCAACCACACCACATTTCTCAAGTTCCTCATTTGAATTTTCTGTTGTTTTTTTAGTCCTCACAGTAACAGAAAGCAAGTTCTGTTCCTTCAATTTCTCTTCGAAGGTTGGGTGAAGAGTCTGATACCATTCTCCAGCCTGTTAGCTTAGCTCAGTAAATGAATAGTAGGGGAAACAGCTATTGTGTTCAACTGTTGGTGGCCTGAATGCTGCAATTACACCCTTCAAATTACGTCGAAACTCATGTATCATTCCAGAGATCGTGTGGGCCTACACATCTACAGCAGCTAACAAAGCTAACACTCAAACACATTTGTACAAACATGGTGAGAAAGACTTGAGAGCGAAACTTACACTGTGTGCTTCTCATGGCCTCTGGCTCTTTAAGTAAAGTGAACATGCCATCTGTGAAGTCTCCAGCTCTATGGAAACATGTGGGCAGATACAGACAGCGACTGCCTGAGGTGTGTGGAAAGAAACTCAACTGTAGATTTCTCTATGAGTGTTATTGTCTGTGTACTGTAGCTAACATACACGCAATAAGTGCTTGTATCTTATCTGGCAAAGTTTCAAAACAGCTATTTTCCTGCAGCCTTAATTCTTTGAACTCAGTGTGCTGTTGCTGCTGTATTAGATAGACTATTGGACATGTGGAAACAGTCTCTGCGACGTCTCCCATTGGATTTTGAAGGACTGTTTTGACGCCTGTTGACAGGGGTTGCCACATTGGAAATGCTGATTTGACCAAACTTTGGCGCACAGAGATGGAGTTTAGCTTCATTGGACCTTTAGCGCCATTGAAAAGAGTCAGACATGCTCCTTATGTGCAAAACTTTTAACTTTAATATCTATCTGAAGCTAATTTAATTATATGTTTGCTAACTAAGTAACAGTTAAAGGGATATTCTGGTGTAAAATTAATTCAGGGTCGAACACCTCCTATGCAGCTCATTTATGATAATTTTTCTATCATTTCCTTGAAGTAATAATCACCATATTAATCATTTTGCACTGCAGACGTGGTAGTTCTTCTACCTTAGCGTCTTGGTCTGATTGCATTTCCATGAAGAAATGATCATAAATGTTCTTCCTTGAGCTGAGACACCCCGCAGCAGTCTGTAATAGATTGGCCCGAGGTCTCGCTACAAACAAGCAACTCCTACAATAGAGTGGGTGAGTTGTGTTTAGTCTCTTTGCTAAAGAAATTGGGCAAAGTTAAAAAGATGTTTGGTAGCTAGTGCTGTGACTGCTGATGAACTTAGGTGCTGTTCTGAGCATTGTTAGTGGCTATAGAGTGGCGTTTTGGTTGAGGGTTGTTAATGAGTCCTCAGACCGCTGTGTATTGCTATCGTGCGGTCATTACTAAAGTCAGTATAACTAGAGAAGCAAGCGGTCGGCAACATTCATCTCTCGAAGGAGTGTCTAAGTCGGTGTTGTTGTCTTTGACTCTAAATTAATTTTACGTCAGAATATCCCTTTAATACTACCAATACAAAAGCTAAGATTATAATGATCGCAGATTTCTTCAAGAGCTCTGATATGTCTGCAGCCAGGTACTTCTTGATTTTTTTGGTTACTGACCAAATGAGTAATCAATAAAAGCCCTCAATTTACATGACTCACAACCATAAACACAGCTGGAGTGTTGGCCTCTGTGTGACTATGATAACCCGATCCAGTTTTTAGTAGGTTTCACATCAGTCATTCATTAATTGAGGCAAATAATCCACATAAAGTTTAAATGACTTGTTTATGAGTTTCTCGTGCTGATCCGTCACTGTCTATTTGCTGGATCTACGAATGAAGAACTGCAGAGAGATAAAAATCAAAGAGGAACGCCTGAGTACACAAACAACAGAGGAACTGCAATAAGCTCAGTTTGAAAGTATTGTTTGAAGCTACCCCCTACAAAAGGCGTACAATAGTCCGGTCCTCCCCCCACCCACTGATACACAATGGCAGCGCTTTGAGGCTATAGCAGTGTGAGACTGAAAATGAAGCAGGTCTGACTTTCATTCAACACATCCGCAGTAGATTTCTCTAAGAGAGCGCTCACAGGAAGCACATTTGTAGAGCATCACTTGTGAAGACCTGATGTGACTGTTGATGACGATGAAAATGAGGAGGAACTGAAGGGAATGTCTGTGAATGAGGGTAAAGTGTACACTTTGATAACCACAACCTTTGATGTGCTACGTAACACCTACTATCCCTTAAATCACTGAAGGCCACAGGTGAATCCGACAGCGTTTGACGCCGTGCATCTGCTGCTGAGTTCACTGACAGCTGTACAAAAGGCCTCTGACATGTGCAGTATGATTCACCGACTCAGCGCTGATGTAACATCAGGAGCTGCTTCAAACCGCCCTCTCTTTACACACTTCCTCTCCTGAGAAAAAAAGACATGTTCATAGATTTCACTGTGGAATTACACAATACAAGTCATGAATGGAAATAATGAGTAAACACGATTATTCCTGACACTGCAGAGGCCCTGCCCTCAACTGTTCAAATAAAGTCGTTTCATGAGAATTGCGTGCTCTGAAAAAAGGAGGAATTCTTGTAACAAACACAGCAGTTTCAGGAGAGATAAAAGGCTGTGACATTTGTGTTTCTGCCTCAGCTGTACTGCCTGTCCTTGTACCTCACATATACGACACCGCTCTCAGCACAGCAACAGGTCAAACTTCAGATTAGCAGCTACAGAGCAAACAGCACAGAGCAAATACAGAGACAGAGAGCAGGGATTCCTGCGGAGAAATTCCTGGACTGTGACTCTCCTGGACACTGCCATCCAACACCTCTTTAGCGCAATGTATTCATAAAAACGTAGAGCGATTATTGTGCTTTTACTTCTACAGTATTTCTGCTAATCTTTACAATTAATCTTAACCAACAGTTTCCGTAAGTATTTTTGTTCTTTCAAAGCACTTCCTGACTTTATGAGGCGATGTCACCAAGAATAGAGATCACACACACGCCTCTTTTATGCAGTTAAAAGGGAAGCTAACCTGCAGCGCACGCACACACACAGATATCACTCTGTATGATCTGGAAACATGTTAAACTTTAAGCAGTTTGAATGACATTTAATTTGTGCCTCATAGTCCAGGTAAGTAAAAGCCTTTTCACTCAACTGTCCCCCTTACCTCAGCAGTTACACAACCGTGAAGTTAGGACAAAGCTTTCATCAAAGCTGATGATTTTTATTCGGTTGGTTAGAAATGCGTCACGTCCTGCCTCTCAAAGCATATGATCGTCTTTAGAAAGTCCCCTTTGTTTGAACCGTAAGATGTAAAACTACACTGAGAATTTCCAGAGTCCCTTTATCTTTGTTTCTTTTTCTCCTATTTAATGTTTCTTCTGTTTGAAAAAAAACAAATCTGTTGGTACATTTGGCTCCTTGTGTGACAAACTGATACTTTTAGACCTTGAGCAAAAGCCTGAACCTGACAATCACTTCTTTGAAACCGGAGATGTCATCATTTATTCACTGCCAGTGAGTCACACATGCATGTGCAGCGAGGAAACAGGCTGGGGCTCACTTCACTTCACAGTTTCGATCAAACTTGTCTCTTTTTTTTTCAAGCAATTCTTAACGCCTGGAACCCTCACTTCCTCATTTACATCAGAAAAGAGAGGCACGCATTTCCCCTCGAATGCAGCTGCTTTACTGAGAAGGTGTCACCTCTGTACTGATCTGGATATATATTTTTTTATTATTTCATCAGCATAGCAAAAGAAGAACAAAAATGAAACAGCAGAAACCATGAAACTATCAACAGAAAGCTGGTGTGTGAGTGAACCCGAAACAAACAGGTGGATGACATTGTTAGGTTAAAAAAAGAGAGAAAAGAAGAAGCACCTACACTGGAGCTGGAGGGGGGTTGGGTTTTTTTTAAACATTTGCTGGGGTCCAAAAGTCAGTCAATGTGCACAGCCAGCGAGCTGGTGACCCCGCCCCCCCCTTTTTCCCTCCCAAAGTGCAAACTCAGCAGTGGAGCATACCTTCAGCTGTAGCTGTCTTGATTTTTTTGGGCACCTGTAACCTCTTTTTAAGGCAGCTGAAACTACAAATACACAGAGTTATGGAAGCTCATAGAGAGGACAGAAAGGCAATAATAAGACTGGTGGTAACAGATCGAGACCCTGAACCAACAAAAAGTATTCAATCACAGTGTGAGTGGGTGTGAATATCCAGCGTCCACATAGTGTCTTTCAAATAAACCGCTGTGGCAGTTCTGGTGGATGTGATCACAGCACAGGAAAAAAAGCACTGACATGGTTCCTCAATCACTCTGGTACAATCAATTATGAAAACCGTTATTTTACCGAGGTCCTAACACATCCAGAACACACATTCTTACACAGTACAGAGGCAGTTTGAGCCACAAGATTGATATGCTGATGTAGGTGATGGTTTATCTGTTCTTTTCCATCCTTTGGATATGTAGCTGGTTCATGAAAATACTGAACGACACTTGAATCGAGTGTCCAAAAATCCCATCGGGGACATGATACAAAATAAGAGTAAGAAAGCTAAGAGAGTTGAACCACGTTAAGCTTATTGTATTTGAAAGAAGAACTGATTATACAGCCTGTGAACCAAAGTAAACTAGAAAAAAAAAGAAAACCAGAAGTAAAACAAGTCTTTTGTCTAAATGAAATCTGTGGTTATAGTGAAATCATCATTATCAAAAAAGGGAAATAAACAAAATATAACCGCAACTCTCTTTGTAATGCACTCAGCAGAGAGGTCAAGGTGTTAATTGCTTCAGATTGCATTTCGATCTCAGCTACTTTTGTGCCTCCAAATGTCCAGGCTGGTGACAGGAAACATCAATATTTGTAATTTGAGGTAAGCCAGGTGAGGCCCTCGAAGAGTCCATCCCCTGATGTCGCACACGAGGGTTGAACGTACCAATTCCTATCTCTGATGCGGGTCAGGCCCAGCTTCTCCTGGATCTCGTGGGGCTTCATGGCGTCTGTGAGGTCCTGTTTGTTAGCGAAGACGAGGATGATGGTGTCGTTCATCTCACGGTCGTTGATGATCCGGTGGAGCTCCTGCCTGGCCTCGTCAATCCTGTCCCTGTCGGCACAGTCCACCACGAAGATCAGGCCCTGGGTGCCCGTGTAGTAATGCCTCCAGAGCGGTCTGATCTTATCCTGGCCGCCTACATCCCACACGTTGAACTTCACATTCTTATAGGTGACTGTCTCTACGTTGAATCCAACTGTAGGGATGGTGGTGACTGACTGTCCCAGCTTCAGCTTGTACAGGATGGTCGTTTTTCCAGCAGCATCAAGTCCAAGCATCAGTATCCTCATCTCCTTGTTGCCAAAGATCTTTGACAGAATTTTCCCCATTTTGATTTTTGTGCATAAATACTTGATTAGAAGAAAAACAAAGCTTCTCTTGTGAGAGATTTAAAAAAGCAAATAAGGGAGGGAAGTCACAGTGAAAGCCCTCCACGTGACGGCAGCGGCGGATTCACGCAAGAGTCAATATTCAACAGACTTCAAGTTTGTACAGTTGGATAAGAAGCAGCTACACTTAACTGGAGCTCAGATGATGAGTGCTGACCTGAGTGGGTGAGCTTTCAGTGGGAGAAGTGTGTGTGGAGCCCTCCTCGAATTGGGTGGGGATTTATTCTCATGATGCTCTCTACTCTATGATGTAGGAAGAAAAACAAATATGTCCCCTTTTCAAACTTCTTTCAAAATCCACATTTCAGCTTTTTCCCCCTCTTCTTAGTCTTCAGTTTTTTTCTTCTGCAATAAAAATCAGGCCCTGTCTGAGCCCGGGGTTCCCACTTCCTCCTTGGCTGCCGGCAGTCCACACTTGCCCTTTGACAAATCCACTCGATGAATCTCTATGCGTAATCTTTTTCTTCTTTAAAATGCACCAAAATACGCGCCTCTCCTGTGCGTTTCTGCGCCGGGTCATCCAGAGGAATTGCGTCTCAAAAGGTCATTGATTCATCCGACTTTCTTCTCTTCCCCCCTGTGACACAAGAGCAGCCCAAAGAAGGGAGGGGTGTGAGAAACAAGACAACTTTACATCCGTGAAAAGACTGTGTGCGCACAGAAAAGCGAGCGTAAACAAAGGAGATGAAGCGCGGAGAACCTACCTCTGTCTGCGGCGATCATCCCCCTGTCCCCGGGCCGTTTCTCCCCGCTCTTACCGCTCTCTAGCTCTCTTCCTCCCTCTCTCCCTCTCTCTCTCTCCAGCCGTTCAGTCACAGCGGTGGCGGTGCTGTGTTACCGGAAAAGGTGCGGACCCAGATCAGCCGCCACTTCCTCTACACTCCTCTCACACACTAGTGCTGCGTTCAGGGGCTTCCCTTAAACTCCGAAATCTGTAGACGCAAACAAATTTTAGATCACTTTTTACCATTTTATTCCGTTTTTAACTCTATACATTTTTTAATATAACCTTTATGACGGTTTAAACCCTAGTTAATATCCCTACATTTTAAACAGGTGGTTGCATACAGCCTTTAAACAAGTTTATAATAACTTTCATACACAGCCGGCCAAAGCCTCAATGGGGCCCTAAGCAAAATCTGATTTTGGGGCCCTCTATTTCTGCCAATAATATTGATTGTTGATCATTCACACACCGTCACAGATCTCCTTGATTAGCATTCCATGACATGCGAACATACCTCTATCTTGGTGTTTTTTCTCTTCTTTCTCTTTCTTTTCTCTGCTCCTGAAGGGTATGTCCTTTTTTGCGACATTGTTTTGCCCCACAACTACCTGCGCTTTGGATGCTCAGTGCACATTGCACAGCAGAAGGCACATAACGGTAGCGTAGCTTTGACATATCGGCAGTAAGAATCATAGGCCTACATTAGTAGCAGCACTGAAATGTTTTTCTTTATTTTATTTTTACAATAATATATATTTGATCATACAGAAAGCATCACTCATACATGCCAAAAATAGAAAAATGTGGTAAATTTTGTTCTTTTGGTCGCTCTTGGGGGCCCCCTTGCTTGACCATGGGGCCCCAAGCAGGCGCTTAGTTCACTTATGACTTTCATATCGATGTATCATTATAGATTAGGGTCGACTTACGTCCCTTCTCTATGCAGATGATGGGAAAGCAGGATAGCTGATGTCTGTTATGGCTATATGGCGAAATCACATTGTCTTTTTCTGCAAAAAAATAAAACACCTTGCCGATGTATTTTTGGATTTCTGTACAGCTAAAATCACATTTTAAAAAAATTTCTATGCATATTAAAACCCAGTATGCATGTTTATCTTAGGTATTGACATGTTCTAGATGTACTTAATATAACTTATGAAAACTACATTTTCATCTGTTCATTTAAAGTACATTAGGTGAGGAGATTGGTCCCAGAATGTGGCTGACATTTCTGTAAAAAAGGATATTAAACTGCATTATTCTATATACCATAACTGTGTCTCTATTAAACATCAGCTAGAAACTGTTTTAGATTAGAATATGGAGCCTCGATGATGGTAAATTGTGGTTTTATAAAAAAAACAAAAAACAAACAAACAAAAACAGTCATATTCTAGGCATATGCGATGTCTATTTGCTGGTTTTGATCAATTCCAAGCTAAAAGCATCTATAAATATTTTTTAAAGCTTCTTTAATTGTGATAGAAATAAAGAGTAATTTTGTTTAAGTTTTATTATTTTCACGAATTATTAAAACTTAGATTTAAAATGCGACATCACAAACTCCCCATCTCTATCTGTAAATAGACAATTAGCTGTTTTTTCATAGCCAGTCAGAGCTGATCTTTCAAGGCACTCAGTTTTAGGTGAATTTGTGTTATACTGACCAGTCTGGTTTGAAGATTTAGGCCTGTTGCGCCTCAGAACTCATCAGGAAGTATTCGGTGTGTCTTGGTTTACTTTCATCCTCAGGAGTGGACTTAAAAAGGGGCCAAAACATCAGTTAAATAACATTAATTTGAGGTTAAAAATAAGCATCTGCATGATACTGAGTTGAATGCACCAACACTAATCAGATATACGTGTCCCTTTGACTGCAAACGATAATTCTATTGACAAAGAATGGGCCAATGGGTTTTTTAGTACGATTAAATTCGAATTAACATTCGCTGACTAAAACAAAGTCATTAAATTAAAAAAAAGAGGAAGAAGAAATACTGTCAGTACTCAAGACCAGCCACTGAGGGCATTGCTATCAAACGCTTTAAATTCCCGAGTGTACACAAACGCATCATACGCCATTTCGCATGCGCGCTTATAAAAAAACTGAACTGCAGACCGGCCCATTAGCTCATGTTGACGCCATTTGAGCTTTAGGTATGTATTTAATTGTACCTGATATTTAACTTACCCTACCAGTTACATAAAGCTCTTTCTATATAACATGGGTCTAATAAAATTGGATGATTGTTGATCTCTGGAGAGGGTTTCTATCCGGGTTTTTACTACATGTCAAATAATTCATTCAAAACGGCTCCGTGTAATCAGTCTGTGACGTGGAGGCAGTGAGTGGGTAGGGCATGAGAGACCACAGCTTCACATTACTGCAGAGTTTCCGTGAAAAGCGAGATAAACGCGAAAATATGCCCTTAGCCTTTACAAAAGGAGAACTGAATCAGACTACATGGTTGGCTGTGGACCGATCATGGATGGATCAAAGTTTACAATCCAATTTAGTTTTCTTTTTTGGCAGAGGAGGATATGCAGGTTGATATGTGGACAATTTATATTAACACAAAATTTATATTAACACGAAAGCGTATGTTTCAGTCAACACTGCAAGGCAGAGGGGGCATGCAAACAGATAAATCCTCTATGAGTTAATATGTCGCCCATTATCACTCTGGCCAGCCTTATCATGGGAAAACACTCATGAAAAAAAAAAAAAAAAAACTGAGATAAATTTATGAGTCTCATTACCCCCCCCCCCCCCCATCAAGAGGTGGGCCTCTATTTCCTGTACATTTCAGTGTTTAACTATACTAAATAGGTTTTGTTAAACTTTTTGGTGTTCAAAATACTGGTAAGACCTTGAACGCACCAAAACCTGTCAACTTCTCACTTTTTGGAGCATATATTAAAGGAAAAATGGTTTAACTCACAAACACCCTAGACAAGAGAACATTAATATCCCTACCTTGTGAATGCATACGTTATTATTTGAACTTTCATGTCAGAAAAAAATGTATAAACAGTGTATGAATATAATACTTAAAGCTTGGAGGTAGTGTCGTTCGCAAATGATTTTTTCAAAAGAACCGAATCTTTTAAGTGAACTTACTGAACCGAATCACTTCCTCGAGTGATTCCTTCATTTTTCACTTCAGTTGAGCTGAAATGAGAAACAGCATTGCCAGGCCAGCAGCCAATGAATGAGGGACGACATGCACCAACGCCTGAATCACTTGGTAAACGAATCATGCATTGAACTACACTCTCTGGAATCACTTTTTTCCCCCGAACAAAACCTCCTGTTTTTCACTGCTAAATTGCCACCACAACAACTTGCATTCAATAGTACACAGTATGTCAAAAGTAGTGCATTAAACCCGGCATCGTATCATTGCAGCAGTTTGTGAGGGAACGGTGCATGTTCAGTGTGAATTCTTCAAAACGTTCAGTGAACGAATCACTCACTGACCCCAATTTAACGTGCAGACCTGATAAATAGCAAACCATAGGACAGTACACTTAAAACATTATGACTTATAAACAAGTTCATTTTTACAAACCTGTTTGCCAACACAGCAACACAGTCAAACACTCGTGTCTCCCAGTCCCAGAAGCTATGAATTGAACTAAATCCTGAACTGTTCAGCTGTGTATCAGTTCAGGAGGTCAGAGTCACAGGATTCTCCCTCCAAGTGCTTAATGATTTGGTGATTTAGTGAACGAATCTTTTTAGTGAATTGATTCTAGTGATTCAGTACATCTGAAAGAACTGCCGTGCCCATCACTACTCTGGCAACACAATGAATAAGCGCGCGCTCATGCAGCGGGCGGTGCGCTGAGCATGCGCAGTCAATGTTGGAATTCTTCCCCCGAGATCCCGTTTAAGAATGGTGGGCGAAGCGCGCCTGCTCGTTGTAGGTTAGACCGTGTGACTTTGAAAGCTGCACAAGAGTCCGAAAAATCGACCCTAATTTCATGGAAAATACTGGTAAGGGCATGTAACTTGATTATAAACAGTATTATGGTCAGATATCGCTTCAGTTTTGTCAATGGCACCTTGTATAGGCCGACATTAGCCGGCCAGCTAACGTGGGTAAGCTCATGGTACCGACTATTACCCGGAGATAGAGGCAAACGCTTTGCACCTTGTGGTTGTTCTGGTTAATACAGAGTAAATTGATTCAAATTTGGTTGATAATACTTGTATTGACACTGTTGTGCAAATCAAGTGAGTAACTGTTGGTAATCCAAAAAATGCTCGTAAACTTCGTTATCAGTTATACCCGAACGAGCGCAAGCATGAGGCTAACCTGAAGCTCTGCTCGCGTTAGCGCCGTGTGGTTTTCCAGTAAATAGACAGGACTCAAGGCCCAACTTCTGATTGAACTTTGACTATGCAAACAACCCTTCCTTGTGTAACATGGCGACAAACTACAAACAAGGTTAAAAGCGCATTATTTTCGAAGCCCGAATTGTTTTCTTGATTGCCATTGGGAGTTTTTATCGTTTGTGTAAGAAACGAATCACGTGGTTATATTATTTTTAGCAATTACAGCAGACGTTTAGGCTAAAGCTGGCGTCGATTTAATGTTTGGACAAGGAAGTGGGTGAGTGAGCTTAGCACCAGCTGCTGCTCCTCCTGGCTCGGCCTGTTTAGGAGAATAGCTGCTTACTTTAAAGGTTACGTTGTAAAATGTCGGTGAACTTTAATGCAACTTCTGCCGATATGTATGTTGCATTCGGATAATTAACCTGTCACCTTGTGTAACGAACCTGACTAAATGAGTTCTGGAAATTTCTAATGATCTTAGTTTGTTGTAACTTCATGATAACTATTCATTTTTGCTCATTATAAGTTTTCAATTGCAGGGAATTGGACATCTAACCTCTATAATTAAAGAAACATAAGCTTTTTCAATGTTAGGATTTAATGTGAAGTAGGCCTGGGCGATTTAGCAAAAAAAAATTATAACGATATATTTCGTCATAACGTCCGATCTCGATTATTATCACGATTTTTTTTAGAAACTGCCTGTTTTTAAGCAACTGTACTAAAAACAAAAGCAACTAGAGATTAGTTTGACATTTTATTAACATACAAAGTAAATAATAAAGCAAATTGAATAAGATACACTTCTTAAAATGTAAAAAACATTTTAACTCAACAGTAAAACAAATGTAGATAAATACTAGATAATACAGTGAACTAGTTAACAGTCCTGAGTGTTTTTGCAGGTATGCAAGACCAAAAATAAACAAATCGCCCCCCCAGAGATAATGACGACACCTTAAAATGTCAACATTAGATGATGTAAACATAGATGATACGATTAATCGCTGCCTAGGTCTGGTGGCTACACTACTAGTTGTAGCTAAACTGCTAATGCTACTTGTGCTGTCAGCAGTGACAGACTGTGCAGACTCCGCTCACATTTTCATGCTTTCCGCATAATCATTGGGGAGGTACTTCTTCAACTGATTAAACAGATTTGTTGTGCAGCCAGTTTTTGAAGGGGAACCGATTGCCAACATACCTTGCACATTGGCTTAATTGCTCAGCGTCACTTTGTAAATACCAGAACCACCGCCACACAACCGATGTAGATTAACTTATCAACAATAACATCTTTAGAGGATGACTCAAAGTCATGGATGACATCTATTTTATTGCCCTCAGCTCCATGTTCAGTCATTCTGTTAACTTCTCCTGTTTACTTCTTACAGAAGTGAGCAGGAAAAGCTGGACTCTGATTGGCTGTTGTGGTGGTTTTATCATTGATGGAGGTGTTTGCCTAAAGACAGCTAGAATTTTCTGGATTCTAGATCGGTCCATTTTGGTAGCTCTGGTGATAATCCAACCTCTTTTTCAACAGACCCACAATTCTCAGAGGACACAATAACTGGAATGCTGGACACTGAATCCCCTGTCATGGAGAGCAATGGGGATGCCTTTCTTCCTGACCTGCCTGTCCTTGGCCAAACTGCGGACTGGTCTTTGGACCAAGTAGCTCCTGAGCCACTTACCAGCATCTTGCCTGAAGACTCGGATGCATCTCAAGATGCTCCTGAGCAACAGCAGCTACCAGACCAGGAGGTCATTCCCACAGGGCTGGGTGCTGTTGAGAAAGCTGTTGAGCAGTTTCAACTCGCCAGTGCTCAGCTCTTCCAAGAGGAGCAGCCACCACCACCTCCACCTCCTCCTCCGCCACAGCCCACAGAGGAGCCAGCACAGCCACCAGAACACAACATAGAGACTGGGGAGGCTCAGCTAGGTGGCAGTGAGATGCAAACAGAGCCAGAAGCTGAAGCACAAATCGTTGCTCAAGGTAGTTTGCCATGTTTCCTACATGTTTTGGTGAAAAAAACAATCAGATTTGATTGTAACTTTAGGCAATGTTTGATTGTGTTTTTTCTTTAATTTTTCCAGATGGGACGGAGACACCACAAGTGACGGAGGATGGTATGGAGCTGGAAGAACCATCCAAAGATACAGCAGAGGAAGCCACGGTTCCCACGGAGCCAGAGCTGCCCAGTGAGTTTGAAAAGCTTTTTAAAGGGTGTCAGGACAACCCAGAAGACTTCAACGGCTGGGTCTACCTGCTGCAGCAAGTAGAGCAAGAGGTAAGATGACACAGACATGTATTGTATTCTGTACAATACCAGTTTGCAGCATTCTTCATTGTAGAACTGAGAATGACAAAAAACTTGTGTAAGCAGAAAAATAGAGCCAAACTCTTGTTGTTCCTTCTCCCTTGCAGAATATCCTTGCAGCTGTGAGAAAAGCATTTGATGTATTCTTCCTGCGTTACCCCTACTGCTACGGCTACTGGAAGAAATACGCAGACATTGAGAAAAAGCATGGACATATACAGGTCGCTGAGGAGGTGAGTGTTTAGATTTTTGTATTGTCGTATTTCTACTCTGTCAAAGGTATTTGGTTACCTAATCAAGCTCACTGCTCTTGGAGTGTCTCTTTAGCATAACCTGTTTTTATATCACTGCACTGAGTCAAATGCAGTAGACATTCGGGCAGAGGGACAAAGAGAGAGCATGTGTGTATGTAAAATGTTTGAGTTACTGCAGATCTTGTAAAGGATTCTCTGTGCTGTGGTTTGCGCCCAGGTGTACAGAAGAGGCTTGCAGGCCATCCCTCTCAGCGTGGACCTGTGGCTGCACTACCTCACCTTCATCAAAGAGAACTCAGACCCTGCTGACCCAGAAACTGAAGGACGCATTCGAGCGTGAGTAAAAAACTTGACCTTTTCAGTGCTTCAGCTCTCTGCTTATTAACTTCTGTGACAGTAGAAACTGTCCACTCTCCACTTTCATTGTTCCTATTTCTGTGTATCATTTCCAATTCATTTCAGTTTTAAAACGACAAATAGCAGCACTAGATTAACAGTCTGTCTTCTCATTTCTGTCCCCATTAGTGCCTACGAACACGCAGTGCTCGCAGCAGGCACAGACTTTCGTTCAGACCGTCTGTGGGAGGCTTTCATCAACTGGGAGACGGAGCAGGACAAGCTGGCAAACGTCACTGCCATCTATGACCGTATCTTGGGCATCCCAACACAGCTTTATTCTCAGCACTTCCAGAGGTGACTGGAAAAGCAGAACTAATCTCCAGATTTTCATCTGCTTCTTAGCTATTCTCCTGTGAATCTGCTTCTCTGTGGTTAGAATGTTAAAATATGAAATATTGATATTCATCTCTCTCTTTTAAAGCCTCGCTTTGAGAAGCTATTTTAGCTCCTAAAGCCGTATTCAGGGACTTCTATGTGTATTGCAGTAACAAATTCCTGGAATGGAGTAATGCAGTCTGTTTTATTCTCAACAGGTTCAAAGATCATGTGCAGAGCAACAACCCCAAACACTTCCTATCAGAAGAGGAGTTCGTTCAGCTGAGGGTTGAGCTCTCTAAAAGCAGCCTGACACCGATGGTCAGTGAAGCTGAAGAGACACCTATCCCTCAGGAGGATCTCCCACCTGGTACAGAGGATCTTGCAGACCCTGCAAAGGTAAAAATTAAATTGTCATTCTTGTGTAGTGAAGAAATGTACATAACAGCTGCTAGCAGAGGTTTGCTGGAGTCACCATGATGAGATCAAAAGAAAGCTTTGCTCAGGTTTGAAGAGGTTTCTTTATGTCGGCAGCCTAGCCACTCAGTGCCGGGTGGGATTCAAGTTGGCGTCCAGTCAGGGACTCTCCCTGAAACAAGCCTGGCTCATTGTCCCCAGCACCCAGAGGCTGACTTGCAGGGTGTATTCATACCTCCCCCCTCTGCAGGCTAATGGTGTGTGCAGAGCTCATGGTGATGTAAATCTTTGGCTGCAGGACTCGCAAGATTTTTTTTCTTGTACGTCGAGTAGAGTAGGTAATGAGATGATGCATCTGTGAAGGTTTTCACCATGTGGTTTTCTCTGTGTGTGTCTTCATGTAGAGGGTGACAGAGATTGAGAATATGCGTCACAAAGTGATCGAGGTGCGACAAGAGGTGTTCAACCACAACGAACATGAAGTCAGCAAGCGCTGGACGTTTGAAGAAGGGGTATGTGTTGGCTTTTGTCCTGTAACACATATTTTGAAGTATGCCTTTTGATTTTCTTATCCTCTGACTCTGAACAAATATCTGTCTTCCTTCAGATCAAGAGGCCGTACTTCCATGTCAAAGCCTTAGAGAAGACCCAGCTCAACAACTGGAAGGAGTACCTGGACTTTGAAATTGAAAACGGGACCCCAGAACGCGTGGTCGTGCTTTTCGAACGCTGCCTCATCGCCTGCGCACTCTACGAGGAGTTCTGGATCAAGGTAGCGCAACCTTTGACCTCTCTCTCACTCCTGCTACCTCCCTGCACTTCCCCAGCAACGATGATAATCACAACGACACAGTAAATCGTCCTGCACTCTCTTTGCGTGTAACGTTGATATGTGACTGTATCTGTTGTATTAGGGGATGGCCAGCTTGCCACACAAGATTTGACTGCAGCATTTGCCAACTACTACGTTGCATCTTCTTCGTCTCCCACTACCTTACAGAAACTTATCTAATTGGTTCCATGAAGGTGCTGATGGGTTTACACAGAAAATTTCTAAAAACGATCTTGTCAATGAAGAAATTCACTGTTTCTGTCAACTGAAATTTTAGGTTTAAAATGTCTTGTCTCTTTTGCCTTTCTCTCTTTCTCCTCTGTTCTTTTTTTTCTCTGTCCTCTCCTGCATTCCTTCCAACTCGCTTTCTCTTTTTCACTCTGAAGTATGCAAAATATCTAGAGGGCTACAGCACTGACGGCGTGAGACATGTCTACAAGAAAGCGTGCACCATCCATCTGGCCAAGAAACCATCCACCCACCTGCTGTGGGCCGCCTTCGAGGAGCAGCAAGGTGGGTGATGGTCAAACCCCTACAGGCGTCGCTACATGTGTGTTTTCTGATAAATAAAATGAAATCTTAAAAACTTGTCTTTTCTTTTCAGGTAATGTGGATGAAGCTCGCGACATCCTGAAGTCCCTGGAAGCGTCAGTCCCCGGTCTGGCCATGGTGCGCCTTCGGAGGGTCAGCCTCGAGCGTCGCCACGGAAACATGGAGGAAGCAGAGGCCCTGCTGCGGGAGGCGATGGAGTCGGCGAAGAATCCTACTGAGAGCTCGTTCTACGCCGTGAAGCTGGCCCGGCAGCACATGAAGGTGCAGAGAAGTCTGAGCAAGGCCAGGAAGGTCCTGCTCGAGGCCATTGAAAAAGACCAGGTGAGAGCTGATTGAGGGGACTCCATGTAGGTATCCTTGTGCATTTTCACTCATTTACACGCTTCATGAGTGACAGATCTCTTGTGGGGGTAAGTACAAAGCTGCACAGTGTTGAAGGAGCAAACTCTCTCAATACCTCTCAGCTACCTGCTGAACTGTTTCAACTGCGTCACATTCAAGGGTTTGTGTTCCCCACCACATTCAAGGGTTTTTGTGTTTCTTGGCTTCTTTCTGTGTAGCTTGGAATAATCAAACTTTTAATTTTTCAGTGTTTTTAGACTTTTAATTTGAAAGAGGTTACTGAGGACCTTCTTCTTGTAGGATTCTGCCGACGATTCTGCTGAGATTCCGGAGAAACTGGAGCCCACATTGTTTTCCAAATGAGGACCCACCTCTTCTTATCATGTCTGTACTGCATTTGTGATAAAATAGGCAACTTTTCTGTCTTTTACAGACGAGTTCCAGGCTGTATCTGAACTTGCTGGAGCTGGAGTACAGCGGAGACGTGACACAGAACGAGGCGGAGATCTTGGCTTGTTTCGACCGGGCGCTGCAGAGCCCAATGCCTCTAGAATCCCGCTTCCTCTTCAGTCAGCGCAAAGTTGAATTCCTCGAGGACTTTGGCAGTAACATCAATGTGTAAGTTTTGTTATGTGTAGAGCAGTTTGGATACAAATGACAGTTATATTTGTTTTGAGGTTAATCACTTCTTTGCATTTTCCAGGCTTGTTGCTGCATATGAGGAGCATCAGAAACTACAGAAAGAAAGTGAACCGAGCAAGAGGAAGGCGGAGAACGGCTATGACAGGTGAATAACAGGACTGGGTATCATTTCTACAAGTCTTTTTAAACACTACCTCATCCTCTTTTATTAACTTGACATTTTTGATGTAAAGCTCCCAGGAACCGGACGCCAAAAGGCAGCGTGTGGATGACAGCGCCACGAGTGCAGCAAACGCAGCGGCGGATACGCAAGCAAACAACTCTGCTTACAACTACAACTGGTACCAGGTGGGTTTTTCAATCTGAGCTAATGAGCTAGCGGTATTTTTTGTTTTATGTTACAAATTCAGGCACATGTAACCACTCTAAAAACTGTATTTTTTTTTGTTTTTTTCTTAGCAACAGTACGGCGGCTGGGGACAAAACTCCTGGGGGCAGTACAACCAATATGGCCAGTATAACCAGTACTACCCACCTCCTCCAACATAATGGACAAAATCCTGACATGAAGAGCGGAGATCCCAAGAATAGCATCCTTTCTGACCTGCCTACATCTCTGAACACGGCTGCTTAGCTGGCTGAGAATTTGATCCCACCGTAGAAACTGACTCTTTCCGCCTTTGTGGTGCAACGTGTGCTAATCAGTTAATTACACCTAAAATTTGGCAGATAAAACATTTGGCCCTTGATGGCAGTCATGTTGATTTGCCATGATTTTGAAAAATGCTCATCAATCATCTCCAACACTGGCTGCTTTTTTGGGATTGTTTAATGCATGTTAACTGTGAAGGCAGATTTGTTTCCTCCCCCCTGTGTGACAAAGGTTTTTTATCTTTTTAGATTGGATGACTTAGTTTGATCTCTTTCTTTGTGTTCAAGATTTAAACTTGTTCAGGAGGCATTCATAGATGAACCTCTGAGTTGTGTGTTTCTCTTTCCCAAACTGAAAGATTTTTAATATTTCATGGTTATGTTTCCAGACAGAAAATGAAGAGTTCCTCCTTTTTTATTTTGACTTGATTTCATAATAAAGAGATTGATATCCTGAATTTTTCTGTGTGTTTTTCATACATTTGAATCCTGTTTCTTTGTAAGATTGCTATAACCATCCATGAAGGGACATTTAAGATAAAATGTATTTGTACCTTTAAGTTTTCACCAAAAAACACTACAAAGATAATGAAACTTTTCATGATAATGAAAACTGTTCAGGTAGACTTTAGGACTATAATTAGCCTTAATTATTGATAAGTTCGTGATTAAACCAGCAGTATAAATCATGAAGCTGTCAACATCACTGCATCACGTAGCAAAGTACAGTGGGCGTGGCCAACGCTGCCTGATGGGGCTACGTAAATCCGCACATGCGCAGTATCGCCCCTCAGAAGGTCCTTTTTATGCCTAGCGTTGAACGACTAGCATCAAACGAGGTAAGGCCTGGACAATTTGTGAGAAAAACCTTATTTATATAAAACCAAGAGATGTCTGAGTCAGCGAATATGCAGTACTTTTAGTCTTTTATCATATGTGACCACTAATTTTCAGCTAGGATGTCAATTATCATGCATTTTAAGCGACTTTATGTAGCGCGTGCCCCATGTGGCTAGCTAAGCTAGCATCCTCGCTAGCATGTACATAGACATGTCTGGGCTAATTCCCAGCATGCTGATTTGCGCCTTTTCTCTTCGTTTTTCTAGCAAATTGGTTATGATGGGTGAATTTATTGCATATATGCTTCAGTTGTGTGAAACTCTTTATTAGTGTACTATGATACAGGACAGGTTACCACTGTTTGCCGTCTTAAAAGAAACTAACGCCACTAGTTGATTTCCGCAGTAGTACTGATGGTCATGACTGTTTGACTTTTTCCTTCCAGCGACAAGATGCAGCTCTTCCTGCGTGCCCAGAACACTCACACCCTTGAGGTGTCCGGACAGGAGACCGTTGGACAGATCAAGGTATGAATTTATAAGCTGTTGACCGTCTGAGACATTTCATCTTAGAGTAGTTATCCTTTAACCTGTAGAACTCCCAGCTATAGTTCGCTATTTTAGGTCTGTTGTTTGTAGCAACTCTATATACACATCTTTTTTTCAGGACAACCTCAGCTGTCAGTTTATGGTGCAAAAATGATGTTAAATGAACGTGACAGTAGATTCAGAACCATCCAAGTCAACCAAAAAACAAAAATGGAAATTGATACTAATAGTTTTTTGCACAAAGCACATAAATCTACAGTGACCAAGCCTTTTCTCACCTGCACATCATTCTCTTAAGTCTTGGCTATCAGGAGAAGAAATATTGGGATTAGAACAAACACAACAGAAACTATTGACATATTTACACTAATTCTTCCAGGCATTTTTTCTGCTATTTACAGATGTTTATGCCACTCCTTGAAGCAGTTCCTGTCTGGAATGAGACACAGGGCCACATCATTATGCTCATAATCTCTCCTTTGCTTGTTTCCAAACATTGAGGACCATTATTTCTTATTTTGCAGACAAGCAGGGAACTTTCTTTCTCTTGTTGATCTTTGGTTGCCTCTTATTGGACATTACCGTCGAGGGAACAATAGAAGAAGAATATGAGATCATGAAATTGGACAAAAGTTTGACAGAAAAAGACGTCATCGAAACAGCTTGTCAAGCCCAGAAGACATTAGTGGCATTTAGTGATGTGATAAGTAATCATGTTTACATCGGTATATCACTGCGGATTTTCCGTCAAACGTCTCTGATCAAACGCCTATTTTTGGGGCTGGATCGTAAACCTTGTGGTAGGTGTAGAAATGCCTGAAAACCCTCGACAGATCACCACAAGGGTACACTTTTGAAAACTTTTTATCCCATAGAGATACACAGTATAGTTTCCGAGAAACTGTAAACAATATTAATGGTGTCACGTGGGATTGCCGGCGATCCAGCGGAGTTCTAAGCATTAAAGAAGCATTACAGCCACTTGTATCGCTTTCGCCCCTGCAACACATGTCTTCTGTGTCTCTTAGGCCCATGTCCAGGATCTGGAGGGTCTCCTGGTTGAGGATCAGGTGCTGTTGCTTGCTGGTTGCCCACTGGAAGATGAAGTCTCCCTGGCATCCTGTGGTGTCACAGAGCACTGCACCCTGGAGGTAGCTGGCAGGCTGCTTGGAGGTCAGTATACAGAGCAACACAGAATTATTTTCTCCTTCTTAGCACCATTCTTCTTTTTAGCACCTGGTTACTACAGCCAACAAACCACCTCCTTTAATGTATTTCGAGCTATTGTGCTAATGAGCATGATGTCCTCCATGTCAGTGTTTGAAACATTTAAAGGATCCTTAATTTGTCTAGAAATTTTCCCTTTTAACATTTTCTTTTTCACCTCCCCAGGTAAAGTTCACGGCTCTCTGGCTCGTGCCGGCAAAGTCAGGGGACAGACCCCTAAGGTAAGAAGATGTCATACTTATGTCGGTTACCTTGAGATCTGTATGATAAGTACTACTAAAGTAATGAATGACCAAAATTAATGGGTGCCCATCCTTGTCTGTTTTTTCCAGGTTGACAAGCAGGAGAAGAAGAAGAAGAAGACCGGCCGTGCTAAGCGTCGCATCCAGTACAACAGGCGCTTTGTGAACGTTGTTCCCACCTTCGGAAAGAAGAAGGGACCCAACGCCAACTCCTAAAGTGCTTTTCTGCCGTATAAAGGAGAAACCCGGTCACCCCTCATCAGTTTTTACCAAGTTCAATGTTATCTTTCTGTACAGAATAAACAATTTGGCTTGGACAAAAAAGGAGTGTTTCTTAAGGACTGGTTGCTTTTCAGAGGCTTTATAATGAAACAGGTTTTCACAAAGGGGCCACTGAGGAGCGCTATTTTATTACTTCCTCTGAATCTTTAATCTATGGTTTCTTGAACTTGCATGATTTTACCCAGCTCGCCCTTTATGGTGTATGTTATGGTGTTTTAAAAAAATACATGACTTGATAACCAGTTTTAAAGTGTTAAGATGTCATCTCTTGAATTCAGTCATTGGAGAGAAGTTCTGTTCATGCTAGTTTTACTAAATTATCTGTTCTAACAACAGATTACTGAACTAGTGTCATAGTCAAGATGACAGTTAAACGCCAAGAATATTATTTGGTGGTTGCACCATGAGGAAGGTTTTAAGGTCTCACTCAGTAGCACTGAACATTCCCTTTGTTGCATTCTTATCAATTTCATGCACCATTTTCCTTCTTGCACTATTTTGTAATGATCCAATATTACGGTACATCCTCTGTTGTTTTTAACAATCTCATAAGTAATAATTGCATGAAAGTGTGTTAACTTTGAGTAGTGTTTCTCCCCTAGAGTTCCTCTGCAGAACCGAAGCCATGTCTTTAGATGTAGTTTTGTCAATGCACAAACGGCAAACAAAATGAACGATTTGTTTGACACTTCTTGATGCAGTAAACGGGGTGATTTTATTTTGCCATATAATAGGATCTTTATGTTGGTTTAATGAGAGGTTTGTTAAAAGTTTGATGACAGGCACACAGGTTCACATTACCATGGTTACTTGCATGTACCTGCCAGTTATGCAGGGATAAGAGGAGAGAAAGCTGCAGCATGCATCCTTATACTGTTAGATAATGCTAATTTTTTAAGTAATCTACCAACCACTGTTAAGATCACTAACATCTCGTCTTATGTAAGGTTATACTACTTTTCATTAGTTGCTAGTGTCAAGACCATGATTGATTTCAAGTCCTACAACACTGCACAAAACAGAAGCTAATAGACTGACCAATATGAAGTGCAAAAACTTATAATCTGACGTAGTTGAAATATGTCTCCATTTCATTGATAAGCAGAAGGTGAGAAACCACTCATTTTTAAGTCTCTGAAACAGGTTTATTTCTCATTTACATTGTACATGCAAAAGAACAAACAAAAAGACAGAGAATAAGGTTTCAGAGTGTCTCATATTTACATTATTGACAAGCCAAAACCAAGAATGCTGTAATAGCTGTCTGTTCCTCGCAACAAGATGAGACAAAATAGAAACAGGACGGCTCAGTCCAAATACCGTTTTAACCAGAAACTTAACAAAACAAGTCAGAATTATATCCCCCTCCATCCCTGAAAAGTAGTGCATGCTGGCCAAAACCCATCAGCTAATCCACGGACACCAGCTCAACCTCGAAAATCAGCTTTGCGTTTGGTGGGATTCTGGTAGTTCTGGAGTTAAGGAGCAAATGACAGAGGACGCTTCAGTAATATAGTCAGTACAGGACAGTCAGAAGACCCCAGGTGTTAAAATTTATCATATTTGTTAAAATATATAAATAACAGATTTGTAGATTAGATAAAACTGAACTTTGTTGCTCTTTTTGGGAAGGTTCCTCCAAGGAAATTAAAAAATGTAGATGTTGATCATTAATTTTCACACACCAACAGATGTAGTCGGTGGGTGAAAACTGAACATAAGACCATAATTAAAAATCATCTGTTGCTAAGCAACCTAAACATTTTCCAGCACAATTCTCAGTGAATGAGTACAGCTCCAGCAGCCAAGCGACTTTCTGTAATCCAGATTTATCTGTATGTTACCAAATAATGAAATAAGAGTCCTACAAAATACTTCAGCAGCCTGATTAATCCTGAGGTACCAGTTTAATCAATCCAGACAAATCCCCTGTTGTAGTCATGAAATCCTTCCTGACCAATCAGGCGTCTTAGTCAGGACTGTTTAATAACATACACACAGTGAAAATCAGCCAAGGAAAAGGATACTTGGAGTCAGGGAGACCCTTTCTACCGTAGGCCCACTCAGGTTCAATCTCCACTCGAGCTGTTTCACCCTTACTCATTGTAAGAAGGGCCTCATCCCACTGTGAAGGAAGAGAAATACAGATGATACTGAGTAGAGGGATGTTCTGTCGGATAGTGATTGAAATGTATACACAGAGTGAACAAAGAGCAGAATCACTCACTCCTCGGATGACTCTGCCCAGGCCAACTTTGAAGGAAAGGGGTTTGGTTTGCTTCTTCTTTCTTGCCGCTGCAGGAACAAGAAAGTTGGTTATAAATCAATCCCTAGCAGAGCAACAGTGTCTAACTCGGTGCAACTGTGTGTTTGAACCTAACTTAATTTTACACCGGAAATCTCTGTAAGTGCTATTTATGTAAAATATTTTTTAAAAATTTAGGATAAAAAAAACTGTAATCACTCAGAAAAGATGATGGAATTTAACAGTTACACTCTTGACTGCTATTATGATTTCCTCTGCATCAATATCCATGCTGCTTTCTTAGATTAAACTCTGCAAAATATAAGAGGTGGAGTTTCACTAGTGGTGGAGGTGTAACGTCTGACATACTTGTGGGGATATTGGTGTCAAAGACAGTTCCGTCCTCCAGTGAGCCAGTGTACCAGCAGCCCACAGTGTCTCCTTTCTTTGGGAAGTTTTCTTTGTCACCTTTCTTCAGGACTGACTTGAAGAACTTGGGTGGACCCTGAAGAAAAAAACACAGGAGGAGCTCATGATAGAGTCTGTATTTTTAAGGCAATTATTGAAATAGCTAATAGTTAAGTATGATAAAAAAAAACATCATAGTATAGTATGTCAAAAATGTCATGGTATAGTATGGTAAAAAACGTCATAGTATAGTATGTCAAAAATGTCATAATATAGTATGGTAAAAACATCATAGTATAGTATGTTAAAAATGTCATAGTATAGTATGATAAAAACGTCATAGCAAAAAATGTTAAAAAATGTCATAGTATAGTATGATGAAAAATGTCATAGTTAAGTATGATAAAAAAACATCATAGTATAGTATGTCATAAATGTCATAGTATAGTATGATTAAAAATGTCATAGTAAAGTATGTCAAAAATGTCCTAGCATAAAATGTTAAAAAATGTCATAGTATAGTATGTTAAAAATGTCATAGTATAGTATGATAAAAAATGTCACAGTTTAGTATGATAAAAAAAAACATCATAGTATAGTATGTCAAAAATGTCATAGTATGGTATGGTAAAAAATGTCATAGTAAAGTATGATTAAAAACATCATAGTATAGTATGTCAAAAATATCATAATATAGTATGTTAAAAACATCACAGTATAGTATGTTAAAAATGTCATAGTATAGTATGTTAAAAACATCATAGTATAGTGTGTCAAAAATGTCATAGTATAGTATGTTAAAAACATAGTATAGTATGTCAAAAATGTCATAGTATGGTATGGTAAAAAATGTCATAGTATAGTTTGTTAAAAATGTCATAGTATAGTATGTTAAAAACATTATAGTATAATATGTCAAAAATGTCTTAGTATGGTATGTTAAAAACATCATAGTATAATATGTCAAAAATGTCATAGTATAGTATGTTAAAAATGTCATAGTATAGTATGTTAAACATGTCATAGGATGGTATGTTAAAAACATCATAGTATAGTATGTCAAAAATGTCATAGTATGGTATGATAAAAAATGTCATAGTATAGTATGTTAAAAATGTCATAGTATTGTATGTTAAAAACATCATAGTATATTATGTCAAAAATGTCATAGTATAGTATGTTAAAAATGTCAGTTTAGTATGATAAAAAATGTCATAGTTTAGTATGATAAAAAAAACATCATAGTATAGTATGGCAAAACTGTCATGGTATAGTATGATTAAAAACATCATAGTATAGTACGTCAAAAATGTCATAATATAGTATGTTAAAAACATCATAGTATAGTATGTAAAAAATGTCATAGTATAGTATGTTAAAAACATCATTGTATAGTATGTCAAAAATGTCATTGTATAGTATGTTAAAAACATCATAGTATAGTATGTCAAAAATGTCATAGTATGGTATGATAAAAAATGTCATAGTATAGTATGTTAAAAATGTCATGGTATAGTATGTTAAAAACATCATAGTATAGTATGTCAAAAATGTCATAGTATAGTATGTTAAAAACATTATAGTATAATATGTCAAAAATGTCATAGTATGGTATGTTAAAAACATCATAGTATAGTATGTCCAAAATGTCATAGTATAGTATGTTAAAAATGTCATAGTATAGTATGTTAAAAACATGTCAAAAATGTCATAGTATAGTATGTTAAAAATATCATAGTATATTATGATTAAAAATGTCATAGTATGGTATGGTAAAAAATGTCATAGTATAGTATGTTAAAAAATGTCATAGTATAGTATGATAAAAATGCTGAACTAATACCTCATCCACTACTTCTGTCTTGACTTCTTTGGGTTTCTCATCAATTTTTACGGCCTTCACTTTCTCAGTCACTTCTTCAACTGGTTCAGTGCCTTTGAACCTCTGCAAACAAGAAGACAGCATGACAAGAAGTGAGGCTGGACATGTGTAACTGGATGCGTTGCTTGGATGATGTTCACAGCTGCAGTCTCTTTAGGATATCTTACTTTGCTCAGAAACAGCTGATTGTAGGCGATAATCAGTTGTTCTTTCTTTGCTGTTTTGGCCACATTTTTAATATTTCCCAGCAGCTTGTGCTCGTTGAGGAACTGCAGAAGGAAGTGACAAGTTTTCAAAATGGGAGATTTGAGTATATTTCATTTCATCATGTGAATTTATGGCCCGAAAAAACACCCCCAAACACATCAGCCAGCACATGCAGTCAGGTGAAACAATGCCTTAATGGTTCAATATGAATCGTGCATTACGTGTTTGTATTTATCTATGTAAGGCTGTATTTCTCTGTGTCATGATGCTTTCACTCAACAGCCTTCCTGCAGCGCTTTCTGTTAGCTCAGCATGCTGCGGCTCATATGACGCTTTCGCACAAACCTAACACCATTCAATGAAAAATCCACAAAAGGACTGAAGTGACAAACGTACCGAGTGGGCTGCATTATCCTGAATGAACTTTATAATGTCTTTTTTGGGCAAATCATCACTTTTGAGCTGATCATCGCTCCACTCCCGTGTTGGTTCATCCGCCATTTTGAAAGGCGCACTGCTCAACTTTGACCCTTGTGGCGTACTATAAAACTACGAAAACTTGTAGTTTTATTAATGTTAGCAATTTTAGATAGAATTAAACGGGAAACGACAGAAATACACAAAATACACACTGGAAGCATTGAATGCAGCTTTTATAGATATGAAAATGTGACAGTGGGTGTAATTTTATTTCGTTTTATATGTGTATCCTGCCATCTAGAGGCGATATTGAGTTAATGTTCCTTACGGTGAACTACAAGCTATATAACAATCACACAAATGTCTCTAATACTGATAATTCAAAATAGCAAAAAAGCAGACTGTATATCCCAGACACTCTCATCACTCTTATGGTTTTTGTTCTCATCTTTGTTTTCATGCTGGTCATTCAGTATGGATTCAAGTACTCACTGTCAGTGCATCACTACCTATCACTGCAACTTCTGTATGATTTCTTGTCCCTCTGTAGTATAACATACATATAGTATATACTATATTTACTACATATGATGAAAATGTGATGAAAATAAAGTATGATAAAATATCATTATATAGTTAAAAAATATGCAGTGGTATAGAATAAGAACAAAGTATGAGTATAGTAGTAAAGTATAGTAAAAATGTCATTGTATGATATTGTATGATAAAAATATCATGGTACAGCATGATAAAAACATCATAGTATAGAATGATTAAAATGTCATAGTATAGACTGAAAAAAAATCACATTTTAGTATGGAAAAATATCAACGTATTGTATGATAAAAATTTCCAATTTTAATATAAAAAACATAGTATAGTGTGATATAAATGTCATAGTATAGTATGAAAAAAATATCAAAGTATTGCATGATAACAATATCATAAAAAAGTATGATAAAAATTTCACATTTTTGGATGAAAAAATGTCATAGTATAGTATGATAAAAATGTCATATTTGAGTATGTTAAAATTTTTATGTTTAAGTATAGAAATAAATATCAAAGTATAGCACAACCAAAATTTCATAGAAACATCAGCAATTATACATTTTAGTATGAAAAGCAATGTCAAAGTTTAGTTAAAAACTGTCATAGTATAGTATAATAGAAAAGATCATAGAATAGTATGGTAAAAAATGTCATCGTATAGTATGTTAAAAATTAAAAAAGCATAGTATGGTTAAAAAAAATGCAAAGTATGGTATGGAAAAAAAATTCTGAGAATCAAAGGTTACAATTTTCATATTTAAGTATGGAAAAAAATTCAAAGTATAGTATGATAAAAATGTCATTATAAAATCTTTATATTTTTATACATAATTTTTTTTACAATTTAACATTTAAGTGTAAAAATTAATTATATATTGTGTGACAATAAATTAAATAGTATGGTATGATAAAAATGTCATAGTATAGTAGGTTAAAAATGTCATATTTTAGTGTGAAAGAAAATTTGATATTTGAGTAAGAGAAAAACTGTCATCGTATAGTATGTTAAAAATCTCTTAATTAAGTATGAAAAAATTCTTTTATCTTCCTTTAAAAAAACTGTCATAGTATAGTATGTGAAATATTAAAGTAAGTTATGATAAAAAAAAGGTCAAAGGATAATATGTGAAAAAAAATGTCAGAGTATAGTTGAAATAAAAATGTTGTAGTATAGTATGTTAAAAATATCATAATATTGTATGTCAAAATATATAATAGTATAATATGGAAAAAAAGGGCCATAGTATAGTATGATTAAATTTTGTCATAATATAGTATGTCAATATATTTCATAGTATGATAAAAATGTCATAGTTTAGTATGATTACAAATGTCATAGTATCGTATGTTAAGAAATGTCTTGGTATAGAATGATAAAAATGTCATAGTAGTATGATAAATATATTATATTGTAGTTTGAACAAAAAACGTCTTCATCATCAGCAAATACACTGCAAAGAACAGAATCCTTAGTATTAACACAGAAAACACAATTTTCAGACTGCTTTGGTGATGTTTCAGTGTTTATTTGTTTTGTTTAAGAGATTTCAAAGTAGAAGAAAATAAAATGCTGTCACAGTCTCTGCTTTCATCTGCTGGCTTCTCAGAGACACTGCAGGATCTTCTCAAACCTTTATATAACAGTTGGTACAGCTAGCTCTCTTGTAGATGGAGTTATGTTTTTTAACTTCACCAACTGATAAAGCCACAGACTGCATTTGATTAAATTATAAAAATGAAGCCAACAATGAAAAGCATTGAACGTGCTTTTTTGTCTGAAGGCCAACAAGTTTTAAAGACAACTGGAAAGTTTGTCTGTTACAAAGTGTGACATGGCTCTTGAAATGTGTTTACAATTTCATCATGCAAAATTTCTGGAGTTAACTCATAATAAATGTTTCTGTTCCCTTCTTTTGAGATGTTTGATAATGTAACTTTGAAATTTGAAATAAAGACAAGTCACTCAATAAAGAAACCCATGGTTGTCGTATTTAAACCACTGATAAGTAACGTAACTTACCTCCTGTGGGTGTGGAAAGATGTGCAACAAGCACCGATCCTCACTGCTGGCAGTTTCAATTTGCTTTTGTAGTCCATAAAAAGACATCATCTATTTCAAGTTCTTTCATAAGAGGCTTAATGTACACCACAGGAGCTTTGATCACAGAGTTCACTCAGATAGACTGACTATTAGCATGTTTCCCATCTACACATGTAGTTTTATTCTACATTAGCAGTTTGAAGCAGACTGGTGCCCCTCATGTTTCGTGTCAGCCTGCAGCCTCCTGCTGCCTCTCTCATGGCCGTCATGTCAGTCTCCTCTTTGTTGCATCAGCCGGCCTCTCTGTTTGTGCCCTGCTGATTCTTTGGCAATCTTCCCCCTCGCTCCAGCGATAAAAGATCTGACATAAGAAAGGGTTTGTAAGAATATGTCTCCCAGCTGACCTTGTCTGCTAGCATTCATCAGTAACCTTGAGGAAGAGTAGTGAGAAGATGATTAGGATGAACCTTTTTGCGCTTGTTACGAGGCAACAGAAGTGATGAGAGGGATGCTGATATTATGTTGTGTTTTAAAGGCATTTTCTCAAACTCCTTGACAACATAGTGGAAGAAGAACACACCAAAATGGACTTCCACTTTGCTTTAATGCTGTTATGCTATCTTTTGCTCGACACTGTTGTTCACAAATATGACTTCTCGGTGACACTTTCCCAGAGGCTATTTAAAATCTTTTTTCTCTCTGTCTCTCTGCATTAAGAAGTGATGTCTCTCAGTGTTTATGAGTGTCTGGATGCATCACAGAGAGTTTCAGGAGTAAAGAAAAGGCCTCCGAGGATGATGTCAGCTGTATTGTGTTGTGATGAAGTGTTTCTGAGGAATGCAAAGCCGAGGAGCTTAAATGAGCTGTCTGATGCGGCTCCTGAGAGCTCTTCATATCTACAGGTTACACAAACAAGTGATACACATTTCCTGAGATGTGGTTGTCAGCGCAGAGATCGTAAACAATGTAATCCTCAGGAAATGTTTGAAAATCCATGTCCTTAAATACTGTGGAGACAAGCATGAGCTCTGTCAGCCAAAGCTGTGTTTTAAATCAACCATGTCTGATGGAAAATGATGTTGTCTATGAAAGCAAACATGGTGCTGTGTATTTGTAGACATTAGGGTCACATTTTAACCCTGAAATGACTCATTTTATCCCTCAGGTAAATAGAAATTGTTGTTCTTCTACTTTCAACAAGATGTTAATCTCCTTTTTTAAGCCATGACACTACCAGCTCTCACATTTGACCTTTTGTTTTTGGACCTTAAGGGTAAAAAACACTCAAAATCTTAAACAGCCAAGGATTAGGTTTTACCACTACTGTTTTCATATATTTTGTTTTACTGTTATTCTTATGCTGCTGGGTGGGGAACAAAATGAATCTCAGTATTTGACTCGGTTTAATCTGAAATAAAGATTTATGTTATGTTGATAGATTTAGCTAAATTATTAATTCAACCTTTGAATCTGAAATGAACTTGTAGTGGGATACAGAAAAAGCTCCATGATAGACACACACCATGTTGCACATTTTAAGTTTTCTCAGTTACAAAAGGTGTGATTAGCATCTTCTAAACGATGATAGTTTTCTTCAAATGAGAGAATCCGGGTCTTTTTCAACTCATAATCAAAATAGTACGGTGTAGACCTTCGTCATATGTGAACTGTTACAGAAAAACACTCCCTCCTCCTTCAACTAGTGAGTCTATTATCTCCACTCAGCCATCCACATAACCATCCATCCATTAGGGTCACTGCAGCTGCAGTCCAGCCTGGCTGCAGTCACACCTTTAAACCACCAGGGGTCAGTGTGTATACATCATTGATGTGGCTGAAGCAGGTTCTTCAACCCATCTCTGAAAGATTGATATTTTCAATATGTGAAGCTTACAATAAGGTTTGAAAGAAGAGAAAATCACTTATGACTCCCTTTGTTGATGAGCGCAACAATAATAAGGCAATGCCAATTTGCTACACAGCCAATAATTCACTTTGCAGGTTGGTGGTGATACTTCAAGCTTCTGATTAAAATAACCAAGTGTATTTTTACATAGAAAGACTGAAAAAAGAGGAGATTTTTTTGTGCAGTGTCAATGTATTGTAGTCTTATCATGCTTCCTTATTATACTGTAAATGTGTGCTCTGCAAAAGTAAAACATGGCAGGTTCTTCAGCATGCTGCAAAACACTGGATCTGAAACCTACCCTCTAACAGCAGTTACAGGCTCATGTAAGTCTACTTATGATATTGTTGGTCTTATAAACCTTGATGGACCAAAGGGCCAATGGTGGTGGACAGCTCCTCTCTCTTCGCTGCAGGACAGAAAGATTCAGAAGATCTTTTGTACCAACAGTCATCAGGCTTTATAACTCTTGTGTAAATAATAGATAACTTGAAAGTAGACATATTATGTGAGACAACAGACAATTGAGTTTCCCTTCGTGGATTAATAAAGTTCTTCTTAACTTATCTTATCTTATATGTTTGTGCAGATCATAAAGAGCTGTCAAAAACAGCCA